CTGCAACACATGGTGCTACCATGAAAACCTGTTGCAGCCTTATATATAGAAACAATTAATAGTCTCTAAACCCTTACAAACATCTATTATATAAAAGTTGATGAAAACATAGATCTGGCCAATGTTCTTATTTGAATATTGAAGAAGATGCACAAACTTAACGTCTAGCACAATAAAAAATGTCCAGACAACTATCATATTAGTAAAAGACAGAAAGAAAAATGACGCAGCCTGAATGATGATATGTACATGAACAGATAGTGAATGTGGAATCAAAAGAAGAGATCAGGGGAAGAGAAAGAGACCAGACCTGAAACCAAAGATGTTGCAAAAGCCTATAAATGATAGTCCCCACTGTACTTATATGTGGAAATTTCCAGCTCATGCCTGCCTCATTCTTAGGTTCTTTTAATAATTGCACTATGCAGTTCTCTACCATGCTAACTAAATCAGCTACTGCAGCCTTTACAGGTTTGGAAGCTGACGACATAAGGTTAAGCACAGGAAACATGAGAATGAGTTCTTCACTTAGAGCAGGTTGGATCAGTGAGACGGAATATCCTGGAAAACATATAGAAAAAATCAGATGCTATGAGGAAGGAATATATGCAGTGTAATAGAGAATATACACTGACAGGAACAAATTAAAATTACAAGGTACTTATGGTGGACAGATCCAATTCCAAGCCAATGCTCATTCAGGCACAACATCATCGGATGATCGAAGGCCTCAGTATATAAAAAAAAAAAAACATGTAGGATAAGCACCCCCTAATGCATTGTATAAAGTGAGGAACAGTTGAGATTGTTTGCCATGGTCCCTACTGGCTAGAATATGCCTCTTTAGAGCCCTATAGTGCAGGAATGAGTAGATAAGATATATATCCATTAACATTACTACTTTGTCCTATGTCTGAGGAACTCAAAGCTTCTAATGAAACTTAAGAGAAGGAAAATATCAAGAAAATAAATTTCCAGTGAAACTACTAGATGGGTTTGACATAGGGTCATCCGAGTTATCAAAGGCAAGAATAATTATGTGACTTTACCATTTTCCTTCTTCCACCTAAGAAGGAAGATGAGGAGTTTGACTACAGAAAGCTGCTCGTGTTCAAGCTCAGACTGCGCAAGGGCAATAGACAAGGAAAGCAGTGTTGCTGACAATTCTGGTATGAATTCCAGTCCAAGATCCTTCTGAACAACAAATAGGCGCTTCAATAACTCATAAATTGCTTCACTGCCACCAGAACGGCCATGAAAACATGCCAACAGTGCAAGAACTGTTTCTGACAGGTCAACCCCAAGCAGCTGGGCCTTGCCAACTGACTGTATATCAAGATAAAAGAAATAGAAAATTTAACCAAACAAGAACGTTAAATTAGTGTGACAGTAGTGTAATACATATTAGAGAGACATTTCATTTACATAAGTACCAAATAACCAGAGGAAACATACCAGCCCTGTTTCAATCGCGTGTCTCAAAACCACTACATATGCATCAGCAGTACATTCTATAAAATAGTAGGAGTTCCGGAGCTCCTGCACTTGATAAATACAGAGAAACCCACGGACCATCAGATGCGAGAAGTCATCCAGCAGAATGTTCAGCTAGTATCGAAGATGGAAAAATGCTTTGATCCACTAAAACAGAAGGGACAGCGAAGGAATGAATAAAAGACGGTATTACTAACATCCGAAGTCTTATGTGGCAGATATTTTAGGCAGTCTATCAATAGCTTGAGAATAGCAATTCCCTCATTGGGGAATGAACAACAACACGACGCCACTGATGATATTAGCCGCCTTGCAAACAATGACGATGAGGAATCTGAAAAGGGTAATCTCAGAACTGAAAAGTTCAGCAAGGGTCTCAAGAATGCACAGACTTCCTCCATTCCTAGTCCCCTACTCTTAGCCATAAACAGTAAAACTTGCTGCACCAATTCAGACTGCACCTCGCTTCTGGACAGCAAAACCTGCATTCCAAGAATCCACGAACAATAATCATTCAGATTCTTGAGCCATGAAACAACCTTACTAACTCACAAAGAGGGCAAAAAAAGAAGCAAAATGGTTGACTAGGACTTAATCATGCACCTATCACATTAACCACGGCAATGTAAAAAGCGAGAATAAAATCTCAATTGATCATTTCACTGACCTTGACAAACGGATGATTCTCCGGGGAAGCGAACCGCCAAGAGCCATGGCTCTTCACGAAGCCCAGCCGAACCAGAAACCCAATGCCTTTAACAAACAAGCCAACGAACTTCTCGTCTGTACCTTCGAGTGCTGACTGGAGCTCGAGCAAGCCCCGTGAGAGGTCCAATTTCGAATCCGAGACAAACCGGCAGAGCTCGCGGACCGCCTGATCAACAACTGCCGGCGACCGAGACTGCAGGCACTGTGAGATTGCTTCTCTACCTGGTTCGGAATCGGAGTCCAGGTACCCCGGCGCCGAACGGAGCTTCGAGAAAATTGAAACAACCGCGAATTTCTGCAGAGACGGCTGCGGCACCTTCGTTTTCTCTAGTAGCGGAGCGTAAGCGTCCATGATTGCTTTGCTTGCTTGCTTCACTGTGAATTGTAGAATTGAACTGCCGGAGAGGAATGTTATGAGAAAAGACGATCGCGGGAAACGTTTCGTTTCTGCCCGACCCGACTTAATATCCATGCCCTTTCTCGGGTCAGCACAAGGTATACATCATACATCACTACGTTGTCGTATTACTCGCTCGTTTTCTCTTCTTCGTTTCTCTGTCCTTTCGTAAACGGCGGCCGCCACCGCCACCAGTGACGATTGATCCGGGGAATCCATCAATGGCGGCGGCGCTTTCGGAGCTTGATGAAGACACCGTGCGCAGCATGGCGGTCGGAGCTGTGTTCAACGACTTCGTAAGAAAAGTTTTCTGATTGTTCTCGCCCCGAATTTGGTAATCGGAGTTTTTCAAGCTGAGAAGCAGCTAAAAAATGGAGATTGAACTTTTGCTGTTTATTTCAGGGAGGGAAGATAAACTCGGTTGATTTCCATCGTAAAGATGATTTGCTGGTGACGGCGAGCGACGATGATTCTGTTCGCCTGTACGACATTGCAAGCGCCAAGTAAGCTTTCTTTCAGTTCCCCATCTCGTTCTTCGCTTAGAACAGAATCCCATTGGAGGATGAAACAGAAGGGGCTGCTTGTTTTCTACAAAATATGAAAAGGGATCGTCTTTGCTTTAATCGGTGGCTTCCATTGCAGGTTACTGAAGACTACATTTCATAAGAAGCATGGCGCTGACCGCATTTGCTTTACTCACCATCCTAGCTCTGTGATTTGCTCTTCCAAATACAATTTGGAGACTTCTGGAGGTGAGTTGATGCGTTGCTTATGAATTGGTATTGTAGGTTATCTACGAATGAGAGGGCAGCCATTGATGGGTCTATTCTGCTTTGTGTTGTTGCTTTTTTTGTTCAGAATCCTTAAGGTATCTATCGATGTATGATAACCGATGTCTTCGGTATTTCAAAGGACACAATGACAGGTGAGTACTTTCTTTGTTCTCCTCAAAACTATGCTTGAGAGGTGTTACTTCTGATTCATTTGTTATGCCATTGAAGCCTTTTATCTATGTTTTCCTTCTTTCCCACCAGGATTGTCTCCCTATGCATGTCTCCCATCAACGATAGCTTCATGTCTGGTTCTCTCGATCACAGCGCCCGAATATGGGATCTGCGTGTTAACGCATGCCAGGTAGGTTTCCTTTCTAAATGCAGCAAGAACACTAGCTTGTGTCAGCCATGGTAGCTTAGGGAGGTTAGGCCTAGAGCGTAGCGTGTCATTGTTCATGGTTGTGATTCATGCTTACTGGTATAGCTTTCAGGGAATCTTACGGCTGAGAGGTCGACCAACAGTTGCGTATGATCAACAAGGTCTCGTCTTTGCTGTGGCTATGGAAGGGGGTGCTATCAAATTGTTCGATTCTCGTTCCTATGACAAGGTACTGATCATCAGCAAAGAAACCAACATTTTCCCCGTTTGTTGCGGTAGAATGGTGTGGATTGAGATTGCTATGCAATTGGCAGGGGCCTTTCGATACATTTTTAGTTGGGGGAGACACTGCTGAGGTTTGCGATATCAAGTTCAGCAACGATGGGAAGTCAATGCTGTTGACAACAAGCAACAATAACGTTTATGTGCTTGATGCATATGCAGGAGAAAAGGTTAGCTTACTTACCTGTCAATGCAATTCTACGATCTTTAGCCACAAGTTTATGAGCATTTTGTGAATGGGATGATCGACTGATTGATTCATCGACTTCTATTCTTCAGCGCTGTGGATTCAGCATGGAACCATCACCAAACACAACCATAGAGGCGACTTTCACCCCGGATGGCCAGTATGTAGTATCAGGTAATCCACCTTCTTCATTTCCTTTTCATCTCCCCAACGAAAGACCATAACTTTTCTCTTTTCAAGCTCAACCAGTATAAATTCAGCCAAATACCGTTCATTTATCACTAATTACGGGGATATATGTTCAGTCTGAGAAGGATGATCCTGTTCTTACCAGCTACGATCTCATGTTCTTGTTAGGGTCGGGAGATGGGACATTGCGTGCTTGGAACATCAACAAACCAAACGAGGTACATTGAAAACTAATGGTGATGTTCTTCTACAATATACATGGATGTCACGATTTCTGATTCTGGGGTTTTGTGGGCTATCTTTTTGTTTCTTTAGCCGGTGGCATGCTGGAGCAGCCATATAGGTGTTCCGTCTTGCTTGAAATGGGCTCCTCGACGAGTAATGTTCGTCGCTGCATCTTCCGTTCTTACGTTCTGGATCCCCGATACTACCAAACCATCATCGTTGGCAGAGGCACCAGCACCACCAGTCGAGGGCGGCAGTGGAGCCATGCCCAACCATCCTCCCCTGTGACCCTTTTCGTGTCTTGTTCTTCCCAGTTAAGAGGCTGATCAGTAGTTTAATCAAGGTCCTCGCTATTGTAGAGAATCAAGAGTTGTTGTAATAGTTCGGTTTCATCACCAACTAAACGGAAACAGAGGAAACAGAGTCGAACAGTAGGAAGGAGGAAAACAGAGCGATTCAGAAAAAAAAAAAACTAAACCACCAAATGTTGCTTGCTTACATTCACAACCCAGAAAGAAAGGAAGAAAGCGAGAAAAGACCTTAAAATACTCATCAAACTACACGCAAAATAAACCCAACTCCGGAATTCGAAGCAGCATCCCATCTCGGATCTTCTTCGTCGTTCCTTCATTTCGTCTCCTGAGCTTTCCTCTGGATCTCCTGCCCGACCTCCTTGGTCTTCTGCCCGGCATACCCAGCAGCATCCTGCATGCGCCTCTTGGCCTGCTCCATAGTCTCGGGCACAGCCTGGCTTGCATTAGGAGCAATAGCACGCACAGCTTGCCGTAGGTACATAGCAAACCACGACAACGCAGTCAGCCCCGTGGCCCCAGCAAGCCCCGAGGTCAAGAAAGCGGTGACGGCAAACGCAACGAGCAGAGCAGCAGGGACGATCACAGGGCTGCAGATGATGAACACGGGAGTGGCGACAGCCAATCCGATGAGAGTCCCGACGAGGATTATCCCGGCCAGCGCCAGGAGAGTGCCGCCAACGGGGAGCATGGTGACGACTGCAAGCACCTTTGAAGGGGAAGGCCCTGTTCTCTGGTGTGGGTCGCCCTTGAGGCCGCCTCCATAACGGCCTCCACCACCATAAGCATCGAAGCGGTGCTGCTGTCCACGATCCCCCATTGTCGCCATTTTTCTTTTGCGGGTATAAAGCTTGAGCCTTTACAAGAAGAATAAAGAGCTTTGGAAGGTTTTTAGATGAATGATGAGAGGAATCGGTGAGAGGGAGTAGGGGTGGTGGGGGAGTTATACAGTGAGTGAAGGAGGGGAGAGTGACACGTAGAGAGGTGAGATGGCGAGGAAGCGGTTTGCATGACAAACAAGTTTCAAAACTTACAGAGGGGGAAGAAAAGAGGTGTAGTCTGAAGGGAAAAGGAAGAAGACAAGGGGGCTGGCTCTGCTCTCCATCATGCAGTGGACCAGTGGTAAATAGTAAATACAAAACTGAGCACCCAATTCACTCATATGGCTCAATTAGCTCTCATAATTATTATTTTCTACGATTTGGTACTTCTAAATTCCAACTCAGTCTCTTTGGTTATAGTGGGTTTGCTCTTAATGAGGAACTACTCAACATTTATATGGTTATCTAGTTAAGCAATTGATTTGCTCTTAACGAGGAATTAATCATCCGTTAAAGATTAAAGGGGAATAGATAAAAGACTTTCAAGAGAGATGATACTAATATCATGCTGATGTGTACAGATTATTAATATTTACTGACCATAGGATTACTGAGTTGATCTTTCCCTTTTAAGAGTCTAGAGTTATAACCTAAGAAAATACCAATAGCACATTTTGTACATCTGACATATGATCAAGTACTTAGTACCAAGAACTTCGAATTTAACCAACTACAGTTACAACAGAAGAAAAGGCCATGCAATAATCTTCCACCACAAAAAACTTCCAAAAAAGGGCAGTAAACAATTAATTTCCCGGTGGTGGCTGGCAACTGGCAAATAACAACTACATAGATGCAGAGCATAGCCATAGCCAAGCCGACCTTTCCTATTTCCCTTTCTCTTCTCCTTCCGTTCGATCAAATCTCTTTTTTCTTTCTTTGTTTTTCGTCATGTGTAAGTCTCTTTTGAAACTTGTTTGTCATGCAAAGCCCTTACCAGTCACGTCACCACCCTACGTGTCACTTCCTCACCCTTCTTCCCCTGCTTTTTATATTCCTCCCTCTCTCTCCATCTCTTAATTCCCTTCCACACTACCCTCTCTATCCCACATCTCTAAACTCTAAAAACAATCTCATCAAGCTCCAGAATTTCTTCAACAACAACAACAATGGATCGTACACACCCGCACCAAGTCCAGGTCCACTCCCAGTTCCCAGGCCGCTACGAAGGCGGATTCAAGGGCGGCAGACCTGATTACCAGCGAACCGGTCCGTCCGCTTCGACCATACTCGCTGTCATGACCGGACTCCCAATCGGTGGAACCCTCCTCGCGCTGGCAGGGTTAACCCTTTTTGGAACGCTCATTGGACTGGCGGTGGCGACCCCTGTGTTCCTAATCTGCAGCCCTGTCATCGTCCCTGCTGCTCTGACCATCGCGTTTGCAGTCACCGCTTTCTTGTCCTCCGGGCTGGTCGGGCTGACCGGTCTCACCTCGCTGTCGTGGTTCGCTCGATACCTCCGGATGGCGACGGAGGAGGTGCCTGGGCAGCTCGAGGAGGCGAGGAAGAGGGTGCATGATGCGGCAGGGTATGTTGGGCAGAAGACCAAGGAAGTTGGGCAGGAGATCCAGAGGAAAGCTCAGGAAACAAAACCATGAAAATGGAAGAAAAAAAAAAGAAGGGTTTATTTGCATGTAATGGATTCAGTTCCAATGTTGTTTTCTTTTTCCCGGTTTCCTGAATGTTAAGAGGGAGAATTTGATGTTCTAGTTTGCTTCTTTTGGTTCTTTGGGGTTAATTACTATGTATCTTCTTCACTGCTATATTACTACTTACTAAACACTACTCTGTTCCCCTTGGTTTCCTCTGTTTCACGAACAAGGCCTTCGTTTTCTTGCTCTGGTGTACACTAAGCACACTGGTTTGGTTATGTGGTGGATTTTCTGAACTTGATGCTAAATATGGAAATAGATGTTGCAATAAAAGCTTCACTGTGGCATGTCACAGCTCCAATTAGGGTTTGCTCCATAAATCGAATACTAAAACGGGATCCATTAATCCGTGTCCTGTGTAGACGTCTGTTCACTTAACCCGTTTTTACACTGTGGAACGGATATGAACAATTGACATACTCCGCAGATTTCTAACCCTCACGAACTGGACAAAGCTACAGAGACCTTCATGGGCCGAAGGAGATAAGGTGAGCAGACCCAGTAAGCGGTGAGCAAACAATGGGCCCATTTATTAGATCTGTGCATAACTGGGCTTCGGGACTTGGATTCTGCCATCATATTTTGTGCGTCCATATGGGCCTTTAGATTCTTCAGCGACAGGTCCAAATTTCAGTCACCATTTCCAAGGGGAATGGGCGTTTGAGATTAGATTAGATAATTACCATTTACCAGGACAGGTTAACTCTTGCTGGAGCTCTAATCTGTTCGTGGGCCATAGGGGGTACAGCCCAGTGGGCTTCTTTGGAAGGGGAAGAAAGAAAGGTCTAATCAGAGGCACAATCAAATCAATCAATCAATCACTCTGAATTTTTCTTTTTGTTTGGGACCATTTTGTAACAGAGCTGTCTCTGGTCAGGGTCATTTTGGAGGGGGCCTCCTTCTGTTTTACCCTCAACTTTTTGGGCGGTTGGAGGATCGGATGGGCCCATTCAATTTCGAAACAGGGGTTTAATGACATGTATTAGAAAGTGACCCGTCCGGGATGTGACCCATTCTTGAAAAAGAGTCATGCAAGACTAAGGTGCTGGGCCATCGGGTCCAGGCCCATATTCTCGCCTCCTAGATTAAGACCCTTTAACGCCCATAGATTAGTACATCGGATGGGGACTTTTCGCTTTGACGGTGGGCCCAATAACACGCCATTCCGCCCGTGCGCATGCTCTGTTTGTTTCTTAGCTCCATTATTTACTTGTCATGTTTGTTAAGACGCAAATGAAATGGAATTTTAGGTGAAGAGTATCTTTTGTTTGACTTCCTGGCCACATTGACCCCATCTATACAGGCCTTTACACGAAATTGTGGTCTACATTATTAACGAGTTAATTAGTTATTAGTATGTATATATGCATATATAGCTCCTATCCATAGTTCCATACATTGTTTGAGAAAGTTTACTTGTAATGGGAATTAGACAAAAGTAAGTTTAATTTGGAGATATAATGTTGCAAAGGGAGACTAGGATACATTTTATCCGGTCCCATGAACTCTAATCTCACAGTCCCTCTGGTTTTTGCTTTATAGGTATTTATGACTGTTATGAGATTGTCGGACGAAGATTCTATTTAATGCTCATAGATATCGTCGAAATTAATAAATTTTGATGAAATTCAAACAACGAAATGATAATTTCGTTGAATTTTAAAACGAATTATGTCTCCACATGTCAATAGTTCCACATAGGGCTCAACCTCAAATTATGTGAGCCAAAGCTTACAAACATATAGGGCGGTTCTTAGGGAGGGAAGGGGATGTTGGAGGAGATGCTAGTAGGCCAATGATTAGGAAGAGAAAGAAAAGAAGAGACAAGGAGGCAAAAGGGAATGTGCGATCATGTGCAAATAATTGCAATACATTAAAACAGTATATTCAAATATATAATTCCAGTTTGATTGATATGTGGATATAAGTATCCGTTCGTATAAATTCGAAGTTTTCGAACTACACAATTAAGTGTTCTAAGTCGTTCGATGCATGTTGTTTAAATGACAGACAATACATGCACTCCAATAACTATTTAAGATAGTAAATAATGTCACTCAACGGTATATCAATCTGTTTTGATGCCTATCCTGCGAAAATATCTATACCGGCTTGCCAGACATGTGATGTCTGCAGAGCGTGGACAGAGGAACTTGGGTTCTTGAGTACATGTGGCCTCATGAGGAAGGTGATCCGTCACAATTTTACAGCATGTATATAGCAGCAGACAGATGGGATTATATCATCATTTATCTCAAGAGTATAGCAGTACTACTGCTAGTGATGGACTAGTGTGGTACCTCAGTTTGCATATTCACCAAACAGTATGCAAATTAGTGTACTGTTAGTACTGCATGGCGCCCTACCAAATGAAAGCTCAAACAGAAGGGGGACAATGGTGAAAACGAGTTGTCAGTAGAAAACGTTTGAAGAGCAGAAAGAGGGTCAACATGCATGCACTACCCATGAAGTTGCTTCATCTAAGCTTTGTCGGTGTCAAAACCAAATTTAAGGTGGTGGTGTGTGCAAGGTATAATTTTTTGGCCACTCTACCAACTCGAATTATTGTGATTTAATTAGTTCTCGCATGATATTGGCTAGCTAGAGGGTTTGACCTCTGTGTTCGAGTACCGAAGATCCTCAATATTGTTTAGCGCGCTTTTGATTGAGTAAAATGTATGAAGGGCTGGAGCAAAGCTCAATATATTGAAATATAAGATTCATTCCTAGACAATAACTCGAGTTATTGAAAATATTTAACGCATCCTTGAGAGAAATATGCATGATCCCCAAGCGAAAGTTGAAAATTGAAATACTTGATTGCATACATAGATCTCCGACACGCTATGTATTTATATCAACAATATTCTTTAATGTTGGTCCTGGCTCATTAGGGATTGGACGTCAACCTTCAATACCCAACAACTCCAATACTTGATGCATAGGTCCAATCCACTATTTCGATTATGCACACATTTATCCCAACTAATAACTCGAATTTTCAAAAAGCACTAAAAGATTGGCTCCACCACTAGCTACCAAATGGGTCAGACCCAACTGTAGAAAACTGGTGAATAACTAGCAGTGAAGTTGGTAACTATTGGTTTGTATATATGATGACCCCCCTTGTCAATTTTGAGAGGGTACATTCTCACATGGGAAAACAACCCTTTTATGGTTTCCTATCAGAATAGCTTGCTAGCTACCTAGCTCCTAGCTAAGGCATCTTCGTGCTTAGAAAATGACATCGATCGTCCCTTTAATCCTATTTATCGATCGCTTCCACACATCCTCTCTTGAAAAGTCTAGTTGAAAGGGAATCTCGGCTGCCCAATTGCACAAAGACTAGCGCACTACGTACCAACGTTCTACTTGCACCGCGGCCGACTGATGGCCGACCCTAAAAATTAGTCTAATCTGTAATCACCAATGTTAAAAGCAAAACTATATCCTTAAAACTGTTATTTTCAACACTTTCCTTGGGGCTGCTCACTTGAGGTCGGCCGGCCGGCGAATGCTCCCTGTATAGTTTAGTCGGCCGCCCGCATATGAAGTCTAACTATATATATATGTCTCTTTTGGTCTAACTCCGGCGATCTAGACTTGGGGTAAAGTCCGCGACCAACTCGGAGTCAAGGGTCAAGTCATTCTCCGGAAAGTTGTGATCAAGGTGCGCCAAGCCCTTGTGCTCTTGGTACTTGACACAATTCAGAACCAAAGAGCAACCTATAATATTGGGTCTCGATCTGTTAGGGCTGCTAATATAGTTTACACGGTTATCTATGTTAAAAAGGTTAATTTAACTGCTAATTATTGGTTAACGATTAATATAACTGTGAGTTGTTGGTTAACTGTTAACATAACCGTTAACCATCGGTTAATGGGTAATCGTTAGCCACTAAGGATGTGAAAGGTTGGCTAGCTGTATAGGTGTTTGGTTGGCGGTTAACCGCTAACTGACAAATTCGTTGACGATTAACATTTAACTGAGCCGACTAACTACTGACACAAACATAAAAGATGTTATCCGCTCTTCCCTATATACATTCTTGCATAACACAAAACAATACTTTTTTTTATTTACGAAGGGTGATCCACACATTCTTTGAGATTGCGTTCGAATTTGTACAATAATCAGCAAAACACACATACATGTTAAATCGAACCCAAGCAAATACGACGATTCATACGGTTCTCAACCGTTTAATTGCACCAATTCACGAAGGTGAGAATCTAACACAAAACACTTTTACACAACAACTACAACTTCAAGATTTGAGGATCTTGTTGGCCTATTTGCATATTCGTGTATGATCAAATCTTGAAATGGAAAAGCATGGCCGAGAAGCGTAAGATTTGATGATGGCATGGGGTGAGAAAAAGGAAGTTGCAACGGGACAAAGAAAATTTTCATTTTGTTCACACTCTCATTTAGGGGACTTATGAGTAATCGTTCAAGGGAACCGTCTCTATTTGTTTATTTCACTTTGGGGTTCATTTTCAGCTGCTTTTCGTGTAATTTTGAAGATCTCCTGTCGTCTTATAGGCTAACTCTAGGTTATAATCTTTCTCAAAAAAAAAAAAAAAAAAAAAACTCTAGGTTATAATCTACTTGTGCATGCTGCCCGTGGTATTTTTTGGAGTTATGCAACACACTTTCAACCATATTATCAAAAGTCAAACTAACTGTCCAAGGGTAGTTAAGAAGATTAGTTTGATTGTTAAAGAGCAATATTGATGCTATAGTTTGATAGTTTATTGAATGTAGCTCAATCAAAGAAAGAAAAAAAAACCAGTATCGCCGAAATAGTGAATTGAAGGTTACTAGACTATGCTCCAACGGGTGTGTAACGGTTCGGTCCGGTCCGAATCGGACCAAACTCATGAGAATTGTGGTCTAATAGTAAAAGACATATCAGGACCAAAGATCGGATCAACATTGTATTCGGTCCAGGTTTGGTCCGATCCAAATAATGTTTACTTCGATCTATTTTCTTCGGCATTTATAAAATTCTTGGACCAAAGACTGAACCATATTATATTTGGTTCGATGTGGTCCGACTAAGTGTTGGTTTGATTCGGTGCAATCTGGAACGAATCAACTCGTTGCACACCTCTACTCGTAAGTAGGGTTTGTTGAGAGTTTTGATTTCAATAATTTAAATAGTTGAAAGTCGTTAAATAACATGTTATCTTATCAGTTTGAAATTTGCACTGACACACCATACCTGTACTTATGCTTCCTTTTAACTCCTTCCTATGAATAAAAAGAAAATCATAAAGAAAATCATCCACTCAAAAATAATAAGTTTCCCTTTGGAAGTACTACTTTCTATTTTGCCAAAACAAAGGAGCCAAAAGACATAAAAGAGACGTGGGAGAAGATTCATAAAAAGTTCATATGCTCTAATATTATACAGATTCAAGAAGTGGGCGCACCAATTATGCAATAGTTCATATTTGTAATTAAATAATTAATTAAGAGACCACTATAAGATAAGTTATCAATCATACAATGTTTTTTGGCAAGCAAATAATTGTACACCGTTCCTAAACTATACTATAATCATCACAATTAACAATAAGATTACAAATAAGAGAGAATCTTGATCATCAGTCATCTTTACAAAACCGTGGGTACCTTTAATTTTGTGAGGCAGAAAGTGAGATATTGGGTATACCTCCAATTTTATGGTATCTACTTTTATATTTATATATAAAAGCCTGATTTCCAATTATATCTTAAGTAAGGGATTATTATAATTAATTATAGATACATACCATGGGAGCCCTACCATCATATAATTGCTATACGTACATTAGTTAGGGCTAGCTGATTCGGTAGGTATGAGTGGATACTGGATTGTGAGTATTTCAAAATAAATACTATATATAACTAGATTTTTGTAGTAGATGCTCTAGTTGCGTATTTATGATTTATTATACATCAGTCAAGATAAATATATATTATAGGTCGTATATGGTTCATATTTGATTTGTTTAGACAATTAATTAGTTACACACTGAGTATGAAAGAGTTTGATAGAGGTTTCTTATTCAAGTCTTTGTGAATTACAAATGATAAGGTTATCATTTTCATACTCTACTAAACATTGTCAAGAATTAATTAGTTCCGGACTTAAATCAACTGTAAATATTGATTATCGTGAAAATTCAAAACGAGACATCGAAATCAAGAATTAGCTGATCTCATTGGTTAAATATTTTTTTAGAAAATTGATCTTATATCATTCCTTTACAAATATAATGTATTTTGATGTTTTTCTCACTTAATTCAACTCCTACTTTGCTTGCTTCTTACTTTCCTCTACCATCATTTCCAAGTTTTATATACCTAAGCCAAAAATATTGACAGACTAATAGTAGTGACAGAATGCCAACAATATAGTGCCCATATGAATCCAAATGATAGCTAGCCTCCAAAGAGAGGCATGGTGTATATTTGTCAAAAATGCCAAAACAAGTGCCAACAAAAATTAAAAGTAGCCAAAAAGGGAAGAGAGCAAGTGTACATGCAAGAAGCCGCATCCTTTTATCTATATTTCAATTCAAAACTGAAGACCACTTCAATATATTGCTCTCTCCAATACACAAAATCCAAACTCCCATTCCCATTCCCATACACCACCACTAGGGGGAAAGCATAAATAAAATAAAATAAAACAAGAGCAAAAAATGAAAGAAGAAAAAAAACAATATGTCTCACCTTATAAGTATTCTCCATAAGCCCTTTATAGAGAAGAAAAAACACCCACAATCACATCTATATGAGTCTAAAAACATTTGGTACACACATAACACAAACCCAAAACCCTAATTAGACTTAACTTATGTCAAACAGGATTCCTCTACCTCTTCCACATACAACATACCGTAAGTACTGATTACGATACGACACGTCGTTATAGTGTATAGCCACCAATATAGTCAAACCCTAATTAGACTTAACTTATGTCAAACAGGATTCCTCTACCTCTTCCACATACAACATACCGTAAGTACTGATTACGACACGACACGTCGTTATAGTGTATAGCCACCAATATAGTCCCACCATAAGAAGGTATAAACTGCTTGAATAATTATCTTTTGATCAATTGACCATACAATTGACCCCATATACCAAAATGCAAAAAATATTATGACCAAATCTCAGGCAACAATCCAATAGCTAGAGAAGCTCCCAATAATTTCCACCTCCTCCCCTTCCATTTAAAGCCTCATTAATTAATTCATGCCACCACTCCACGAACTGTAATTACCACCACCATTGTAATTACCATAATAAGCCCCACCCGAAGAATAACCCTGAGGAGGAGGATGATGATGAGAACCATAACCACCGCCATTATTCATCATCGAATCATCAGTACTACTAGTAGTAGTGGTGTTATTAGTGTAAGCGAAGCGGATGAGGTGGGCGTTGGTGGCGTCGAGCTCCTTCTGGAGGCGGATGACCTGGCGCTGCAGCACGGAGATGGCGCCCACGCAGCCGTAGACGGGGTCCTTGAGCCGGGCTTCGGCCTCGTACGCCAGCGAGTTCACGGCGTCCTCCCGCTGGTGCGGGAGCACCTCGTTCAGCAGCTTGCTCACGTTGCTGGCCCCGAAGATCTTGTGCACGTTCGCGAACTTCTGCGGCTCTTCCGGCGGGAAGTAGGGCGCGAAGATGCAGTCCGGCAGGCACTTTCGGCGGAGGAACTTGCACGCCGCGCACGGGGAGTTTGAGTAGGCTGACGATGAGGAGGAGGATCCCGCCGCCGCTGATGCCATTTATATGTGTAAGCAGACTAAGAAACGACAAGGATTTGATTATTTGCAAAATGTATATGTGACATCTTCAAATTAAAAATTAGTATAGCTATGGAGAGAATTATTCGTCTTAAAACAATCAAATCTATTGTTATAGATATACAACCAACCAACAAACGTAACTCAGATCGTGGTTAGCGTTCAAACAAGAATAAGTTCGTTTAATTTATTTGGGTTGTTGGGCCTTGAAAGTGTTGCAGAAATAAATATTATGCGACTGAGTTAATTTTATAGATGGAATAACATTACAAGATGAAAAATCGTTCGAAACAAATTGTTGCTTTCTCTTCTTCTTGTTGAAAGATTGAACATCTACTAATTGTTATAATAATTTATTATTGGGATATCTATGCTAAGAATATTAGGTAGAGGTTAAGGGACCTATATTGTTAATTATGTGATTAAATCTAAGAATGCGAGGCTAACGAGTACTTCATTCAGCTATACCATCGTTGATTTTTGAACTGAACATTCCTAGATAAGTTAAGAGGATAACATCTTATCACCTATATGCTGCCGCAAGTTGTTTTTGTTCTAATGTGGAAGTTTTGTGAGGGTGGGAGAGAAATTGAAGCAGTCTTTGTTGAACTCTTGCCCCCTCCAACTCCAAGACTTTGCTGTTCTATGAGTATAGAGCACATATGTGTATCATCTAAGCTTTTGGCGAGTCAAGACAGACAAATTTGTACAAAGTCAGCGTCGAAGATACATATATCAGATCCTTAAAACTGTGATTTTATTGCTAGATTTCTGCAAGAAATCATTCAAACAGTTCAAAATTTTCTTATCAATACTGTCCTATATTTAATTCCCAACCCAACTAGCCAGCCACAGAGATGATACTGTAGAATGAAGTGATGTTTTTCTTCCTATATATGTTGGGGGCACATATAGTATCTTCTATTTTCACCATCTCCAATCAAGTGGGTAAAGTAGTAAAGAAAAATCTGAAGAACCCAGATAACAAGAATTATTGCAAGAAGGACATGCATAAATGTCAATGATCTGAAGCCACAATCTTTGACTGGCCGATCACCCACCATATATTTGTATCAACTGATTAAGGGAACAGACCCCAAAAGTTCAAACACAAGCACAGGTATGAAAAGGGAGTTGCTTGAGAACTTACCTTTGTCTGTTTATGCAAAGCTATGAAGCTATATATACGGCTATATATGCAGTCAGACTTGCTTGCTTGCTGCAAATAGAAGGGAGGGGGGGAATAATTGGTTTGCTTCTATGTGAAAAGGGTGTTTGACAAAGAAAGGAACCACAAACCCTAGCTATATATATATACTGCTGCTAGCTAGCTACTGTACAAGAGGAAGAAGATCAATCAAGAGAGAGTAGGAGGGGCTGCAAATTAGGCAGAAGATTGCCAAAAAGGCAAAGTTTTTGTGGGGAAGAAGAGAAGAGAAGGGAGGGAGAGGGGGAAAGGATAAAAGGGGATGATGGTGATGATGATGATGATGAATGATCAGTAGGAGTAGAGTAGAAAAGAAAAAGAGAGACAAAGGGCATTTTAGTGAAGAGGATGGAGGGGAAAAGGCATAAAGACAATTGCAATAAATGGAAGAGGAGGAGGCAAGGAGGGTACCAATACACACACCCCAACATCATTTTCACTCTAATTAAAAAAGCTAAGTGAAGCCCTTTCCCCTCATATCACCATCTCTCTCACTCTTCTACTCTCCTCTCCACAACCTTCTCCTCTTACTTGCTCTTACTTACTGTGTAGTTATGTACACTATATATCAATCTATATAATAATAACCTGAACGATCTGATTGAGCCATTCTAAACTGATAGAAAAGTTTCTAAGTTCGAATCTAATAGTCTTTCATCGAGAATACACATACCATAACCATAACTCTCGTTGTAGTTGTTGATTGTTGATTAATTGATTGGAACTGCAAACAGCTAGTAGCAGCAAAATTCTGGCACACATACTTTTGGCATCCCTGGTTGAGTGTGACACACAGTGATAATTCCATGCACTGAATAATGAGATGATAGCTTCACTTTGTCCACAAAATTTCAAAGAGAAAACAACAAAGAAATTTGCATTCAATGTCTTGCCCACAATAAACCAACAACACCTCTCTCTGTACTGCTACTGTTCACTTCACTGTTAGCAATTAAATTGGGTCGTTATATATAGACCCTTTAAAAATATGAAGAAGAAAAAAAAATTTACAAGAATTTTTAATTTCCCTTGAACATAGCATGTAGATGTATTTGTACTTTGTAGACATAACAATTTATTGACACAAGGATCTCCAACCCGCGTGACAGTTTGCACACATTAAACTCAATTTTTAGAGGTGATTGATACATCAGCATTCACATGCTTTACCGTATTTTTTAAGTCTCCTACAGTATAACTAGACATCTCTTATATTTATAGAGAAGTAATTGCTTGGTTGATGTTTGACGCATAAAGACTTGTACATATGTTCAAGTAGGTTTACATTTCGTTTCACATATTAAAATAATTTTTCATGCAATTGAGATTTTTACTCCCTGTGCTATCAATATTACGAGATTAAGGTGGCTTGGCGAATTTCAGATATAAAAAAAAGGCATAACTATTTATGAGTTTCAGAGACAATCTGGAGGGATGATGAAAACCAGAACAATTCTGACAACTGTCATGAAGAGCTAGATTGTCACTGTTAGCTTCCCCTCCATTATTGATTTATGTTGCCAGTTCTGGTCTCTACCAATAGTACAAACTAAAGTGCATAATCAAGTAGAATTAACAAACAAATAATCAGGCAGACTCCTTAATTGATCCCATTCTTTTTCCCTAATTTGATGAGTAAAGTAATTTCTATATGTTTGATCAGGTGGTTGGGGTGGGTCGCCCATCTCCTTCATTTCATTTTAGTCTAATCAATGTATGTGAATCACTTCATTAGTTTAGTTGGCTGCCTTTTTCAGTTTCTTTTAATTTGCCGTCAAAATAATGGAGAAAGTCTAGTGAGCGAGGTTAAAATAAATAAAAATAACAATTTCAATTTCAATTTCAATTTCAATTGAATTTAAACTTGTATACCTTGATGAGTTGGGGTTATAGTCCGATCATTCTTCCACTTTTCAATGCTTATCTATCGTATGATTCACATTTCATAATTTCAAATCAAATATATTGAGAGGGAGCTACAACTTATCTAGTATTATTAAACGCGCGCGGCTTCACCACTGGTTACGAATAAACAAATGAGAGCGAAAGTGTGATGAATGATGATACCTATATGTAGAGAGAGGCGATATAACAAATTTGGATACGTTCTATTTCGGTCTCTCCTGATAGGTGATTTTCTCGTTTGTGGATGGAACCCAATTCAAGGATAAAACTGTAATTGATTTGCACTTCAATTTCTCAAGTTCGTATCATGCATCTAAATAGTTTGCATAGGATTTGGAGAGACTTAACAAAGTGTGTTATGTGTGTGATCAAGAGGGATTATGTTGCTTGAACGGTTAGGAAATACTTACATTGGGTTTCGAATTGGGTCGACATGTCTTGATCCCTAGAAATTATGAGTAGTTCATCGTTATTTCTATTGAGTTTTTGAATGAATTACATGATTTAGCAAACAAACTAGACAGAATTGTAGACGAAGTTGCTACAAGTTCAAACTTACATGACCATTTTGTACACAACAAAATTTAGATACACCTTTATGGATAGTTAAAGGAATCCCACAAGTTGCACATATACCCTCTCAATAATTGCAAAGGTAGACAAGAGTCCCAAAGTCTACAATAGGATTTCAAGACAAGAGAAGGTGACAAGATGGATGAAATCTTTGTATCTCTCAACCTTGCACTTTTTTTATCAGAAATTTCCAATCCCATCATCACATTCAGAAATGTAACCATAAGATCATGTATCCACCACACCGGCCAACGGAATTTCTTTACCCTTCATCATCATAATTTGATTAATTGTGGTCTTCAAGACTTCAACCATATAAATCAAGTGTACTCTCATTTCCAAAAGAAGTAAAAGAAAGTAAAAAAAAGTTATTGCTTGACAACATGAGACTTATCAAGGTATTCGGATAAACGATATATGACTCGATATTTATTAATCATTCTTTGGTGATCTTCAGATTTTAGAATTTATCGTATATAATTCGACTGTTTTCAGAGGTTAGTTCAAGACACTTGACTGGATGCTCTTCATTGATAACTTTTGTTATCTCCTTCCCTTTACTGAATGGTTAATTTAAACCCTTCCAAATCAGAGTATTATCCTTACTCTCGGACTCCGAATTCCAATGAAAACTAACCTAAACAAATATATACTTTGGAAAGATTACTAAAAATTTGTTCAATTCTCAATTCCATGTACTTATCACTCATTTATAACTAGTTACCGATATATAGCAATAGCCAATAATAAGTGATAATTGAAGTTGAGATAGTTGCACAATTCAAATTTAAGTCTAGAAGTCATGTTTTTCTTTCTTTCTTTTCTTTTCTTTTTTTAAAAAAAATTCACGTCGTACTTGGCACCATCAATCACGTACATGTTGTTAGAGTGTGGTATAAGATCCAGCAGAACCTTCTCCCAACAACTCGAGTTATTGGGACTAACTGGTTCTTGACATAGTATCAGAGCTGGTTTGACCAAGTGGTCGATCGTGTGTTCGAATCTCCACGGCCCCCTATATTAACAGTTGATTAAAGCACAAGATATTGTGGGCCTGTGCAAACTTCAAGCCCGTGGGTTGGCTTTCGTTTGAGGGGGCGTGTTAGAGTGTGGTATAAGATCCAGCAGAACATTCTCCCAACAACTCGAGTTATTGGGACTAACTGGTTCTTGACACATGCGAGTTAAGCCAAGCCTTTGAGATGTTAAATGTATAGTCTAAATATTTCTACCAAGACTTCCAGTGTGAGGGCCGGGTGCGAAATGATGATACTCGATTTACAATAAGGACACATACAAAAAAATTAGTAACAGTACCATATGTCCTTCCATTAATTCATTCGTTCAAGATGAGTGAAGTATGAATTATATTAACAAGCATATTATAGTGTATGGGAGCGGTTACGGTGCTAATTGTACAATAGTTAGTACCGTGCTAACCAAGGGAAAAACTACTACTAGTTTGAATTAGTAGTGATTTAGCTTAGATGTTGTATTGATTTTATAATAATTCGTAGTGATTTCGTTATTTTTAGTAGCGTTTTTTGCTAGTTATCACGGTGCTAACCCCTATAAGGATTAGCACCTAATCCCATCCCTATAGTGTATATATAATGTTGCATTCATTGCATAAAGCAAACATAAGGTTTCATATATTGCAGTGCTGTTGGCATCCCTAACTAGAGCCAAGCGTGTCGGCTGCCTAACAACACATTGTAATAATATAGAGACTGGGATGGAAATAACTTATTATGATTGTTATGATAATAATCAATAATTGGAATAAATCAATTAATTAGTCTATGATTTATTAGGGGTTTCTGGTACATACATGAATCTCTACCTTTTCTTTATTGGTGATATGATATATGCATTATCATATTATTATGTACAAACGCGTGCATGCAAACAAATGTTTCAATCCTAATGGGCAAATAGATACACAAACTTTCTTTTCAATCTCTTTTAGGCCAAGGAGGTTAGGTTAGATCAATCAATGTATTATTCATATCAAACAAACACACGTACATATAATTTCAGTTCTTTCTTTAATGGCATTATACGTTACAGTCTATATCACATCATATACATATGATATCAACATATGATAAAACAAACAATTCTATCGAGATACGATAAACGTTGATTTAGCCTATTACATATACAATATTTTTCACAATTATAGAGATCTTACAGGAATTCATCATGAGAACCATTTTCATCACACTACAAAAACGAGATTTTTATTATGTCATCTAAACTGGCTTATTGAAAATTATGTGTAGGGCTGTCAATTTAGATAACCAAAACCAAAACCAAACCAAACCAAATCATTAGCATGAAATCAAAAACCAAATTAGGCATATTCACAAAAATCAAAACCAAAATCATTAAGAGGCTTATGGGTTTTTGGATAATCATAAACCGATAAGCTCCTTAATGGTTTCGATAAATCAAAAACAAAAAACATGGTTGACTTCAAAGAAATCAGGGGTCCTTATTGGTTTATTGATTATTTTTTTGGTTTTTTTATTTTAACCAAAGCCAAAACTATTAAAATGCTAAATGGTTTAAACCGAAAAATCAAAATCGTTACCTTTGAATGGTTTGGTTTCGGTTAAAACCGAAAAACCAAAACCAAATTAACAGCCTGTGTGAGTTTCAAATACCTCAAACAATGTCACTGGGAATTTATGTTTTATTTGTTTATAAGTCCATATATTGCCCTCTCAAAGATACAAGTGGAAATTCAATATAGGCTCAAAGCTTACATGACCCATCATAAAATAATAATAATAATAATAATCTAAGTACAGGCACTCCTTCTAATTTCAAATGATTTGTTCTGCTCTTTATGGTCCATTTTGATGCATGCTTTTTGAGCGGTGGCCTTTTAAGTGCACTCACTTTTTTTGGTGCATTCAATGCACTCGCCTCATAATCGTCATTCCAAGCATGCGATTCATGTCAAAAAGGTATCGATCATAACTTTTGATATTAAGAACAAGAAACACATGAATTTGTACAAAAATCATTTAAGATTTTCTTTAATTTGAAGAGTTTAGAGATTTAGGGTTAGGGTTTAGGTTTACAATTTGGGGTTTTGTTTGAGATTCAAAATTGAAAGTTAATGGGTTTGGGTAATGGATCGATTAGATGTGATTCCATGTTATATCATCATATTATACTAATGCTGCTAATTAAAGTTCAAAATTCGATATATTATAGTCACTTAGAGTTAAATGCATTCAATGCACCCAAAAAAATAAGTGCACTTAAGTAACTACCTAGGCTTCTTCTATTACTGATTTATATCTCTATCTCTCCCTCAATTCACAAGGGAAAAGAAATGTGGTGTGCAAGAGAAATGGATCCCTCTACCTACTGTATCTTACATTTCCCATATGGAAAATCTAAAGAAAGAATGAAAGTGATTATATATATCACTAATAGACAATTCCTTAGATTATGTAGTGATCATCCCCAAATTGATAATCCTTATCCCGACACTTTTTAATTATCTTTTCAACATATATATGAAATTTGTATAATCACAGACCAAATATTGAGGGCAGTTATATATAGTTTCTCCAAGACTAAATGTAATTCCATCGCTATGCCTATGAATAGGCATCTACATGAATTGACGTCGTTGAATTTTGTGTTCCACAATTAGATCAATACAAAACAATTATTCATGAAAAAATAAATAATGTCACAATTCGACAATTAACATTACAAATTTACACGATGCACTCACGCATAAACCATCAGTACCATAGCCAAATTCTTAATTGATGAGCTGAGTAGTGTCTTCTTTTCTTATAATTGTTTTTCATTTTTTAAAATATGGAAGATATAGGTACCTATTGAGTGACTTGTGATTGGGATTGGTGAGAAAGTATGGGGGGATAATGTTCTAGGGTTGGAATAAATTAAAGCATGACCCTAATGATTAGAAAGTCAATTATTGGATGATGAGGTTTTAAAAACTAATTCTTCCTCCAATTCCCCATCCATGATCACATTTCAATCCCAATAACATTTGCATTGAGATATAAAAATATATTATAAATCTTGCTAATAATGTCAAATTCCTTTTGCAATATTACCCAAATCAAAGAATGTTGGAAATGATTTCCATATATAAGGCTTCCTTCTATGACTTTGCAACAGCCCTCCCCTTTTCATGGCATGCTAATGACCATTATTGACATTATCTCCTTCAACCAGTCAAATTTAACCTAGTTTGGTCACTGACCTGTGATCATAAGTGTTCTAAAAGGGTTCCTACAAAAAGATTTATGGATGTGATAATTCATTCTTTTTTCCCTTTGATAAGGTAAATGCAATAAGTGGTAAGAAGTCTTATGAGGAATGGGGATGGAATTCATAATCTGTTAGGGCAAAAGTTTTAAAATTCAAAATCCCCTACTTTATCATCAAATTCAATGAAAAAGAACTAATTTATGATCATCATCAGACATCAATCTTAGGTCTATAGTGATAGGTGTGAGATAATCCATGTTAAAGACATAAGTTTATACTGTGAGATAGTTAAGTTTAAATCTCAATGTTGTTATTGTAGAGACTATTATCTATAAACGATATATCACAGGTTCAGTAATTTTGAAGCACTTTAACTAAGATTGAATCAATAATTATAATGATCAAAGTTTACTTTATCTTTACCTTTACGTAACAAATTATCAACATAGTATTTCTCATTCAGTTCAAGGCTAAAAATGTTCATGATTATGACGACATTAAGTCCTTGAAAAGGAGGCTGGATGGAAGGAAAGGAGTTACTTAATCAAGGCATGAAGTCTCACTAATTAAACATAATAATTCAAAGCCAAAAGCCAAAGCAATTGAACATGGTTGTAATACTTGTTTTCTCCACATTCAAGTCAAAAAAGTATTGACATTGTCATTATTCAAACTAACGGCCCAAAAATTTGCTAGAGATTGATGGTGATCAAGGTTTGGTCAAAGTCAAGACCCATCATCTAGGAATTCTCATCATGAAGTTGTGGACTTCTGTGAAATCTGTCTCCTGTGGGCTGTGGCGGCCTGTTTCGTTCAAACCGGTAGTCTTGTAGTTTGGGCCAAAAGTTGGGTAGGCCCATCAGGAAGGAAGTATGCTAAGACTTGTTGACCGATGACCATGGGTGGCTATTGGTGTGGGTTGGGGGAAAGATGGCATGGCCCATATCTATGATTGCCCATTTTGAACCTCACAGTCACATCCAACAATCTTCTTCAACTTCTATCCTATGCATAGTTACTAAATACTCCGTTTAATATATGTATATGTACTCGTATGTACTTTATTCGTTTAAAACTTTCGTATCCGTATTATTGTCTAATCATTTCATTTTCCCCCGTTCATTTGATGGATCCCGTACTAAACATGTATAAAACCCGTATAATAATATCCGTATTTAATGAATTAAATTGTTAAATTTAGCATTATTTATATATTTAGAAAATAATTTATCTTATATATTTATTACTATTAACGTACTATTAAACACAACATTAGCTTAAAGACGAAGTAATATACCCATACGTATTTTATACGTACCTTTCCCATACTGTATTTTACTAACTATAATCTATGCGTCGAAAGCCATAATAATAAGCAAACTTAAAATGGCCATTTGGAGCTATTTACTATGGGCCATTGGAAACATGAGAGAGTATAATTGGGTTAATTTTTGGGTTAATGTAGATTATTATTGGGCTTAAAAGTTTGGGGACATAATTTTGTTTATTTTTTGGAAGTGATAAATAGGAGTAAAAAATTTGAATTGGACTAAAATAAGTTAAAGAGATATGAAATATAGTAAGTGGGAGGACTGAAGAGGGCTAAGGACATTAGTAATTGTTCTAACATTTAAATTTGTTAGAAAATTTTATCTTCTACATGCATTCAAAAGTTGAGTTGGGGAGGGGATTCCACATGGCTTCATCGATATTTTTGTACGAGAGCTAACCAACTGATAAAAGCGTGAGTAATTTGTGTAAGCCAGATCTGCTTGTTGCCTGCAACCCTCCACGGTTCAATCCTGATCACCTTCGCGGGTGAAAATCTACCATCATCTTCTCCTAGGCAGCAACAACCATATTTCAAAATGATAAACAAGGTTAGTTTGGCCGGTCCATAAGGTCCCTCATCCGGTTCATAGCTAAAGATTTCGTCTGCCTAGATAATCCATACATCAACATCGCGTTGTCGATATATTGGGGGTCAAATCCGAAAAATCGCTCTTTTCTTTAACATGATCCGGGGGCATTCTCCCATAAACGTCTTTATGATTATAAACCCACATGATTCCAACCAGGTCTACCTTGCTTACCACTCCCGTTCCTCGTTGTTTTTCACATAGCTCAACAAACCCTCCACTTCTTGGAGGCTATGGGATGACTCGTCCTGGCCAGGGTAGTACTGACAAAATATCCACGAATATGTTGAACCACCCGAATCAAATCCGATTAAATAGGGTTAAACCAACAAACTCAAATACCCGATGGAAACGAGTACGTTTCGCCGGCGTGGTGACCAGAAAAGCAAAAACCGGAACGTTTGGAAACCGTAAGGCCCCGTTTAGTATTGTTGCCTGTTTTTGTTTCCTGTTGTGTTTTTAAAGATTGGAGAAACCAAGAAAAAAAAACATGTTTAGTTGGGTTTCTATTTACTGTTGCGAATCAGAGTTGCACAACAAGGCCCAAATATGAGAAACAACAATTTATTGCTTTGGATCTGATTTTAAAACATGTTGCACACGGGATTCCTACTGGTTGGGCACTTGATTTCATTAAACCAGACCAGTTTTCGAATCCCCACAGAAGCAAAAAATTTTCTTTTTTTTTAACACAGCCGCCACCCCCCAAACCCTACTTCTAACATATCAGCCGCCGCCCCCCAAACTATTCTCCCCCTTAACCCTTCTCAACAGAGGCGTCACCGGCCACCCTTCTCAACAAGGCGCCACCTCCGTCTCACCTCCGTCGCGCCGCCCGCCACCTCCTCAGTCGCCGACCCCTCTGCCTCCGCGCCCGACCCCTCTACCTCCGTGCCGATCCAGCCTGCCGCGCAGCCCGAACCCTCCGCCGCGCAGCCAGCCCAGCCCGCCGACCCGCCGCCGATGTCCGCTTGCCGACCCCTCCGCCTCCGCGCTGACCCAGCCCGCCGCGCAGCCCGACCCCTCCGCCGCGCAGCCAGCCCAGCCCGCCGACCCGCGTTTTTGTAGTAACTAAACGCGTTTTTGTTTCTTGTTTTCAGCTTTAATGATTTTTCAGATTTATCAACTAAACAGATTTGTGTTTTCTGTTTTTTTCCTGTTGTGGTTGTACATCTGTTTACACAACACCACTGTAACCACAACAACAACAAAATGATACTAAACGGGCCCTAAGGAAGTCGTAACTTGCCAACTTCCAAAGGGGGGATGCTGGTCGCACAAGCAACGAACGAACTGCCAAAAAGCTACAGACAACTACTCATGCTGTTGATTCTTCCTATGAAAGGGCAAGCCCAGAAACTGGTTCGCCCCAACTGTACAAGATTCCTACTGTAAGTCTACGCTCTAAAGGTTCCATCTTTACGGCCTCCTGAATCTGTTCTCAGCTTCCTCGCCTCATCGAGTTCCCGCATTTCTGCTTCTGAATTCTGATTGATCCCTTTCCGTCCCGTCACTTATCTCCTTCGATTCATATATGAATTCCGATTGCTGTTTGTGATCAGTCTTCCATCTGGGTCTTTGATGTTTGAGCTTGAATTTTACTTGAAACGTTTGGATTTCTGTTCTTGATTGAGGTTGCTTGCTGTAGTTTCTTATCTGTATAATGTTAGTTGGACCTTTGGTCAATGCTTAATTGGTGGGGTTGAGAATTGAACCAGTGGTTGTGGTCAGTTGACTTTTTATGGGGTTTAACCCAGCTTTGATGGGCAATTTTCGGCTTGGGCATTCTTGTTTATGCTTGTTCTGACAAAAAATGATGAACAATGTCTTGCTCTACAGCTCAAATTTTCACTTCATACTGAGTTTAGTTAGGTGGATGAACTCATATTCTGGATGTTTGCAGTATAACCAATCATTTATGTTTATCGTGCAGAGATATGGAGTGAATGTGGACGATAGCCCGGAGACCGATTTGGTAACTTATCATGGCTGGCTTGGAGGAGTTGAGAAAGAAGCTGACGCCTTTATTTGATGCCGAGAAGGGTTTCTCAGCTGGGCCATCTTTGGACCTCAACAATTCTTACATGGTGAGTTAGTTCTCTCTTATAGTTATGAACAAAGATAGGTAGTTGATCTCAAATCATTTCTTGTTTGTAAATTGATATGGTAATTTGGTATGTGAAGCTTTCGGATGGAGGAACCGTTAACTTATTGAGCAGATCATATGGGGTGTACAACATAAACGAGCTTGGGTTGCACAAAAGCACTTCCTCCCCTATTGGCATGACCGAGCATAGCGAAAAGACATATCGATGTGCCTCCCACGAGATGATGATTTTTGGTGCTATTGGCAGTGGTGCGAGCAGTGTCGTTCAGAGAGCTATCCACATCCCAACTCATAGGATCCTCGCCTTGAAGAAGATCAATATTTTTGAGAAGGTAAAGGTTTGTCATTCTGTCTGATGTCCGCCATTTCTTATATGTACTTAGTTACATGGATTATTTTCTTTCAAATTTTTAGGAGAAGAGACAGCAGCTGCTTACCGAGATACGGACTTTATGTGAGGCACCTTGCTATGAGGGTCTAGTGGAGTTTCATGGGGCATTCTACACTCCTGATTCTGGCCAAATAAGTATAGCTTTAGAGTATATGGATGGTGGCTCACTGGCTGATATCTTGAGATTGAGGAAAAGCATACCGGAACCAGTGCTTTCATTCATGTTTCAAAAGCTTCTCCGTGTAAGGAAATGAACAGTCATAATCTTTGTGCTTACTTCATCCACTTTCACCTAAATAACTCTTATTCCTTGATTTTGTTGTTCCTTAAGGGACTAAGTTACTTGCATGGAGAGAGACATTTAGTCCACAGAGACATCAAACCAGCAAATATGCTGGTAAATCTCAAAGGAGAGTCCAAAATAACAGATTTTGGGATAAGTGCTGGCCTGGAGAATTCGGTCGCAATGGTTCGTGGTCGAATGACTCGTTCCTTGATCTTTTTTTGCATTTTTTACATTTATGAATGTAAAAGATTAGCCAGCTAATTAGAGTTTCGTTGTCCAAATCCTAAACATGTTTACTCTTGTCAGTGTGCAACTTTTGTCGGAACGGTAACATATATGTCACCCGAGAGAATTCGAAATGAGAACTACTCGTATCCAGCTGATATCTGGAGTCTTGGCCTTGCTCTTTTCGAGTGTGGAACTGGGGAGTTTCCTTACACGGCTAATGATGGACCAGTAAATCTTATGTTGCAGGTGAGAGTTATAATAATGTTGAACAAGATTCTAAGTACTTGCAGTTTTCATTGCTATGGTCCTCTCTCTCCGTGTCTCGCCAACTGAAGTTAAGTTATGTTTGCATGGGAAAGATTTTAGATGATCCATCACCTTCACCTCCCAGGGACAAATTTTCACCAGAGTTCTGCTCATTTATCGATGTGTGCCTACTTAAGGATCCAGATGCAAGGCCAACTGCGGACCAGGTAAATTATATGTTCAAATATGATAACTTTATGCAAGAGCAAAATGTCTTCGACTATCGAAAAAGGTTAAGAGGCCACCTATGGTACTTGATTTGGTGTTCTCTTGCTGCAGCTTCTTATACACCCATTTATTACGAAGCACGCTCATGACACTAGTGTAGACTTGGCTGCATTTGTTCGGAGTGTATTTGATCCAACGAGAAAGATGAAGGATTTAGCAGATGTAAGTGTATTCATGTAGCAACAAGAATATGTCTCTTTTGCTTTTGTTCTATCCGAATGCTCTTGCTAGATTCTCCATGTTAGAGTTGTTTCATGTTGCTTACTGGGGATTGATGTTAAATCTTTCGTGGCAGATGCTGACAATGCACTACTACTTACTTTTCGATGGACCTGATGAACATTGGCTGCACACAAAGACGTTGTACAACAACGAGTCAACATTTAGGTATCTTCACATTATTAAGGAATGGAATAAGAGTTATGTTTTCCAATTCATATGTAAAATTTCTTTTTATCTATTTTAATTTTTGGCTCCTATGGTGTTTCTTTTTCATTACAGTTCTTTTAGTGAGCTTTTGTTTTTTCGCATTTCTTTCAGTTTCTCTGGCAAACAGTCAGTCGGTTCAAGAGAAATCTTCTCGACCTTGTCAAGCATCCGAACAACATTGGCAGGTGACTGGCCACCCCAGAAGCTCGTTCACGTTGTTGAAAAGCTACAATGTCGTGCTCATGGCCAGGATGGGGTTGCAATCCGAGTTTCAGGTTCCTTCATCATTGGAAATCAGTTCCTGATTTGTGGGGACGGTATACAAGTCGAAGGCCTTCCAAATTTCAAAGATCTTTCGATCGATATAGCCTCCAAGCGGATGGGTACTTTTCACGAGCAATTCGTCATGCAACCAGGAAATGCCATTGGGTGCTACTTCATAGCCAAACAAGAGCTTTTCATCGTTCAATAATATGACCACTCAATATTTGTGTTAGTGTACCATCTTCTCTAAAGTGAGTGAGCTCACTCGAAGCTTGCCATTAGCCCTTTCTGCTGCTGCTGCTGTTGTACATGTAATCTAGCTTTAAGCAAGAGATCAATCTTTTTTTCTGATATTAACCTGTCACATTCTAGAAACATGTGGTGATCAATCAGGTTCTTCATGTACCCGCTGGATTCTTGCTGAGGACCCAAGGAAAATTCTTTAAATGTTTTACTAATGACAAACCCTAGAAACTAGAAAGACTTTATTGGTAAATCTTCGTTTGCTTAGCTAATTTGGTTCGACTGACGTGTTTCCTTAATATTTACGCATATAATTATTACTGATATGAGTGTTTAATATTATTAATCCTTATTAGTCTCAGAATAGGAATAGGTTAGTTCATTATCCCTAACGGTAGCGGAGTATTGCCTTATTGAGTCAAATTAGGTTTGGCTATATATTCTGTGTTGGGAGTTCAATTTAGCGATCGAAGATGAAGAACTCCTTTGAGCTTACTGTTCTAACCAGCCCAAAGATGCAGAAGAGAGGATCATCGTCATCAGCCGGAGGTGCCTACCATGGAGGAGATCCTCCGCTGCAAGGTCGTATCCAAGCAGTGGCTGTCTCTAATTCAAAGCCCTTGTTTCTCAGCGGCTTATACTTGTCACAAGATGAAGGAGATGGCGGTCGCAGCTGACAACAGCAGCCTGGTCCTGAATACCAACGGTCGCGAAACAGCCTCAATCTTGACCAGCCCCAACATCCACAGCGGCAATCATAGCAGCCGGCTGAGCAACTTCTCCATTGATTTCCTTCCCTACCAATCCTACGAAGACAGCTTGCAATACTTTGAGCTGAAGGTTACCGATATATACACCGCCGACCAAAACCTCTTTCAACTAAGCCGTGTTGACCGGTGCCGTTTCAGCTGCCGGAGCCCCACTCGGACCCAAGTCTCAACTACGAGGACCGCACTGGCCGACGGAGATTCAGGCACCACTACAACCACGTCGTCGGCTCCTCCAACGGCTTGCTTCTCTGCTCGCCTTTCCCCGGCTACCCAAACATGTACGCCATCTGCAACCCTCACACCAAGCAGTGGTACCCGATTCCGATTCCGCCCCCCCGATTTCTCCATCCTCGCCCACATCGGCTTCATCGTCCTCGACGACGACGATCGCTCCTTCATCATCGCCCGGATTCCCCTCAGCATGGCCCCGCGCCGAACCCAGCTCGACCTGGAAGTCCTGTCGTCCCAATCCGCCGAGTGGACCGCCAAATCGGCTCCCCTGCCACGCCCGCTGCTCTGCCCCGACCCTGACTACTCATTTTTCGACGACGGCAGCGTCAATCTCGCCGTCAATCTACACAACCGATGGCTCTGCTGGATGCTCGGGGGAAAGCAGCAGGTGGTGCTCTACGACGCCGTCAACGGTGTGGTGGATTGGGTGATTGAGCCTCCACGGCGCACACTAGACGGGATTTGCGTCAGCCAGGGCCGCTTGTGGGCTGCCAGCCTCTACGGTTCAACACTCACCGTCTTCGTGGCTGAAAATCTACCACCACCATCTCCAGATCTGAATCAGCAGCAACGGAAACCATATTTCAAGCTGATAAACAGGGTTAGTTTGACTGGTCCATGGGACTCGCTGAACCCGTTCATAGCTCAACATTTCGGCAGGCCAGATAATCCATACATGAACAAGAAAATCCGCAACATGATCCAGGGGCCTGCGCTCGGGGATGTCTTCCTAACTATGAACCCACATGATTCCAATCAGGTCTACCTTACTTTCCACGCCAGTTTCCTCGCCCTCTTCCACATAACTCAACGAACCCTCAAGTTGCTTGGAGGACAAGGAAGCTTAGGCACCAGATACCACCTCTTCATATGTGACAACCCCTCCTGGCCAACTCCACTCCCCACCCTTCACTTTCCTCCTGCTTCATCTAGATAGAGAGGCCAGCTACGCAGTTGGCTTCACGATGACTAGTTTATACATTCAAATCAACAACGTTTCATAACATTGTTTGGTTATTGATGAACCGTTGGTTATTGATGAACGATCGGTTCGTCCATCACGTAATCGTACGAACTAAAACTAAAATAAACTGAAATACTGATTTATTCTTCTTTGATTGATTAAATTCGTAGAGACAAAGTACATATTTATAGTTAAACCGGAAAACCTAATCACTTACCAATCCTACAAGGATACGGTAACTTAATCCTAAAGAAACTACCTTAAATATTTTAATAATTAATACCATTCCTAAACAATAACCAAAACCGACTAACAAACTCATAATAATGATAATGATAATGGGTGGCCGAAATTGATAATGCATCAATCCTCTCCCCTTCGAAGAACTTCGTCCCCGAAGTTCGAGCGATGTCTCCACCCGGTTCAATGAGGAAGAAGTTTCCACGCATCTTGTGATGAACGACAGTGAGAGTTAGACACCAGAGCCTACGCTTTCGATATTTCCATTTCAGCTTCAACACCCAATCCAATCTGTCAATGTTAACAGCTTCAATCCGACCCAAATCATTCCCACCCGCATCGAAACACATGATGCTTCCTGACCAAGCAATATACCCATCCTCCAAAAGCCACTCCTCATGTATTCATTCATCCTCACGTACCACCAGCTCAATCAAAATATATGGATGCAAAGATATATCTATAGCGAAAGGAAAGTTAGAAGGAGCTGAATCTTTATTACGTGCCGCAGGGGTATTGATAGCTTCTTCTTTGAATTCCCCAAGCCCATGCGGTGCCGCAGCAGCATCAACGACATCGGCAGGCGAGGCGTCTAGCGACTTCAACAACGGCGGTGATGGCTTGGAGTCTTGAAGCTTCTCGATAGCGGCGTGGCTACACGCTGGCTTAAGAAATACGGGTACAGCAACGGTAACCGCAGCGGCCTCTCGTCCTTCAGGCGTGACCGCGGTCGATCGCGGTAGTACGGAGCTTCCAGTCACAGCACCGCTCGACGATGCTTGAGTCGTTGGACCTGCTTCACGACGTCGTCGATCACGCTCTTGTTGAAGCTTCTTGAACTCCGCAATCCTCTTGGTGGCCTCGCAAAAACCTCGCACGGTGACCCTTACGTCATTACAACAGAAACTCATAGCTGAATTTTCCCAATCCGTGGTTACCGTTGCCACTTTTTTGAGCCACTCATGGCCGAGGACGAGATCAACCCCATGAATCGGAAGTTCGTAGGAGTTTACTTCAAGCCATACACCTTGTACGTAAATCGGAACGACCTTGTAATAGCGCTCACAAACCAAGAATTCTCCGTCTGCTGTCTTGACCTTGAACGGAGGAATCGGTGTAGCCTTCAAGGCTAAACCCTTGGCGACGTCGGGGTTTATGAAGTTGTGCGTCGAAAAACCATCGACTAGGGCAACCACGGGTTCTCGATGGACTGTTGTGTCGAGTCGAAGGGTTGCTGACTTCCACTCTCCGGTAACAGTAGAAAAAGAGACCTTGGCATTGATCGGCCTAGGAGATTTATCCGGCGGTTCGTGGATCTCAAATGGCGAAGCTACAGTTAGCTTCTTCGTTGGTGGCGCCTCGGTAGGCGATCTGTCCACCTTGTCGCTTCAGATCGTGGTTGCGCGCAGGACCTCTTCCCGACGTTGGTGGTTGAACGTCGACGATGTCTGCCCTGGGAGCCGGTAAGAGTTCGATTCCGTCGAACCAGACTCTGATACCAATTGATGGACGATCGGTTCGTCCATCACGTAATCGTACGGACTAAAACTAAAATAAACTGAAATACTAATTTATTCTCTTTGATTGATTAAATTCGTAGAGACAAAGTACATATTTATAGTTGAACTGGGAAACCTAATCACTTACCAATCCTACAAGGATACGGTAACTTAATCCTAAAGAAACTACCTTAAATACTTTAATAATTAATACCATTCCTAAACAATAACCAAAACCACTAACAAACTCATAATAATGATAATGATAATGGGCGGCCGAAATTGATAATGCATCAGTTATTCATTTATTTTGTTTGCAACCAGCCTGCCTAGTAGTAAATCCTCCAACATGTAATAGCAGAGTTTTTTTTAGGGTTCTCAGCATTTCAAATTCCTGGTGCTGAGAGCCATAAAATTGGCTACCTACATTTTATAAATAAACAAAGTTATGGTTGCTATATGCTTGACACATTCTGGTTTCTGCAAAAGTGGTGAGGCTGCAGCTGCAGAATTGAAGGACCAATGAATCTAGTTACTTTTCTTTTACAAAGTGCTAAGCAGTTAGGAAGTAATCTCGAATGGTTTTTCTTTTCAAGGAAGAGGGAGGGTTTAAAACAGAAGAAGGGCTTTTCATTGCTGATTCAGGGGTTGTTGTCTCAACGCTCTCAATTGGATCATGGTGGAGCCTCTTCTTTTGAGCTTCAGGAGTCCCCATGGGAGGCATTATTGATTCGGAAGTTGGTAAGGTAATGTGGTGGTTCATGGCTTCTTCAGGATCTGAAGAATCTTTTTCTTCACTACCAAGATTCAACTGCCTTTGTTCCCGACTTGGGAGGTTCATTATTCTCCTCCTGATCGAAGTTGGTGATCTAGAGCTTGAACTATAGTTGGTTTCAGCATTCCAAACACGAACCTGTATGTTATACATTTGCAGAAATTTGAATTTGATAAGTTACACAGAACTAATGCCATCTTCTTAGGGAACTTCATTAACAAGAGACTGCAAAGACTAATAATCCACTTACCGTGAAATCATCTGCACAAGTTGCTATCTTGCCTTCTTCAGATTGGCACCTGCATATGTTGATTTTGCGGTTAGTGAAAAGCAAATGTGTGAATTGAAACCATTAAGAAAAGAGCAAAAAAGGATTAATATGAGATTACCAATCTACTGCTGTCACTTCTCCGTCATGACCTTTTAATACTGTAGGATCCATTTGGGGCCTTTCCACCTGTTGTAAAATGCTATACCAGTTACAGAAGAAGAGACAAGAGTAGAGGATATGTTAAGAAGGCTGCTGTGAGTTAGAGCATCGAACCTGCCACACGTAAGCATTTCCATCACTAGACCCACTGAGTATGGAAGAAGCATCAGGACTAATCACTGACTGCAAGAGCATAGAGACCGAACATTTAGAATTTGCAGAGTACTTCAGGCGTAAAGTAATAAGAGATGGAGTGATTTCTGAAATGTGAAGAAGTACCTTTACAAAGAACGATTCTATTTGGCATCCAGTGAATGATTGTACAGGACCCTTTTGAAGCTGCAGCACATTGTACAAGTAAATTCTGGAAGGAACGAAAAATGGTTAGATGTACAGAGTCCTTGATATGAATGTGTAGTATTCCTCCATATGGGGGGATAAAAATGGAGTACCTATTATCCATGCATGATGCTGTAAGGAACATCCCATTAGAGTCCTGAGATAGACTGGATATACCATGCATTATATTCACCTGAGGCATGAGAAGCAGCAACTCTTAGCAATTTAGACTATGGAAAGCCGATTTCCTTCATATTGTCGGGAAACCATTGAGTATTTACCTTTTCGGTTGATGACTTAGGCTGTGGGGAGACTTGAGTAACTTGAGATTTCAGATTCCTAGTATCCCAGAACTTGACAATGCTAACATGTTACACATTAATTGCAAAGGCTTGGTAATTTTACATTTCATTGACATAACGATATAGAAAATATCTCTTGATGTTCTTTGGAACCAACCTGTCTACAGCACCAGCAGTGGCTATGGACACCTCATCTTTGAGATAAAGTACCGAGGTGATGCTCGTGGAAGCAGTCTGCAACAGAAAAGCAGAACACAATGTTAGCAATCAGCTAGAGCAACACTTCAGTACTTTGTCAAGGAACTTCTCATCAACAAACCTTGGTCCGCCTAACCCGTTTTGCTTGTGCTGAAAGATGAGCTCGTTTTACCATTGCAGTTGAACTGTGGATCACAAGAACAAGTTTAGTATGGATACCAACATGTCCAAAAGCGTGCACCCTTACTGGATTGAGCAAACACAGGTGAAGAATTACCTTATGCAAGTTTCTGTGGACCGTCTGGTGGAAGTATTCTGGCATCTCAAGTCCCACAGAGCAAATGAACCATCTCTTGAACCTGAGACAAGAAGGTCTGAGGGGTATAATCGAAATGAAACCATGTTAGCAACAAGACAATTAGCAGCTATCAACAATCGAAACAAGCTATATAAAGCAAATTACCAGAATTAGTTGGATGGGAACACAGAGATTTAACACTTCCAGTGTGCCCCAGTAACACGCCAATGCATTTCTTCCCTTGTACATCCCACAATTGAATCTGCAGAACAGAACTTAATCAAATGTTGAAAGTTGAAACTAGAATATCCTGCCACCAGCTCTGCTTCACTTCAAATCAAACTTGGATATCCCATTAGCTACATCAGGTATATGTTTCAAACACTCAAATGGGTACTCACGGTTTGATCTCCTGAAGCTGTGAGAATTCTGGCGTCATCCTGAAAACAAATTTCAGAAACAATGTCCATAACCATTGTCTATTTCTCTGAAGCCAGCTTAATAGATAAAGAAATTTTCCAAGCAAATGGTACCTTAATCCAGCGAATATCAAATATGGCGTTCTGATGAGCTACCCACTCTGTGATTCTTGCTTTCCCTGCAACAAACCAGCAACGTTCCTAAATTAGTACAAAAATAGAACAAAATAAACCTTGTGAGCGGCAAATTGAACCGAAAAAGAATCCACCCAAACAGACCTGTATTCTCTCGCCGAGTAGCCGCGGAGGAGAGCTTCCGCCGTGAATCAAACAAGCTTAGGTAGCCTTCCTCATCGGATACCGCGAGAATATGAGCATTTTTAGCCGTCTACACACAGAATCGAAGATTTCTCCAGTTCAAGCTTCCGATAACTAGATGGAATGGATAAAATATCTGTAATGTCGAAAGGTAAATTTCACCTTGCAGAACGAGATTGCCAGCGGGGGAGTTTCGTCGCCGCTGTGTTCAACTGCAACCTCTCCAATCTCGGCGAACTGAAGCTGCGAGTCTTCGTAGTATGGCCGCTTCCGAACTAAATTGCAGGAACGGAAGTTGTTAAAAGAGGACCATAGATTAACAAAGAGACACAGAGAAAGAGAGAGAGGGAGAGGGGGGAAGATTTGTACCTCGGAATCCATTGAGTTCTCTTGATCTGAGGTCCTGGAAAAAGGAACCGGATCTGCACCTGGAGCTGGAGCTTGGAGCCTCCATTAATGGCCGAGAGGAAGGAGGGCTTTGACGTTTGAGGGAAAGAAGCAGAAGCGGGCGAGAAAAAGGAGAATGAGGTTTTCTGGAGTTTTATTGAAGAGCCATTGGATTCGAAATGGCTTTTGTGGGAACTTACTGTTTCCATATATTTTTTTGGTGGGAAGCTGAATTTTTTCGATTTGGCGCTACCGCCATAGCTTTTTGAGCAGGGCGGGAATTTTTCGAATTTTCTCTTAATCTCGAAACATCTAAAATTAAAAGTATAGTGACCAAAATGTTAAAAACCATTCCTGGACTAGGAGGGAAATTAAAGCTTTCTATCTAGGGTTTAAGTATTTTCGTTTTCTCCGTTGAGCGTTCAAACATTCAAGCGCCATTCCAATCGGTTACCGCGTTCTGGGTGGACCAATGGCGGATTCAATTTGCAGAACAATACGAGATGGGGCTTTAGAAGGAGAGCATGCGCCATCTCTTACCATCAAAGACACAACAGCTTCGCCGTACGGATTCGACGTTTTCACTCATGTGCTCTCCCAAACCGCCTCCCTCATTTTAGCCGGAAAATCACAGTCACGGTAAGTACAACACAGTTCTGATGTTCAGTGCATTTGTTTCCCGGAAATAACTCTTCTTTTTTCCAATTTCACCTGCCGTTTACAGTTTACTTTAGTCCTCAGCTTCAGTGATTATTTATTCGTTTGACTGAAGTTTTGCTGCAGAGGATTGGTGGTGGTTGCATATTCACGGAGCCCCTCGTTCTACCTGGATTACTTGAAGAGAAGTGGAGTTGATGTTGCTTCTTCTCAGAAATGGTACTGGATGTTTCTGTTTGTTTGTAGTTTTGGAACTCTCTAAATGTCTGCATATTTGGGTGTGGACCTTCATATTGTTGAGTGGTTGCTACAGGATTCATATTTTGGACTGTTACATGGACCCTCTTGGCTGGAAGCATCAGTTAGCGGAAACGGGGATTTTGCCAAGCAATTCTTCAGCCGACTCTTGTTTGTTTCAGGATGTGAAGGATATCAACAAGTTGCACTCTTTGATTCTTGAATTGGGTTCAGGTAAGGTCTAGCTTTTGCTCACCTCTAATTTCTTGGCTCCAATTTTTGGGATGCTAGTTTGTTCTTCTGGGGACGTTAGGTGTGTCTAACATAAATGTTTATGATGGCATCTTTGCTCGTGTGTTCCCAGGATTGGTTGGTCAAGGCAAAGTTCGTTTTTCTGTTGCCATTGATTCGGTAATTTTTCAATTCTCTGTCTTTCAAGAAAGTCGATACTGGCTGAGTTTGCTTATGAGCATTCTTGGTACTGTTGTTTTTGTCCCCTTCTGTTTAGACTTCTTTATGGACTTTATGAGGGTTGAATACAGCAGTAAATGAACTATTGATGCATTTAGCTATTTGTTTTGAAGTTTGGATTTTTGCACTTGGTGTCGAAAATTCTGTGCCAATTGAATGACATTCCTATTTGTGAGGCAGCTAGGATGTATAAGGGTCCAAGCATTGAATCATTTGCATGGCATCTTCCTACCGTACTGAATAAGGTCAAAGAACATGAATCATCTCAAGTTGTAAACTACAACACTTTGTGTCAAAAAGAGAAGATAAGCATGTTGTAATTGACGGAACTTATGACGATTGCTTGATTAATCTCCCAGTAGTAATAGCTACTTGAGATGAAGCTAATCCTGATCCAAACGGTAAAAGGCCAAATTGATAAATTTATTTAGAAGTGGCAGCTTGCGCATGGATTCGTCTTTAGTTCGTACTAGTTGAATTATGTGTATGCAACTTTGCTGAAGAATGCCTGATTTTGTTCCTGATTTAGCTTTCCTCTTTTCATATACCTGCTTGTTTTGTAATGGTTTCTTTTTGGTATTTTTATCAGGTAACTGAAATGCTGAGGCATGTACCTCTTTCTAAAGTAGCAGTGTTGATCAGTGACCTACGTAGTCATGGTACAGATATATTACCTTCCTAGACCTTTTAATTATGAGTATTCTTTCATGCATCCCTTATTGTGCATGTTGGAATTCCATGTTAAATCTTGCTAAATGCAAAGTAGTTGTATCTTTCTGACATTTGTGCCATAACTTCCCAATTTCATTCTCTCTACTTACTTTCGGGATCAGGAGGCAAAAAGCCTGCTCTCCCCGACTATTGTACTCTTTGGACATGCATAAAGTTAAGTGAGTGTCAGCTGATGGTATAGTAGCTGTGATTGTAATATCACTGTTGTTCTATGCTCGCAGATCAAATCTCTAGCATATTTTGGTTGCTGCATTCAGATATTCATGATGTTAGGGTGACTACTTCCCTTGAATATCTGTCCTCTATGGTAGCCAGTGTAGAGTCACTTAACCAATCTTCTGATGGGCTTAGTGGAGACTTGGGGAATTTATCCCTGTTGGAACAAAATTTCAGGAGAGGAAAGTTTCATGTCCGGTTCAAACGTCGAAATGGTCGTGTTCGTGTGATGGTACCTGCCCTTTCCTCCATCTCTTTCGCTTTCTTCTTAATTCAAAATTCTTGATCTACTTGCCTTATAGCTATCAATCTCCTTCGGAACATTAATGACTTAGTTTGATACTTGTTTTAGAACGAACAATTTCATATGGGGGAGTCGGGGATCAAGTTTACTTCTGTTACTGTAGAGGATGGATTAGTCAGTCAAGGGCTTGTGCCAAAGGTCAGTAGTCTCTGTATCATGATTTCCCTCCAGTGATTATTTGGACAGCCTTGTGTGCTTTACTCTGTGGGTTTTGGAGAGCAGGTGCTATTCAATCTGGAGCTGTCGGAGAAGGAGAAGCTCGAGAGAGCCAGAGTTGTCCTTCCTTTTGAGCACCAAGGTATTTGGATTTTGGAGTGTTATTTGTGACCCATTCTCCGGCGAGGTATTCAAGTATCTGAACGTGTACGTTGTTCCAGGAAATGGTAAACCTATCCAAATTTATGATGGCCGGAGATCTCTTGCACCTGAGAGCATGGGTGAGGTGTCAGCTGACACATCACAAAGCAATACGGAAGAATGCAGTAATGGTGGTGGTGAGATAATATACTTTCGGGATTCAGATGATGAGAGGCCTGATTCTGACGAGGACCCTGATGACGATCTTGATATATAATATTGTTATGAAATGAACTGATTGCTTCCCCCCATGTTTTGTATGGACAACTCCATCTTGATATCTAATTACGGTGGCTAACAAAGAACTGCAGAAAGAAATCTGAGTTTGTATAGTGAAGGATAGGCAGTGAACTTATGGCTTTTGGTAGAAGAGAATGGAGAGGTTGTTGGTTCATGCTATCGAAATGGCTGGATGAGTTTTGATTGGAAAATGATGCGCGAGACCTCCGGGTGTAAATTCGAGATAATCTCCCTGTTTGAGGTGATAAAGATTGCAGTAATTCACTAATTTGAGACAACATGCAAGCTGACATTATATTAGGCACCAAAGTGCAGTGCAATTGAGCAGCCAAGTCAGTACCTTATCTACATCTTGATTGTATCTTATTCTTCATATGTTTTGCCAGCTCTTTCCGTCAAACAGGATTCCCGGCAAGCTTCAATCATCTATTATTATATATATTTAGGACATTTGGCTAATTAATGATCACTTTATTATTGTTTATTGTTTCTTGGGGAAGGGGAAACCTATACTGGTTAAGGGAGGATTTCTTCTTAAGCTTTCTCTAGGGCATATCAGCCCGTTAATCCTGGAAAAAAGTTAGTCTCTCAGAGAAAGGCCATGAACAGCGGGACCGGTTACTATTAACAACCCTAGTCCCCAACTAATAAGAAGTTAGGATTATGATAACTTTTTATTAGATGAGTTGACCTAGTGTAAAATCAAAGCAGGTGTATAATTGTCATTATGAAAAAAACTATTTAAATAAAAAAATATGTTTTTTATTTTCTGTCCAAAAATTTGGTCGTCGAAATTCCGACACCGGTCGCCGGAAAATGGTCGCCGTTCACCGGAATATGCTTTTTGTCGCCGGAATATGCTATTTTGTGGCCGGAATATGCTTAACGGCGTCGAAATCTAGTCATCGGGGCCGGAATATGCCTATCGGCGTCGGAATCTGCTCACTGACGGTCATCGATCACCGGATGTTATGGTTAGCATTGTGAGATTTATGGTTTGGTTGCTCATATTTTTTTATGCCTTTTATGGTTTGCTTTATTGTGTTTGTGGTTTGCATTGATAAGTTTCTGGTTTGTTTTCAAAAACTTTGTGGTTTGCATTGTGAGGTTTCTGGTTTGTTTTAATATATTTGTGGTTTGCATTAGGACGTTTATGGTTTGCTTTTTTGTGGTTTGATTTACTGTGTTTGTGGTTTGCATTAGGAGGTTTCTGGTGTGCTTCGCGAATATTGTGGTTTGCTTTGTGAGGTTTGTGGTTTGTTTTAGGAGATTTGTGGTATGCATTCGGAGGTTTCTTGTTTGCTTTATTGTGTTTCTAGTTTGCATTAAGAAGTTTATGTTGTGCTTTCGAAAATTTTATGGTTTGATTTGTGGGGTTTCTGGTTTGTTTTAATATATTTTTGGTCTGCATTAGGAGGTTTGTGGTTTGCTTTATCGTGTTTGTGGTTTGCATTATGAGGTTTCCGGTGTGCTTTCGGAATATTTGTGGTATGCTTTGTGGGGTTTTTGGTTTGTTTTAGCAATGTGTTGTACAAAATTCTGTGGTTTGGTTTGTGAGGTTTCTGGTTTGTTTTAATTTAATATATATGTGTTCCGCATTAGGAAGAATCTGGTTGTTTTATGTGGTTTGCTTTGTCGTGTTTGTGGTTTGCATTATGTAGTTTTTTGTGTGCTTTTGAAAATTTTATGGTTTGCTTTGTGGTGTTTCTGGTATGTATTAGGAGACTTGTGGTTTACAATAGGAGGCTTCTGGTATATGAGAAATATAAGAATGTATACCAAAAATACAATAATACATACCTATAATTTCTTAATAAATACTATAAAAGGTTGAATGAAAATGCATTCCATATTTGAAAAAGTCCATATAAAACAATACAATTGTATACTGAACCTCCTAAAATATTAAAAAAAGAAATATGAAAATGAATACTATTATTCACCAAAAAAAATATATAACCACACAAGTTACATGGCATATGTGTTTTAGTGAAATATTAAAAAAGCACAACCTACGAAGCCAAGACGACATGTCCATTCTTATCACAACCTACGAAGGAAACCACAACCATCCCCTCCCCCGCCGCCGCCGCCATGGCTTCCTCCACTCCCTCCGTCGCCGCCTCCTTCAGCTTATACAACCCCTCGAACGACACCGCCGGGACAGCTGGCAACTTCGTCCACGTCCCGTACCATCAACAGCAGGAACTACTATTCAGCCCTACTTCGCCGCCAAGTCAGCAGCTCCATCCTTATCGATACCAGCCCAACATGTTGAGTATCCCGGCGACGGCGGCGCGTGGGAAGGCTGGCAGCGACGAGTTGGCTGAAAATGTGAGCACGGCCATGGTGGCGGATCCCAAGTTCAGAGTGGCGGTGGCGGCTGCCATTTCGTCGCTCATTAATAAAGAGGCCTCTCGATTTCACGGGCAGCAACTGCGAGAAGAGATCGAGAGACAGAGAGGGGAAGGCTGGGGATTGAATATTTAGTTTTTAATTTTAATTTGTTATTTTGTGTTAATTAACCCTTTTATCCTTAATGAATCTTGTTGTTAGTATAACAACACTATGAGTGTTGTTATACTATCCGCTCCCATAAACAGCCACAAGAAAGCTAGAAAAAGCGACACAGCTGACAGGTTAAGTCATCTTCCAGAACCCATCATTCATCACATCCTTTCGTTTCTCGACACCAAATCTGCTGTCCAGACCTCTGTACTGTCGCGAGCATGGCGATGTGCTTGGAAGCATGCCCCCATCGTCCACCTCCGCAGCACTTCCTTCCAAGAGTATCAGGATTTCCGGTCACTAACTTATGTACAACTTAGCTTATGTATCGAAGTTAGTAACAAAAATAGTTTTGCGTGGGTAAGTGTTGTTCGTTGAGCCTTGGGTCGAGACAAATCGAAAGGTTTGTGAGTCGAAGCTTGAGTTGATGAGGGTACTAGGGCTCGAGCCATGAGCGATGGTGAAACCAGCAAGGGAGCACGAGGTGCTCTAAGAAAGCACAAGAAGAAAGCTATTTGAAATTAGTGGAGACGAAAGAAGACATGGAGGGTTATCAACCCAAACCACTTGCTGATCCCACCCCAACCCAATGTGAGCCAACCAGTGGGCCACAGTATTCGACTTCCTTGATCTAAACTCCCAACTCACTTCTCTCCCTGACAGAGAGTCATTTACTCCAGCCAAAGGTTTCAGCTCATCACACCAAAATCCCAGCTCAGTACAATCTTCATCTCCCTTCTTCAATTGATTCACCAGCACCTGGCAGTCGGTTTCAACAATCAGGGGGCTAAGCTCCCTCCGATTTGCCTCCCTTAAACCCATGACCATAGCTTTTGCCTCAGCTTCGATGGATCTACAAATACGTTTCTCCTTTTTGCCATCGCCCCCACAAATTCTCCTCGCCAATCGCGAATGATACAGCCCAGGCCAATCCCTCGATCCTTAAGCACCCCAGCATCAGAGTTTAGTTTGTAGAAACCCTCCGGGGGAGGAGTCCAGCGACATTCTTGTTTCGATCTATTCCGAATCGAGTCACCCCCAGGATCTGGGCTAGGAGAGTCTTGAGTAGCCAGGAAAGCCGAAAGCCATCCCAGAGCACGAGGAATAATCTCATCATCCTCCATCTTCCGGTTATTGAACTTATGATTGCATCGCTCCTTCCACAGGTACCATAGGATTGAGCAGAACTTTTGTATTCGATCTTCTGGAAATCCTTTCATGACTTCTTTCATCCATTCAAAACAAGACTTCCACCCTTTTCAAAGATGTCCTTCTCCTCACAATTTCTCCACCTTCTTCGAATCCAGTTGCATTCACAAAGGGCATGCATTTGCGTTTCAGAAGGTTGCAAAAGGGACACTCAGGAGCAGCCCTATCAAGCCATTCCTCAACATGAACACCCACAGGTAAGATGCTCTTTCACACTTTCCATAGAAAAATTCGAACCTTAGGCTGAATATGTAGCTTTCAAATAGCTTTCCAGAGCTCAGAATCCTCAGGGTTGAGATAATGAGAACGAGATAGATGACCAGATTGATTGCTTCGAATGAGGGAGTAGGCAGATTTCACAGAGTAAATACCTTTTTCCGAATCGTTCCACACTCTAGAATCAGGGCCGAGAGGGAATCTGAGAGGGATTTTTGATATGAGAGTCTGATCATCCCTAAAAAATAGTTCCTTGAGTTTTTCCACATCCCAACCCCCTGAGCTGACATCAATGAGGGTGCACCTTCCTTGAGTCGAGCCCTGGGTCGAGTCGAATAAAAAGGCTTGTGAGTCGAGGTTCGAGCTGATGGTGGAGTGATGGGCTGGACATCGATGAAGAGAGTACTGGGGCTCGAGCCATGGGCGATGGTGAAACTAGCAAGGGAGCACATGTGTTCTAAGAGAGCGCAAAAGGAGAGCTATTTGGAATTAGGTGAGACGAGAGAATACATGGTGATAGTTTTTTTTTTACAATAAAACTCTACATTAATCCCAAAGCCAATTTCGGATTACAAAAGAGGAGCAATAACTTTGAGGATAGTAATCCACCCGTATGGGAGATGATTGCGGGCACACTATCGGGTAACTCAGTTGGCCTTCACATTTTGAGCTCGTCGAACAAAAGCCAGAACAATATCAAGGCAGCGACTCAAGATATTGAGCACAACATCCAGACATGGTGATAGTTGGTGGAGAGCAATTCCATTGAGTTCAAAAAACATGTAATATTTTAATTGATATAGCGCTATGCCCTCATAAGCGTTTTAGTAATAAAAATATAATTGATTTAGCATATAATTAGAAAACATGGTTTCGAGAATGAACACATATGCTTAATGATACTTTTAGCTTTTATAATTTATATGCTCTAATCCTAATTTCAGTATGAACTATGAAATGTGTTCGTTTGTAATTATTTTTTAACTTAAAATGTTTACATATTTTCCTATTAAAAAATAGAACAGACTCTTACCAAAAAAAAAAAAAAAAAAAAATTTAAAAAAAAAATAGAACAGACCAACGCAATGACCACGAATATAGGGTTCCATATTAGAAGCAGCTTCCTTCGCTCCGTCGCTCGCCACTCCCACAGTCCCACTATCCTTCCCTTCCACTGTCAACACCCGCATCCTCGCTCCCCGCTTCTGGCCGCCGATAGCCCCCCATTCAACCCCATCTCATCCTGTCATTCGTTTCCCAACGCCGGTCACCGTTGCCGGTCCAGCTCTTCAGGTCGCATTCGCTGCTCTCTCGTTCTCTCTCTCTGCATTCCACTCCGACGGAATGTTTAGCCCTACAGAAACCGGAGAAAGTAAGTTATCTGTAGAACAAGCTCGCTAATCTGATTGGTATGGAATTTCTGGAACTGAAACTCACAATCTCCCTAATTCTATTGCTGATCATTCACCTGGAAGATTGATTCTGTTTGTTAGATTAAGGCGGCTGAGTTGTAGGGGAGTCAGTCCACTACTAATTATGAGTTGGGGTCGGTTTCCATTTCACGTGGTTTAGTTCGCACTTAGCAGCACTGCTGATTTGGGTGGCTAACTGGAACAGAATTGCAACTCTTCTGTGAGGGTTTGCTTAGAAGATACTCCAAAATCCTAGTTGTTGAGGCTAGCTATGAGTAAGCAGTAGGTGAAATCTGAAAGGGGAAACATCAGGCATCTGCTAGCTCATCTAGCTTGGTAGAGCGTAAACATCCGTTAAATTCAGAGTCTTTGATACTGGTTGGTCTTGCTGCTGTATTTATGTTCTTGTTGTAGTTTATATTGGTTAGCAGACGGACTAACACAGATATTGTGATGTTGGTAGCAGAGGGAATGCTGGAATTCTCGGAGGAGAGAATAATTGGGGAATATGATGGAGTTACAATCCGAGAGGCATCGGTGAAATACTTCGAGTGCGGTATTACACACAATTTTAGGAGGCGCTGTGTGCGATCTGTTACTGGATCTCAAGCTATTGCATCGGAAATGGTGGCATTTCAGAGGGCATGGGACTCCGAGCATAACTATGTGTTGCTTGGTGTTGCTGCCCTTCCAGACGGGGATACTACTCACTTTCTATACGAGAACTTTGACAAGGATTTGCAACAGTACGTTGAGGAAATTGGAGAAATTGTTGATTCTAATGGAGTTATGAACCTAGAATTCCTTCTCGTCATGAGGTACTTGTAATAACTTCTATTCAAATAATCTTATTATCAAGAAATTTGGGTGATTTCAAAATGGTGATATATTGTGGACCTGGAACTATCCATTACTTGCTGTTTCACTGTGAGCGTTTTGTTTTATTACGTGTAACTGGTTTTCTGCATAATCTCTTCTTTGAAACTGAGATATTGCCATTTTTGTTGTCTCCGTGAATTTAACTTGATTCCTCGGGTTTTATATACCAATGTTCTTTGCTTTTTCTTTGTCTTTTGATCTTCGTATGGTTTGCATCTTAAGAGCCCAGAGCGTTAATACTGATTTTCTTTGATGTACGCATTTAGATAATATAGTGATTCTTGTGCATTAAAATTATGTATGATATTGATACTTAGTTTGTCATTTACCCTTTCTTTTTTGAAGGAAAACTTTCCGTGCATTGCATGAATTACATATTGAAAACAACCAAAACCATAACAATCTTAAGTGGGATGGAAGCGGAAGGTACCCATTAAACATTGTGGTTTTCAAATATCCGGTTCAAGGAGTAACTAAGGTTGATGTACGGTTAACGGGGCTTGGAGATCGAGGAAAGGATTCAAGTGAGTTCAGAACCCAAGATTGTCAAGACTTGGCTGATATACTTACTACTCTAGTTCAGAAGTATTCGGCAGATAATGCTACTCTGCCCTTTTGGTTCGAGGCATTGATGAGACATCTGAGGTTAGTTTTACTATTTACCATAGATTAGCTATGCATTTATAGTTTCATCAACCATCTGGTCTATTAGTTAAGTAATCTCACCTCTTTCAAGGAGGTTGGTGGTTCAGTTCTCCACCCCCTTCACAATTATAGAAAATACGGCAAGTAAATCTAAGGTATCTATAGGAGTATGCTCTGCAAAAGTAGAATTGACTTTGAAGCTTATTTCTATTGCCTCGGTACTTTTTTGCTTCGCATGGTTTATCATTTTTATGACAAAATTCATTTTTTAATTGCTTCAAACTTATCTTCCTTTCATGTATGTATTGTCACTCTACATGTTTGATCCATTTCCTGTTTATTTTTGGAGTGTGTGGCATATAGCATTGATAATGCAGTTAAAATTTTCAGGACCGTGGGCTGTCTCAATTTGCACAATTCTCTCTTTTTCTATGGAGCGGGTTTGAAGTTGCAATATTTATATGAGGCCTTTTCAGCGGTGCGAAGGAGGGAGCTGCTCAAGGAGTTTGACAAAGAGATGTTGGATCTTATGTGTAAAACATCTAAGCAAGGTAGCTGGAATCCTAGGGAACACATCATGAGCCATCCAAACTTCTCCTATATCTTCCAACTTCAACACGGAGCAATACCTTACACAAGCATTGCGTCGTGTTTCTTACAACACTGTTATAATCTATACATGGGTGACACAGTCCCTGTCCTTCCCTGGAACCCAGTAAGTAAAATAAACTAATTAATTACCACTTTTTTACTTCTTTGCTAATTCCAGACTGGATTACCATCTCGAATCATCGGAAACCATTTTGCATTTATGATGAGTTTTGAAAACTATCAACTAATTTATTTTTGCAGGTGGAGCGTTCGGTTGTTCCATCTAGTGAACGGTATGAGATGTTGCACTCAATGTGGCCTGAGTTTTTCTATCTCTTACCCCAGACCTTAGCCAAATTGGACGTCTCCACGTCTGGGTAAGTAGCTTCAACTCATGTTATGGTTGCAGTACGAATCTGTGTTATGATTCATTAAGAATGCTATTCATCAAATTTATACAGGTTTATATTCATGGGACCCATTGGATTAGATGCGGTCTCTGTTCCTTATTGAGGTTCATGCCTTGCACCGTTTCTAAAGCTTAATGGAGCTGTAGGTGGAGCAACGTCTTGGCAAATGTTTAGTTTGTGTATGATGGTTAGAGCACAACTGAATGGGATTCTAGCGGTGAGATGGAACGTGCAAACTTTCAGTAGCTAACAAAGAACTGTAGAAATCCAGGGTTGCACGGTCATGTATATGCTGCGAATGTATGCTTTTGGTAGTAACAGATTGTCGGTTCGTGCTATTTAGATAGCATGATGAGTTTTGATTGGAAAATTATATGCAAGACTCCAGGTTTAATTCGAGATGAACTCATTTTTAGATGATTAAGAATTCATCAGTTTGGGATTACATGTAAACTCGTTATATCAGGTACTCCAAGTGCAGTGCTACTGTGCAGTAAGGAGATAAACATACTACTGCGAGTCGTGCTGCATGGGGGGTATTAGTTTTACTAATTTGCTAGTTTAAAGCATGGAGGCTTTCTTTTTATATGTCAAAGTTGAAGTTCAACTTGCATAATTGATTATCCTCATTTTGGTATTCAACTTGTTTTAATTTGCCACCTGGGGTCAGTTAGGTCATTGATATTATAGATACCAAGGAATCAAGGTCATTAATGTCTTGATGCACTAACGAAACAACAACTAATGTTTAAATTTTAACAAATTGGTAACTTATATTTTATGTTGTTTCGTCTGTTTTCGTCCATCTTTTCGTCCAAATCAAACACAATGATTAGAATGTCATAGTTAGGAAGACAGTAACGCAATATGTATTGCGAATTTTAGTGATAAAGATGGTACCATGCCGCTGCAAATTGCATGTGTGAGATTATACACCCAAGCCAAAAGACTTCTGATACAAAACATGATAATGTGTCCCCTCCATATGACACAATGTGCGCTATTTTCTTCGACGAAAAAAATAATAATAAATAAGGAAAACTAAAATAAGAAATGCGAAGTGTATTCAAGCAAACATAATTTAAAAAAATATATCGTGATTGTGATTCTATCTATCCCAGAGACAATCTCTTTTATTTAGGTCATTAAGACTGTACCACTTGCATTGATTGGAAGACACATCACGATTTAATTAGTTGCCATCACACGATTTCCCGCACAGAAAACAAAAGGTATATGACGAAATGAAAAGCGAACGTATTTTCTTATCACAGATCCTCAACATTCTGAAATGGCTAGTAGGCAGCAGACAATGACTAAGTGGTTGCTAAAAACATGCACGCCCTGATTTCAGCAGTATTAATCTATGGGATGCAAGCTTCCAACCGCTAAACGCTGGGTTTCATGCGACCAACGTCTTGGTAGAATCCGTCGACAAAAGAGGGAAGACATTGTTTTTTTTTCTTCTTCAGAAAAGGGAAGACATTGTTTAGGTATATAGAGGAAATAAACAATTAATGTTCTGTTGACTTCATTGTGTTGCATCCATGGCCGAATTATTTTACTCTACCAAGATGTTTCGAGAGCTCAATAAACCAATTTGCTAGCTTAAAGCATATAAACATTTTATATGAGAAGTTCAAGAAGCAATTAACATTTAATTTGGTCGATAATTGACCCGACACCACAACATAAAAGGAAGGAGAAAATGATGGATTGTAAACTTTGTATCGCAGAAAATACGGATCGATTGAGGTGTACTGTACGTTTAAAATATAATGAAATCGTAATAAGATCATATTGGCTTGCTTCAAGTTAGAGTACAATTCTTATGCACATTGAGTCGTCTTTCTAACACACCGATGCATGATCTATAGTCGTTGGATGCATTAGGACAAGCTGGAATCCCGATGGGTGTCAATACCATAGCCTCACTGTAAGGAAGGTCAATGGATATATCATATATTTTACGTGGCCTACAGTCAACGTCGACGGGTGCACATGATCGAATTAATTATTTACAAAATAATTGTCATCAAATGTGTATCCAACGACTATAGAATAAGGGTCACACCATATTATAACGATTGTTTTATGACTTGTTTGGCTCTTTGCAAAAGTTTTTGTAAAGATAACATGCACCAAAACTCTTTAATTTATCGTCATAGGAATTTACTAACAAATTAGTCATACCATTTAAATTTTGACAACCACAATTAATTTGTATGCCATTATCAGTAACATATTACCGTAAATCTCACATATACGATAGCATATCACAATCAATCGTCATAATACGATTTGTCTCGAATGAAAACGAAATAAAAAATTATTAAATTAACATGTTTTTCTGCATTAGCTATCGACATTTTGAAAGGGAAATAGGAAACGGAAAGGGAAACATGCGTTTACTTCTTGGGTTATAATAACATTTGTAAGAAATGACATCCAAAACTGAAAACTCTAAACGCCAGATCTACCTTCCTCGTCGGAAAGGTTAGGTTAGAAGCAGGTCGTCGAAAAGTAAAGAAAGGATTGTTTAATTAGGTTAACCTTAGACGCCGGCGGTGAACATGGGTTCTTAATTACACAAAACCAAAACAGATAAACAAATCCTCCATTGACTGAGTGTCCCTAGAACTAGAATGCAATAATGCATGGGGTATTCTTTTAGTGCAGGTGGTGCAGGGAAATCTTCAATTTCCATGCCCAACCAACAACCCCAAGACAACAATTTATTCAGTTGATTATAGATTAGCTAGATGTCTAGATGAAAGGAATACCTTCCAATTTCTTAAGTTGATATCTGCCTTATGGTTTCACAATCCTTGAGTGACATAGTCAACAGCTTGGTGCATGTCAAGAACCAGTTGCACCCAATAACTAGAGTTGTTGGGAGAGGTTCAATCGTGGATCATATACCACAACACTAACACGCCCCCTCAAACGAAAGCCACTCACAAGGGCTTGAAGTTTGCACAGGTCTGAAGACAAGAATACCATGTGCTTAACAAATGGGGGTCACCGGGAATCGAACACAAGTCCTCTTGGTCACATAAGGCTCTGATACCATGTCAAGAACCAGTTGATCCCAATAACTCGAGTTGTTGGGAGAGGTTCAATCGTGGATCATATACCACAACACTAACAGTGCATAGATAGATTATCAATTATATTGTCCAAACTACCCATGATGATGATACCAAAGACAACAATTTACAATTGACTATTGAATCCTTAACACCATAAATAAACATATACCCATCACGTTGGATTATGCTACAACAGCACTTATTACGCCTCATTGGGCTTCAGGATTCCTTCCGGGCAAGTGGGCAACTCCACCTTATCTTTTCATCATAATAAATTTTCATTCTCCGAAACCCAGAGGAGCTAGAGCTACCCTTTTGCTCAGCGTACCCAGAACAAGATGATAATGGGAAGTGGAGATGGAACAGTAGTGGCCGTTACTGGAGCTTCAGGTTTCATAGCTTCATGGCTGGTCAAGCTCTTGCTTCAACATGGCTACACCGTCAAAGCCTCTGTTCGTGACCCATGTGAGAATCTATCTCCCTCCCTCCCTCCCTCATACTCTGTTTTTCCTTCCTTCTTTCTTTTCCTCTGCTTCTGACTCTGAGTCGACTCCTCTGTTTTCCGCCTGCGAAACAAAAGCCGACCAGAAGAAGACATCCCATTTATTTGGACTTCCTGGAGCCAAGGAAAGGCTGGAACTTTTCAAAGCAGATTTACTGGATGATGGGTCTTTCGATTCCGTCGTTCAAGGTTGCGCCGGAGTCTTCCACACCGCTTCTCCCGTTTCCTTCTCCGCCGCTGATCCCCAGGTCTGTTTTTTTTTTCCCTTTTCCCCGCAGAGAATTACAGAGTGTTGGCATGCATATTTTCTCTGTTTTCAACCTGACTCTGTTTCTTTCGCAGGCAGAGATAATTGATCCTGCGGTGAAAGGAACCCTCAACGTTCTGAAATCATGTGTCAAGTCCGCCACTGTAAAGAGAGTGATCGTCACCTCTTCCGCTGCAGCGCTTTTCTTCACCGGGAAACCAATGAGCAAAGATTCTGTCGTTGATGAGACTTGGTTCTCCGATCCAATGATTTGTCAGGAACGCAAGGTGGGTAGGGATGTGCAACGTTTCGGTCCGGTCCAGCGGGGCATCAAATAACAAGACAACAATTTTGAGGTGGTTGGTTCGAATTTGAACAACTCTAGCTAACACAAGGATTTGTTTGTTTGTTGTTGTTGTTGTTGTTTTGCAGCTTTGGTATCAACTTGGCAAGACTTTGGCTGAGATAGCTGGCCGAGAATTTGCTAATGAGAATGGGATTGAGTTGGTGACAATCCATCCTGGTCTTGTATCTGGACCATTTTTACACCCCACTCTTTGCTTCTCAGTGGAGGTTATTCTCAACCTGGTAAACGGTAAGGAAAAAAATAATCATATTTCATGAGCTGATAGCAATTGTACTCTACTACTCTATATAAATCTCATCTCGTAGCAATAATAATGTGACTCAACACAAAATTTACATATTGGTTCATGGTTGTGTATAACTTGTGTGTGTTCAGGAAACAAGACTTACCCCAAGATGCATTATTGGTCAGTTGATGTTAGAGATGTTGCTGAAGCTCACATAAGAGCCTTTGAGATTCCATCAGCTTATGATAGATACTGCTTAGTTGGGAATGGTGTCAGTCTCTCTGAAGTTTTGGAGATTCTTCATAAACTCTACCCAACATTGCCTCTTGCTGACAAGTAAGTAGAGTTTGCCAACCAACTTTTAGTTAATATGTGAAAATAGGGTAGGCGTTAATACGGACTGACACCGTTGGATTGCGTCCATAGGCGGAGACAACCCATTTGGACCTTGTCCCAGGACAGGGGTAAATTTAAGAGGAACAAAAATACGCCATATATGTTTATATTGGTGATGGAACACAACACCTATAGGTTATATTAGAGTATTGTGTCACTACAACACATCTCATTACTTGTTTATAAATTGATATAAAATTAATTTATTATATAATAAACAAAATTTCAATTGCAATAAAGACCTAATTGGATATCTTTTCTCCTTATGCCTATTCGATCTTTTCCCCAACAACCCTGAAATTGTCTAACGACAGCGGCAATGCCAGTAGTTTTTATTCTACCAATTACAACTGCAAGTGTAAAAAGAGTATTTTCACCTTTGAATCATATTCAGAACAAGCTTCCAAGTCGATTTGGAAACCAATTTGCTAATGCTTGTTTAGTGAGATACATTGAAATATACTTATTTAATAGTATAGACAATCAATGTTTTTGTATTTCTTTCACACTATGAAATCCCTTCGTGGTTGTTTATGAAAATAATGATTGTATAGTCGGTTATTTTTAATCTAAGAATGAATTAGTTGAATATAATTCATTTTAATTATTTTTTAAAAATAATTCTTAATTAATACTGATATATTTACATTATGAAAAGAGGATAGAGGTAGTTTGGAATGCTGCCTCCGCTACTGATTGCGTCCATTGTTTCATCTGTCTAGTACTTGTGTCGACAATATTAATGGTTTGTCATTTGATTGTGATGATCCACTCTGACACCTACCATATAAATTTGCTAGCAAAATTTCATTGACCACATATTCAAATCACTCGAAATCATCTGTAATTTTGTGATTGTTTGATAATGTGTTGTGGTGGTAACAGGTGTGACGAAATGGATATGCTGAAGCTCCCTGAATTTGAGATTTCAAAGGAGAAGGCAGAAGAAAGCTTAGGGATGAAGTTCATCCCACTAGAGGAGTCTCTCAGGGACACAATTGAATGCTTGAAGGACAAAGGATTCATCTATTTATGATTTTGGAGACTTTATTATTTAATTATGTATGTGTTTGATGGCAAAAGCTAGCGTACTATACACATGTGTTCACACTTTTTTCTTTTGATATATTTCAGTGAACCAAAATCGTCGATTATTATCTTTATATTAAATGAAACATATGGTTTGTGTTGGAGAATTAGAAACTAAAATCACCCATTAGAGGTTAGAGTATAATATAACGCCCCAAACTCCTATTAATTTATTATCTAAATAGAAAAACTCGATGAGCGTATGTCATATGCTAGCTTGAACCATGTTTGAATTATTTAAGGAGAAAATTTGTTTGTTGTTGTTGTTGTATTATAAAAAGATGAGTTTGAGGTTTACTAAGGTTATTTTGTAAATAAACTTAACTCTAAGGGCATTCTTGTAAGAGACATATGACACCTTTTTATTGGTCTCTTTTTCTTTTCTTTTTATCATTTTTTATCGACTCTCTCCCTCTTTAATCTCTCCACCAATTTTTTTTATATTATTATTTTTTGTGCTAAAATCGATTAATTTTCGTATTTGTTTTTGAATTTTTAACCTCTCGAAACCGATGAAAATGCTCGAGACTGACTTTCGCACTTAGTTACATATTTTTACTCATCTCTCTCACTCGATGTTGAATACAAAATTAAAAATAAAACCTCTTGCTCTCAATTGGAAAGTCAAAAGAGGCATCGGAACCAATGAAATAGCTCAGGACTAACTTTCGTATTTGGGTATGCATTTTTACTCATCTCTCACTCGATATTGAATAGAAAGTTAACGATGAAATCTCACTCTCAATCGAAAAGTCGAAAGAGGTATCGAAACCAATGACATAGGTCGAGGCCGACTTTGGTATTTTGTTATGCATTTTTACCTTTCTCCCTTGCTCGAGGTCGTATTCGTGGAATTTCTTACCATGATTGGTTTTATTACTTGTTACTTTTTTTTATTAAATGGGAATTAGACCTGCAAATTTTTTTAGTTTGTGTTCCTTACGATATTAGTTTATTCCCACTTACATTCACACATGTAACTTTTTACATTGCTCTCGCTTGACGCAAAGCGCAATGAGCGGACTTTTCTAGTCTTTGTTATTCTTATCTAATCACAAAAGATATGCTTGTAATTCATGTCGCCTTAATCAATCCGATTCACACTAGATTGCAACTCGATGTGACCCAAACCCATGATGCTTAAGATAACACGTAACTGTTACAATCCTACCCAAACTTTGTCTTTTTTTTATCATTGTTGCACCTGTAATCGTAGTCGGGACGAGATACGGTGACAACCCCTAATGGGGTTGTCAGATTTACAACCCACTTCATAGCCCTTCAGTGGTACCATTTTTTTCTGGTAGCTTACCAGTGATAGTGGTACCTACCACTACCATAAGGTAGCTGGTAGTGGTAGCGTACCACTATCATCTGGTACCACTATCATCTGTTTTTTGTGTGTTATTCTCTACTGGTATCGCTACCAATGCTAGTGGTAGCGCTACCAGTGCTAGTGGTACATTTATTCTCTACTGGTACCGCTACCAATGGTAGTGGTAGCGTTGTACTGGTAGCGTACCACTAGTACTGGTACATTTTTTAACGCATTGGTAGCGTACCACTAGCACTGGTATATTAATTACCAGTAGACTAATGGATTTGTACACTTTTTAACGCACTGGTACATTTTTTCAGGTTGCCGGAGGGAGTCTGTCGGAGAGAATTCGCCGGAGAAAAAGTCTGTCCGTCGATGCGGAGTGGCCGCTGGAGAAAGGAAGAGAGAGATAAATAGAGATATTAATGTATAGGATTTAAATTTCAAAAAAAATTGTATTTAATATGGATTTTTAATTCCTAATATAATTAATACACAAAAGGTAATTAATATATTCCTTTTTTCCCTACCCAAAATACCCTTGGTTGTGAATCTGACAACCCCTTAGAGTTGTCACCGTATCCCGTCCCATCGTAGTCCTAAAACGGGGGATCACCTCCTTCTCATCTGTCCATTTTACAACCACAAATGTCGAATCCCACTCTACTGCTAATCTACTATATCATCATCTTCATCACCAACGTAGAATTGAAATGGTCACAAAAAAGGGTAAGTGTGGGAACGTTTGGCAATTGGCACGACACGGTACTGGCGTGCTGCGCTGTTATCATCCGCTCCTGGGTTGTTACCTCCTCTGTTTCTTTCCTCAGTACAAATATAATATATTCAAGTCCCCGGGAGAAGGAAGCGAAGCGCCATCATGAGTACAAAAGCGGCGGTATGTGTAACTGGAGCTTCAGGTTTCATAGCTTCATGGCTTGTCAAGCTTTTGCTTCACCAAGGCTACACCGTCAAGGCTTCCGTTCGTGACCCCTGTCAGAAACTCTCTCTAGCTTGAACTCTGTTTTCCTTCTTTCTTTTCCTCTGTTTTCGACTCTGACTTCACTCCTCTGTTTTCTGGGGGGCAAACAAAAAGGCGATGAAAAGAAGACAGCCCATCTAGTTGGGCTCGATGGAGCTAAGGAAAGGCTGCAACTTTTCAAAGCAGAGCTGCTGGAAGAAGGGTCTTTCGACTCTGCTATTGAAGGATGCTCTGGAATTTTCCACACTGCTTCCCCTGTTTCCTTCTCGGCCGTTGATCCCCAGACAGAAATAATTGATCCTGCGGTGAAAGGAACCCTCAATGTTCTGAAATCATGCGCCAAATCTCCTTTTGTGAAGAGAGTGATCGTAACCTCTTCCATTGCATCAATTTTCTACACAGGGAAACCAGTAACCAAAGATTCAGTGGCTGACGAGACTTGGTTCTCTGATCCAGAACACTGCAAGGAGCTTAAGGTTGCCAACTTGCCATAGCTGATGATAGGATCATTTAGGGAAATTTTTACAGTAGTAGAATGGTTAATAATCTTTTTTTTTTTAACAGTTTTGGTACCAACTTAGCAAGACGTTGGCGGAGAGTGCTGCATGGGAATTTGCAAAGGAGAATAGTATCGACATGGTAACAATACATCCTGGAGTTGTGATTGGTCCCTTTTTACAGCGAACTCCTTGCTTCTCGGTGGAGATCATTCTCAACCTCGTTAATGGTAAGACAAGAAGCAGAAGAAGAAAGAATCTGTTCTCACCATTTTAAATTAATGAAATTTTCTAAGTAAGGTAACTTGAATATTTTTACCTGTAGTGACACGTCCCGTTACGTAAAATACAATAGGCATATATAATGTGACGTATGTTATCTTACATAACGATTGTAAAAGGTCATTATCAAAGCCTTCATAATGGACGATCCTTTTTTACACATAATAAATATTAACCTTACGTCATGTAAAATGATAAGTCATTACGTAATGCTTCTGATTTAACTATAACGTATAAAGTAACTATCCTTCTGTAACTTTTACGTACTGGACGTGTATTTTACGTAACAATTGTAAAGTTTCATTACTGAATGGACAGTCCTTTTAGGTAATGAATATTAATATCTCGTTAGTGTCATTATAGAAACCTTACATGGTGGATGATCCTTTTACTTTTTACATAGGAAGACCCTTAATTAACAATTACCATTTGTTCTTCAAAGGTGTGATTAGTGATTGATTTGCAGGGAACAAGAGCAGCACAATGTCCCATTTTTGGTGGGTTGATGTTAGAGATGTTGCAGAAGCTCATATCAAAGCCTTCGAGACTCCATCAGCTTCTGGTAGATACTGCTTAGTTGGAAGCAGTGTGCCATTGTCTGAAGTTTTGGGGATTCTTCATAAGCTCTATCCAACATTGCCTCTTGCTGACGAGTACTACTAAACCCTTTCTTTTGTGATGTTTCTGCTTTAAGTTGTTTTTATAGTTTTTGTCACCATGCTTTTAGGTTTGTTTGATTCTGTTGTTTTGTGGTAGCAGATGTGAAGAGTTGGATATTCTGAAGCTTCCTGGGTTTGGTGCATCTAAGAAGAAGGCAGAAGAGGGTTTGGGGATCAAGTTCATCCCGCTTGATGAATCGCTTAAGGACACCATTGAATGCTTGAAGGAGAAAGGATTCCTTCATTTCTAATTCAGACTTTACTTTCAATTGGTTGAAAAGTTTCATATTGATGTAAGTTTCTCACTTCCATTGGCGATCATGTTTGTACAGTATTTTCATAATTAGAGCTGGTAATTAAAATATTCGTCTCAGTTGAGACGGAACTCGATCTAAATCCAATTTATTAGATGTAGCATGCAACATTATCAAACATAATATTGACTTGCTAGTATTTATTAGTACACGACGATACATTAAAACTCAAATTTGGTTGACTTGTAATCGCTAATGATCAAATCCAAATCGCACTGGTTTATAAATTGTTTGTGTGTTTTACCAGTGTCTTTGTGACTAGGATGATTGAACAATGTCTCATTATGAAAAGTGCTTAAATATTTTTTCTAGAAACCAAAATAAAAGAGAAAATAGTTTTGTAAATCTAAATGTGAATAAAAATAAATTAATTCTTTTCATGGAACATGGAAGAAAAACAAACCACATACGGAAAATTAGGGCAAGATTAATCGAGCGGAAAAGTAGTAATTACCAAAAAATATATTAAAAATTGGGAGCGGATCTAGTCAATAACTTTGTGGTCAATAACTATGCATAATCCAAACAGAATCCGTCACATCAACGCCCCTTTTCTCTCCTGAATAGTCTTTAATTTTCCCTCATTAATCTTTAACGGACGATTTCTCACTCGTTTTAAGTCGATTTTTTTTTGCACAGTTTGATGAGATTAATTGTGCTCTTCAAAATTATATTCATTCTGATATATTTTTGGAACAAAAAGAGTCATTTTTTACCAGTCTATACCATATGATATTGACTGGTAATGAAATAAGAGCATACATATGGTATGAAAAGCGTATCATGGTGGTATGAACAAACCAAGACTGTAGGATGGTTGAATACATGATAATAGAAATATATTAATTTTCATTTATGACTTTTAACATTGTGTACCACAAGATACCACCACGTAGGGGTGGAAGTTTGGGTTGCGGGTTGTGGATAATCCGCAAACCGCACCAACCCGCACCTATTGTGGATAACCATACCCACAAGTTGTGGGTAGTGGGTAGTAAAATAACGATTTTTGTGGTTAGTGGTTATCCACTACCCACCGTGGTTAACCCACAAAATCCACAATAACCACACTAATTATATTTATTTAGTGAATTAACTTTATAATATAATAGTATGTGAAAAGTGCGAGGATAAAAATTAAAGTAGCCACCAAATAAAGAAGACACACCTAATTAGTTTTATGTAAGAATTTTTTAGTTTATAAAACACTATAATCGATAGAGTGGAGAATAATCAATTCATTAAAAGTTAACAATTTTTTTAACTTTTATCAGTATGTTTTTGCTTTTGTGTGAAAAAATACAAGATCATATTTAATTTTCATATGTTACCTCTAGTCGGGGAAATATGAAATCACAGCTCTCTGACACAAAAGTTGAATACCAAACTCAAAAAGAAAAAATCTCCACATTGAGTAAGATCGATGTACAAAATTGTCTCTCCACGAACAACACAAGTGTATATCACTATAGTCTAGTTACGAACAACAAATACGTTAGTGGCGACTAGAACTCTATGCTTGCAAAGATGGACTTTTGCGGGTAACCACACCCAACCCGCACAAACCCACAGTGGGTAGTGGTTACCCACTAACCACTGCGGTGCGGGTTGTGGGTAGCATAATTGTAAATTTGTGGGTGTGGGTACCCACAAAATGTGGGGCGGGTAACCACACCCACCCCAATTTCCACCCCTACCACCACGTACCATGTGGTATTGTATGATATTTTTTGGTCATCTATTGTGTTCACCCATAAATTTGTAGATCCAATAGATCATGATGAACTCGTTCCTTCTGTGCAAAAAAATTCAAAAATGAATTAAAAACGAAGAAGATACCATATGGTATACAGTTGGTACCGAGAGTAGTGGCGTAGGCAGACTTTGAATGCACTAGGGTCCTGAAAAATTCAATAAGACTAAAGCATGTGTATCTAATGCATTTTGTGTTGATTGGGGTCCTTAAGTGAGCTAACATCGACGAGAGTACGGGGTCCTAAATTTGAAAAATCATACTAAGACCATGTATTTAAAGGATATTGGTGCCTCGATTTTTATCAAGTCCTCTCCACCTCCCTCCGCCCACTGACCGAGAGGCACTTTTTTTTTTTGCTAAAAATATATTGAAAATGGATATCATTTTGTAGAGCACAACGAACTCGTTCCATTTGTGCAAAAAAAAAAAAATTTGAAATCCGAGTTAAAACGAAGAAGATATGAGTAGATTAATAAAATAAAGAAAAAATAAAAATACATTTAATTCTCCACCCTTAGATGTTGATTTTCTGAATGAAGGGTCTTGATTTAAATACTGATTGATGCATAGCTCATGGTTATACACTCTATCTTGAGCCTTAAAATTTGTAACACCATGCACTAGTAACAATTTAAAATAAACAAAATTAGGGCTAAATTTAAAAATTACCAAAGCTGACATGGAATATGATGTTTTTCAATGTCCTTATATATTCTTAAGGACTTTCCGAATTACAAGTGATACTAGTTTTTTTGACCCTCGCTTCGTAGCGGTAAGAAACTAATTATTTATAATTTCATCTACTTATTAATAATTTAGTTCAAATCAAATAATTCATAAAACGGTTGTGGCATGATACATAAATAAGTTTCAGGTTTTTGTCTCTATCATTAAGAAAGAGATACATCATACGTTTACATAAGAAATAAATATATATCCTTAAGTTTTACGTAGTGTCTTAATAATTACAGATGACTAATATGTTTGCTTAATTGATACATAAGAAATAATTATCCTTCCATTAGCTTTACATGGTGTCTTAATCATTACGTAAGACTCATGTATTACCTTCGCTTAATTGACATAAAAGATATAACTATCCTCTGTAATATTTACTTAAAGTATTTGTAATTTATGTAATTATTTTTGGATAAGGGTGAAATATGTGGATTTTTTTAGTTAGGTTGATATACGTAACTGTTATAGAATGTTATTACACATATCTTCAATAATAAGTGGTCTAATAATAAAATTAGAAAGTATCACATTTGATTAAAATGCTATATAAAAATTTACAAAATCTTAGAGTAGTGCAAATAACATAGAGCTCATAGAGAAGTGCAAATAACTATCCTCTATAACAATTACACAATGTGTTTGTAATTTACATAACGGTTTTTGGATAAGGATGACATATGTTGTTTTTTATAGTTACGTTGATTTATCCAACTGTTATAAAATGTTATTATACAAATCTTCTATAATATGTGGTCTAATAATAAAATTAGAAAATATATCACATTTGCTTAAAATGCTATATAAAAATATACAAAATCTTAGAGTAGTGCAAATAACAAAGAGCTCATGGAGAAGTGCAAATAACTATCCTCTATAACATTTACATAATGTGTTTAATTTACGTAACTTTTTTTTTAGATAAGAGTGACATATGTTGATTTTTATAGTTAGGTTGGTTGACGTGACTATTATAGAATGTTATTACATAAATCTCTCACAATATGCGGTTTAATAATAAATTAGAAAGTAGCACATTTGATTAAAAAGTTATATGAAAATTTAAAAAACCTTAAAGTAGTGCAAATAACAATGAGCACATAAAATAGTGAAAATAACAATTAGCTTATGGCGAAATTGGGTACATGGGATAAAAATCCCTTAGTGAATAGTGCATTTCGCTATAAAAAAATTGAATGGCTAAACGCCGCCCTTGTTTTACTATTATCGCCCTAACTTAAAACATAAAACTACTAAATTGTCCTTCATCAAATAAACTAAATTAAAAAAAAAACACTCCTAAAATCCCTAATCCGTTCGTTCTCCCCGTCGTCGCATGCATATTTCTCCCGAATTCACCATCAGCACCGTCCACCCAGCTGCCGTAACTTCTCCCAAGCACTCCGATGCAATTACTTCTCCCAGGTGTGTCTCATTTCTACCCCCCTTGCTCGGACAACTCGATCTTCTAACTTCTATTTGCAATAGATGATAAAGTTACCAGTTGGGTGAATATGTTAAATCAAATAAGGTGATGGTGATCGTGAAGAGGGGAGAAGAAATTGGTTGTATACTTGTACCATGGTCCATGGCAGCCGATGCGAAACTGATGGACGTTATGTTTGACTATCTCACGCTGCCCGTGGCCACCATCATCAACCTCTTCCGGAAGCAACCGCGATGGTAACGTTAGGCTGCGTCGACAACGTTTACTCAAACATGGAAAATATAACTCTCGGCTTCCTTTCCTCTGACGGAAAGTGGTAGATGGTGGCCGGCAGGTTCAGGTCGGCGGTGGTGGAATAAATGGCTAACGAGAGTTTTTTTATTTACTAGTTAGAATATAATATTTTTTAATTGAAAAAGAGAAGGATAAAAATGTAATAATAATTTATAGGTTAGGACAATTGTAAAAAATTAGGGCGACAATTAGAAACTCCCTAAAAAGATGCCCTATGTTTTCGTAACAATAGAAAGTAACTCAACTACAATAATAAACAATGGCTATTTTCCGAAAAAATGGGATTGTGGAGATTTTGTCGTATGCAACAGTGAATTAGCCTTTGGTTTACTTGAGCTTTTAATTAATTAACTATTTTTTTTTACTCATTCGCAAAACAATCTCGAATATGGCTATGCAACCTACATTAATCCAACTAGTTACGGGCCCGGCCAGTTGTCCGGATGCATTACATCAATTGCATAATCTACGGTATAATTAGTATTTTGAGATATGGAAATTTAAGTGATCAACTTCATAGTATTTTTCGAGATTCTATCTAACTCATAGAAAAACTTAAAATTATCTACTTTTTTTTCTATCCACATCACATTGAAGTAAATTTGAACTGGGAATCGTAATCCAAACGAAAAATAAATTTTCTTTGGTTGCACTTTTTGTCACTCTATATTGTTTGATCAACATGAAATAAGCTGGTATGACTCGAATATCGATGCATGCTTCGATCTCGGTATTTTGATTCAAACTTGATGGCCAATTTGTTTGGTCTATAAACTCACACTGTTAGGCTGGTCTTGAAGTTTGATAGTGTAAACTATCTCTCCACGAAATAGAGGCGAAATGTGCTTGATTTTCCCTTTGGGAATTTGAACCAAAATATAATTACCCTGGAAATTTGTTGTCATATTAAGAATATTTAAGAACTTGAATCATAGAGTTGATTTTGCGTGGTTATTGTTAGTTTACCTTTGAGTCAATATATAATATCGAGAAGAAGAATAATGCATGTGTTGGGATTGTTTGCCTGCCACTTTCTTGGAACCCGACATTAAGAAATCCGGTTTCTCTTTTGAGTTACCAAATCATATATCAATTGGGATTGCATATTGACCTCACATTCATTTAAAATATCGGTCACAATTATATTGTTTCACAATGGATATAAGTCTAACTCACTAAATATGGTAATAACTAATAAGCACAATCTTAATGTAGGAAGTGTGTAATTAAAAAAAACAACCATTAGCTCTTTCTAAAAATAAGGATGTTATCGTGCATATTATATTCTTAATAAAATTTGGAAAGTAAATTTAAAATCACAGTAGAAGATTTGTAGCACTTAAATGCAATTTAATCCTCTAAAACTCATGAATATACATGAATTGAAAAGATTAATTTCTACTACTAATACATACTAACATGTTAGAACGTAGAAAATTGTAAATGGGCCATTAGTAGGAAAACTATACTGAGGTTAGAAAAACATTGACAACGTTTCAATAGGAACCTTAAAGAGAAAGTATAATAGGAGTGACAATGACAAAGAAAGAATGCATGCAATAATTCGTAAGTTAAAAAATTATCAATATGTGGATTAAGTATGTCAATAAGAGTATTCGATAAAAATAACAATAACAATAACAATAAAAAATGTAAATAAAAATCAAAGTTATGAAGTATACAGTTTCATTGATTTTTACAATGAGTTGAATTTATATTATGAGAGGTTTGTGAAATAAATTAATTGATTATTTTCAACTCAAATATTTTTCAATGAATGTAATCCAACGATCATTATAGATTGGTCACTAATCCGATTTGAAGATCATTATTGATTATCTTCATAGTAAAAAACGTATTTTCACAGCTTGCAGTTGCATCATATGCGTCAATTATAATTTTTAAAGTGTGACAAAGATTATAGGTTCAAAATTTTATTACGACGAAACACGAAGTTTTCACCAAAATTTCAAGTGAAAGCGTACCCTCTCCCTAACCTAGGTCCGCTCCGAATAGGAGAATGTAGTTATCAGCATAGTTAGGAAAATACAATATGGGAAAGGTACGTATAAAATACATGCGGATATTTTAGTTAGTCTTTAATCTAATGTTACGTTTAGTACGTTAATAGTCATAAATATGTAAAAATTAATTATTTTAAAAATATATAAATAATAGTAAATTTTACAATTTAATTCATTAAATACGGATATTATACGGATTTTATACGTGTTTAGTACGGGAGCCATCAAATGAACAGGAAAACCAAATAGTTTGAAAATAATACAAATAAAAAAGTTTTGAACAGATAAAATATGTACGGATACATATACATGTATTAAACGGAGTATTTACTAGCTATGATTATCGGTCCGGGTTAATTATAATGATGTTGGTGCACAGGTGCAAATTAATTGAATTCAATTGGCTTCTTTTGCATGAAGCTCGATTGGAAAGGGTACCTGGAAATAAGTAGAGGGCTAGCGCATTACACTTCTGTTTCTGCCGCATGCTGCAATAATTAGAGGCCCATCTTGATCACTTGGGGAAAGACTAAACGATCCCTCCGTGGATTGCTCAGAGAACAGGAAAAGGGAGATTAAGGGGTTCCTGACAAGAATCTCTATAAAGTATTGTTAGGATTAGGATTAGGATTAGGAGAGGAGATTCACATGAAATGGCAGTTCGATATGACCCAAAACTATATTCCATAAGATACCCACTCAGCTCTGATGACCCGGCCCAAACTTTGATCGGTTTATCAATGTTGCTTCTGACCTTCTGTAATGGTGGCCCGAACCGCCGGGGGATCACCACTTTCTCATCTGTCCATTTGGATATGCGAAAGTGTATTGAGGCCACAAATGTCGAATTTTACCCTATATCATCATCTTCATCATCTACCACGTTGCTTCCCTCCGGCCTCCGCTCCGCGGCTTTCAGTATTCCCCTGTTAGCTCCCCTGTATTTTCTCGGTACAAATATTCTGTTTCCAAGAGGGAAAAAGGGAAGCGGGGCTCGATAGAAACGAGGTTTGGAGATCATGAGTGGGAAAGCTGTGGTGGCAGTTACAGGGGCTTCAGGTTTCATAGCATCATGGCTTGTCAAGCTTTTACTTCACCATGGATACACAGTCAAAGCTTCTGTTCGTGACCCATGTCAGAATCTCTCTTGTACTCTGTTTTCTTTCTTTCCTTCTTTTCCCATGTTCTTTCATTCTGACTTGACTTGACTCCTCTGTTTTTGGGCGAAACCGCAAAAGTTGATGAAAAGAAGACAGCCCACTTACTTGGGTTGGACGGAGCCAAGGAAAGGTTGCAACTTTTCAAAGCAGAGCTGCTGGAAGAAGGGTCTTTCGACTCCGCCATAGAAGGATGCTCCGGAGTTTTCCACACTGCTTCCCCTGTTTCCTTCTCGGCCGCTGATCCCCAGGCAGAGATAATTGATCCTGCGGTGAAAGGAACCCTCAATGTTCTGAAATCATGCGCGAAATCTCCTTCTGTAAAGAGAGTGATCGTAACCTCCTCCACCGCATCAATTTTCTACACAGGGAAACTTGTAAACAAAGATTCAGTTGCTGACGAGACTTGGTTCTCCGATCCAGAACACTGCAAGGACCTTAAGGTCGCCATAACCAATATGATCGTTTAGAGCTATTTTTACCGTCAGTAGAGTTGTCAATATTCTCCTTTCTTACAGATTTGGTACCAACTTAGCAAGACGTTGGCGGAGATTGCTGCATGGGACTTTGCAAAGGAGAATGGGGTGGATATGGTAACCATACATCCTGGCCTTGTAATTGGTCCCTTTTTACAGCCCAGTCTTTGCTTCTCAGTTGAGGTCATTCTCAACCTTATTAATGGTAAGACAAGAAAGAGAAGAAGAAGGAAACTGTTCTAACCCTTTTGATTAACCACCCCCGTTCTTCAAAGGTGTGATTAGTGATTGATTTTTTTGTAGGGAATAACAGCAGCCCGTTGTCCCATTTTTTGGTGGTTGATGTTAGAGATGTTGCAGAAGCTCATCTCAAAGCTTTTGAGACTCCATCAGCTTCTGGTAGATACTGCTTAGTTGAAAGCAGTGTGCCATTGTCTCAAGTTTTGGAGATTCTTCATAAGCTCTACCCAACATTGCCTCTTGCTGACAAGTACTTGCTAGGCCCTTTCCTTCCATTGTGTTGTTCTGTGTTAAGTTCAATAATAGTTTTTGCCAACATAACTCTGGGTTTGTTTCATTTTACTTTGTGGCAGCAGATGTGGAGAAGTGGATATTATGAACTTGCCTGGATTTGGGGTATCAAAGGAGAAAGCAGAAGGGTTGGGGATCAAGTTCATCCCGCTGGAGGAGTCGCTTAAGGACACCGTTGAATGCTTGAAGGAGAAAGAATTCCTTCATTTCTGATTCAGACTTTGCTGTCTATTGGTTAAAAAGTTTCATAATAATGTTAGCTTCCGACTTACATTTGGCGATCATCTTTGTACTTTGTACTACTTCTTATTTTATAATTAAAGGTGGTAATTCAAATGTTTGTCTCAATCGAGACGGAACTCGATCTAAATCCCATTTCTTAAATGTCGCGTGCATTGGCATTATTCAATGTAATAATGACTTGCGAGTGTTTATTAATACATTAGTATATATTAATAATCAGATTCGTTTGATTCGTAATTGCTAATGATCTTATCCAAAATCAAACCAATTTATGAATTGGTAGTGTATTTTACTAGTACGTATATTTGTGAACTCACTAGTTATTGTGACCTAACTCATTACGATCTAACTTATCATGATTCATGACTAGACTTATTGACATTTGACCCATTATATGGTTTCTCTAGCCTCTTTGGTTGCCAATGCAACCCCTTCTCTCAATAGGGCAGTGCACTATAGTGCTTATGGGACTCGATTATTCTTCATTCATTCGGCGTTACTGGATAGTCACTTTTTTCACTCAAACATTCCCTCCATCCATGACTAATTATTTCTTATTTATCGATTAAACGAGCTTATCATGCAAGTCTTCCTTAGTATAAGATTGAATGAAAACTCCCTTGTTATTAACTAAAATGTTGATAATCTCTTTACATTACACAAAGGTTTTGCAAAGTAAATTATTTTTTACATAACAATTTAATCCGTTGTGATATTTTTTGTAACGTATTTCATTTATTATTAATCAATATTCCTAATTATTAACTCAAATCTTCACCACGTCATCATTTGCATAATGCAAAGGTTCTGTATGTAACTTTGGCAATCATGTTTGCTATAACTCTTCCTAAATTCAACTCACTATGGACCACAAACACGTTACACATGCCTACATTGATTTGTTAGTGCCTATGCCTTGCCTCGCATGATCCAAAACTCGTTTATTAATATCTGAATTCTTTTGATTCGTAATCAGTATTGTTTTAATCCAAAACTGACTAGTTATCGACTGTTAGTATTTTACCATCATTCTCGTGATTTTCTAATCATCATGATTCAACTTATCGTGACTCTACCTGCCCCATTATAGGGCTCCTGTAACCCCTTGGTTACCAATGCAAAGCCCTCATCCTAATTGGGCAATGTGAATGAGATAATCCTTCATTCAACCGTTCTTCACACTTTCCTTCATTATTAACAAGTAATGAATTTGATTAATAATTACATATTGTGTGTTCCGTAATCTATAGGTTTTAGCATACACTTACTTACAAATTATCACTGCTTTCATCCAATGATTTTAGATACAACACACATAATCCAACAACATAAGGAACAAACGTTTTTAATTTGACAACACAAATTATCATAACTTATGCAAAAAATTACTTTGTGAGAGAAAGATGAACCTTGACCTCTAGATAGCCACTGAAAGTGAGGACGAATGATATATGAAGCGGCTCACTATTCGGTTCCACCGAGGACTGCTGGTGAAAGGCGAAGGTGCTTATCGCAAAAACAAAAGTTTTTTTTGAAGTGTTAGCGAGTGACTCGAAAGCGGCTAGGATTTTCTTCAGTTATAGAGCGGAACAGGGGAGAGGCAGCATGCCTGAGGTAGTGAGGTTTTAAAGACGGAAATCACAAGCAACAGCGCGAGGATTGTCATGGATGTTGTCGCTTGGTCCTGTAAACTTTGTACAAAACTAGTATGTATCATTGAAATCTATTTTTGACAAAAGAACTTGTACATGAAAAAAAAATTACATAGAAGTTGTTGACGTATAATTTTGTATTTTTTTTTTTGTTGAGAAATTTTGAACAGAGAAATTCCTCACATAACATTTTTGTATAGAGAACTTCCGAATTTGTTGCGAGGATAGAAAATTATTTCCACATCAAAGGGTACTTGAGAAACAACATGTTTTGCTAGCCTCGTACCACATGAACGGAGATGCAAGTAAGTGGGTTCAGTGGCTCGAATACGAGTTCGAGAATACAAGATGGTGATGTCATGGGACAGGTTTGAAGTTTAGTTTTGGAGAAATTATGTGTATTATAATTTCGTCATAATTATTATTATTTTGTAGAAGAATGACGCGTGTATATTTACTAGCATCACAATGACTTGATACATCCAACATATAATAATCATTGTTATAAAAACCTTATCGGATCAATGGCTGGGGCAGTAGAATCACTAAACCAATTACAATAATGGTTCGGTTCTTTTAATTGGAAGGCTAGAGATGAACCAAATGGTTTTTGAAGGTTTGACATGAAACCAGATGAACCATCCCGGTTTAACTGGTTCACTAATTCACTATTTTAACCACAAACATTAAGGAAAATGACTTTAACGTAAACTAAGATCATCCAACCTCAATCACTAATTTTATTTATACTTCCTTTTCTTCATTTCTCGGTCTCATTGTTAGCTTTCTCTCGTCCATTATGGATTGTCACCCTCATTACTAACTAAAATTTCATAAGAGAAAATTTATGATTTATTTTGTGAGATAGTTTGAATACTTTGTTAAAACATTTTTGCGATAGATGATATGGATTTGCATTGTTTATGATAAGTGATAAATTCACTACTATTAACGATATATGTCTTTTACGTTATAGCGCATGAACGACTCTATCAACGGTTAATAAAAGATTCTATAACGTTGAACCATCAACCACTAACTTTATTGATTCAACATTCGGCCCAGTTCTGAAAACATTGACAATAACTAGTTAGGCTAACTGACACAATTACCATTTAGTACCAATACTAGCTATTACAACTCGAATACTTTAGTCCTATACTGATATCAAATAATCCGATACTCTTTTTTTCTTTTGAATAAGGGTGATTGGTTTGTTTTTTTAGTTACTATTTAGAGAATTCGAACTTGTACCTCCCAATCTAAAACTTGGGATAATATCCTTGTTACTCAATTAGCCCAAAACTCTTACCGTTGTTAAACTAATCCAATATGATTATTCGCTCTACTAGTGATGCAGATTAGTATTAATATATGTTAATATATAAATTAATAACATGTGAGTTACTATTCAGTAGTGACTCTCACACTCTTCCGAGTGCAAGTGGGGAAGTTCCAAACCTTTCTTTCACCTCACTCTTCATTCTACAACCTTTGTGTTTAGTTATTGTTCGCTAGGTTTTTCGTCTATGGCTTTTTCCACAAATCATCGCCTTTGTGTTTTATTATTGTTCGTTAGGTTTTGTCTATAACTTTTTTCACAAATCATCGCCTTTGTGTTTGTTATTGTTAGCTAGGTTTTCTTCTATGCCTTTTTGCACAAATGATCGCATTTGCTCATTATTTTGCAGCTCATCTCGAAATACTGTTAGCGGAATCCTAAATTGTTCCCCACCACAGTTTCCCAAGGCCGCTACCATGAGTTTTGTATCGGGACCGAGTTTCATCATGTTTAGTGTTTTTTACTTTTATTTTCACCCTTTTTGTTGAGCATGATCACAATTGAGCCCACACACATGGGTATCCTAACTTGATACATATCATCGACTTTGCCCACCATTCTGCAACCCATCTTGAAATACTATCGGCGAAATCCTAAGTTGTTCCCCACCATCGTTTCATAAGGCCGCTACCACGAGTTTTGTATCGGGACCGACCGACTGAGTTTCATCCTCTTTTTTGTTTTTTCTTTCTCTTTTTCCTTTTTGTTGAGTACGATCACAATTGAACCCAATGTCGCTACCGAAAATCCATACAATATCTACTCGATGTTGGCGACTTTTATATCGGGACGGAGTTTCGTTCGGTTTAGTATTTTTTTATTTCACTTTTTCCTTTTTATTGGGTCATGAGCGAGTATTATCGACTTTAGTATTTTTTTATACTTTTCATTTTGGTTGAGATTGACAATTGAGTCCAAACGCATGTGTAGACACCACATTTTGTCCGGAGCAACCATCCTACTCAAAATTCGGAAGAATATTCCATTTAAGAATTAAAAAGAAAACCCAAGTGAAAGTTTGGACGATGTTGGTTGAGATTAGCAGTGGCAAATCAATAAGTACCAATAATTTCGAAGTCCTCTTTCTGTTTAGTTCGAATATCTGTACTAGGTAGGATTAGCAGTAGCTAATGACTACCAAATTCGCTTTATTTAGAATAACAATAGTATGCCGTCACGACTATGCTAGTACCACTGTTAATGATTAGTGACAGAGATTTGAAACTAGGTCAAATGAGATAAGAAGGCCATAGTAATCCTACTAATATTGGTCAAAATGCATAATTGTGAACTACTTATTTAAGAAGTTGGAATATGGGTCACGATTGGAGAAAAAGTAAGCAAATTGGGTGGAAACAATCAATTGAATAGTTGGGCCATACAATAATTACATGGTCATTCTAATTATAAGTCGCAAAAATAATACGCATAATTACAAAGTACAAATGTACAATTAATAATTATTACATTTGACAAGGAATTAAGAATGAATAAACAGAAAAGACTTCTTCCTTTTTCTTTTGGGCACCAATCAGAATTGGAGGCTTTGCCAATTAAGGCTGTTTGGGCCTCCATTGATCATCATCTTGGGCCAAAACCAGACCAAGAACCTGCAAAGAGAAAAAGAAACGATCAGAATGCAACCCATAACAGAGCCCAATTCGGCCCAAAACATAACCCAATTCGGCCCAAAACAGAGCCCAGGTTCAAGACTAGACCAGGCCAGGTACCGGCCCAAACCCAATAGGCCCAACTCGGCCAACCAGTTCGGCCTAAAAACCGACCATAAACCTACCTTGACCAATTCGGTCTAACCAAATCATATCCACAACCGACCTCAGCAGGGTGGCACGCTCTTCAAGGTCGAAATAAAGAAATGCTCGAATCAGAGAGCGACACGTGGCAGTTTAGTTTGCTTTAAATGAACTCTGTGAGCTCTTCGTGTGGGGAGGGGGGAAGGATGAAAAAAAAACGGGCAGAAATAAGAAGAAACATTCTAATCTCTTCATCACAACACCAAACTGAGTAGAAGATGGAATGGAGCAGCATCAAGGAATCGCTCTGGAAGCAGAAATTTTTAACAAGGTTGGTGCTTTTAACTTTCCTTCCATGATTCTAGGTAAATTTCATCTCATTTAGCATGATTTCTATATAATCGTCTACCAATTTGCCTACTCATATTCAAGCGATTTATTTTACAAACCCCTTTATATTCAAGCAATCTATTAACTCATAATAAGATTTGCTCATATTAATTTCAGCATCAAGCTTCTTTCAATCGAGTATTTACTTACTTCTCACATCAATTAATGGTCTAGTTTAATTTTTTTTACCATACTTTCATATTCCCTTCTAGTATATAGTTTATAAACACTAGATCATCATACATAAACAAATCAAATCAAAATCCAAATATAAGCAACCATATCACACTACGAATTTTTGATTCACAAACCCTTACCAAGTTTAACAACCAAAAATCATAATCTAACAAAATCACAAGCAGTAGCAGTGATTCAGAATCTATAATTTAGTATAATCAATAGCAGCAGTGATTTAGTCCATAGTCTAGCAAAAATCACCAAAAGTGGCAGTGACTTATAATCGCTAAGATAAGCAATTTAGAGGATGTTAATTACATCTCCATCACAGAAAAATAATTTTTGGCAATTTGTAATATGTCAAAATTCCAAGCGGTAGCCCATTTTCGTTACCTTTTTTAGCAATTTCCGGCACCACCAAAATTCACATCCGCAACCATCCACAAACAAATAAAAACCAAAATTCCATATAGTCAAACTCACTCACAACCTTATCATAGTGTAATCCAGCTTCAGTTTTATATCTCATAAATCCAAAATTAAGAGAGTTATAGGAGACCTACCTAGATCTAATTTTTTACCTGCATCAATACAAGAATAGAAGTCAGAGTCAATTGAAGGGATATTAAATCAAAATAAAAAATATATAACAAAATAAAAAAAACCTACCTGTGTCGTCGTCGGCCTGTCGCCGCCGGCAACTCGCCGCCCGAAGCCACCTTCTCCTCGACCAAAACCCTCTCACAAATAAAAACAAAAATAAAATATCAAAATCCTAATTTTGAATCTAAAATCCACCAAAATCCGACATGCAAACAAAATCTTAACCCGGTCTCTTCATCATCCTCGTCGTTTCTACGAAAGAGAGTAGATCGAAGAAGGGGAAGTTAGATCGAGGCCCATCTCGGCCCTGGGTTTGCTTTTTCCGGAAATAAAAAGAAAATAAAATAGGGATTAGAAACTTGAAACCCTAAAATCATATTTGAACACGGTAGAAATCACAGAATAAACAAAGAAACGAACCTTCAAACTCGATTTTTATCACCACCGGCGGCGCATGTCGTTGTCATCGTCGTCCTCGTAGCTCGGACGGGGCGATAAGTGACGAGGCGAGATAGAGAGGGAGAGCGGCGGCGGTTAGGGTTTCGCAGAGAGGAGAGGGCGGCGGTTTTTTTTTTTTTTCGGCTAGGGTTTGGTTTTTTTTTCTGGAAGAGGAAGAGAGAGTGGAAGGATCGAGAGAGGTGAGAGAGACGAGAGGGGGGCGGCCGCTTGGTAGGGTTTTTAGAGACTATATATACCCCATCGTTCAAAAAGACTAAATTGCCCTTAGGGTTTCGTTCTAATTACGCGGCCGCGCCACCGCGTTTTTGAGCAATTACCAAAATACCCTTCCCCCATCCCCACAGTGAAACGAAAAATCCACAAAAATAAAGGTTAACCAGTTTCGAACCCAGGTCCACGGACTCATATGGGACAAACGGCTGACATTTTGTCCAGTTGGGCTACTGGCCCATTGTGCGTTAATTTAACTATCTCGTTTCTTTTTACTTATTTAAAATACTTAATACGAAATATGAAATGCGAATTAAGTTAGTGTTGCTTCTTGTTGAGTACATCGAATTTCTTCTTAATGATTAAAATTCTTGCATTCATATTATTAACATCATAATAATCTAAATGAAGTTTTATTAACAAAAATTATAAAACAAAATTACGTTCAGTGGAACGTGGTAAAAGCTACAATTAAATTTTCAAAGTCCTAATGAACTACGTGGACTTTGATCCCGTCTAACGGGTACGTAGGCAACCGGTAAGGTTCGAGTCCAACTAACAAATTAATTATATCTTTTACGTCAGTGGACGTATAATTTAATTACAACTAATACGATTTAGTTTCTTCAATGGTCCAGTGAGACCCTAAAATTACAAAATATTACTAAAATACACCCAACTCGTACAAAAAACTTATCGACTTAAGTAGTACCGATTTAGGGCGTTGTGGGGTGTGATTTCACTTCCCCACACGTAACCGTACTCCCGAACCCAGAACTTCATTTCCGCAGATCATATCTCGGTTCTGACCCTAAGGTTAGAGCCGATTCGAAGAGTGTTCGATCCACTCCAAGTAAGATCGATGGCGACTCCCAAAACAGCCGACGCGACGACGTACGGACCCCCCGGACGGGACGGTTGCGACAGTTGGCGACTCCGCTGGGGAACTTCGAGAGTCGAGCTACACTTATTAAGTCGATAAGTTTTCTTATTTTCTTTTACGTGTTGGGTGTTTACTACTTATTTGCGCAATTATATTTTCGCAAATTTAAATTATGCATTCATGCACAAAAGCTCTATGCCCGAGCTATCCCTTTAGAAAATCGAAAGGAGTACCGTGACATCCACAGTAGTGGTAGTCACGCAAAACTTTCCAACCAAGTTGAACTCGGATCCGAGGATGATCTCGAGGTATCCAGCCAGTTCGAAAGAGCTAGGGCGGGATACAACTTGGGAGCCAAATCCCTAGGAATTCCTTAACCAGCATATAGTAAACTTCGAAGCTACCCCCGACCATCCAAAACAATCCCCAAAGACACCCTGAAACCGTGTCGTTACGCTGTTCGAAAGCCCTATGTCTACCTAATTAGGGTAATGATGTAATGATATGTGTTTGCTTATCCAGATGTATGTTTGATTACGATGTAATGATGTGCGTTTTATCTTTTACTCGTAAAACTGTATGATTGCATTAATGAAAAACGTTTTGAAAATTCATAAACATTGTTCTCTCATAAGATTTTCATTCACCCAAAACAATTTTATCATAAGAAGCTTAAAAATGCATGCATGAGATGAAAAATGATTTTGCATTCATACATCATTGCATTTTTGCATAAGCATCATGCATAAATATAAAGAACAAAATTAATTTAACACTGTTGAGACAAAATCAGGTTTCCTTAAAATTGCTCGTCCACAAGGAAAAAGTCAGGACTTCAAGTACTTAACTAGATCCAAGCTCGAGTTCGTCATGGAAGCGTTCCAGAAAAAGTTAAGCGACATTGAAGGAAAGATAACCGGATTCGATGAAAAGCTAGCCGGGTTCGATGAAATGAAGGATCAACTGAACATGATAGTAAATATCTTATCAGCTAAAGGGAAAGGGGTAGTATCTAACGATGAAGAAATACACTCTGATGAAGAAGATCGCGATGGGAACATGAAGGGTGAAGCTTCTAGTGCCAAGATCCCCGTCATACCCTCAAAAGACGTATTTGAAAAGAAGAACATGGGATCTCCAATACATGATCGAGAGGAAGACAAATTGGAAGAAGCCATGGACGACGTCCTATTAAAAGAAAAATGGGAATACCTGGATGAAAGGGTGAGAGCCATTGAGGGGGTAGAATCCTATGGTTCTACAGATGCCAAACAATTGTGCCTAGTGCCAGACGTAATAATTCCCAATAAATTTAAAATTTCAGAGTTTGAAAAGTATGACGGTACCACGTGCCCCAGAAACCATCTGATCATGTATTGAAACAAAATGGCTAACCACATTAGAGACGACAAGCTCATGATACATTGCTTCCAGAATAGCCTAAGTGGTTCGGCGCTAAGATGGTATATGCAACTCGAAAGATCGAAGGTGAAGAGGTGGCAAGATTTAGCTGATCCGTTCATAAGACATTACAAGCACAACCAAGATCTAGCTCCTGACCGAGAAGATTTACGTAACATGGAAAAGCAAGAAAATGAATCTTTCCGTGAATATGCACAGAGGTGGCGAGGAAAGGCCGCAGATGTTCAACCCCCGTTGTCAGAAAAAGAAATGGTTTCGACCTTCTTCGAAACACTAAAGCCTCCATATTACAACAGCATGGTAGGAATCACTACAACAAACTTTGCTGATTTGTTAGTAATTGGAAAACGAATAGGGAAGGGGATTAAGCTAGGAAAATTGGAAATCCCAGAAGCCTCTAAGAAACCGCACCAATCCCGAAGGGGAGAAGCAGAAGTCCATTATACTCAAACAGAATCATCAAGAGGGAGAAGGTGGGATCATCTACCTCAGGCCAATCAAGCGCGTCCCCATGTTGCAAACCTTGCCATAATTAATCAACATCCAGTTTTTCAAACTCAACGAACGATCCAAGGCCCGACACAAGTTGCACCACCAAATAACCAAGACCAGAACAATTCCGGGAAATACAAAAAACCTTTCCAAATCGACCCTATCCCCATTACATACACTGAACTTCTCCCCCAACTAATTCAGAGTCACCTAATTTCCCCAATACCATGTGAACCAATGAAACCTCCTTATCCAAATTGGTACAGGTCAGATCAACACTGTGCTTACCACTCAGGAGTCGCGGGACACTCAACTGAAGATTGTCGAATGTTCAAGATCAAAGTCCAACAAATAATGAAAGCTGGTTGGTTGAAGTTCGAAGAAGAGCCAAAACGTCCAGACGCCAACAAGAATCCACTGCCAACTCACGAGAATTAGTGGATGAACTACAAGGCAAAGCTCGATTCAAGGATGATGTTGATCCTATCTAATAAATGAACTATCGAGATAATTTTCCATAACAAAATATGTATCACTTTTGCTTTCACCGTCATGAATAAAAGGTCTTTCGCGTTTCGACCTCTTTGGAGCATCAAGTGAACAGTGTCAATCTTAATTTAAGAGTTCGCATCAATGATTTTTTTCAAAATAACAAATGCCACTTCCGATCTTAAGAAAAAACGAATTTATTTTCTAAAAAATGAAAGCCATCAAAATCCAGTTTTATTTTCAAGCTAAAGCCATGAGATTTTCATGCCAAAAAATGTGAGTACCCCACTGGTGTCAAGTGATTATAAACACCATGCTACTGTCAATAATTTGAACACCACTGGTGTTATGAGTGTACGTGTTTTGCTAAAATCGAGAGATAAACACCCTACTGGTGACCATGAATAGTCAAAAGGTGTAATGAGTATACGACATCATGCTACTTGTAGAATCTCGTCACCATTATAGTCGACTTTCACCACCAAATTGAGGCTCAGTTTACGTGAAGTCAAATAGCCAAACCCCGATGCACATGGAGCCAAACATTTCTATAATAGCAAGAAAACCCTCTCAGAGTCTCACGAGTGAAGCACTCATATATACAAACAAGCACATTGCGTCAGAATCCTCGCTTGTACGGAAAAAAGAATAGTCTATTCAACCTAGCCAACGAGAAGAGGCACCCACATTATCAATCATCAAGACAAACTCTCCACTTTTCGATACTACTCCTACCAAAGACAAATTCTAGATCAATGAAGAAAGAAGCACAGTCGGGGGCATGACAGAGTCAAGTAAGTCCCACACGCAAAAAAAAAATGAAAAGCAAAAAAAAAAAAAAAGAAAAAGCAAAGGATAAAAGAAAAACAAACAAAATATCGTGAGACTTACAAATTAGGTGCCCCTGTCTAGCTTTTGAAGTACCAACTGTCTGCACCAAGCCAAATTCTTGCACGATCAATCTCAAGATACGACAAGAAGGACCCTCAAGTAGTAAACTTTGATGATAAGAAAGTCGTTATAGCCGAAATCACATCATCCAAGGACTCATCATTTTGAGAGCAAGTCGGAAGTTGAATCTTCACCATAATCAACATTTAGAGGTCAATCAAGAATCTTGACAACTCCATAACCAGATTACATTCGCAAAAACTTCAAAACCACGACTCTTGAAACCATAATCTCAAAGACAGGGGGCAAAGCCAGCCAAACACACATTCCCAAAAAAAAAAAAAAAAAAAAAAAAAAAAAAAAAGCCCAAGACTGGCGACATTTTCAAACAAATCTTCGCCCAAAAAAGTTCGTGATAGTAGTGGTTCTCAACCCATCATGTCAATCTCATACATTGGGGGCAAAACCAGAGTCCCTCTACAAGAAGCCTTAGGGGTGATATCAAAATCTGACTTATCTGTCACCCATCTGAACAGACCACACTTCAAGAGCAAGAAGACTCCTACCATCAAAGTCATATCGGACAAAAACCCCATTCATGAGAAACCAACGTCCACAACGAAGCCATAGGAAGGTATCCTAAATCAATCACACCAAGGTCTTCCACGTTGCTGCACAAGGAACGCAGTTGGCCACCAACATAAAATGAGACATCTCAAGGTGACCAGAATCTTAATGGTAGCTGAAATGTCGTACACTCAAATCACCTATAGGAATTAGTGGTGAGCAGAACCAAAAGTGGAAGTGAGAGCGAGCAAAATCAAAAGCAAGAGTGAGAGTGAGGGCTTACTGATATTCTCATGGCTTGACTTACACTTCTTTTATTGAAAAAATCAAATTTGACCACATGACAACTACCACGCGAAAACGATTTTATCCAATTTGCACACACTTCACGAAAGCAAAGTCTTAATATGGCTTTCATTATTAATTCTCCAATAAACATTTTCAAACATTGTTGCATTCATCTTAAGTCAAGATTGATAAAGTCACTCTTTGTTCTGGAGATTAGAAAGTGAGCAACAGATCTTTGGGGGCAAAAACGGTGCAGTATGGAAGAAGGGGAAGTCTGAGTACCCAAGAATCAGATTATTCAACTTCACTCATGAGCTTATGAAGAAATCTCAAGGGATTTGAGAACATTCAAATCTCATTAAACCAACCATCCAACTTATTATCCTTAAACTTCAGGGTCAGAAGGAGAGGGAACCAATATACTGCACATACCAAGAGATGCACAACTCTGAAATATGTGGGTCCAAACTTGACCGACGAGAAGAACAGAGATAAAACACATCATTACCTTAGCTCACAAAGTATATCTTCGCGCAACTACCACCAAGAAGATATACCTCAGGACAACAAGTTCAAAATCGCTTCAGCATTAGCACGAACTATGGATCAAGTTGATCGAAAGGGATTGACAATCTTCGAAGATGAGCAATTTAAAGGAGACCCAGGCAAAAATTGCATAGAGATTATCAAATGCATCACATCTTCTTTTCACTCAACATTCATGACTTCATCGGCGTGATTCATCACACCATCAATTTCGAAAATCATTTAGATACTCCTTAAACAACATCATATGTTAAAATGGGTCATGCATTTATTGCCAGCAAATCCCAAAATAACTCATGCATTTAGTTGGATTGCCAATGTTTGTAAAAAGGAATCACTACAAGATAAAACTACATTCACGTGAATTCTTCAAGTCTCATGTTTAGCTTTCACGTGCATTTATGACAAGCCATAACAACGGTTTAGGAACATCCTAAACAAATACCATGAACATACGATATCGGTGCGGGCGAACAATCGCGAGCCCTCTAATAGATGTGTTCCGTCGACTATCACGGACATTACAAAAATTACCTAGCCAATTTGCTTCGTCGACTATCACGAGCAATTTAGAAAACCTAGCCAATTTGCTTCGTCGACTATCACGAGCAAATTAAAACCCCCATACTAAATTCGTTCCGTCGACTATCACGGGCAATTTAGAAAACCTAGTCAATTTGCTTCGTCGACTATCACGGGCAGTTTAGATAACTAAGTAAATTTGCTTCGTCGGCTTTCACGAGCAAATGAGATCCCTCCTTCTAAAACTTGTTTCGTCAACTATCACGGACAATGCAGAAAACCTAACCCCGCTCCGCATACCGCGAGGGGGCAACCAAAATCCCAAGTATGCTCTACCGCCATGGGAATAAATCTACACCCACTTTGCTTACCACACCGGGCAACCAAATTCCAAAGTCTTCCCTACAGCCACGGGAACAAATCAACAACTCACGAGAGCTGAGGAGCACCCCTACCAATCAAAACCTCACAGGAGCTGGCGAGCCCCTCTATCAGTCAACAACGCACGGGAGCTGAGGAGCGCCCCTACCATTCAATACCTCACGGGAGCTGAGGAGCACCCCTACCATTCAATACCTCATGGGAGCTGAGGAGCGCCCTAACCAATCAAAACCTCACAGGAGCTGGCGAGCCCCTCTATCAGTCAACAACGCATGGGAGCTGAGGAGCACCCCTACCAATCAAAACCTCACAGGAGCTGGCGAGCCCCTCTATCAGTCAACAACGCACGGGAGCTGAGGAGCGCCCCTACCATTCAATACCTCACGGGAGCTGAGGAGCACCCCTACCATTCAATACCTCATGGGAGCTGAGGAGCGCCCTAACCAATCAAAACCTCACAGGAGCTGGCGAGCCCCTCTATCAGTCAACAACGCATGGGAGCTGAGGAGCGCCCCAACCATTTGATACCTCACGGGAGCTGAGGAACACCCCTACCAATCAATACCTCACAGGAGCTGGCGAGCCCCTCTATCATTCAATAACGCATAAGAAATAAAAAGCGCCCCTACCAGTAAATACCTAACGGGAGCTGGCAAGCGCTAAATAAATATAACAGAAGATGGTAGACAAGCATCAGAAGAAACCGTCGACGCTGTCAAGCATCAAGGAAGTACAATAGAGTGAGTATCAGAAAATTACTCGCGTTGACGAACGCTATATAAAAACGTAAATTTTCCATCAGTGGCGAAGACTATCAAAGAAACTAAAGTTCTCGCTATCGACAAACAACTTTCACATCACCCCTGATCACTTTCTTTTCAAAAGGCACTAACATAACCATTATGCTACTTTAAGAAAATGTGGTGTCCTTATGAGCACTTTGTATAACTCTTTATACAAAGAGATATACAAAGGGGGGCAACTGTAGACACCACATTTTGTCCGGAGCAACCATCCTACTCAAAATTCGGAAGAATATTCCATTTAAGAATTAAAAAGAAAACCCAAGTGAAAGTTTGGACGATGTTGGTTGAGATTAGCAGTGGCAAATCAATAAGTACCAATAATTTCGAAGTCCTCTTTCTGTTTAGTTCGAATATCTGTACTAGGTAGGATTAGCAGTAGCTAATGACTACCAAATTCGCTTTATTTAGAATAACAATAGTATGCCGTCACGACTATGCTAGTACCACTGTTAATGATTAGTGACAGAGATTTGAAACTAGGTCAAATGAGATAAGAAGGCCATAGTAATCCTACTAATATTGGTCAAAATGCATAATTGTGAACTACTTATTTAAGAAGTTGGAATATGGGTCACGATTGGAGAAAAAGTAAGCAAATTGGGTGGAAACAATCAATTGAATAGTTGGGCCATACAATAATTACATGGTCATTCTAATTATAAGTCGCAAAAATAATACGCATAATTACAAAGTACAAATGTACAATTAATAATTATTACATTTGACAAGGAATTAAGAATGAATAAACAGAAAAGACTTCTTCCTTTTTCTTTTGGGCACCAATCAGAATTGGAGGCTTTGCCAATTAAGGCTGTTTGGGCCTCCATTGATCATCATCTTGGGCCAAAACCAGACCAAGAACCTGCAAAGAGAAAAAGAAACGATCAGAATGCAACCCATAACAGAGCCCAATTCGGCCCAAAACATAACCCAATTCGGCCCAAAACAGAGCCCAGGTTCAAGACTAGACCAGGCCAGGTACCGGCCCAAACCCAATAGGCCCAACTCGGCCAACCAGTTCGGCCTAAAAACCGACCATAAACCTACCTTGACCAATTCGGTCTAACCAAATCATATCCACAACCGACCTCAGCAGGGTGGCACGCTCTTCAAGGTCGAAATAAAGAAATGCTCGAATCAGAGAGCGACACGTGGCAGTTTAGTTTGCTTTAAATGAACTCTGTGAGCTCTTCGTGTGGGGAGGGGGGAAGGATGAAAAAAAAACGGGCAGAAATAAGAAGAAACATTCTAATCTCTTCATCACAACACCAAACTGAGTAGAAGATGGAATGGAGCAGCATCAAGGAATCGCTCTGGAAGCAGAAATTTTTAACAAGGTTGGTGCTTTTAACTTTCCTTCCATGATTCTAGGTAAATTTCATCTCATTTAGCATGATTTCTATATAATCGTCTACCAATTTGCCTACTCATATTCAAGCGATTTATTTTACAAACCCCTTTATATTCAAGCAATCTATTAACTCATAATAAGATTTGCTCATATTAATTTCAGCATCAAGCTTCTTTCAATCGAGTATTTACTTACTTCTCACATCAATTAATGGTCTAGTTTAATTTTTTTTACCATACTTTCATATTCCCTTCTAGTATATAGTTTATAAACACTAGATCATCATACATAAACAAATCAAATCAAAATCCAAATATAAGCAACCATATCACACTACGAATTTTTGATTCACAAACCCTTACCAAGTTTAACAACCAAAAATCATAATCTAACAAAATCACAAGCAGTAGCAGTGATTCAGAATCTATAATTTAGTATAATCAATAGCAGCAGTGATTTAGTCCATAGTCTAGCAAAAATCACCAAAAGTGGCAGTGACTTATAATCGCTAAGATAAGCAATTTAGAGGATGTTAATTACATCTCCATCACAGAAAAATAATTTTTGGCAATTTGTAATATGTCAAAATTCCAAGCGGTAGCCCATTTTCGTTACCTTTTTTAGCAATTTCCGGCACCACCAAAATTCACATCCGCAACCATCCACAAACAAATAAAAACCAAAATTCCATATAGTCAAACTCACTCACAACCTTATCATAGTGTAATCCAGCTTCAGTTTTATATCTCATAAATCCAAAATTAAGAGAGTTATAGGAGACCTACCTAGATCTAATTTTTTACCTGCATCAATACAAGAATAGAAGTCAGAGTCAATTGAAGGGATATTAAATCAAAATAAAAAATATATAACAAAATAAAAAAAACCTACCTGTGTCGTCGTCGGCCTGTCGCCGCCGGCAACTCGCCGCCCGAAGCCACCTTCTCCTCGACCAAAACCCTCTCACAAATAAAAACAAAAATAAAATATCAAAATCCTAATTTTGAATCTAAAATCCACCAAAATCCGACATGCAAACAAAATCTTAACCCGGTCTCTTCATCATCCTCGTCGTTTCTACGAAAGAGAGTAGATCGAAGAAGGGGAAGTTAGATCGAGGCCCATCTCGGCCCTGGGTTTGCTTTTTCCGGAAATAAAAAGAAAATAAAATAGGGATTAGAAACTTGAAACCCTAAAATCATATTTGAACACGGTAGAAATCACAGAATAAACAAAGAAACGAACCTTCAAACTCGATTTTTATCACCACCGGCGGCGCATGTCGTTGTCATCGTCGTCCTCGTAGCTCGGACGGGGCGATAAGTGACGAGGCGAGATAGAGAGGGAGAGCGGCGGCGGTTAGGGTTTCGCAGAGAGGAGAGGGCGGCGGTTTTTTTTTTTTTTCGGCTAGGGTTTGGTTTTTTTTTCTGGAAGAGGAAGAGAGAGTGGAAGGATCGAGAGAGGTGAGAGAGACGAGAGGGGGGCGGCCGCTTGGTAGGGTTTTTAGAGACTATATATACCCCATCGTTCAAAAAGACTAAATTGCCCTTAGGGTTTCGTTCTAATTACGCGGCCGCGCCACCGCGTTTTTGAGCAATTACCAAAATACCCTTCCCCCATCCCCACAGTGAAACGAAAAATCCACAAAAATAAAGGTTAACCAGTTTCGAACCCAGGTCCACGGACTCATATGGGACAAACGGCTGACATTTTGTCCAGTTGGGCTACTGGCCCATTGTGCGTTAATTTAACTATCTCGTTTCTTTTTACTTATTTAAAATACTTAATACGAAATATGAAATGCGAATTAAGTTAGTGTTGCTTCTTGTTGAGTACATCGAATTTCTTCTTAATGATTAAAATTCTTGCATTCATATTATTAACATCATAATAATCTAAATGAAGTTTTATTAACAAAAATTATAAAACAAAATTACGTTCAGTGGAACGTGGTAAAAGCTACAATTAAATTTTCAAAGTCCTAATGAACTACGTGGACTTTGATCCCGTCTAACGGGTACGTAGGCAACCGGTAAGGTTCGAGTCCAACTAACAAATTAATTATATCTTTTACGTCAGTGGACGTATAATTTAATTACAACTAATACGATTTAGTTTCTTCAATGGTCCAGTGAGACCCTAAAATTACAAAATATTACTAAAATACACCCAACTCGTACAAAAAACTTATCGACTTAAGTAGTACCGATTTAGGGCGTTGTGGGGTGTGATTTCACTTCCCCACACGTAACCGTACTCCCGAACCCAGAACTTCATTTCCGCAGATCATATCTCGGTTCTGACCCTAAGGTTAGAGCCGATTCGAAGAGTGTTCGATCCACTCCAAGTAAGATCGATGGCGACTCCCAAAACAGCCGACGCGACGACGTACGGACCCCCCGGACGGGACGGTTGCGACAGCATGGGTATACAACCTAATTCAACCCGACCAAAGCGATTTGAACCCATTTTACAGGTTTTCGCTGGGAGCGAGTTTTATCTGTTTTTGTAATTGGTGTGTTGTGTCAAGTGCAAGGTTGTCAACCCGGGGGTCGACCCGGACCCGGTCGAGCTAGTGGGTCAAGGGTTAATGGGTCACCCGTTTTAGCCCGGATTAACCCGTTTGTAACATTTTAAAAATTATAGAAACATGATGCAATAAGTTTATATTTCAAGGACTAGAAATATAATTTAATTTAAGGTATCATTTAGTAAATCTCCACCCCATCTACACACCCTTCGTTTAATTCGTTTAATTCTATCTGCAACTACTTTATTCCTCATCCTAATTTAAGTTTACTTAAAATTGAACCTAGGCCCAATTCACTTGGCCGCCCTCCCCCATTCCTTCGACCCAATCCCTAAAACAAACGTTGCGGCGTTGCCTTCTTCGATCGAATTACAGGGTGTTTTGAGGCGAAAGAGCAGCTGTTGCAGCTTGAATCGCATCAAATCACAAAAACAAAACTTTGTTTGAATCATCGATGCTCCCGTGACCTCTATCCCCTCTTCACTCACCTCCGCTACTCTCCTTTCATCACCCAGTTATGGTCTTGTGGCCTGTGGGAGGAGGAAGAAAGCGAAAGGCACCAACAGCGTCGATGGATTGCGCCGGCGACGTGGACGATGGAAGGATTCCTAGGGCCGGAGGAAGCTTGCTGCTGCGACTCTGGTCTGCTGCTAGGAACAATGGCATCAGCCTCCAACCCGCAAACCGTCACAACCGGGTTAACCGTCCGGGTTTGCCGGGTTTGACCGAGTCAAGGTGGGTTTGACTTTTCCGGGCTAACTCTTAGATGGGTGAATGGCGCCCGTTTTAGTGTCCGGGTCCGGGTCAAACCGGGTCAACCCGCGGGTCGACCCGCGGGTTGACAACCTTGGTCAGGTGTGAATTTGTCCAAAACTCAGTCCAACCAGGTCAAAGCGAGTTGAACCTGTTGGTGACGAGTTTTGAGTCGATAGTGAGTTTTAGATTGAGTGTTTTTCATTTTGTTTTTTCCTTTTATTTGAGAAAGACAATTGAACCCAAATCCATGGATATCCAACCTAATTTGAAAAGATCTAGAGAATAACAAAATTATGAAAAGAATAATTAAAAATGAATTAAGATTACTTTCTCATTTTAATTAACAATAAAACTATTACTCTTTAAAATAATTTTTTTATACGCGAAACAATAGGTCAATAGCCAACGAGCTTTTGCTTAACATATGATATCTGACGACTGACATGGGTAGTAGTGATCTTCCACAAGACATTAATTATTATTTTATGACCATGATTGTCATTAGAGAAGGCAATCGCCCTTCAAAAGAAAATCAGAATGAATCACGTGGGAGAGTTATTTTATTATATCCTCCTTGGACTTCATTCGATTTTCACAACCAAATTCATGAATCGGTTGCCTCATCCCATACGACCAGCAAAGTAGACGACAGAGCAACCGCAGTGGAAAATTTTGGCGCCATGGAAACTTTGTTATATCCGCTCCTTTCAGATGGAATCCCCTTACAAATTCATTTCAGTTGCAGAGGGGGGAAATAGGAAGAGGAATAGAGGATCCATCGATCATGAGTGAAGAAGGGACGGTATGTGTGACAGGGGCTACAGGGTTCATAGCTTCATGGCTGGTCAAGCTTTTGCTTCACCGCGGCTACACCGTCAAAGCTTCTGTTCGTGACCCAAGTCAGAATCTCTCTCTCGCTCTTTCATACTCTGTTTTTCTTTCTTCCTCTGTTTTCCTCATATATTTTATGGTAAGAAATCAGGTGACAAGAAGAAGACGGCCCATTTACTTGGACTTGAGGGAGCAGCGGAAAGGCTCCAACTTTTCAAAGCAGACCTGCTGGAAGAAGGATCTTTTGATTCCGCCATGGAAGGGTGTGTTGCAGTTTTCCACACGGCTTCCCCTGTTTTCTTCTCTGCCGCTGACCCCCAGGCAGAGATAATTGATCCTGCGGTGAAAGGAACCCTCAACGTTCTGAAATCATGTGCGAACTCTCCTTCAGTAAAGAGAGTGATCGTAACTTCCTCTGTCGCATCGATTTTCTACACAGGGAAACCGGTAAGCCCAGATTCAGTGGCTGATGAGACTTGGTTCTCCGATCCAGATCACTGCAAGGAACTTAAGGTAAAGCATCTCATATGGTTCCATATGAAATTTATGTTCTTATTCACCTTACTCAACCAATATTTACGTAGTATATACGCCGCGTGTATAATTTATTTTCACGCAATTTGTCTTCAAGGTTTGGTACCAACTTAGCAAGACCTTGGCTGAGATAGCTGCGTGGAATTTTGCAAAGGAGAATGGAATCGACATGGTGACTATACATCCTGGTTTTGTAATTGGTCCCTTCTTACAGCCCACTCTCTGCTCTTCAGTGAGCATGATTCTCAACCTGGTTAATGGTAAGAAGTATACTTAACAGCTATTCCCAACACTTATAACAAAGTAACAAGTGTGGTTACTAAGTTCTTTTTCTGTGTAAGTCGGTGCAGGAAACCAGACTTACCCAAACTTCCATTACTGGGTGGTTGATGTTAGAGATGTTGCAGAAGCTCATATCAAAGCTTTTGAGAATCCATTAGCTTGTGGAAGATACTGCTTAGTTGAAAGTAGTGTGTCCTTCTCTCATGTTCTGGGGATTCTTCATGAGCTCTACCCAACATTGCCTCTGGCTGACAAGTACTATCATGCCTTCTCTGTGATGTTTGCTCTGTTCTTTAATGTATTTTTATGGCCTTTTTTTGTCAACATAGTTTTGCTTTCATTTTGATGTTGTGTAACAGATGTGAAGAAATCAATACTGTGAAGCTGCCGGAGTTTAGGGCATCCAAGGAGAAGGCGGAAGTGGGCTTGGGGATCAAGTTCGTCCCACTAGAATTGTCTCTCAAGGACACTATTGAATGTTTGAAGGATAAAGGATTCCTTCATTTCTAATTCAGAACACTTTCTTTCATGTATGCTTTTCGAAAAATAAAAAACAAAAATGGTCTTTTTAGAGCTGGATAATTTTCATAGAACAGGGCAAAAAGGTCAGGGCTTTGGAAGTTAACTTCACTATGATGTGCTCATTGATCTTAGTCCATGTGTATCAATCCCGAATGAAAGAATCAGGCCATGATTACGATCCTAACATGATCTTTGGCCGTTGGATCGCACGATCCATGTTTCATGACCGGAATGCAAGTTCATCCAATGCCCATTAGGACCCAAACCAGATTGTCATTTAACATTACTACATACATCCAAAGTTGATGGTCGCAATTTCTTGTTCCCTCAATTGTCCCCCCTTCACGTTTTCCCCATTCTTTCTGGACATAGCCATAGTTCATTGTTGTATGAAGAGCAGAGTCTCTCTGTAGCAGAACTAATTAACTAAGAAACAGAGCACTTGTCGTATTCTGCAAACCCCACGCCTTTCTCCATCTAGAAATAGCATTTTTTTTATGGAAAACATCTCTTGTCACGTTAGGTGACAAAACACCTAATGTCAATTTATTCACGTATTTTTGTACTCATTCACGCCATTTTGTGTGTATTCACGTAATACTATGTTTATTCACGTAAGAGTGTAAGTTATTCACGTAAATGAAAATTCAGACTTTTCCCCCCTAATAATTTGTATTGGCTATATTTTATGGAATTAAATTTGGATTCTCAATTAGTCTGTCAAAATATGTTGCATTGATCATAATCTACACAATGACATCCATTTTGATATATTTTAACGTCTAAAATTTAATTTTACAATGGCGTGAATAAATAACAATATGCGTGAATCGATACCAGGTTGCGTGACTAAACAATATTGGTTGCGTGAATAAGCAACACTCTTACGTGAATGATGTCAATATGGCGTGAATAACGAAAATATGGCGTGAATAAATGACAAAAATGCGTGAATTAGGTGTTCTTGTCACCTAACGTGACAAGAAACTTGATTCTTTTTTATGGGCGAAATAGCATCTTCTGACCAACCCATTGACAACAACAAGTTGTAAAATATAATTGATTAATCCTCCGCCGGACTAACTTACAGTTCACTCATCCACCAAACATAAAGTAAACATATATTGCAAATTTTTGGTTAGTCAGAGGATGGAGATCATGAGTAGTGGAGATGGGAAAGTGGTGGTGGGAGTGACAGGAGCTTCAGGTTTCATAGCTTCGTGGCTAATCAAGCTCCTGCTTCACCATGGCTACACCGTCAAAGCTTCTGTCCGTGACCCCAGTCAGTATCTTTCTCTTTCACTCTCACTCTCTCTCTCTCTGTTTCCTTTCCTCTCTGTTTTTTTTTTTTTAACTCTCTGTTTTCTGGGCGAAAACAACGAACAGGTGATGAAAAGAAGACAGCCCACTTACTTGGATTCGATGGAGCTAAAGAAAGGCTGCAACTTTTCAAAGCTGACCTGCTGGAAGAAGGGTCCTTCGACTCCACCATTGAAGGGTGCGTCGGAGTTTTCCATATGGCTTCTCCCGTTTTCTTATCTGCTGCTGATCCGCAGGCAGAGATAATTGATCCTGCAGTGAAAGGAACCCTCAATGTCCTGAAATCATGTGCTAAGTCTCCTACTGTGAAGAGAGTGATAGTTACCTCCTCTGTTGCATCAGTTTTCCACACAGGGAAACCAGTAAACCGAGATTCAGTTGCCGATGAGACTTGGTTCTCCGATCCAGAATACTGCAACAAACGTAAGGTTAGGCATACTAATATCCATGCTGCATTGAAGGTTTTGCCATTTCTGAGGGTCAACGTGCTAACTTGGCAAATATAGTAAGCTTCCACTTACAAAAAATATGTAGAAGTAGTGCAAGTGGAAACGGTAAAAGTGCATAAACTATAGTCTGGTTGCACCCACTTCCACGAAATTTATTCGGCTATGGTGCTGATAAGATCGGGCTTATGCACGAGCTGATGTTTTGCGTTCGTATGTTTCCGATCGTTAAATCAACATATAGGCGTTATTTACAAAATGACTATATTGATCCATTCGACAAATAGACAATCAGATGACATTTAATCCATTTCATACAAAGGCCTTTTCAACATGTTGTCCAATTTCCACCTATGCAACATGATCGAGAGACGAGATGTTAAAAGTGAGAGATTTTGCAGTTTTGGTACCAACTTGGCAAGACCTTGGCTGAGATGGCTGCATGGGAGTTTGCAAAGGAGAATGGAATCGACATGGTAACCATACATCCTGGAGTTGTAATTGGTCCCTTTTTACACCCCATTCTCTCCTCTTCTGTGAGCATGATTCTCAACCTGGTAAATGGTAAGACCCACAAAAAAGCATGTCCTTCACAGTTCACACAATTAAAACAACACTTTATCAATGGAGGTTCTGCATCCTGATACGTTCATGGGTATGTGTGTAAGTGCAGGAAACAAGACTTACCCCAAGTTTCACTTTTGGTCGGTTGATGTTAGAGATGTTGCAGAAGCTCATATCAAAGCTTTTGAGAATCCATCAGCTTATGGGAGATACTGCTTGGTTGGAAGCACTGTGTCATTCTCTGAAGTTTTAAAGATCCTTCATAAGCTCTATCCAACATTGCCTCTAGCTGACAAGTACTATCCTTTCATGGGATGTTTCTTTAATCTTTGAGCTGTCCTGTCTTTCTATCGGGTCTTTTTGACACCATTGTGTTGTTGTGTAACAGGTGTGAAGAAATCAATACTTTGATGCTGTCTGAATTTGAGGTTTCAAAGAAGAAGGCAGAAGAAGGCTTAGGGATGAAGTTCATCCCACTAGAGGAGTCTCTCAAGGATACAATTGAATACTTGAAGGACAAGGGATTCCTTCATTTCTGATTCACCAAACTTTTCCATTAATGGGTTGAAAATGTAGTGGATGATGTTTATTAGGGTGAGCTTGATTTTTTCATGTCATCCCAGTACCAAATTTCGTACAAAATACACGTATAGGCGAGTTTCAGTAACCAACTTCATGGGGATCTTGTGCTTTCTACTGCGTGAAAGATGATGGATAAAGATCAGTTGCCTTGATTTTCTTCCTAGATTGCACAAAAGGGTATTATTCTATTATCAGGATCATGAATACTAAAACTTTCAATCCTGATTACACACTCAGCATACCAGTATACAAAGAAAAATTAAGATTGCCAGCCATGTAAAGCTGACTCTATACAAAACCATAAATCTTCATAAAGCTGAAAACTTTACAATCAATATGCCTATATGCACACTCACACCACACCCAAAATCTCAATCAATCACTCACCAGGAGAAAAAACCTCTCATTACAAAACCTATATGCACTATTTTGCTCTCTAACTTGCCAATGTAGCTACCAGGAACATTTCTGCTTTACTTGGGTGAATTTTGCTCAGGAGATTTCTGCTTTGATTGATGAGAGGACTTGCCTGTGATCACTTTCCTTACCTTGGAAATTGAGTGCTTCACTTTGGACCCAACTTCTGATAGTATGTTGTGGGACTTCTTCTGAGGAGTAGTAACCACTTTCACCTCGGCTTCCTTGCTGGCTTCTACAATCACCATACCATCAGACCCTGAGTCGTTCTTATGCTGGTCCTCACCTTCATCTTGTTCCTCTTCTTGGCGTTCTTCGTAGTTTTCCTTCTCATTGTCCGATTTCGCTTTCTCCGGTTCTGCTTCAGCTGCTTTGGTCTCATCTCTTGTTACTGCTGGCTGTGGTTCTTTCTCTTCTGTCGGTTCAAGAACCACTTGCCTTTCTCTTGTGGATTTTGCCATCATGTCAAACAGTGAGACTTTGGCTGGGTTGATTGTCTCATCGGCTGCACTTGGTTTTGCTTCAGTTGAAATCTGCTTCTCAGAAGTTGCTTCTTCCACAAGTTCCACTGGAAGATCTCTTTGTGATATTTCTATGCATAGTTCCTGAAAATTTTATGAAATATGAAGCTACTTAGTACCACAACATCCCATCTTCAGGCTTAAGTTTTATAATAATGACTCAATGTTCTTCAAACCTTATCGATCAGAGTTGTGGCTTCTGCTTTGCCCTCTTCAGTTTTCACTTTAGCTTCTTCCTCTTCAACAATCTTCACATCACATTCACTTGGAATGCTCTCCTTCTGACGGCTGACCTCGTCATTTCTGCTTTCTTTAGGTTCAATCTCTTCTTCAGGAATTCTTTCAGCCTTCTGTTCACTTTCTGGTTTGCTCTCCTGGATAATCTCCTTTTCCTTGATAACCTGTTTTTTAAGCCTCCTAGTTAAGATTCATTTCTAAAACTTTCAAAGTAATGGAAATAAGCTTGTCATTCTAGCTTACCATCTCAGCTCCGGATGCCTCTGGTTGATTTTCAGCATTATCCACCGGTTTGGTGATGACCGCCTGGGAACTACCTTCTGATGCAGATTCCAGAGTCTCTTTCTTTATAACAGCGCTGATATCAACTGTGTTTTCCTGTGTTTCTGCTGTTTCTTTGATTTCATCACTTCCATATGGGCATTCTGTGGTGACTTCTTGTTCAAGCTCCTTAGGTTGTATAAAGCCTGGGAACTCAAAATTGGAGGAAGGCTCAGAAGATTCTTCTTTCTCTTCTGGTCCTTCTTTCTGTTGGCCAACAATGGCCTCTTCCTTTATTAAGGATGCATCATCTTCCATCTCTTTAGATGCTTTCAAGGTTTCTTCTATGGGCTTGCTTGTTTCTAATACTTCAGGATGCTCCTCTTCTGGTTTCTCAACAGATGAACTCTCAAGCTGAGTAGTTTCATTTTCTTCCAGAGGTTTAGTTTCCTGAGAAACTACTTCAGTTTCTTCAGTGATTGCAGATCCTTCACTTTCCTGTGAGCCCTTTTCAACTTCGGGCTCCAACTCAGAGACTTGAAACTCCCTTGAAACTTGCTCTAATGGTCTGATTTCTTCTCCTGCAATTGTAGTCAAGGCAGAAACTTCTTTTGTTTCTTCAGGAGCAACAGCTGCATCATTTCCCTTCTGCACTTTATCGCATTCCTGTACATCTTCTTCAACCTGAGGAGCCACTTGCGTAGTAACATTCAGCTCTCGAGCCTCTTGCTGCTCTACAGGCTCTTCTTCTGCCTGTTTTGACTTGTCTTCTGATATTCCACTATAAGTATCTTCAGTTGTTGCAGTAGTTTCACCTCCTGAAATATCATCACTCTTCCCAACTTGTTTCTCCACATTATCTTGTTCAACTAGAGCCTCCACTTCATCCTCTTCTGTTTGTTTTGCTGTGTTTTCTGCTATAGATGCTTCTGGAATTTCTCCCGTTTCTTCTGTAATTTCAGGTGCAGAAGCATTGACTTCCTCCTGGATTTCTTTCACCTGATTTTCCTTTTCAACCTCTTTTGGCTTGCATTCTTCTTCTGTTTGTTTTGGCTCATCTTGCAGAACTTCAGGTTCTTCAGGGAGAGCCTGAGCTGCTGGAACTTCATCATCTTTAACTGATTCATTCCCAGTGGAATCTGAAGCTTCTTGTTTTTTATCCATCTCATCTGAAACATAAACTTCTTCTTTCACCTGCTCCTGTGAGCAGGACTCTCCTTCAGTTTCTGGTTCAGTTTGAGGCAACTCATCCTTCATTTCCTCAGTTTCAATTGAGCTTTTCATCTCCTCTTCCTCCTTTGCAAGCAAAGCAGGAGGTTCTTCCTGATGCTGCTCTTCCTCTTTCTCCTCCTTGATGGATTTCTCATCAGTTAGTTTGTCTTCAGTTGTGGCTTCAACACCTGCAGATGCTTTCTTGATTTGTTCTTCAACTGTTTGTGAAGCTCCCTCTTCCTTGTCCTGTTCTTTAACCGGCTTGTTCTCTGTGCTTGCTTCAGACTCAAACTCCCTAGGCTGCACCTCTTTCGGAGAAGTTTCTTCTGTGGCCTGGAGCTCCAAAGGATCAGGTGGAGTGTCAGGTTGTGAAACCAACACATTCTTGGTTTCCTCTTCTTCTGTATTCTCAATCACAGCTTTGGTTTCATAATCATCTTCATGGGAAGGGACTTCTGAAGATTGTACCACATGCTTCTCTTCCAGTAGCTGCTCTTTGACAGCCTTACTTTCTTCAAGTACTGATTCAACATTGCCTGTAACTTCTTCCTCTTGCATTGCTGCCGACTCCAGGATTCCTGCTGCAGGAAGTCTGGATTCACAAACTTCATCAGAAGGCTGTTTCTTTTCCTCATGATCATCTTCATGGGAAGGTACTTCTGAAGATTGTACCACATGTTTCTCCTCCGCTAGCTTCTCTGGGATAGGCTCACTCTCTGCAACTACTGATTCAACGTTGCCTTTCACTTCTTCCTCTTGCATTGCTGCAGACTCCAAAATTCCTGCTGCAGGAAGTCTGGATTCACCAAATTCATCAGCAATCTGCTTCCTTTCCTCGTGATCTTCCTCCATAGTTTCCTCCTTTGATGTTCCTTCAGAATCTTCAACTGTTGCAGTAGCTGAAGAAGCCACCAATCGCTTCTCAGTTCCTCCAACCATTGTATTGTCATCTTCTGTTGTTTCTTCCACCAATGTCTTTTTGTCCAGAGTTGGTGCTGCTTGGATAATGGCAGCTACAGATTCTGTTTTTTCATTGGAGTCTGTTTCTTTATCAGATTCTGTTGATGAGGGGATGGATTCTTTCACCTGAAAAAGGATTGTTGACTCAGACTGCATTCGTACTTCCAAATAGAATCAGGAGTATCCACACATACAGGCAACTAGAGAAAGAAAACGAAAGAAAGCTTCTTTAACATACCTCTTCCATTAGATTTCCTTGTTGTGTGGTATCTATGGCCTCCACTGCTTCTGGCTCAACTGATGCTTTCCCTTCAGGAACGCTTTCCTTCTCTCCTTCCTCTCCTAACACCGGTTCGGCCAACTTTTCAGTCTGCACAAGCTCTGGCATTTCTTTTGTTGGCTCTTCTTTGTCTTCAATGGTATTCTCTAATTCTTTTTCCTCATCAGCAACTTGAATATTCTCAGGAACCTAAAAAGAGAGATCACCAATGTTATTTCAAATAAGAGATCAGAGAGCAAGAATATGCACACTGTGCATAGAAGTGAACACATACTTCTTTTTCAACTACCGGTAACTTATCATCTATAGTTTGGATTTCTACACTGGCTTCGGTAGTTTGATCCTTCGTAGTGATTTTGTGTTCGGTGACTAGCTCTTCAGGATTCTCTTCTGCTACAGTTCCTGTCTCTTGTTCTTTTTCCTGCAAATAGGAAGTGTTGCAGTTAATTTTTCTGTTCATTATACCATTGAGTAAATGCAAGCCAAATAGCCCTTCTATTTTGATTTACCTCTTGCATCACACTTTCAACTTCTTCGTCTTTCGGTGTTTCCTTCTGGATGATCTCATCAGTCTTAGCTACCTCAGTTTGGACATCTATGGTTGAAGCTGTTTCAGTGACAACTTCATCATCTTGTTCTGTCTCATGTGGAATACTGATGCTCTCAACTTCTGCAGCAGTTTCAGACTGTTCCAAAACCTTATTCAAAAACTATAAGTTTTCAACAAAAGTAATCTTCTATTGAACTTCCAATTGCGAGGGATCCCAAAAGCTTACCTCTTCACTGGAGAGCTCAACTTTCTGTTCATCTTTGTGCAAGTCCTCAATTGGACTTGGCTCAATGGACTCTAATGCATGGCTTTCTTCTTCTGGTATATCTACCTTCTCTTGAACAACATCATCCACTTTGTTTGAAGAACTTCCCTCAGCTTTTTCTGTCACTTCTCCAGTTTCGGGTGCCTCCTTGCTGATCTCTGCAACTTCCACCACTCCAAAGAATTCACTTTCCAGGCTTCCATGATCCTGAGTTGCAGTTGCAGGTTCATCAACTGTTTCAGTAGCTTCCTTGTTGCTTTCCACAACCTCTTCTTTCTTATCATCTTCTGGTAAATCTTGCGGAGTAAGAACAACGTTGCTTTCCTTGGAAGCTTCAATGATTGGTTGTTGTTTAGTCTCATGTACACTATGTCCTCCACTGCCTTCTTGGACCACTTCTCCATCCTCGGAATCAACCTGAGGAACCTCAATCGCCCTTTCAACAGTTTCTCCCTGTTCAGTCTTATTCTCCACTTCCTCTTCTGCAATTCCATCATTCTTTGTTTCTCCTTTCTCAGTCTCCTCTTCCTCCATCGGTAAAGCCTCGAGGTTTTCTCCTTCAGTAGAAGTCTGCAATGCATCCTCAGGACTTTTCTCATTTTGCTCTATCTGCTTATTTATGTAATTAAGTTTTACTTGCAAACCAAGTTCTAGGTTATATATGAAAACCAAAAGAAAGCCATAAGCCATCTCCTTCCACAATAACTAACCTCTTTGCAAGCACTTGCATCATCAACTCCTAAGTCCGCAACTATGCCTTCTTTGACAGGCTCTTGCATTGGCTCCTCCACTGAATTTTCTGCTTCAGTTTTGGTTTCAGCATTCTGTTCTGTCTCATGGTTACTCACTGAAATTGGATCTTTTTCAATGGCAACAGCTTCACCATTCTGTTCTGTATCATCTGGAGTACTACTGCTGTCAACTTTTGCAGCAGTTTCAGACTGTTCCAATACCTGATTCAGACACTATATACCCTCAATACAAAAATAAAAAACACAAAGCTATGAGCATAAATTTTTGAACTTTGAGGGACTACTAACCTCTCTATTTGAGTGTTCAACAGTCTCTTCACCTTTCTGAATGTTTTCAACTGGAATTTGCTCAGTGGTATCTGTTGCATGGCTTTCATTGGGGAGATCTCCCTTGTCGTCTTCATTAGGAATCGATGTCTCCTCTTCAGAAACATCATCATCCATTTTAGTTGAGGAATTCAACTCAACTTCAGATGATGATACTGGAATAACCAACTGTTCTACTTCTTCATCCACCTTTGATGTCTCCTTATTGCTGATCTCTTCAACTTCTTCCAGCCCATTACTATTCACATTAGATTCAACTGGCCGACCAAGGGTTTCACTGTCCACTCTTCCTTCTTCCTTGCCTGTCTCAGCATCATGATGAGCCTTTGGAGCTTCGCAAGACTCTGAAAGTAGGGGTTTCTTCTCCACAGTTTCAGATTCCACTTTCTCGGCTTCATCAGGTTTATCACCAGAGATTTTAGCTTCTGCACTTTCAGCTGTCTCGTTTTCTTCTGTTACATTGGATGTCTGCAATAAGAACAAAATAGAAAAAAATTTAGTTAGAGCCTGATTCCCATTTTTCAACCAGTACTTGCTTCTTACTTTAATGAGATCAAATAAAAATCTACGCAAATTGAAAATCAAACCTTTTCCTGCAGAACATCTTCATTATCTCTGACATCATCAAAGTCTGCTGATTGCTCTTCTTCCTGCACACCGATTTCTCCAGCATTGCCCTTCTCTGCCACTTCACTTTCCACTGGAGTAGCAATGTCTTCTTTGCTAGCACTCTGATCATCAATTTGCAAGTTCTGAACAGTGCTGTCTTTGACAGGCTCTTCTACTTTGTCATCATCATTAGCTACTGTGGTAATTTCCTTGGAGCTTCCTTCCTTGTTCACAGTATCATCATGATTGGCTGCGACATATGTTCAAAAAGACTTTACTTGGCAGACAAGAAATCACCTGGCTAAAACACCATTTACATACTACATATGCCACCAGTTTTCTATCTCAATGTACTGGAGATAGAACCCACTTACTCTTGCTTTCCAGTTCAGGTTGTTTTGCATCATATGCTTCTTCTTCTGTTTGAACTACTTCTTCTTTGCTTGCCCCACAATCATGGATCTCCAGAGCTTCTTTAGAATCTGGTTCATCAATCTGTTCTTGTTTCTCTGCCTCTGTTTCACTTTCAGCACTCATTGTGACCAATTCTGCAACTGCTGGTTCTCCTAACTCTCTAGACTCACTCTCAATGTGCTTCTCAGTTTCTACAGTTGCTTCATTCTGTTCATTTGCTTCTTCGTGAGACTCTGAGTGCAAGGTTTTCTCCACCATAGTTTCAGCTTCCGCTGCCATTGCTTCATCAGGTTTATCATTGGAGATTCTAGCTTCTTCTGCACATTCAGCTATCTCATTTGCTTCTGTTGCAATAGAATTCTGCATCAAAATCATATTAGAAACTTTTTGGTTAGACTCTGCTTCCATTTTTAACCACTTCTATTTTGTTACCTTAACTAGATCAGAATAAATATATGAAACTGAAACTCAAAGGTCAAACCTTTTCCTGCACTAAAACTCCATCCTTGACATCATCAGAATCTGCTGGCTTCTCTTCATCCTGCAGACCAGTCTCCACTGCTACATTTCCTTTTTCAGCCACTTCATTTTCCACTGATGAAGCCATTTCGCTTTTGGTGGCCTCTTCATTTTCAGGCTCTAAATCCTTACCTTCAACTCCAGAGCTAAAATCATTGTCCTGACTTCCATTTTCCAAACATGTTTCTGAAGCTGCAGCTTCATTCTGCACTAAACGTATCTCAGGTGTGCTGATCTGTTCAGCGGCTTCGATGCCAGGCGACACCCGATCTTCCACCACAGCATCTAGACCAGCTTCTTCGATGCTTTCATGCTGAACCTGACTGCTTTTCGCTGCGATTGGCTCATCAGCTTGACCAGTAATTACCTGTTCTTTTTCACAGGGATCCTGACCAGAAACCTTGATGCCATTTGAGGATGATTCCAAAAAATTCTCACCCTCAAGCACCTCCAGGATGCTGCTGTTGTTCCCTTCTGGTAAACTATGCTGAAGTTGTTGCATTTCGTCCGATTTCACCAAGCTAACCACAGCAGCTTCTACTTCTGGTGTCAGATAACTCTTCACCCCTTGTACTTCCTGCCAGCAGCACAAAAATAATAATAAAAAACATAGAAGTCAGTTCCCTTTCTAGAAGATCTGTAGCTACCCATAGCTAAACTAAGGTTGACATTTAATTTACAAAAGATCAGATCCATCTAAGAGTACTATATACTAAACAATCAAAATCATCGTAAAACCTGGCAAAGAAAGTAAGCCTCTCACTCAATTCACATAATTCTCAAGCTTTATGTACTTCCACAAGCATGATCATGACAGTAACATGTACTGCATAACAAGTAAAACCAAAGAGGAAAGAGCTAGCAGGACTATAGAACAGACAATTTCTGCCAGAAAGCACTCTCAAGTTTTGATCTTTAATACATGGGTATTCTTCATAACCAGGCACAGCAAAATTCAAGTGAAAAAGGTGGTAAAAGAGTTGTCAAAGTTCTGATCTTTATTGACATACCTGTGTTATGGACACAGGCTCTATGATCTTCTCAACTTCACTACTTGCCATATTTTCTCCAAACTAAAGTTTTCCAGTTGATCCTCTCAAAGATGCTGACCCTTTTGATCTCTGGCAGCTGTTCTTGAACATGAAGAGAGAGAGAGAGAGAGAGAGAGAGAGAGAGAGAGAGAGAGAGAGAGAGAGAGAGAGAGAGAGAGAGAGAGAGAGAGAGAGAGAGAGAGAGAGGCTGCTGAGCTATGAACCTGGAGAAAATGGAAAGTGTGGGAAGTTTGGTTTAGTTGGCTGCACTAATGGCTCTATATCAACAAGTGAGAGGGCAAGAGGGTGACAAAATTGCCACTTGGGATATCATGCTTGTTAATGCATTTGTGAGTTGGCAAGATATGGAAATTGGTCCCTACTCATTGACCCCCTCACATGGCCTCACAGTCCCCTTCCTTTTCCTTCTTGCCTTAGTGTATTCATCTTTGTGTGTGGCAAATCACAAACAACATAACCTTTTAGCAAGAGATCAATAATCATGAGGGATGATAAAGCTAGGTTCTTTCTTATACATGGGTGTTACTAGGCTGTATCTCATAAAGGGGTTTAATGACACAAATATTGTTTTTTTTTTAATTTGTCACTAATATGGCCAATTAAAAAGTATTGACACAGATATTGTGTTTTAGAGATAAGAATCGGCGAGGCCACCTGAGACTCAGGCGCTGACGCTTTAGCTTGTTTATTGGACCGTTTTATTTAGTTGGCAGCGGCGGCGCTCAAGACTCAGGCGGCACCGCCTGAGACCTAGGCGAGTAGGTGGGAAATCATCCCAGGCGGTGGCGCCCGAGACTGAGGTGGCACCGCTGGCTTATTGCTGGCCACCCACCTTATAAAACCCAGACAATTTCGTTTCAGATTCACACCACAAAAAAAATCGTCCAAAATAGAGGAGAGAGCTCTGGTTGCTGATGCAAAAATGGCTAATAGGTAAGAGACACATTTATTTTTGTAATTATATTATTCAAATGCTATTATGATTGTGTTTAGTTTTAATTAGTGAGTTTGTTTTTTTATAGTGATTTTAGAAGATTTGAACTAGTTGTTCGGTGGAAATCGGAGAAAGTAGAGGATAATTTGGGCGTCAAATTCGTTGGTGGTAGTAGTTTTCCGTTGACGGTTCCATCCAGAGTCACATATCACAAACTTTGTGAGAATCTAATTCCGAGAATACGGCGCAGAGACGAAGCAGTAAAAGATAGTGATGTGATCACAGGTTTCACTTACCGTCTTCCAGAATGGCAGAATGATCTTTTATTTCATTATGCGATACCTATTGTGGATGATGATAGCTTGAATGTGCTTTGGAATTTTATGGCACAAAATCCTTATTGTTTGGGTGCTGAGATACATGTTGAGCTCAGTGAGGATCAGGGTGGAGAGGAAGAAGATGATACATGGAGCGTGCCATCCGATCATGACTATGATGACGATGATGACGGAGAGGAGGAAGATGAGGAGGAGGAGGAAGGAGAGCAGCTTAATTATCCTCCATATTTTTACTTGCAGGGTAATGAATAGGACGAAGAATTATCACTTGCTGATTTATATGGCGTAATTCCAATGCCTATTGTTGATAGTTTTGAAGGAGAATTCTACAAGGGACAGATATTTCACTCGAAACAAGCTGCATAGATGGCGATTAAACACCACGCACTACAACGCAACTTTCAATATGGCGTGGTGGAGTCGTCACCTTCAATATGGAAGGTCAGATGCTTGAGGCACAAGGATGACAATTGTCCATGGATGGTGCGGTTTGGATGTCGAGATGTTGGGGGCGAATGGACTGTGAGAAAGGCTGAGTTGGTGCATTCTTGTAGCAGTACGACTCAACCGACGGATCATCGCCATCTTGATGTCGACATGATATCTGAGGCCGTCAAACATTTGGTACGTGCCCAACCAAATCTGAGTGTTCTAACTGTTCAAGCTGAGTTGAAAGATAAGTTTAATATGCAAGTTACTTACAAGAAGGCTTGGTATGGGAAACAAAGAGCATTGGAGAAGTTGCATGAAAATTGGGAAGAATCCTACGATTTTTTGCAAACATTCTTGCGGGTGGTCAAGAGAAAAACACCGTCACGCAAACTCACCTCAGCATGCTCGATAGTGTCGTACTAAAAAACACCAACAAAATGTCAGATATTTCACACAGTTAACAACAAATTAAGCAAACAAATCAAATAACTAACCAATGCCTCTGCTGCAGCTCCTCTCCGTGTGCCGGAACGTCTGGTGACATCTCTATACCACTCCATATGCTCCGAGTGGTAGGCTAACTCCTCATCAGTGTATGGAGCCGTCGCTACAAACTCGTGTCGACGGTTCCAGAAAGCAATCGACTCTCTAGAGGCGTGTACCAACTGCTGCCCACGCGATGGCCCACGAGTAGCCTGGCGAAGAAAAAACCTAACCTGAGCCTCAGGATGTGGCGGATGAGGCTCATGCTGCCTCATGCCAAACTGCCGGAGCACGCGGTCTGGATGATGCCACATCACCGATGAAAAGCAGATAAGTGGCACTACTGCTCGAAATGTCTCAGACTGTATCACACTACCTCTGAGATGAAGTGCTCTCTCAAGGTAAGGTTGCCACTACATTAAAAATAAATTAACGTTATTATCTCTAAATCTAAAAAAATAAAACAAATGAAAACTATTCTATAAAATGAAATGTTATATACTAACCACCACGGTGTCCATCGCGTCAAACCACAGCTTGTACTAGAATAGCTGGTCACCATACTGACGACTGTTGGCCGAAAGCCATCGAAGACCACGTGGGGATGCATCCTCGGTGGCCTGTGCCCTCGTCTCTGAATCTCGAGGTGCCAGATGTGGGAATCGCTCCCACGCCCAGAACTGCAGTAGGGCGACCCATCCACCAAGGTCACCGCTAAGAGAAGTGTTGGTATGCGTAATGTGCAAAGTCGACCTACCCATCTCACGGTACAGGTAGGATAAAACAGCAGCTCCCCAGGCGAACCGTCCAGCTCTCTGCCAATCCTCAATCAGAAGTAGGTACTGTAGGTGCACCGTACCTCCAGACCGATCCGGGAAAAGTACACCTCCAAGCAGAGATAGAGCATAAGCTCGTGCAAACTGCTCTATAACCTCCTGTGATGCATTTTCCGGCAGATGATTGAATTCAACCCTCAGCCAAACAATCCTAACAACAGCGACACCGCCTACAAGATCAGCCGGAACCCGTCCTAACAGTCTCAAACAGATCGTCGACCACTCCTCATCCGGTATATCAACTACGACGGCATCACCGTCGATCGCCAGACCGGATAGTGTAACAACGTCCTCTAACGTGATCGTGATCTCACCACACAGTAGATGGAAGGTCGACGTCTCGGGGCGCCACCGCTCTACGAGCGCAGTAATCAAACTCGCATCGGGGTTCATAGGGACTAGGGGCACGACACTTAACAAGCCTGCCTCTTCGAGATATGGTCGATAAAGCTCATGGTAAGGTACTAAAATGGTCGTACCTCGAACATGGTAAGATCGATCACCAGCCTATAGTGCACAAAACTTATATTAATTCATTTTCATTCGTAATAATTATAATTTCACCTAATAAATTCTAATCTGTCTTATCTAACATAAAATTATACTAATTTCAAATTATACTAATTTCACCTAACAGTTCAGTTCACAACCTAAAATGATCTAATTAGCTAATTAACTTTACATGAATAATTATCAAATACTTACCACGTTTGTCCAAACAGAGTCGATACGATGTTGGCCATGTCCCCAAAGAAGTGTCGGATCAACCGGACTTGGATCAATTGTCGTCGGCGGTAATCTCATCGAATAAGGATCCATAAGCCTAGGAACTGCAAAAACAAAGCAACAAAACATTATAAAAAAAAAACACAAAACATTAAAAAAAAAAAAATCAAGCCGCCGACGAGAGTCTCACCGCGCAAACGGCCGCCGACTCCACCACGACCTCGCCGGCCTCTCCCTCTGCCTCTGCCGGCGGCGACTGGTTCTTCGTCGGAGGACATCTCGGGCGATGGCGCTTCAGTCAGCAGCGGCGGCGCTTCAGTCAAGGGCGGCGGCGCTTCAGTCTTCGGCGGCGGCGCTCCACTCGGCAGCGGCGGCACCCGACTCTGCGGCGGCGGCGCCTCAGTCCTGGACGGCAGCGCTTGCTGCGGGAGGCTGGTAGGGTTCTCTCTGGCTCGGGGGTTGGGGGGGTGTGTGTGTGGTGTGGAGGAGTGAAGAAGAGGAAGGAAGAAGAAGAGGAGATAAGGTGGGAGGGGCCCGAGGTCGGTATTTTAAAAAACATAAGGGTGGGGCGCTGCTGCTGGAGACTCGGGCGCCAGCGCCTAGAACTGAGTCAAAAGAATAACTGAGGCGTGGCCGCTTGAGACTGGGGCGCCAGCGCCCAGAACTGGGTAAAACATCAGCCCCGCCTGAGTCTCAGGTGGTCCCGCCCCAAATCTTACTAAAAAACACAATATCTGTGTCAATACTTTTTAATTTGCAATATTAGTGGTAAATTAAAAAAAACAATATTTGTGTCATTAATCCTCATAAAGGAGAGTGATTTTGTAATCACCATTTAGTTGGTCCATCTCTTACTATTTCTTTTATCAACCAAATACTATTATGACGTATTGGGTTGTGTATTCGTTGGTGATTGAATTTTCTACCGATAGTACTTTTATAGTTTTATGCAATAGGTACATGTTCTCTGTCGGAAAGCAAAACAAAGATATATGAGGTTGGTTTTACTCTTCATGATCATGACATGTCTGCGTTATTTGACTATATCCCTTATCTTCAGAGAGGATAATTTATTCATTTTGTAAGTTGACTCTTTCGCTGAACTTTTATACGAAAAAATTTGCTTTGACACTCACACCTCTCACATCTTGGTCAACCAAACATCACTATAGCTTATACCATATTATGGTTACTATTATATCATTCATCTTATTTAGTAAATACTTGGAATTTAATCTTTCAACACTAAGCATCAATTACTGCTTAAACGTGAGAAAGAACTAACCCATAATTACTCCTAGGCATGGTTATGCTGCTTTGGCAGACAGAAGGATGCCCAAGAACTATAGGAGTAAGGAAAGTTGTCTCGTGTGGGATTCTGTATCCTTTTTCTTACTTTTTCTCCTGCAAGTCATTGTCTTCATGGGTCTATAGATTTTTTTTTTTTTATGGTTGGGTCTATAGATTTTGATGCCTTTATATAGGAAGAGTTTTGATTTTTCAAGGTATATTGATGGCTTTCTCCCAATTTAGAAGAAGTCATTGCCTTGTACCTTTCAAAACCCAAGTGTTTGGTATTCATCATCAATCAGATGATAATTGGGGATGAGTGATTTAGTACGGTGGCAAGTGGGTGTTTATTTGAACCCTAAGATTCTACTAGTAAGTAGGATCAGTGCTAGTAAGTTTCGTTATCAGTACGTTGATTTACTCAGGTTATCACTGTATATATGGTATAAGTTAACTATCTGTATTGCGAGTTTTGTCTCGCCATTAGACCAAAATGTGTATCATCGTTCTAGTATTTTAATGGTTTGATTAGAAAAATAAATATACTAAATAACTAACAAAATATGATGAAACTAAAGATTGGATAAACTAGTGAAAAATTTTAGCTTGTCACTAGATGGTGATGGATTAGGTGGAGGAAGCATTCCAAATCGAAGATTAATTAGCCTAATAAATTAGTCTAAAAGCAATGAATCCCCATAAGAAAACTTGAAGCCATTCATATAATAACACTATGGATTTTGCCCTAAAGCTGACAAAACTTGTGATGATGATATATATACTAGATTAGCACGCAGTTTTTCAGAAGAATCTTCTTGGCATGACATAATCCAACAGGACCATTAGCTGGCAGGCTGGCTGGCTGGCTGGCCACCGTGGGTTAGGTCACGCAATTAGGTGTTCTTAAGCTAGATTAATGTTCTAAGTATGATAGTTTAATTAAATGAGTCATCACAATGCTTAATTGGCAATATTTTTGTGTATTGTTGTGGTTAGTAAATGTTATTAGATTCATACTTAAATATCTTTCCAGAATTCCATTTCCAATTTTAGTGTTTGGTATAATTCTTACCACTATAGAAATGATTTGCACTTTTAACAATAATTAATAATATAATATAATATATTTATTTTATCTTGGAAAATGGAATATGAATGACAGAGAAAGAGGGTAGGGTGATAGTTGGTTAATAAAATAATAATAAATAGTGATGGGACCCACTAATTCCATCTTCATAAACCCAATTCCTATCACTTTTGATAGGAATTGTAATTCCCAAAACTTAGCCCAAATGAAATTCATTTCTCAACCTTCTTATCCTTCCAAACATAAATATGGAATTGAAATTGAAAATGGAATTCCAATTCCTGAGTTTTTTTTGTCTATCCAAACAGGTTGTAAATGAAGCTTCTAAATTGAAGAACTACCTTAATTTTTTACTAATACTAAGTTTTACACATATGCTATTCATCTGTATGCACTCCTTTATGTGCTCCATATTAATGATATTATAACATCTCATTTATTATATTTCTCCATCATATTGCACACTGGCAGATCCATGATAGGGTAGAGCACTAAGCCACCTTTTAAGAAGTGGCGGGGGGTTTTTTTTTCTGACAAGCACTGAAATGAATATCTAAAATCGAAAAATTTACAATAACTATAATAGTTTTTGATCCAGGAAAGGACTGGACCGTGGCCCGAGGGCGGCCTCTTAGATATGTCCTCGTATTGCATGTGCACCATATATATATACCAATTATCACACTGTTAACACCAAAATTGGATAAATACTAGATACAGAAAACAATAAACGAATTCAAGGAACTAGAACACAAACTCTCTAACAAAAGATCATGATAAAGAGACTTTACAAAAATTCATAATATATCCACTACACAAGTGTTTGACCTGAAATAAAATCTATTCATTAAACTTATAATTTATACAAGGAAACGATTCTTCAAAGAATAATTTATTTAAAATAACTTGGTACAATATTGAAAATCCGATCATATCCCAATAGGCAATAGCCAATAGCCAATAGCCAATAGCCAATAGAGTTTGAATGAGGTATGACTTCTCCCGCTGAAAGAGAGCCATCCAAAGCTAGCTGACGTGGACGGTCGGTCCGCGTAGGTACAGCAAACTGATGATGTGGACGGTGGAAAGAGGACCCACCACCTGCTGATGTAATCACCCAACAAATGAAAACTCTTATCACCAGCCGCCCAACTATGAAAAGTTGACGGGCGGAGACAGAAAATTTAAAGTTCAGAAATGGAGGCTCAAATAATTTATAAAAGCTTTCTCCGCTCTTTGCCAAACTGCAAATATGAAAGTGATGACGAGCTTTCCAGGTCCAATCCCTTGATAATCGAGATAATGCGAACTCAGAATCTAACCGCACTTTGATATCACGTTGAGAATCAATTGATTGCAGAAATTTAAGTTGTTGAGAAATAATCAAGTATCTTAATCTTATATTCATTTCTTACATTATTGTGTCATTTATATGATTTAAGTTTATCCATTAAAATCTTCATCTATACATTCATTATTACGTTGATAATTGGCTAGTATGAATTTTTCGTTAATGACTCATATGTATCGTCTCTAAAAAAAGACTTCTCCCACTTTGATACCTATAGATTATGTTGCAAAGGGGATTTGCATGCATGATTTGTTACATGTAAATTTCCTCACCCAATTTGAAGAGCTCAAAAGCTACTCGGTCCCCTGAAAACTTCCGTCACTAGTCAACGAAACTCGAGAATATCGTAAACTAGCTCGAGGTTGTCATGCATATTGTTGAAACATATTATCCAAATACCAAGTCGGCAAGGGGCGACTTAGTTAGTAAGCCACATATAGGGCCTAGCAAATTTACTTTTTGGTTTGATATACACAATCTAGCTAGTTATCGGTACGAAATATAACTCCTTATTACATCATCTACATTTTGGTTTAATTTACAAATCTCAACTAGTTATCTTATGACTTTAAGATAATCCCATAGTAGGGCACTTATAGGGCTTGACTCGACATACTTTACTTTTGTGCTAGTTATCGGTATGTATGAAGCTAACTTATTGAAGAATATTAACAAAACAGTATATAAAGTTAAATATCCACTCATATGAATTTTCCAGATATGCATTGCAACCAAAAAAAACCTAGCTAGACATTTAATATTTACCCAATTAATGTAACATCTCCCCTAGGTTTGAATCAGAGAAATGACCTGTTTTTTTTTTTTCTCCCAATTATTTTCGTTTGGATTTAATAATATTCTTTCTTTAATTCTTAATTTAGTGATATTCTATATGAAATACATTGTGTGTAAAGATGGGCAATGTTGTACAACTCAAACTCATAGACAATCTCAATCAAACCGCCCAAACACACACATGGTTGTCTTTATTCGGCCAGCTTCGATCCCCACCGAAATTATATCGGACAACTGCTAGCTCCCAACTTGCATTTGCCTCGCTCTCCAAAGTTTGTGTCATTTCAAGAGCTTTCGATGGAAATGAATGATTGGGGGAAGGAACAAAGCATAAACATGCAAAATTGTGAATTTGCCTCTTCGTCAATGGTTTTGTGATAGTTAAATCGATGTATTGTTATCAATACATACATAATAATATACATGTATATGAGAAAATTGGTCTATTATAGTTTACATTGTTTGCTTTCTGTGATAGTTATTGTAGTGTTTAAATAAATTATATTACTTTATGGGTAAAATGTCATTTGTACCCTTTGTTTTTAGTATAAAAAAGCAACACATATAAAAAGATAGAAACAAGGTTGGAAGAAGAAAAAAACACAACAATCTCAATCAAACAATCTCAACCAAAACTTGAGATTTAACTATCACTCATTTTGAGTGATAGTTTGTGTCACATCAAGCAAACAATGCATGTATTGTTTGTGCAAAAAATTTAAAAAAAAATGATGCATTGTGAACATTGCATGCACTGTAACTATCTCAACCAAACTATTACCAAAACAAAATGACTCCTAGTAGATGTATTGATGTGATGCATATACATGGTAAAAACTATAAGATTTTGAATCTATGGATATATTTTGAATCTATGGATACCTCCATCGAGTTATTGGGGTGTTGTGGTAGTAAAGTATAACGAGCATGCAAACTTTTTATAGAATGACTTTCGTTTGACGGTGAATGATATAAGATCATATTGTGGACATCTCCCAAAATTTCGACATGATGATGATTATAAGAAGAAGAAAAAAAGATATTGTTCGTTATTTGTCAATACAACGTGATACTATATATTATATGTTGATTCCGTTGATTGATCAATCATATATTTGATCTCAAGATTCTCAACCATAATATATTGTTTATGTACCATGTCAAAACCAGTTGGTCTCAAATTTGAGTTGTTGGGAGAGGCTCAATTATGGATCATACATCATTTACTAACACACTCTCTCAAACGAAAGTTAGCTCATATGAACTTGAAGTTTGCAAGGTACGCATACCACATGTACTTAACAAAATAGATGTGCGCAATCGAGATTCGAACAAAATACCTCTCGGTTACAGAAAAGTACTCTGATATCATATAAAGAACCAATTAGTCTCAATCACTCGAATTATTAGAAGAGGTTCAATTATTGATCCTATACCATTTATTAAGAGATCCCCCACAAATGCTTGATTCAACAACGTCATTACGCATGTTAACCTTAGCCCCATGATCAACATGTGATAAAAAAAAAAAAAATCTTGCCAATAGTTACGTTGTTGTAGACAACAACCTATTGCAGGCCAAGGTGGAGCCATGTCAGCATCCCTAGCTGCCGATTTGGATTCTTTCCAACATGGCTACGATCAGTCCTTTATGAAAGAATCCCTTGGCGCTGGCGGCGACCGACCGCCCACCCCAAAATCCCACGTGGAATCTGACTCACTGCCACGCACCCAGGCTGGCTGGCTGGCTGTGGCTGGCTTCTTCTTTCTTTCTTTCTGGATCGTCATTCCGTTGGTTGATTCGAGCTGTCATTTGCGACTTATGATGAAATTTTTGAAAACTCATTCATTCTCAGCTATAGCAATCATCATCATCAGTACAGGATTGAAGATTCCATTCCATCCCCTTAATTATTTAACTATATATCTGCCCTTTTTTTCCCTCCCATTTATCACCCAAGACAAAGTTCTTGATATGTTGTCTGATCACATCGCCTTCAACTTTGGCAGTGGGGTTTTCCAAGTTGCTAGTACGTACAACTCCAAGGAAAGTTTTGTGCGGGAAGTGACATGATATGGTGAAATTATATGTGTGGTACATTCTAATCTCCTTCTATTTGAAAACTGATAGGTTATGTTCCATCACATCATTTATAAAATCAGGAGCAGACGTCCAAGGATCAAAGATTAAGGAGATAATTAATTTGAGAATTGGGAAGATTTTGAAGGAATAGAAGAAGAAATTGGGAGATAGAGAGAGGCCATCAGTCTAGAAGGAGAGGGAGAGAGTATTGAGGATTTTTGGAATTTGAATGTTATTCTTAGTTTAGTTATGGTGAAATAATGAAAACGAAATATAAATTCAATTTTGATATTTTGGGTTAGGTTTGAGAATTCGACTCACTCGTTATTTTGGTCCGGCTCGTTCAGGTCCTCATCAGTATACTTGAAATATTCTACTTTGTACTTGCTAGTTCTCAAGAAACAGAGTATAAGTATTAAGAAATATATGAAATTTGAACTTACCACTTTGATATTTCATTGCTTCTTTTTGGTACGACCTAAAGAAAAAAATAACCAGTTAACTTCTTTTCCTTTCAGATAGTGACCGAACTGTCAAAATGGAAAAAGAAACAAAGCACCGTAGAATCAAAATGATCTGTGAAAAAAAACAAGGTGTGATTAATTAGTGCAATGTGATTACTTTAAATTTGGGCCAAGAAACCCTAGTGGATCTATCAACAGTTCAACGTAGTAACCTCAGCCCAACTTCCAAGGCCCAATCTCTGAACTCCGTGACGACGCCGTTGCAATCACTTAGCCACAATTGGCATAAAAGCCATAAACCACGTGGCCGGCGATTGTTAGTGCTGCCGAGTACAAAATCTCGTCACTCCTCCCCAGATGAACCGATAATAATTGCGAAACCAGAGGGGCAGAACCGGAAATTCAAGCAAACCCGAAAAAGAGGAACAACTCCAGCGCGGGAAATAGAGCCGTTGCTCGGTTTCGCGCCAAAATTTTCAGGTTTTTTCAGCTGCCCGTAACATATCCGGGCAGTCCCAACCGGCCGCCCGCCCGCCCTACCTTTTCTTTTTCCCCTTAAACCAATATAATATATATAAATTCACCGCCTTCATTATTTTCTCCGTTCTTCTCTCCCATTCTCTGTTTTCTCCCGTCAAAATTTTCCCTTTTCGAAAGCCCACATTTTCTCCACAAATTTTCCCTCCCTTTCCCTCTCTCTCTCTCTCTCTCAAGGAAAGAAATTCGGCATCCAAAGTTCCCTTTTCTCTTATTCTTCCTCTCTTCTGCTTCCCAGTTTCGCATTTGGTTCCGATTCCTGAATCAAAACCATCTATTTCCCCCGTTTCCTTTCCTCTGTTTCTTCTGCCTTTTGAACACTGCCCATAGTTTTTATATTGCCCGGGAAAGATGGGGTTTCCGAAGAAGAAAGTGGTGGATTCCGGGTTGGAATATGACGGGAAGAAATGGGTCATCGCCGGAATCTCGATAAAGCCATTGAAGCCGGTCAACACGAAGCCCAGAGGCAGAGCAACCGCCACCGGCGGAGGAGGAGATAATAATACGGCCGCTTGTGCCGGCGGGGTCGAGGAAGAAGAGGAGCGTTCAACCACCCCGACAGCGAGGGAGGCAAGAATACCGGAGAAACTGCCGTGCCCGCCGGCCCCGAGGAAGAGAAGGCCGCTGCCGTCGAAGTGCAATTACGCCGTCGGGGCCAGAGACTTCTTCACCCCGCCTGACTTGGACTCGGTCTTCAAATGCTATGTCGAGAGAGCAAATTAGAGAAAATTACTCCACAACAACAAGAAAATCGTTTGGGCCGCTTTACTTTGTTTTGTCTGTTTTTGCTTGTTAGTAGCCTAGTAGGTAGGGAGGAAAAGTTAGGAGATGGTGAAGAGTACAAGATGTACAAAGAACTATATATATAGTAGTAGTTATGAAAGAGGTAGTTTAGTTTTTCTTAGTTCCTTCTTCTTTACCTTCTTGCTTCTAATATTTGTTGGGCTTTGTTTGAGAGACCTTGATGTTTGTGGTTGTTCAAGTTAAATGAGAAGGATTAGTTTCTCTTCTTCACATGAAAGTTCTCTCCTTTTGTGGGTTTGTAGGAAAGATTGTCCCTTTCTTAATGGTTGAGATTGCTGAATCTTGTGGTTTGATAGTTTTAGTTTGGTTTGACATCTACCCTTGTCAATTTTTCAAGTGATAGTTCTCTTCTTTTGTGGGTTTGTTGGAAAGGTTGCTACTTTCTTTGTCCTGGCCAGTATTGAAGCCTACCCTTCAGCATCAACCTACAAGGAGGATTAGAGTCATATTGCTACTTTCTTGCTTGGTGTTTCTCAAAGTGAGTATGAAATATGGAGCACTATGAAGTATGAAATGCAATATGACTCTAACTTGGAAGAGTTAAGGTGAAAGAGAGAGAGTGTGTGGGGTTCTTGTATTGAAGTGGGTGAAGTTATTATTCTTGCACTATTTTAACAGACATAGCTAGCTCATGCCATTGAAGTCTGAGAAAGAGTTTTCTTCAATTTCTATGTTTGCAAATTTCTATGTGTTGCTATTGTTAGGGTATTTATCTTGTGACCCTATAGCTGAGGTAACAGTGTCACTGTACATCACTGGTATCTAGAGGCTATAGTAGTATATATGGAGTGGTAGGGTTTTGTGGGTAAGAGAAAAAGAGGGAGCAGAGTTTTTTTTGTAGTTATGTGGAATTTTGGGGTTGAGTCTGGTCAGGACTCAGGAGTCAGGGGGGAGGACACAGGACAAGAGTGCTGGGCTTGAAGGCAGCCAGCCTTCTTGTGTTAAATTTATTTCATATTTCTATTATGATGTAGTACTGTTTCCTTACATGCATACAAATCTATCCATTCATCACAAAACCCTCCAAGGGTACAAATTTACTGGTTAAACCGCGTATTATTGACTTAAGTAACGATTTTGTTTGTTGAACCACTAATGTCATCGATTTGATCTCCGGTAGGGTAGAACGGGAACCTAGAGATAGAAAAGTGAGGTATGTGAGTGAGGGGGGCAGAGAATCCATTTGGATGCTTGTTCATTTTGGTTTTCTGCCTCTGGGTTCTGCTGCTACTGCCCTAAACCCTAATCATTCAGCCTTTGCTTATCCAATCCTCTTTCCCTCTCTCTCTTACCATATTATTGTGTTTCATTCTGCAGTTGCAGTGGTATTTTTGAAGCCTTCAGTAAATCTATCTTAACTTTCTTTCTTCTTCTTCTTCTTCTTCTTCTCCTTCTTCACTCCCAAGTGGGAGACACATACCTCATTTCTCATGCTTATTTTTAAGCCCTTCTTATCAATTTCCTCACTAATCAACATTATTATCATTAAATAACCAAAACCCATTTGTTAAACATATATGTATACGTATGTGCCTATGTCATAATGGGTAAGCGTGTCCCTCTTTTCTTGTTGGTAAGGTAGGTGAGAGAGAGGATTGGTTTAAGAATTCCATTACCACCATTTCTCTATGGGTCAAGATTGGATTAAAGAATGTTTTGAACTTGATTAGGTGAGAGAGGACTTAAACTTGAAGGACCAAAGCTAGGATAGTGTACATATATACACACACGTGTAGAAGTGGTATGGTGAGATAAAAAGGAATTCCTTTAGCCTTTGTATCAGTGGTATGGTAATGAAAGAAAAAGGCAAAATACACTTGTATAGCCAAAACTTTCACGTTTTTGCCAACAATAGCCACTTTTGAAAAAATACCAAATATAGCCAATTTCATCCAATTCTTTAACGGTGTTATCAAACATGCTGACTAGACTAACGTTTCTTGCTGATGTGGCAATTTTTTTGTCCAAAATCATACCATGTGGAAATGATTATTTTATTATTATAATTAACTTAAAAGTTAACTAAAATCCTTCACCCCCCTCTGGTCTCTCTTCTCTCGCATTTTCCCATGTCCTTCTTCCTCTCTGTTTGCGACCAGGACATATTAATTCTCAGGGCACCTCCTCGCCGTTCTCAACCTCCCTCTATTCCCTGAGCATCCGTCCCAACGCTTCCTCCTCGCCGTTCCGACCTCTCTCCGACGCCTCCTCACTTTCCTGACCTTTCTCCAGCCCCTCCTCACAGTTTTTCCCTCCGCTGATCCACCGTCGAAACAGAGCTAGCCATCGCAAAATGGCAATTCGAGCTCTCACGACGAGGCCGCCAGGGTGAAGAAGAAGTTGAGTTGCTCTCTTTGTATTATTTAGGGTTTTTTCGGGTTTGAAATTGGGATGGTTGAATTTAGGGTTTTCTATGGATTTGATTAAGAGTATTATTGTTGGGGGTTCTGCTTTCACAGTGCTCGATTTGGGGGTTTTGTGGATTGGGGGTTTTGTTGTTGGGGGTTCTTTAGCGATGTTGGTTTATTGGCAAGAGGGGAGAGTGAACCGATTTTCAAGGACGGCGAGTTTGAATCTGAAGGCTTGGGGGATCTTCGACGAGTTCAATCTGAGGGGCGAACACAAAGCGCTTTCGAAGAGGAAGGAGATGAAGCGGTGGCGAAATCTTCTCAACAACGGAGATGGTGATTTTTCCAGCGACTTACAGCTCTCGATTCGTGGTGATTCTGGTTTTTTCAAGCTCTCAATTGATGGGCGCTAGCCCGCAACTGAAGATGGGTGTTAGGAAGTTGCCGATTCAAAGGTCTGGATTTGTGATTTGTGGTTCTGGATTTAAGATTATGGGTTCTGGGTTTGAAATTTTGGTTATGAGTTTATTAAAGATGGTGTTCTCTGTTCTTGATTTTGTTTGTTTGGCTGGAGTAATGGAAGGCGCCGGCTAGGGTTTTGGCCGAAATTAATTTGAAGAAGCTAGAAGATGAAGTGTTAAAAGGCAAAAAAAATATTTAAAGAAAATTATGAGATGGCATCTACGTGGTAAGTGGGGTGAGTTGTCGTTGATGTGTGTCGATGTGGCATCCTAGTCAGCATATTGTTAATCTAACTAACGATATTTTTAACACCGTTAAAGTTTGTGACGGAAATGGCTAGATTTGGCATACAATCACCCCAAATTGTGGCTATATCTGGTATTTCTCTAAAAGTGGCTATTATTGTCACAAACGCGAAAGTTATGGCTATGAAAGTGTATTTTGCCAAAGAAAAACGAAGGCATATATCCAAACCAAAAGTCTGCCCTAGCTACCAAGAAACCATACAGAATGGTAACAAATTTCAAGGCTGAGATGGAGCTTTGGAAGGTGCATGGATGCTTCAAGATGTTTGTTGACTAAAGCGACCCTTCCTTGGCCTAGCTAGACCCACAAACAAGAAAACATAATGGAACCAATGAGTAAAACAAAATAACATGAATATCGATACAAAGAAAAAGGAAAATCCCAAGTACACTATGTCTACTACCCCATATCATACGTCTCTTGATCTCTTATGATGAGTTTTCACCATTATTATTGGTTTCAGATTGAGCCCTCTCCCTAGCTATAGTTATTGCTCTAGAGAGTGACATTTTTAACCTCATGTGGACATCTTTGGGGGTGAATTACATGAATGAGAGCACTATAATTTTTGGTTGGTCGAAAAATGGATGATTGAAGTTTGAGTTCTGACGAACTTGTCATGAAAAAGTTTGATACAACTAACACACAACGCAGTAGTTTCATTTAAACTCAAAAGATTTGTTTGTTCGATTTGCTCATATAAACATGTTGGTTCATTCGAGTGATTGATAATGAAAGAAAAAAGATTGTATCAAACTCTATAACTAATTCGATATCTTGTAAGACACAAAATTCTAGAAATGAATTAGAGTGTTCTGGTTTAGATCACGCAAAAGTTGAAATAAATCATACAAATTACATAATTAAAATTCTTCTCCCAATTTACAACATTAATTATCCCTAATTTCAGTAAAAATTACTTATTATTGAACCTGTATTTCTTGCATCTTGAATTTTGTAAAATGTGAAAACAAGCTTAAGTAGTAATTAATAACAAAAGTCCACATAGGTTACTTACAATCCTATGTGGGGTTCATTGAGAAGATTAATTGTTTATGGTGTTAGGGTTTCTCTTCCACATCCAAAGCACTTGTGTGACAATGACTTGACATAACATAACTACCCTTTCAAGTTCTTGGTTCTTTGTGTGCTTGTTGATAGTAATATCCACTTCTTTTGGTGAGACTGCTTTTCCTATCTAAATGCATGATGTTTGTCTTTAACCTAACAAAAGCTCATGCCCATGCAAGCTCATGTTTTTGTTTGAAAGCCCAACACTTATATGAAGACGAATTTGAGCTTGCATGAGCTAAGGTTTGTAACTAGAATTTTTGTTTAGTTACTATCATACAATATACACTTCTTACTATCTATAAAATTCTCCATATATGTTGTTGCCAGTTGCCACATATTAGCATAACCAAACTTTTATCTTTAATTGTACTATATGGAGATGCCTTCACTGCATGACACCATATCTACTCCATTATTGCCACGACTTGATTGGATTAGCTCGGGTGATCACAACACAAGCTACTTCCAGCGCGAACGATCCAACGCCGACCACACTACACATTAACTTGTGTCACACTACGATGTATCATACGAAGAAAAGATTGAAAAAGTACTTCACTTGTGATGCACAAACCATCGTTCACACAATTTGAATATAAAATCTCTCATGGCCAGAAGACTTTATAAAAATTATTTGACAGTCCACTATAAAAGTAGGCCATTAATTAGAACTAAGTGAAGATACATGATAAGAATTACATAGAATAATACTACTAGGTAACTAATCCATGTTTATTTTGAGTTTTTTTGTTAGAGTGAGAGAGGTGCTATCATGATAATAAAGAAGATAGGCAAAGGTTTCTAGGGATTAGGATGACTTTAACAAAAGCACAAAATAGTAAAGTTGTAACATAAAATTGAATTTGGAGGTCTTTAACTTTGTCTGATTGTGGCCACCCCTTCTTGTGTTGTTGCTTCCATCAATTAATTAATTAGTGATGATGAAAGGCTGGCTCTGATCCTTCACTTTCACTATATACAATCGTGTAGTTGAATAGTTTAGAGTTGTTATGTTTTTGTCTTTCTCTTAATCTATTTACTTAGTTTACAGAGCACTTGCTCAAATTCTCAAGGGTTGCTTCGGCTTTTGTTGCTGCCAAGGAGACAAGGATCCGTGTCACTTGAGGAAAACGGAATTTCATTTGTGATAAGGACTCTTTTGGAGTGTTTCCTATATGGATAAGTAATAACAAATGAATATGGACTATGGATTGGGTGTTAGAATGATATCCATATGAATCAAAACCTATCTCGAAATGTGGTAGGTAACAAAAACATCTTATTAAAATGTCAAAATCGTGACTATACCTATCAAACAAATTAATTTCACGTACCACTAGTATTTATTTGAACTCACTCATTGTGATCATATCCGTTGATTCTAATTCTGAAAGCAAGTCATTATATCCCTACCAAATAACTAATTCACATGTTGTTTGAAAAAGTTCTCCATTCTGACATTTTCCTAAATTTACAATAAATTTTCTTACAATTCAAAATAGGATCTGATAAGCAGGGAGCATATCAATTAAGACAACTCGTATTCATGGATGTTGGATCTCACAAATATATTAAGCTTGGAGGGAGTTAAAAAGTTTCCAAACAAATCTGAGATGTAGTACCACTTAATTATTAAATTTTTAATTCATGAATTTCAGTTATATTGTTATATGTTCCCAAAATTTAAGGTGAGATAATATTCCTGTTGTGGGATTGTGATTTTGCTTGAAGAAATAAATGAAAACTACATACTTTAATCGATTGGTTAGCCACAATTTTTTTAATTGGTTGATTCACCTTCATGCAATTGATCTTAGAGCCTTATTCCAATTTTCTATTGGAGGGAGGGGGGCCTCAATTGTAATCGAGAGAGGAACCCTAACTAATAATGGGTTTGTTAGTATTTGTCAAACTCTTCCAATTATTGCCATCAAATTGTATATCCGGAGCTTTCATAGCTACTCGAACTAGCTAATCATGTTGAAGCTAAATCTAGCAAATCACTCCATTCTATGGTCTAGGAGGGTAGAGCCCTCTCAATGTGTCACGGTGGTAAAATAATAGATTATGGTCTCTTTCATACAAGATATAATTTTCTTCATTGGAAGTTATTTTAATATTCGGTTTCTCATCCCTTCTCGGTCACTTTGAATGGAGACTTTAAATGGGTACAAACGAAAGTTTGTTTCATCATTTCATGATTGAATCTTGTTCTTGAAAGTTTGTGTCATCGCTTCATGATAAAACTAATAGTCCATATTCTAACACTTCTCCTTGTTTGCTCGACACAAGTATACAGATGTAATTACAACTTCACATCCAATATTAAAGAGGTCGCAGTCTCTTTAACCATATGTAGCTCCCTCACGGCCAACTCCATTGTTTATTTATTAAAATTTTTCAATGTTCAACTTGCATGGTTGTTGAAGTTAAAGTGAAAAATCGAGTGGGGTGTTTGTTATTGTTCTTCTTCGAGTTATTTTTTTGGGCCGTGAAGCCCATTCATATAGCAGAGGATCAGGATAGAGATTGTAAGAAGAAAAACAGAGCATAGAGAGAGAGAGAGAGAGAGAGAGAGAGAGAGAGAGAGAGAATCCAATGCATGAAACAAAGGCAAGAGTGTGAAAGTGAAACAGTATATACCGCCAATCCATCCGACAGAGGGGAAGGGATTGGCCTTCCGAAGGAATCCTAAGTTACATTTCAATAACCACTCATGTCATGGATGGAGAAGACTCTCATAAATTTGTGACGATCGAGGAAAATGTGCTAGGGCTTCAAACCTAGTTTTATCGGTGGCATGATTTATAATTGGACATACAGAGCTATTGACACCATCATGCTTCGACCCAAAAACAGTACAACATTAATCCTTAGGTATCCAGTTTGAGTATACTTATATGTTCTTCGTCCTTCCTCTCTTTTAATAATGTTGTAGTTATAAATATATGTAAGGTACAAATTAAGAACTTGCAGTTATAAAAAAGAAATCGCAAAGGGAAAAAATAGCAGTTTCATGTTGTCTATCTCTCATGATAGTGTCTCAACTCCCGTCTTGTTTTTTATTTTTATGCTACTTAATTTCACGTTATGGGATCTTCAACTCGTATGACCTCTTAAAAAAGTGATTGGTTGAAACTTCGGGCTATTCCTTGCATTTATGATTACATTGGCTACATGCCACTCACAATGTTGAAGTAGTTGGAAGTAGGGATGTCAGTTTGAACCCGCTCCGTCGGGGAATATCCGACTTGACCCACCATGGGGTGATTATTACTCGATTCGCAGTAGCATGGGATGGAGTATGGTTATCTATTTTCAACCCGCCCCATTCTTAAAGCATTATATCTCAATTTCTTAAAATATTTATTTATATTTCTCCAATTTGGGCTTTTCTTCAATTAATTAGACTTCCTCTTTCAACTAGTTAGACTCAATTATCCATTCCATTATCACTATTTTTCATTCATAAAGTATTTTCCCTTTGTTTTATCATAAATGAATAAAATTTTACGTGTATTTTTTTCCAAATAACATGTAAAAGTGGGTCAACCCGTCCTGCTCCGTACACGCAAGGTATACTCGCCCCAACCTGTGCTTCGTATTGGACGGGTATGGGTATGGAGATACCTACTCGCCCCACCAGTTTATAATCAATAGTTGGAAATTTGAACAATAGCTCGTACATAATTTGAAGATTGCATACCATCTCAGCCAAATCATTTATTTGTGACTTGTAACAAACCGCATTTTCATTATATACCACGTTCACATAGAGCCTTCTAGAACTCATTCATCTGGGACCCAAGACTTTTCCCATCTAGCTCAACAAACCCCACATAGTAGTCTAGGGCAAGCCGACTATGTTAAATGAATATTCGTGAAAAATTTCACAATCGACTCAATCTCACATCTTAGCTGCTTTTTTTGGGTAGTTAATCAAAATTTTGTTGAAACTTATATGGTTTTCAAGATGAGAACCCAATCAAAAGTAACTACAAACTACAAAGCATACACTCATCAGAGGCACCCTCTATATAACTAAAATTACTATATACAACACTAATTAGTAATTATCTTCTTCTTCTTAGTTCTTGTTGCTTGGAACTTGTGTGCGAAATTTTGAAGAGATAATCAATACATTGTTAAACTTGTACAAGTTAATCACTTTTCCACATTCCAAAACGAGAGAGAAGTTAAAGACGAAATCATAGTACAATACATTCATGTGAGACATAACAAAATCATTAGGACAAATTTTGTTTCAAAAGCAACTACAAATAACGTCAAAATCCTCAATTAAGGTTCTTTCTTTTCCCCTACCCTTCCAATTCCATTGATTTTCGTTCCCCATTCCCACTTCTCCCATTGGCTTAATCCCTTTTTACTTTCCTTTTAATAATTTCCTCTCAACCAAACGCGGTTTTAGGTTTCTTCTCCATTAGCTTAGCCCGCAATCAGTGACCCAACCACAAATTGGGCCAGCCTGCCCGACCTGCCCGCGATTCTTTTTTCCCATTCCTGGCGGGAAACGATAGCATTGGCCGTCATTTTTGAAATAATCAGCAAAAAATGATAAAAAATTTCGTACGCACATTGGGGACTGGGATTTGCGCGCCAAATAGAAACTCTCGCCCGGGAAATGCGGGGATTTGGCTTTGGCGGCTGCAAGTTGGACGAAGGGTTATGTCCTGGGAGACGCGTCGTTCTGGAACTTTCATCTGCAGCCGTTGGATTTGACGGGGGAGTGAATCTATAGCGTGATCGGAGCCGTCGAGATTGTGGAATATCCGGTTGGGTTCGGTTGACCTTTTGATTGGCTTTGGATTCTGGCACTCACTACTACAATTTTGGGAAAACGGGGAATCCTATGTTTGTGTGCTGCTCATTTATTATTTTGGGATTTCCTCAGGTAGAAATCCAGATTTAGTTAAGAATATGGCTGGTGGCCATACAACCATTAATATCAGATTGTCCGAAAAGATAGTCAAAGATAGAGAAGAAAAACGATGAGAAACAATATATGGCGAAAGAAATACTTGTCTAGTTGTGTTATGGATTGCGATTGCAGTATAAACAATTGATTTCTTGTAGTTCATCGTTTTGCTTGTCAGCAATTCATAGATTTATTCTTCAATATTAGAGATGGCGATTTCGACCTGACGCGTTTTACCCGACCTGTTTGGACTATTTTTGGGGCGGGTCCGAGCCCCGTAGGCGGGGGTGGGGCGGGCATGGGTACTCTCATCGACATGACCTACCCAATTCTCGACCGGTTCTTGACTAAATTACATGTAATCTTAGTCAAATTACTTATGAATTTTATTTTATTACATCATATTTTAGCTATAATAAAGTTGTAAATTAGTGAAAACCTCAATTTCTCTAATAATTTAACTACATTTATCATAATATTATTTTTTTCTTTGTCTTATAATAAAAATAAATAATATTTCTAAAGTTTTTCATATAAATTGCATACTCATTGGGTCGACCTGCCCGACCTGCCACGGGGCGAGTCTGGATACCAAAAAACCTGCCCGGACCTGCCCATTGCCATTCATATTCAAGATAAGCGATGTTCCACTCCCCGTTCAACACCGTATCAACCACAGTGAGGGACCTGCTTCCGACGGCAGATTAACTGCCAGTAGATTCATTGATTTGTTGGTCACGTTTTAGAGAGATTGATTCAATATATTCATAATCAAATTTTTGTATTTTTGTTTCGTCTTTGTACGTTGGTCTTTGAATTAGCCTGAAAGAAGTCCAATGGCCTTCAGGACTTGACCAGTTCAGTTAGATGGGCTTTGGCCTCACTCACAGCAAAAAATTGCCACAGACTAAGAGGCCCATTTTCACGCCCTCTCGTTTTGTTATACCAGTGAGGCCTCATGACCCAAGAATATTGGGCCCCAATTCCACCTAGACCCTATAGCCCATAGGAAAAAAGAGTATCCAAACTTGGCATTTGACAATCAGAATTCAGAACTCAGAAAAAAACCAGTACTCAGGTATTGAAATCAAATGACCAAGAAGACAAAAGAAATCAACTTTCCAACTGCCAATCTTTGAATTCTCAGTCTCAGTTTCAGTCTCAGTCTTAGGAATCCATGAATCATTCTATACAAAGTCCATAGCATTATTCAGACATGGGTGTTTTCACCTCTCAAATAGACAGCAATCAAACAACATTTACAACAAACCAATGTGGTATATATGAATAACAGCTTCTGCTTTCTTTTGTACATACATGTACATAAATCCATACCAATGCTTGAAATCCAGCAGCAGCCATGGAGAATCAAGCCGAAACCTCGACGAACCTCCTATTCGCCCATCCCCTCGCAACATCCGAAACCTTGCTCTCCTCGACTTGAACTCGTCTCAATCTTGAAGATTTCACCACCAAGGTCTCTACACCATCAGCTGTGATCCCACTGCAGTGCACAACATCAACACGCTCCAACTTCTTACAGCTCCTGGAGACAGCCACCATGGCCAGAACAGTCAACCCCCTGCAACCTCTTATCTTGAGATCAACCAAATTGCAGCAAGAGGCCAGCATGCCAATGAACTCCTTATCGAACAGGTACTCGTTATACGACAAATCCAGCTTCCTCAGCTGCTTCAAGTTCTGCCCCAATGTGGCAAGCAAACCGGATTCCCTCTCGACCACATCGCAGTTGATCAAGGCCAGTTCCTCGAGGCCTGAGCTCATGGCGATCCCTAGAGCTTTCAGGCCTTCACCTGAGACAAGGCAGCAACTTTGTAGTCTCAGAGATTTGAGACACCTGAAGTTTGTGGCCACTGCTGAGAGATGGTCGTTGCTTAGGTCCAGAGGAAGGCGGAAGTCAAGGTTCGAGACTTGGCATTTCGAGTTGGTGATGAAATGAAGCAATCCATCTCTGCTCCCACCATCATAAACGAGTAAGGAATTCAAGGAGGTGGAGTGTTCAGCTAGTCTTAAGAGGACTCCGTCGGCTATATTTCTACAAGTTCTCAGCTCTAATTCTTGTAAATGAATCAAACAGTGGGTAAACGAGGAAAAGGAACCGCCATCTCCAATACCTTCGCAGCTTTTGAGGCTTAATTTCTTTAGCTTCTTGCAGCTCCTCCATAGAAACCCTAGCCCAGAATCGTCTCTTCCAATTCCTGCGAAAGAGACGCTCTCCAATCCCAATTCGGAATCTTTCCCTTCATCCAAAGAAAACCCAATTCCCCTTTCGTCGCCATCGCAGACAGAGACGGATAATTCCTTCAAGGAAGCAAACCAGGCGACCCAGTGGAGAAGCAGCGGTCTTGAGAGGGAAACCGTGAGGGAAGTGAGGAGGGTGCAGGAATTGGAGAGGGAACGAAGGGAAATTACAGAGACAGGGTAGGGGAGGAATTTGAGCTGCTTGAGCTTGAAGCAGAGAGAAGAAATTAGAAAGAGAAGGCGATCGTTGAAGCTTGGAGAGCGAGGGAAAGAAGGGTCGTTGAGGAGGAGGGAGAGGGAAGAGAGGAAAGGGTAGTGGGAGAGAAAGGAAGAGAAGGACCGGAAGAGAGCGGCGGCGACGGCGGAGGAATTGGTGTTCTGGTGCTGGTGATGATCGAGAGTGATTCTGAGGGAGAGGGAGGTTTTTGAAGCTCTGTAGAGGTAGAGCCACCGCTTGGAAACCAGAGGAATCGATGGAGGTGCGGCCGATGGGATTCTTGTGAAGATTTCTTGGAGCAGTTCGTCGCAGAGCAGCTCATCCATGGTGTCTGGTTGACCAAAGGGGGAGAACACAGAGGAAAGAATTAGAATTCTGGGTTGCTCTGTGCCTCCAATCAGAAAGCAGAGTTATGGTGATGCGTGTATTGATTTGGATACTGGGTTTTGTAGTTTTTTTTTTCTGGTTTCTGGGCGGAGAGAGAGCTAGAGAGGACGAAGTTTAGCTGCGGCTGCCATGGAAGGTAGACAGGGAGAGAGAGAGAGATGTGAATGAAGTTTTCAAAGGATCGCGTTTCTGCTTATTGAATTGTACCGGCTATATCCTATGATGGGAAGATGGTGCGTGCAATCCACCCTCTTACGAAACGAGTGAAGCAAACGTTTCTTCCTCTGTTTTCATCTTCCTTCTTATTCTTCTACGAGACGAGGCTTCAATTCAATTGCGCGATAACGGTAACAGTTGGGAGGTAAAAACTGAAAATTGTTTGTGTTTTGTGTTGACGGCTGGCGGTGCTGTGTTTCGGGTGGCTGGCCTGGCTGTACAATCTGGTCAGGTGGAGCCAGTCCGGTTGGCATGCAGATGGGTTTTGTTATAATATGGATCAGGATTACGCCTTTTATCATAAAATGATTTCAACTCGTGATTATAAGGACACTATCAACATTGTAACAAACATTCGATTCTAATTCGGCTAGACGGAGGGGTCATTTTTTAGTATGTTGTTGGCATGTGAATCAGTGTGAATATGTACGATAAGCATTGGTAAGAAGTGATATATGGAGATGTTGCACTAATTTTTCGAATTTGTCCATCTGCTGACAAGAAACTCTCTTTCACGCATATGATTAACTTGGTAGGATTTGATTTGATTCTTGGTTTCTTTTGTTTTCTTACAATTTGTGTATCTGTTTTCTTAACAACACTAGTGATCTAATGAAAAAAAATGTACTTAAAATTTGTGTCCTAGAGTGGATAAAGCCTAAATGCAAATACATAATAGTCCAGGGAAAAGTTTATTAAAAATCGAGTTGTGACCTCTTAGAGATCATGTATTCATGGTATAAGTTAAACTTTCCCAATTTCACTTAGTTGAGAATCTAATCCATTAACATCCACCTAACCTAATGGGACATTAAAGTCTAATGAGAATCATTTTATGCAAATTCCATTAAAAAGTGAACAACAAGCCAGTGATGCCATCTACTTGGAATCCTAACTTTGGCATAATGACTTACTTTTTCCCTATCAATATTTATGATTATGTTATTATTTTCTAGTGGGGTGGGTTTGTGTCCATTTCTTCCTCTTAATTCTTCTGGTGGCCTCAGTCTCTTGTTTGATATGTTATAGTAGCTATTATTAATCCATCTATTGTTTTAAAATTCTTGTTATAAAATTGTCATCAAAGACCTTTGGATTGAGCTTATGAAGTTCATTGAAAACCTAAAACAACGATCCAACTTTCGTACCCAAGATTCCTCATTGCATACGTTTTTGTTGTCTCTCTAAACGGTACACTCTCTATGTATTTCACTATACTTTCCATACACAATATTCATTTATAATGAAATAATTTGAGCATCGAAGTATAGATCTACGAACAATCTTCTCTTCTCCACATGTTTCTTTCAACGCAAAGAGATCGTAGAAACGATGATACAATATTACAATCAAAGCAAATCCACATTGTTATTTTCTATTGGCTCTAATCCCTTTAGAAACAAAAGTGTTGAGCATAGGGATGAAAACGAGTGAGATTGAAAGTAAATAGTTGATTTCCGTTGCCCTATCTCAACCGGTTCGGGTTTTACTCATCTCATATTCACACAAGGTGCTAGTAATAAACACAAACCAGCTCCACACCCATTTGAATTTCGATTAGCCATGGATATCCACGAATGAGAATTTTCACCGTATCATCTCAACTAGAGCATTACCAATTGCAAGCATATTGACATCACACACATGAAAAGGTAGAATTATAATATAACCGATATAAAGAGGAATAAGAAAAAAGAGCACTAATTCATAAGTATATGCAATACAAATGTTGAATATGGTAAGAGGAAGGATACAGGTTTTTAAAGAAAAAAACACATGTCCATATACAATCAAATAAGTTCAAAGGGTGGATAGTGAGAAACTAATTCATGCCCATTACTCATCACTTCGTGTTCAAAATTTAAAAATATCCACATATTATTCAGAGTCGGATTCGACGGATATCCATGATTATAGACAATTTGTCATCCTTAGTTAAACACATAAGCCTAGGGTTTTTAGCTAAATGGTCAGTCTTACGGTTTAAACGGCTATTAACCTGTTTATTTTTGTGTCAGTTCTTAGTATCGGTCACTATAGGACCTAACCACTTTCAACGGACCTAACCAAAACCACAAAGGAACAACTATAGGAAGCAGATTAAACATCTCGAGTGGGGACAGTTGAAAGAAGAAGAAGAATCAACGTCATGTAAGGCAGCTGGTCTCCATCAATCTAACATTAGTTTAACATTAACCTGATTTGAATGTTGAGAGCAAGCAAAATGCCCAACTTAGCTTCAAGCAATCCAACAAAGCAACAGTACTTCACCAAGTAACTAAAGGGGATCAAGATTCTTGTGCATTGTTCCTGATTTGCCTACATTGCCCTATAGGTCTCTGAATAGAAAGGATCCACTATACTATCCTAGATGAAATCTCAACCAACAAGCTACAACATTACAACCATAACGTGGCTTCTCACCAGATGGAAAAAGGAAGAATTGAACAAGATTTTGCAAGCTCAAGTGCCTTGATGAAGTTCAGGTGGCCTTGTTTCGTGGGTTATGGCTCAAACTAATCGCTCAAATCGAAGCATAGAGGGTTATTTAGGCAAGTCACCACAGGCTATTGGCAAGGTGTAGTCTGGTCCAAATCAAACCGAATCAAGAACAGAAGGAAAAATGTGGATCAGAGTAGAAATGGAAAATGCACTCTGATCATATTTGATCCATTTCAATTTTGCTGTTGACCACCTCAAGGTCACAATGTTTTGCCAATAGTACTGCTGCGTCAATGATCATTTGATATCATCCAATGATCAAGTTGGTTACCCCATCATTCATCTACACATATACGAAAGGCAACTTTCTATTTTTCTGATTGGGAAGATTGTATTAAAATCAAGAAAAGAGAGTCAATGCATGCATCATAATCATCATCAAACTACAGGAAGGTCGGTCCATGTTATCTATGTATAGTTCCAGATCAACAAGAATGAAGCAAAATTTGCAAGCATAAAACCCAACACGGGAGATGAACCATACCTATGTAGATGTAGGTAGCACTGTTCCACGCCCAAAGGGACTCCAGCCAGGTCCAAAACTCCCCGACGTCCATATTACCAAAGCCTTCGTTTACACCTTTTAAGATGAAAAATCCCGCAGGAGGGAAAGCAACAAAACTGATGAACACGTTGGTAGCAATCCTCAAGAAACTCTTCAAACTCGCAGTTCTTATGTCGAGCTTCAGAGGCTGCGCAAGCAAACAAGCAGGAACTAATACCAATGCCCCGATCTGTGCTGTGGCAAAGTTGACAACAGACATGAGCAGCAAGCCAATGAACACCGCTGATATGGTCACTGATTTCAGATTCTCCCATTTGCCCTTCTGAGGTTTAGAAGGCGATTTTGTGATGAGATATAGGACCAGGAGTCCGAATGTTGAGAGAGAGAACCAGATGATGGAGTGGGCTGCTGGAGTGGAATTGGGTATTTGAGAGATGAAATAGGGTAGGAGTGAGACAAATACACCCCATGCATGAACAGTGAATACTTGTTTTGCTGCACTCAGCCATTTCCATGGTTTGAAATTAATTTGAAGCTTTTGTTTGGGATCTTGAGAGCTAGGTTCCGGCTTATTGGCATCCACATACAGGGAAGCAGCAACAAGTGGCAGTGGTGCCACAAGGAGAGCAAAGCCAATCATGTAGACTCCAACTGAGACAAATTTAGCAGGAGAGGTCAAGAGGTAGAGGAAGAATGATTGATGGAACTTCTCGAGAAGATTGTTGACCGAACGCACAACTCCTTCAATCAACCTGCATTGTGAAATAAAGGCCTAAGCAAAAACATGTTGTACAAAGAAATAACTAACTCAACAACACAATTAATCATTTGAATAACAGAATATACAATTTGCAGACAGCAGTTTTGTGCTTGAAAGAGTCACAAAAGCTGTAATGAAATGCATACCGTGCACTTCTCAGAATAAACTCATTACGTCTGCCCTGGTTTGTGTAAACAACTTTGGGTGAAATCTCCAAAGTTATGGCATCAACCTGGAAATCACGGAAAGCTCCATGTGGACCTGTCGGGATCCCAAGTGCCTGGAACCAGAAGTTACTCCAAAAAGTTAATAAAAGTATCTGGAAGAAGATGAGAAGACCGTTGAGATGAATGTTACAGAATCAAGTGAAGAAAAGCACCTGGCGATATAATGAACTTGCAAGTGTAGCTGTGCCCTCAACGTAGTCCGGTGTTGAAATACCAAATTTCCATTCTGGATTTAAGCTTCCAGCGACTTTACCGATAAAATTAAGCGTATCTCCCAACATCCAAATCCATTCCCATGTAAGAACAGAGAGAAATTTCTCAACTTTGACGCGCAATCCTTGTCTATGTACAGCTAAATAATTCACAACATTGATAAGATCTAGGTTTGGCATCTGCCCATTGGAAGCCTCAGCATAGACACTGAGAGTGTCCTCCAACTGCCCTTTTACATCAGTGACCTTTAAAACTAAGGCAGCAGCCATAGTCCCAGCACGCCTAAACCCACTAGATATCTCCGTTCGACCAGGAGATTCTTCTCTTAATAAATTAATGTTGTTTCCTTCAAAACATGAATCAGCATTGTGAGAAGATGAAGCAGAAAATACGGGTATGTGATAGTCCCTCAGCCAAGAAGCAACAGAGGCATATTCTCCATACTGTGAGTCTGCAACAAGCCAAATGATATCCTTGGCCAGCCATGAAACTCGACTTAGCAATGAGAAGACTGCATATCCAATGCTAATGGATAAAGCTTCAGATGAACTGTTCTTTCTGAAATTGAAAGGTGTTACCAAAACAATAGCTTCTTTGCCATCAGCTTGTGGTGCCCTTATGATTCCGACAACATTTATACCATACGATGAACAGCTACCGTTCTCCTGCGACAGCCCAGAATCAGGACTGGAGAAGAAGTGCAGAGGATGAAACTGATTCTGGTGCGACTGGAACTTATGATAACCTACTTCAACACCCAAGTCCGATAAATATTTTGCTAGTACCCTTCTCCTTTCTCTAAAGTAAAGTTCAGTCCAAGGAAAAATCAAACAAGAAAACATAATTACTCTTATGCCAGCTTATAGGATGCGTAAAGATGAACAATGAAATGGAAGTAAGCCTCTCACATACATGCCTGCATCCGCAGCTCCAGAATTTAAGCTAGTTAGATCCTTAGCCAATCGTTCTGCTTCCGAAATATCGTGGTTAGAGAGCATACTACTCGCAGAACCTTCAATTTCACCAGGAAGATAGAATTGCAGACGAATTAGAACAATGGAAATCAAACAATCAAACTAGTTCAAGCTAAATAGAGCAAAGGGGAGTTCAGGGAAGACCTGGCATGAGCGCATTTTCGGAAATGTAAGTGTTCTTGGCGAGCATAGGCAGCAAGAATAGCGCTACAATCCCAGCAGTACAGCAAACAACACTGGAATTCCATCAACCAACAAGAACGAAGGAACAAATTTCAGATTCAAAATGATTCAGCAGTGATCCATTGAGTAGGGGATGAATAGCTCGGTGGTGAAATACCTAACCAGAAGGCTGTGCGAGATGAGGACGATCCCTAGGCGCACAATTGGTCTCGGTTTCGGCTTCCATGGAGGAGTCGCGGCGGCAACCTCCTTCTTCTCAACCTTCGCCATTAGAAAAATCTTCGAAGTCTCAAATAATGCAAAACTTAGGCACGGATCTCCGCCGCCATCGATGACGATATTCCGGCTGAGAGCTTAGAGTGAGAAGCGCGAGAAGCGACGAGGGCGCAACGACGATCCAGTACTCAAAACAAGGAGACGAGCCAGAGTTACCCACAGCCGTTGGATTGTTTTAAATTGTGTTACTCGAAGTTTGACTTTCATACGTGCCAGCATCCTGTGAGGCTTTATTTCTCTATTTCTACCTTTTCTTTATCTTTCCTTTTCGCGGGATTCTTTCTCAAAACAACTGACAAGTGAGGATCGTTGGCTTCAATGGCGGCCTCTCGCCTGAATCTTCAACTGATATTTCTTCCCTCCAATTCTGCTCGGAGAACTGTAACCGTCGCTGCCAGTACCGAGTCTCATTTCAAGTTTCATTTCCCTTCAACATCGCGTAGAATTACTCGATATCGCGGCTTGGAATTCCGGCGACAGGCATTTAGTTCGCCAACCTGCGAAGAGACGAAATATGAAGAGAATTTCTCGAATAATTCGCGGAATCCGTTTGAATTTCTGCTGTCGATTCTGCCCGGAGGCAGTTGGTGGAGACTGCCGGATTACGAAGAAGGCAGCCCGGCGGCGAATGAAGTTACCGTGTTGGCTGCGCTTCAGAGAATGTGGGAGCTTCTAGGGAAGGAGCAATGGATTGTTGTCGTTGCCTTCGGAGCTTTGGTCACTGCTGCTGTGAGATTCTTAAGAATTTCCTGTTTCTTTTTTCTTCTTGACCTCATGGTGTTCGTAAGAATGCCGCTTTGAAGTTCTTTTTCCCCGCGATGCAGGCATCCGAGATAACAATGCCGAGTATCTTGGCATCTTCCATCTTCTCTGCACAGCATGGAGATAAGACGGTCTTCTACAGTAAATCACGTTTCTTGCTTGTTTTGTGCTTCACTTCAGGAATAAGCAGGTTCACTGAGCTAGTTTTCTTCCTTGTAGTCCTTTTCATGGTTTCAAGTTCCATCTCCATTACAGCGCACAGCCTTGTTTATTGTCTCTCTACCTTTTGTTTTTGGTGATTGAAGTGGCTTGCGAAGTGGCCTTTTTGCAATGGCAAATGTTATCCTGGTAAGGAGCTTGAGCTTCAAGTTTCCTCTTGTAGAGCTTCTGCTTATGCCAAAGCTTCATTTTGCAGGTCAAACGCCTCAGACAAGCTCTATATTCAGCTCTAATATTCCAGGTCTATATTCGGATTAACTCCTGAAAACCGTGACATTATATCCTTGGCAAATGTTTTACTAGTCTATTTTTTTTTTTTGGTAGAAATTTTACTAGTCTATTTTATGAAGTAGGACATGCCATTTTTCGATAGAGAGAAAGTTGGTGGATTGACAAGCAGGCTAGGGGCAGATTGTCAACAGCTTTCTAATGTCATTGGGAATAATATCCACTTGATAGTTCGCAATACATTTCAGGTTGGGTTTTGGCATTGGATTCTTCTCCCTTACTTCCATATGTAGAATGATTTATATAATGTCTTCTTTTGATTATGAAGGGGGTAGGTGCATTGATCAATTTGCTGATTCTAGCTTGGCCTCTTGCATTGTCATCAATTATCACATGTTTAGTTCTCGCCACTATCTTTCTACTTTATGGCCGGTTGGTATTCCTATACCTTACAATGTAACAAGTTATTGGAGATGTGTTGAAGAAGGCTGTCTATCACCCTTTCTACTTGAACTCCTCTCTACGTTCAAACTTGAACAAATCTGTTCTGTCATAGGTACCAGAAGGAAGCTGCCAAGCTAACTCAAGATCTCGCTTCCTCTGCCAGTAAGGTAAAATGCTCATTCTTACTAATTCAGGAAAAAATGTCAAAGCTTATGATGATTTCTTAGCGAAATTTCTACCCTTGGTATAGGCAGCAGACGAAACCCTGTCTTCAATTCGAACTATTCGAGTCTACGGAACAGAATGCGAAGAACTAGGAAGGCAATCATAAGTCAATGAGTATATCCGTAGTTGTTAATTGTCATTTCATTCCGATTTTTGCACAGATAGATGATTAGATCCTACTTCTCTCACATTTTTTTTCCTGTTTTTTTATGGCTGCAGGTACAGGCATTGGCTGGAAAAGTTAGCTTCTCTAAGTCTAAGAGAAAGTGTGGCTTATGGATTCTGGAATATGAGTTTCAGCACCCTTTTCCGTGCAACACAGGTCAGATCAATTTCAACTGAAAAAAGATTTTTGTAGCCATCAGAATGGATCCTATCATTAGCTGTTTTTCTCTCGTTTAGCCCCTTCTACTTTCTTCCTTGCATGAAAGCAATTGTTCCATCATCACTTGAAGGAGGCGTTTTGTTAAATAAATACATTCTGTAAGGAATCAATGAGATACTGTTTTGTATTCTGTTATTGACGAACAGTCTCTTTCAGACTATGCTTCAAGCATGGAAAACTAATTTATATTATTTAGGCGCTGATGCACACAGTAAGTGTGCAGATGTCTGTATTATCTTTTTCTGACCCATCTTGTTAGTTGTACTGACAGGTGTTTGCACTGATGTTGGGAGGGATGTCCATTATGGCTGGCCGTGTTTCAACTGAGCAACTAACCAAGTATGTGTTGTATTGCGAGTGGTTGATATATGCAACTTGGAGGGTTGTAGATAATACTACCGCATTGTTACGGGCGGTTGGATCAAGTGAAAGAGTGTTCCATTTGATGCAACTATCACAAAGTGACCAATTGGAGTCCAAAGGTAAAGTGATCAACCATTTGAATACTTGTTTTGAGATCCATTCATCCAAGAACTTGATACAAAGTTGATTGTCCCATGGTTGCTACAAGTTGAATAAAAGAACTCAACTGTGAATTTTGTTTGACAAACTTATTGATAAACGAATGGAAACTGTATTCTGGCATGGATTGTCAGAAATCTAGGATTTTTATATTCATTTGATCTTTGCTAGTTTAGGAACATCACATGCGCTCAATGCTCACCGATAATCACTATATGCATTGTATACAACTTCCTAAGGGAAACTATACTTTTTGTCCAGTTTCTTGGTTCTGATATCACCACCGTTGCTTGATTTTCAACTGATGTTGCAGGGAAAAGATTGGAAAGGCTGATTGGACAAGTCCAGTTTGTTGATGTCTCCTTCGTCTATCCTTCAAGGCCAACAGTAAGTCTGGTCCAGTAACGTGATGTTAATTCTCGTCTTAGTTATCAACAAATGTGGAAAAGATATGGGTTGTCAACAGTGATTAGTCCATTAGTTCTTCAGCCTTGAGTCTCTATTTTAAGCTCTTGGTGAATAGAAGATGTAAAGCAGTCCAACATAACTCACATGTCTGCTCCGGAAGAGCACATTCGGTGCTCATATGATGCGTTTTTTATTCTTGAACAGATACCAATTTTGGAAAATTTCCACCTCTCGGTAAAAGCTAATGAAGTCATTGCATTGGTAAGTAATCGTTCTTTTTGTATCCTTTATCCTTCCCCAAATCCATAGCTACGAAGCAAGGCATCTTAAAAAAAAAAAAAACTAATAGTTTGCATCCATGGGTTGGCAAGGTTGGACCAAGTGGTAGCGGAAAAACCACTCTGGTCAATCTCTTGCTTCGTCTCTATGAACCAAGTAACGGTCAGATCTGCATTGATGAGTTTCCACTCACCGAACTGGACATCAGATGGCTTAGAGAAAACATTGGATATGTTGGACAGGTAAAGTCCTAGCTTATACATGCTGCATTTTCAAAATTCGAACAACCAAAAAAGGGATTCAGCAGAGTGTTACGAAACTGATTAACATTTTGTGAGAAAAAGTTACTGAAAGCCATAAATGTTAATTGTGGGCAGGAGCCAAAGCTTTTCCACATGGATGTGAAGTCAAACATCACATATGGTAGCTGCGGTCGGGAAATTAAAGAAGAAGAAGTCGAACGGGCTGCTAAGCTTGCGTGTGCCCATGACTTCATTCTGTCTCTTCCAAATGGTTATGAGACCATGGTGAATGACAATAGCCTGAGTGGGGGACAGAAGCAGCGCATTGCCATTGCCAGGGCTATTATCAGGAAGCCTTCCATTCTCATCCTGGATGAAGCCACCAGTGCTTTAGACTCACAAACCGAAAATTTCGTGAAAGGAATCGTTGATGCATGTAAAAATGACGGAGTTATGTCGGAAACAACAGTAATTGTGATAGCACACAGGTCTGTCTCTAATCAACTCTCTGCCATTATCACCATATGGATGTAGTTCAGTTAACTCATGTTTGAACACTGCTTAAAGTTCTTGAGACCCTGAAAACATGCAGGCTTTCTACAGTGGAATCTGCAGACAGGATTGTTGTGATGGATGATGGTCGAATCGTAGAGGTAATTTGATTTAACTCAATTACCTTTAATTAAACTCAATATGTACCATTGTCGATTAATGTAGTCTGGCCTCTAGTTTATCTACTAAATTTATAATCATGTGCACTATTGATAGTTAATCTCTCATGTTGCCAGATGGGTGGCCACAAGGAACTCCTGCTGAAGAATGGCACATACTCTCGCCTTGTGAAATTACAGTCCTGCTTCATCACTTGATCGCTTCCATCACTTCATCACTAATCCTAATTTTAATCATTGGCCAAACCGATCGATACTCAATCAAAGATCAATCCATATAATTAGAGGTTAGCTCATATGCCTTCCTTTTCTGTTTCCTGATTAAATGTGATTAGTTGATGGCGTATAAAGCGATCCTACTATCAGTATCTAGTCGATATCAGAGCTCGACTAGGTGGCTCAATGGAGAAAACTGCAGGTTTAGGAAGCCCTTGTCACTGCTCCAAACAGCAAGCAATCTTTGGACGATGTTCCTATGCTGTTGGTCTCGGTGCTTTTCTTTTGGCCAGGAAATGTTTTTATGTATAACATTTTCTAATTCTCCTTCCACTTGTTTTGATTAATCACATATATTTATGTTCTCTATTTTAATGTGTATGTTTTTTCCCTATTTCTTTTGTACATTTTGGTACAATTTTCTGCATTTTCGCTTTTATTTATGGGTCCTTATTCCTTATTCACATTTCAGACAGTATATCGCAAGCAGGATATATTGCAATTTTACTTATATCACCATCTCGCTTGTCCATTTCTCGACAATTTCTCACGTTCGTTTTTAGTTTTGACACCTCGAAACGTTTCGAAATGCTAGCCACCACTGGGTTCTCTTTCTTACTATAGCCTATGTTCTCTCCTCTTCTCTTTTGTTGCAAACATAAGGCAGAGATCAAAGCAGACAAATTTTATTTTTTCTCTCCGTTTTCTGCTGAAGCTAAGCCATAAAATACAGGTGGATTGATTGAATCCGTATCATGTTACAAGAAAGCCCTCTCATTTCATCTCTCTCGACTTCTCCACAATCTAAACACTTCATAGAACCGTGGCCTTCAGGGTATCTGCAACCATGTCAATGAGAAAGGTCCGAATTTCCATAGGCAGCAACTCCACCTCCAGCTTCGTATAATCGATCGGCCTGCCCCTTCTCGCAGTTCCATCTGATGATGATGCCTCCGCTTTCCACACAAGCCTCCTCTTCTCCATCTCCGACCTTTCTTGGTTGGCAGACAAGCTCGTTTCGACCACCTGCCCTATCTGGAACCACACATGATACAATATATAATGCAAGATAGAGAACAGAAGACGGAAAATGGTACATGATGCATGCGTCTAGCTGGGCTCACCTTCTTTCCCGGGAATAATTTCATTAGTTCTACAGTTGTCTTGACTGAAAGATCCTTGTCCTCTCCAACCTTTTTTACAGGTGAAACCAACTCAAACATTATTAGGCAGTGAATCATGTTGGTATATTCTATTCAATTGCTTTATGAAAGGAAAAGCATATGCAAATGTCAGCATAGAGTCGGAGTCAGAAACCTCGTATAGATGGGCTAATCGAAGAAGCACCGTCCCATCATCTAGTTCCTGCACATTGTTGAAAGATACAAAAAGATGCCGACTTTGACAGCTTAATTATCAGGAAGAAACAGGAAATTATCCTTTTTCAGTTACCGGTTACCTGGAGGGTTATGATGGCAACATTATCAGGTAAACTGTAGGAGGGGGCAAAGCCCGAAAAGGTGGCTAAGTGAGAGTTTGACTTATCTCCATCCTGGAGCGAGAAAAAGGGAAATGTCTTAGGATACTAATTCATATGCATTCATATGCTAGTCATTGTTTTGTTAAATATCCACCTCTTCTGCAAAGGCTAGCAGCAAAGGTGAATATATCTGCTGGCCAAATGATCGGCGCCACTTAGCACCTTCTCCTACGGGGTCAATTCGGTAATAGTATTTTCCTTGGATCTGCAACAACACACAAGGATGAGAGATTCTTTAGTCTCATTAAGTGTTAAAACTAACATTTGCCACAGAGCAGAACTAGCCTTTTCATGAAAAAAGTCAGGAACTTTGTTGCTTATATTGGATATCGTTACTAGAAACCAAGATCAAGTCAGCAACAAGCTTCATACAAGGCTTTGAACTGAAAATCTTACCGTTAATCCCATGCACTTGTTATGAATGCAAACTGTTTCATTAAGTGCCTCAGCAACACCTCTGGAATCATCGAGTAGAAGTCTCCTGCATGGCCATAAAAATACCAAATATCATCATGACCCTAATGGTACAATTTTAGAGGGATAACATCCATAGAAGACTGAATGAATCCATGCAAACTAAACCTATGGAGTAGCAGTTCTATTTGCCCATCCTTTATGCTACCTCCTCCAAGAGCTCGATCCACAAGAACTGAAAGTTCTTTTTTGTCGTCTTTGGCATAAATTCCCAGATTAAGCTGAATGAATGAACAAATTGAAAAGGAAGTAGATTAGTATGGGTGCAATTAACTGAAAGCCATGCCTTTCTTCTATAACGTACCGGATAATAATTTCCAGCAACTGGTTCAGTCACTTGCAGGTTCCAATCTGTTCTATAATCACGAATCTGTGGAGGAAATTCATTCAGTTTGTTTGATGCTTAGATAAAGATTGCAGCAATGAACCAGTCTCGATTCTCAATTTCAGACAGTGATGATCTGAGTTAGATAAAGATTCTCATTACCCTTTTGATAAAGTCACGTCCATTTGAGTCTGTGTAGAATGTTCCATTGGTTTTCATGGAAGTTGTTATCTGAGTTACAACTTCTTTCCCAATTCCATCATCAATGGGTACAGGGCCGACCTAGCATAGTAATTGTATTCTGAGTAGAAGGATAGTGATGTGGCAGAAAGCTCTAACTCTTATTCCCAGATAGATTCAAAATGAGAGCTACAATAAAGTAAACTTACTATAAACTCCACTTCGACATGCTCATTTCCTTTGTATAGTCTGGTAACCTGCAGCCATATTCATTAAATACAACTTCAATGAGTAAAACCAGAGGGATTCTCAATGGAAGTTTACTGAGAACCCAATTTACCAGAAATTATAACTAGAGTCATTTTCAATTGAAATACTTTTTAAATGTTGTCATATCATTGTTCATTTTCTCATTTGGGGAACAATTTCATTGTTAAACAGAAGTAAACCAACTACTTTAGCAAAGAAAAGCGTGTTGCAAGTAATTGACAAGTAAACCATCCAACAAGAAGGCAACCTGATATATCCATTGATTGATCTGTTCGTGAATTTCCTCTACTACCGGCCCACGAATGACGGCCAACGGAACCTGAAAGTTTGGATAAAAATTCATGATTGGTCATTGGCAGGATTGTATATTTCACAGAACCAAAAATATCAGGACCTGCAAACCTGCTTCTCAGGTTCTAAGGGATATGTCCCATTTGGTCGAAAGATGTACGCCCCGCCATTCTGAGAGAAAGTAAAAGAAATTCGGGGGAAAAAGTACAAAATATATAAGATGTTGACTTCAAAATGAGTATCGTCTGATGCTTTGAGTCAAAGTTCATATAATTTGTGGACATATGGCTCAAAGATATGCATACTTGAGGGCTTTTGTCGTTGGTTCCATTATATCCACCGTAGAAACTAAAGGTCTGATAGACCTGCTCCTTCACCTTCATCATTTAGAAAGAAATGCATTGGATTAGATGCATGAATTATCTACTATCACCACTAAGATAAATTTGAATAAAAACTACAAAGGGTGACATGATACATGACAATAAAGATTAAAGAGACTCATAAGGTGAAATACTTACTGAGCTCCTACTATTAGTGTAACTAGTTGGCTTCCCACCAAAAGCTGAACGACTAAGTTTCAAATTTCCCTGCCCCAGTTCAGTTGCGGATTTCAGGCTTCTTTTGGATTTGTATACAAATGGATTAGTTGAGTGAGCATCTGACATTTCAATTGAGTTGGTTCAGGTGACGATTAGAGTCAACAAAAGAAATGAATGTCCATATGTTCTATCCACCTCCTTTTCTCTTGAAAATGTAGATGATCGCCTAAACTGACCTTCAGTTTTGGTGTTGGAGATTGTGTATGTGCTGAAACCAAAAGGTGGGACAGAGACCCTGAATGCAAGCCAATATTTAGGTGTTTTTGCTGGTGCTGTACCAAGGTATGCCTGAACATGGAAGTTCCTCAAGCTTATATAGGCATCCACCAGAGGAATGAGTTGAGCGTCCACTTCTTTTCCCTCGGGATCATGCACAACTACGTTATCACTAGTAACCTGCAATAAAGTTTAACATCTTTTAGTTGACAACTGAATTGCTATACTTATTAGGAGAAGCATGCCAAAATAATAGTGTCAAATGAAAACAGTATATGTTGGATTGGTGGTTCTCTATTAGCTAATGGTTGTTTAAAACCAGTACAAAGAACTGGTGATAGTATCAGAAGATTCAGACTTACGTTCATATCTGTAGTTTCATGGGTCAAAAACTCAAGCAAAAAACACCAACTTGATACCAGATATGTATCAGCAGCAAAAACTCTAACACGAGCCCAAACAAAATCGGTCCAATCACAACCTTGGGAACTCCATTTTCAAGCTTGACCATCAAAATAAAATGAGTCTAAATGTTACTTCTCTAGTTTTGGTCCAGAGGTAGTTTGCCTGACATAAGTTATGTAGGCATCCCAGAATATTTCTAGAATAGTTAGGACTAATGTTTATCCCATTTCATAGGATACTGCACTAGTTGCTCTCAATGAACACATCTGCTTTTGCCACTGGTTAAATAATGTACCATTTCGTTACGCATGAACAAATTTAAACACAATCAACACCTTATGGAAGCAAGGAAGAGATGGGTAAGGAACTACACACCGGAATTTTGATCACTTCATCCCTTAACCAGCCAAGAGAATTGTAGACCACAACCACCTTGAATCAGAGTAACAGTATAAGATCTCAATGTGGAATAAGAAATAGCAGGTCGATTCCGGATATATAACTGTGGGATAAGAAGTCCTTACCAACTTCTTTCCAAGAGGGGTGTTCTCGGATGCAGGGCAGTAACTTATATTCAGAAGGGGGCACTGCATGGAGGGTGGGGGGAGGAATGAAAAAAAAAAAAGTAACACAAGACTGTAGTATAGCAAGTGTATCAACTATCAAGCATGTGGAAAACGAAATTTTGAGTCCAGTGTTAGGATCAAAATTTGAACCTCGTAATCAATGTTCTGTAAAGATCATCGAGAGCAGCTCAAAGATTGTAGTCTTATATGAAGAGGAAATATGCTAGTCTGACATATCCTCAAAGAATAAGAATAACACACAGTTGGTAGGTATAGCAGTATAACAATGAGAAAATAACTATTCATGTCCCATCCATCATATAAAAAGGATAAAGGAAGACTGGAAATGAACACTCTGACTCATTCCTGCTAGCAAGAAGCAGCTGAAATTTAAGCAGCTTAAGCTTAACGAGGAAGAATTACACTCATTCCTGCTAGCAAGAAGCAGCTGAAATTTAAGCAGCTTAAGCTTAACGAGGAAGAATTACCTGTTCAAATTTAATGCTTGGGCTCTGACATCCTGCATGAGATTGGGACTCGGACAAGCAACTGAGTGAAGTTGCAACAACCTTTTCTGCCTGCAGAAGAAGAAAAAAGAACGAATGGGTGTCAACTAAATAAAAGGAAGAATTAGTGGAAAATGATAGCTGCGATTTAAACATTTCCTGGGGGCTAAATCAAAACACCATTTAAGAAATCAAAACCCTACCTCTTTGTACCCAATTGCAAGCCGTGTAGCATAATCATCAGCTACATGTTGCTTTTCTGTCCCAGCAACAGCATCATGATGCTGGGCAATTGCCAGTGCATCTGCCAATAAGTCGGTCTTTGGCCCAAGCTTACTCTTACCTTTGAAAAATTCTAGTTGCCTTGCCGCCTGATTCGAGGTAGAAGCATGAGTTGATGAGTTGGATAAATTTCATCCTAATAATTTAAAGGATTCTGTTGAGGTACCAAGTAATAGCCACTCATCACTCTGACATAGCGCTTCAAGGCTGGTCGACTCGTAAAGTATCCTGTCCAGAAACCATTTGCACGGTCTGCATAGCTGTAATGATTTATTTTTTATTAGAGATGCTCTAAGTTAGGAAACATCAATATAATATGATTTAATTCAAGTTTATACTCACGGGAAAAAGTCTTCGGTCTTTAGTGGCCATGCCTTGTTTTCAGAATGTTTGGCATCAGTATATATGGATGGGGTAGAGTAGAGAACATTTACACGTCCATCCTATTTAGTAGCAAAAAAAGTGAACAGCATGAGTAATATAACATTATAAAGCACAGTTGCAAAATCCCTCAACATTATTAACTACTGATGGAAGGTTTCCATAAAAGTAAGTAGTCAAAGGACAGAAATCACTCGAGACATGGATAGCATGAATTAAAATAGTGTCAGTGACTAAACTGACATCACTTCCAAATAGATAATATCAACTACCAATTTCCATCAATCAAATTGTACAAAAGCCAACACTTTAAAGGAAATTAAACAAAGATTACCATGTTCACATAGTGAATCAGCTTGTCCATCTGGCGAAACCAAGAGTTTGCATACTGATACTTGAAATCTGTTCCCATCGTAAACATAACATGATTTCCTCGAGTAACGTTCGCCTGAATGGCAGGAGCTTCACTCATGTTAGTCCTCAAGCAAAGTACCACAAGGACAGAGTACTAACTACTAATTGTGATTCTGGAAAGGAAAATTATATGCTATCCTCATTTGACTAAGGAAAAACCTCATTCTCGCACCTAAAAGCTACTGTAGCAGCCAGAGCATATGAAGCGGCAGAAAATAAGACACTAGAAATTACCTGCATTATGGCAGCAGCAACGAAGTCATTTACTCGATCCGGAACATTATAATCAAACAAATTAATGTCATCCTTCAAAGCATAAGAAACTTAATTAGCCTTATGTTATTGTAACTAGCCTCCGGAATCATAGCAAATTATCACTTCACAAATCACAATGTGTTACCTGAACTACAGGGGAGGGATCATTAACTTCAAAGTAGAAATCACCAGGGGGAGGCTCGTAGTGTTCTGGGAATGCACCAGCAAAAATCTACAGCCAAAAGAAAGAGAGTAAAATGCATACTAGTCCAAGTAGTGATACTAACTAAAATTGAAAGAGACATGAACTTTCATCACCTTTGATGCAGGAAGGCTCTTGGAACCCTGCCACACCGTTTCCAGACTCTTCTCATCCTTACGTTTTTCCCTGTCCTGGTAATCTATCCGGCCAAAGAAAAAGGAGTCGAAACCAACCTACAAGTACATTTAACAAACATTAATCAGCAGTATGAAACAAGACATATGCAAGTAGCAATAGATGAGTTTACCTCAGCTCCCAGCAAGTATGCCTGGACTGCAGAATGTCCAAAAGGGTCGATTTGCCAACCAATCCTTGGTGTCACACCAAATTCCCTTTTGATGAACCTGTGTCCAAGAGTCGTTTGGTCAACCATGTCAATGTAATGGGTCACCGCCTCATCATGCATGCACATCCCCCCATTTCTGCAGCAAACATTAGAAGAGAATAAGGTATAAAATCAATCTTCTCTTCCATTTTCAACATCTTATACCAACCAAACACAAACGAAATAACTAGCCACTGCCAACCAATGATATGTTTTACATGAATTCTAGCTGCCCCGACGACACAAGCTGCTTGACTACGTGCTTCATTGTTTCACTCTGCTCGTTCCACCATCTTTCGAAAAATGCCTACATTGTCAAGGAAAACCAGTCAGCACAAAGAGGAGGAACAACTTGATGAGTTAAGGTAGTTTGGCATTCAATTGCATTGCACAGCATTTCTATTATCAGCATTAAGGTCTAGGCGAAGTATCCCAAATGGGTATAAGTTCCATAACCTTTGGTCGTTTCAGAAAACAGGTATAAGTTCCATAACCTTTGGTCGTTTCAGAAAACAGGATAGTGAATGAATGCAAAGAAGCAATCAAGAAATGGAAAGTGTAGCTTACAAACATCCAAAGGCTGTTTCGTATTTCCTTTAATAATCCCATCAGTAGCAGACTGAAATGGAAACTAAATACACTCGTCGAGAACCCATAAGAGAGAGGCTTACGATTTCAACGTAGATGAACTTGCGATTCTTATCAGCCAGCAATGCCGGAATCAGAGAATCCAAAACGTTCTGCACGCAGGCACCCTACAGCCCAAAGCGAACAAAATTGGTCTCAACATTCTTACAGTCAGGCTGGTCCAACAAACATCTGCGAGATCACGATTAAGCCTATAGAAAGAAACCGAGGAGGGGGGGGGGGGGGGGGGGGGGGGGGGGGGGCTCAATTACCTGGATGGAATTGTTGGAGCCAACATAGTACTGGTCAACGGTCTTCAACCACCCAACATCGTCGTGGGTATGGGGAACCAGGTGAACATTAAGCTTCCCAGGAACTATTCCTTGTGAAGTGTTGTAAACCATGAATTTGGATTCCCCACATGGAATCGATAGCAGAATCGTGCAAAAAAGAGCAGCGGAGAACAACCATGGGCTCATTCTAAGCTCAGTCTTCTTCTCCATCGAGAAATACACAGAGAGAGAGGGGGCTGCAGTAGAAGAAGTAGACTGACGGAGGTATATATAGCAATTCACGCCATGGAAATAGGTTTCAGTGAGGGAATAAAAGAGTCCAGTGAGTCACTGTCTATTATTGGAATAGAAAATTGCCATTCTTTTGATGGATAAGGCCGATGACTCGAGATTTTGTCAACTTGTGCTTCTTTTGCAGGGGATGCTGGAGCAACCTTCGATGCATGGTTTCAACCGGGCAACCCGCCGGGTTTTAACGGGCTAACGGAGCATCCGGCCGGGCCAGACAGAAAAGGGCAAAGCCGCGAAGGGAAACCAGGCAGTTGGCTTGCGGCGATCAGGAGCTTACTTACTTCCCCAGCCAAGTATAACTGGAGTGGCGAGTAAGGAAATGGTGGCGAAAGCACGGAGGAGGTGGTATCAGAGATATTGGAGATATGAGTAAAATATCGCATTATTGCGTGATATTTTGGCGCTTTCTTTTCCCCTCCTTTTCCTTCTTCCCTTTTTCTCCGACTTTCAACTTCCTTTCTCTCTCGCCCTCCCTCAGGAAATTAAAAATGCTAAAACCCAGGCCTTAGGTTTTAGTATCCCGCCATGTCTTCCTTCTTCCCTCCACCTTCGTTGCTCCATCTTCCGTTCACTGCTTCACTCTCCGGCACAGCTACTAGTAGATGCGACAGCGTCATGCCCTTGAAGATGCTCGGAACTTCACTCTGGATAGTTTCCTTGCTTCTCATGGCGGCTGAGACGGCGTCGTCCTGGTCGCCGTCGCCGATGGCCAGTTCCGGCCCTCACATTGGTGATGTCAACATACTGCTCCCTCCTAAGATGACGTACTCTGTGGATTACCGGCTTCAAGGATATGATGGCTGCTTCAAATGGTGAGTTTATTGATGTTCGAACTGCTTGCTAGTTGTACTTCTATATTTTGTTCTTCATTCTTCCACCGGCGAGCATTGCTTGATTGATCGGATTTTGGTAGTTGACGTCCGGGTTTAGGTGAATTCAAAATTGATGGTTTGATTGGATGTGACGGCATTGTGAGAAGGAAGAACGTGGGCTAGAAACGCTCTCTGTAAAAGACAGTTAGGAATTAGGATGTTGTTGCTTGATGAGACCTATGCTGAGAAATTTTGGTTAGGCCATTGCGGAATGGCAGTATAATAATAGGTTTAGATCCCAGGTTTTGCTGCTGATTACTTAGTAGTTGACTATGGCCACAATGTTTAGTAACCCAAATCTTGAAGGTCTTAAGCCTGCCAACTCTCAAAATGTAAAACCATGGTTGATGTCAAGTCGAGCTACGGAGGAGAGGATAATGTTGTTTGGCATATTAAATATCTGCTGATGTCAATTTTCTAATATTTACAGGTCATGGGATCATCGTGATATACTCTCTGTTGTACCTGAATATAATGCAAGTAGCCACTGCTCAACAAGCGCGATGTTGAGCTCCATTGCCCCCTTTAGTGGTCGGAAGGAGACTGCAGTTTATGCTACTGATATACAAACTGGGGTTGTAATTCGCTGCAAAGTTTTTATTGACAAAATCTCCAGGATTCAGATCTTTCATAATTCCATTAAACTGGATCTAGATGGACTTGCCACTCTTCGAGTTCACGCATTTGATAGTGAAGGTATGGTCATTCTACTCGATTCACATATATCTAGAGCTTTAAAGTCCCATTTGGGTAATGGATAGGGTCGGAGTTTATGGTTTTTCGCTTGTCTGAGGTAAGCTGCTGTAGATAGTGTCCAATGCTTCTAGCATTTTTTTTTAGTCAATCTTTGTTTGCCACAGATAAAACATTCCAAATCACTACTTTAAGTGCAGTGTCTTAGCTCTTTTCTGGAACAATTGCTTGTTTTATGCATTACGTGGGAGCTCTTCTGTTTTGATTCTTTCCTTTTTCAAGTTTTCACCATTTCACCTGTGAATTATTTGTTGCAGATAATGTGTTTTCATCCTTAGTTGGCTTACAATTCATGTGGCAACTAGTACCTGAAGGTCCGGGGCCTCATCACCTAGTTCATGTTCCTCTCAAGCATTCTCCTTTGAGCGACTGTGGTGGATTATGTGCAGCCTTAAACTTCAGGATAAAGCTTGAAGATGATGTATGGATGCTAGAATTGGATTTTATTTCAGTTGCTCTATTTTGTCCTCTATGTATCTGATAGTATTTTATGGTACGTTGAGCAGGGTGTATTCTCAGATCTGTGCGTTGTCAAAGGGACTGGGATTGGACGTGAGACTGTATCTGTACAGATGCGTGAACCACAATTTGAGCGCATGAGTGATAGGATAGTACTAACTGTTGCAGAAGCCATGTCAGTCGAGCCCCCTTCTCCTGTCTATGTCCTGGTTGGTGCTGCTTTACAATACACTCTTAAAGTCATCAGAGGAAATGTTCCACAAGGTTTGTTTCCCCTATCGTCCCATTCCTTTTCTTTTTGGCAGGATTCTGATCTCCTGCATGGGAACCCTAGGAAAGTTGCATGCGATACCTATGTGTGTGCTGAGTTTTCCTAAAGTATGCTCATTATTGGCTTTTGCAGTTGTAGCATTACCATCTCCACATCATCACTGGTCTGTCTCAAACTCCTCAGTTGCTGAAGTAGATCCAATGCAGGGTTCTGCTCATGCTCTGAATTTGGGAATAACGGCTGTTGCTGTTAAAGATACTAGAGTTGCTGGCCATGTACAGATTTCCTCACTGTATGTGGTGGTACCAGAAAGCTTACATCTGTATATAGTGCCACTCTCTATTTCTGGCGACCCGATGGAAGGAGTTCAACCTGTTGCTTCTGGGGCTACATGGTACGTGGTTATTGGCCATTGTTACCTTATCAAAGTCAAAGTTTTCTCTGGCGGGCCTGATGCACAAGAGATCTACATCACAGAGGTAAGTCATAGAACCCAACATGTCTTATATACTTCTATTCTTTTTTGCATGTCTTCGGTTAAGTGACCTACTGTGGCAACTGGCAAGACATAGCTAAGTTAACTCATTATTTTTATCTGCAGATTGAACTTTTGAATTAGCTTAATAGGTTTTTTTAGTCAGAATTAGCTTAAAAGGTTTTAAAAAGAAGAAATTAGATTGATTGGTTAGGTTGGATATGGTTCTTAACTTCACTTATGCGTAGCAGTCAAAAAATAAGGATAAGATTGAGGATGATTGTTGCAGATTCAAGAGATTGCCTCCTGCACAACATAATTTGATATCATATGCTATAGTAATGCTTTTGTCAAAAGGAACAATGTTGTCCATGACATACTTAGATATACACTTTTATCTTGTAACTGTTAGCATGTGAGCAGATGATGTAAAAAAAACCATACTATTTTTTTGCTGAGCAGTTTGCTTCATTTCATTTTCCCCCAGTGTTTGCTCTGTTATTCTACCTTCTTTCTTGTTTGAGTTTGTGGTTGAAGTATGATAATGATTTTCAATCTAACTGTCTTAAAAGATTTGTGCCTCCCAACTGATTCAGTAATTCTGAACTTCCCCTCTTGGATTGCAGAAAGATAATGTTAGACTGTTGGATGAACCAACTGATTACTGGAAATCATTGCCGCCATCAGCTGCTAATGTTGTCGAACATGGCTGGTGGAATTATAGAGTCATCAACGTAACCTCTCTGGGTCTTGGAAAATTAGCAGCATCTTTGATTTATTTCCATGGGCATAAGGAAAGAGAGCAGGTGAATATGACATTCTTTCGTTGAACTTTATTATCCTTTTTGCACTTTGCTAGAATCATGCAAAAGTATCCTTTGTTGGGTCGCTAACCATGTTTGCTACAATCTGCTAATAGGTTCTGAAAGTTGAGCAAGAAATTGTCGTTTGTGATCACGTAAAATTTCTTCTGGATGGTAACACAACATCTCAAGTTGTCCACCTTCCATGGGCTCCTGCAGTTTACCAAGAGGTGGAGCTGAAGGCTGTGGGAGGTTGAATCCTTTGCGATTCCTTATCTACCTTAGGTTAAAAGTTACCTGTAGTCATCTAACGGTCGATGGATTTTTTGAAACCCTATAGGTTGTGCAAAAGCATCAGCTGACTACAAATGGTACTCATCAGATGCTTCTACTGTGTCAATTTCAACTTCAGGGATCATCCTGGCTATGAAGCCTGGTAAAGCTACTGTGAAAGTAGTTTCTGGATTTGATCCCTTCAATTATGATGAGGTACTTATAGAACTGCAGCTGTTTAAATCTCTGTTCTCATGCATATGCTTGCCTTGATGTAGACAATTTGATCAGTGTGATTGGAAACTCCATTGACAAAGTGTCTTGATCTGGCCGTTTTTTTATCATCATAGAGTGAAGTAGAAGGAATCCGGTTATTTTTTAGTTTTGAATTGCCAACATGTACGTAGCTGAATTGTTCTGTTTATTTGTCCTTTTTTGTTCTTTTTACAATTCTGATGTTCCTAGAAATCCGATTATTGTAGGCCTATCTGTATCAAATTTTGGCAGTGGAGATATCCTCCCTGTACCATGGTATTCTTTGATGTTATTATCCAGCTATTTACTGGTTCATCTATTTGTGCTTGCACTTTTTTGTGTTTGGCCCACAAGTTAAGATTTATTAATAATGCTATCTCAAGTTGCTATTCCTCTACTTTTATAGGTGTTGATCGAAGTTTCTTTGCCTTCATCTATGATTATGCTCCCAAACTTCCCTGTGGAGACTGTTGTGGGGTCACATCTTCAAGCTGCAGTGACATTAAAATCGTCAAATGGTTAGCTGTTCTCTGGAAATTTCTTGAAAATGCGTTCATTGCAGCTGGTACCTCTATTTTTCTCTTTACAAAAGTCAGGCTTACAATTTGCAGGTGCCTATTTCTACAAATGCGATGCTTTTCGTACTTTTGTGAATTGGAGAACTGGAAGCGAGTCTTTTGTTGCCCTAAATGCTACAGAGGAATCACTTGCTCTCCATAAGCTAGCAAAAGCTGGCCATGGGTATGTGAGTGGTCCACCTTGTTCATGGACTAAGGTTTATGCATCTGGTTCTGGTCAGACGCTGCTTCAGGCTATTCTATCCAAGGAATACCACAGCTTTGATCATCACTTCCATGGACCTATTGTCTTGAAGGCCTCATCACGAATTGCATCATATCCACCACTTATCCTGGGTCAGTTAGGTGATGGGAACCAATATGGAGGTTATTCTTATGAAGGAACAGATGATGAAATAGAAAATTTGGAGAAGTTATATCTTGTTCCAGGAACAAGTTTGGATGTCATGCTTCTTGGAGGTCCCAAACAGTGGGGCACTAGTGTTGAGTTCATTGAAACTGTTGAACTGCTGGATGACGAGACTGTTAAGAATAAAGTTGGCCTTCAAGTGCATCAACTTACTGGCAGCTACAGGAGTACGTACCGAATTTTGTGCTCAAGTCATGAGGCCTATGTAAGTTGTGAGTCCCTGGTGACTTATATGTCTGCACATATAGAGTGCTTTATACTTTTTGTTTCATGAATATGCAAGATATTAATTCGCCTTTCTTCTGGTCTTGAATGGCTCAGAAATTGGTTTTCAGACGTGGGAATTTGGCAGGAGATGAGCATCCGGTGCCCACTGTTGCAGAAGTTACACTGTCTGTTACCTGCGGCATTCCATTTTCCATTGCACTTATCATTGATGAACCTGGTAACTACTATATATTTTCATGCTCTAGAGCTGAATTTTTTTTCAGAATTCCTTTGATCTAACATTGTGCAACTGTCAGTTAATGAACGTGATCTTGTAAGGACTGTGGCTGCTGCTGAACGTAGCACAGGACACATTCAAATCACCCCTATAACAGTGGCGAATGGTCAAACTGTCAGAGTTTCTGCTGTTGGCATTGCAACTCTAGGGGAAGCTTTTGCAAACTCATCTTCTCTTTATCTGAAATGGGAATTGATGGGCTGTGAAGGCCTAGCATACTGGAATTATGCTTATGAATCAAAGAGTTCTAAGTCCAGTTGGGAGAGATTCTTGGTCCTGCAAAATGAATCAGGACAGGTAATACTTTAATGTCCTCATGATCATATTGTTACCTCCTGTGTATTCCCTGTTATATCATTCTAAAGTTGCATGTCTACTACAGCTCACTATGAAATCGTGAAGAACTGAATTAGACAATTTTCCTTATGATGAGAAGTTGTGATTCATTTGCATCTCATAAGATCTCCTGAAAGGCAAATTATATGCACGTATCAGTTTCATTTTGAATACTTGAAATTGTAAGCTATTATGATTTCAAATAATGGGAGTGTACAGCCCTCAAATAATGATGATGATGGTTCTAGTAATATTATTTATAATATCTAATAACATTAGAGAACTGTCATCAGTCATCTATTTTTGGACGTAAGCTAAGGCGTTTTATTCTTGCTATATCAGTGCATTATCCGTGCTACTGTTATTGGCTTCAGCAAACCAATAAACCGTCAATATTCTGCTGAGCTGGCAGACAAATCTTTGACAGATGCTATTCAGTTGCAGGTATGCTTTTGGTTATGCTATTTATATTTTATTGGAAGGGCGAGATCGTTTTTTTACTATATGAGACCTATGTCATGTAAAGTACTTATTCATCTGTTAAAGTATGCAGCTTGTGTCGACACTGAGGCTGACTCCAGAATTCAACTTGTTATATATGAATCCTGATGCAAAGGTAGACTATGGACCTCTTCTTATCTTATCTATATTTGTCTTATAATTTTGCTTTATGTCTATGCTGTTGTCACCTTGGATTCCATGACCAGGCTGTTTTACTATTATTTATTTCCGCCTCTGCTTCTCTAGCTTATCGTCATTGCTAAATACCACTTTGACTCTCATGTTGCTCAATGATTATTGTTTGCAAGTTTACTGCATACTTCATATTTATAGTAGTCCCATCCAACTTCGGTTGAAGCGAGGGGGCTACTTGTCAACTGTCTTTATGATGATGTTGTATGCACATGAATCCCTTCGTCACACAACTTAATTGGAGACCACATGAATCCCTCCATTATGTATCTCTATGTTTCCATGTGATGTATAACTAATTTCCAGCAGTGTATCACTCAATCATTCTCTGGTTTTGTAGGCCAATCTTTCAATTTTTGGGGGCAGTTGCCTCTTAAAAGCTTCTGCTAATGACTCTCAAGTGGTGGAGGTTCTTGAATCTCCACCTGGTCTGCAATGTCTGCAATTGACAATCGCTCCTAAAGAGCAAGGGTTTGCAAATGTGACAGTTTATGACGTTGGACTTGTCGTTCCAGTTGCAGCTTCTGCTGTGGTAATTTCTTTATTATTTACCAACTCAATTCTAAGCCAGGTGGCATATGATTCGAATACTTGCGGAGGGTGAATTAATTTTTCATATTTGCAACATATGGAGTACTCTTTTTTTATGGTGTAACATCTGCTTTCTTTATGATCTTTGACCAAAAGTCCGTCCTTTTAGATGCTTCACTACATCTTGTGATGCCTATATTGCGTTTTCTCTTCCGTTAGCTATTACTTCCTGAAGGATTTACTTCTGGACTTGATTCTTACAGGTCCAAGTTGCTGATCTGGAGTGGATTAAGATTATGTCCGGAGATAAAATAAGCCTCATGGTACGCTTTTTGTTAGCTGGATTATTTCTGCTTAACACCATGAATTGCCACTAATCGACTTTTGTTGGATTTATTCAGGAAGGACAGTCTCATTCCTTAAACTTAATGTCTGGGATTAACAACGGGAGAATTTTTGACTCATCTCAGGTATGAGGCACTCCTTTAAAGTTTCAATAGCCCCCTGTAGCTCTAGCTTAAGTTTATATTTCTTTTCAATTGAAGGATATTTGATGTTTTGATGAGCATTAATCTTGATTTCCAGAGTGCTCTTCACCAGAAATTTCCACAGCTGATTTGTTATATATCTTGTTGATGGGTCTTCATGTCTGTTTATGCCTTCAAATAGTCGTTTCTTTTGTAATGTCCTACATTTTATGTGCAGTATGCCTTCATGGAGATGGTAGTGCATATTGAGGATGATGTGGTGGAAGCTGTAGATAATGGCAATATTGGAAGTTCTTGCTCCTATCTTACCACTCCTGACTTCAAGATCATTGGAAAACGGCTTGGCTTCACGAATCTTTATGTGAGTTTCTTCCTTAAGGCTTAAACTGGTGTTGGCACGCATTGCAAGTATGGAAGATTCAAATTTTCATATTTTGGTGCCAGGTCAGTGCTAGACAGAATTCTGGAAATGAAATATCCAGTCAACTGGTAAAAGTTGAAGTATTTGCACCTCTGAAAATTCACCCAGAAGAAATTTTCCTCGTTCCTGGGGCATCTTATATGGTATGATTTTTACTTTCAGTTGTCTTTTTCTTTTCGCCAACCTCTATTACTGTTGTTTTCATTGCCTGTTCTTCCCTCCTATCTACGTCTCTAGGACAATGTGCTTGTTAATTACTTGCTTTATGTTTTAAATACATTTGATTGACGGACTTGTTCTATGTGTGTATCTTAAAAATTGTTTTGCTAGCTCAATGTGGAAGGTGGCCCAACAATCGGACAGTATGTGGAATTTGCTTCTGAGGATGAACAAATAGCAACAGTTGACAAAGCCTCTGGACGTCTTTCTGCAATTTCTCCTGGAAACACTGTAAGACATGATTCCCTGCTGGAAATCATTAATTTATCTATCATTTCTGCTCTTGGTTTTGCATTGGTCATGGTTAGGGTGGAGAATATGTTTTATTTATTGGTGTTCCTATACTTGTTATGCATAAAAGATGATAACACATTTTTTGTGTGATTAGACAATAATTTCTACTGTTCATGGACCTGAAGATATAATTTGTAAAGCATCAGCTCTTGTGAAAGTGGGAGTACCTTCTTTGGCAACGTTACATGCGCAAAGTGAACAACTTGATGTTGGTAGGCAATCGCCAATATATCCTTTATTTGAAGAGGTAAGATTGAACTCATTTAAAGGATTTATTTGAACTGTAAATCAGTAGTGTGTCAACTGACCTACTTGAGCTTCTCAGGGCAATTTGTTTTCCTTTTATGAGCTTTGCAAAGGGTACAAATGGACTATAGACGACGGAAAGGTAGGACAACTGCTGCATCTTCTTTCTATTGTTCTGTTCCTCATATACACCATTAAGTCATTGTTTGCTGATTGGATGTAGGTGATCGACTTCTACAAGTTGGAAAAACCCCTTGGTGATAAAAACTGGTCCCCGTTGGATGATGAGAAAGAACCTGATTTTATGAAAGTCGTGTACGGAAGGTAAGCTGCTGATGACATTTGGACCTGATGTAGGGCTCTTCCATTGTTCATGCATGTACTCATAATTTCCTGATGATATTTGTTGAGGAATACGGTTATTGATTTGAGATTCTTTTCCCCTTTACCCGATCATACACCTTTATTGTCATTATTCCTTAAAGTTGCACTTGTGCTCTGGTGTCCCTATCATAGGCAATATTGTGTTTGAAGGACTGATAACTTCATCCTTCACTGTGATGTTCTTTGCATCCCTTCAGTTAAACTCTTTTTCTTGCAGATTTTATGACCAAAGAGAACAGTCTCAATTAATGATCTCAAGAAAGTTCCATTTTGAAAAGCATTTTCCTCTTCCAAACTTCTAGGCTTCACCTGCTTCATTAATGTTCTTGGTTACATGAGTTGTTTCTTTCTGGTTTTAGTAGCCCAGCAAAGTAATATTTTGGGTTTGCGGTGATGACTTGGGCTGCATCATCGTGATGCTTAGGAAAATGAGATGTTAGCCACTTGTCCTACGATCTGTATATAAACGCTTCTTGTCAAATTTGCTATCATATCTCCTTGGTGCTTATCTGTTGCCTTCATTTTCTGAGTGTCTAAGATTACTTTTGGTCATGCTCTATTCTCCTATTCCAGGTCTGCCGGCAGGACAACTGTTGCAGTAACATTCTCGTGTGACTTCGTTTCTAGTTCATATTCACAATCTAGACTGTATGATGCCTCGGTGTCATTGCTGGTTGTGCCTGATCTCCGGCTCACGCCTGGAGTTCCAGCAGCATGGGTTCTTCCTCCTCATTATGTTACCTCTGCTCTTCTGACTTCATCTTCTGAATCACGTGGCCAGAGGGATAGTCACAGTAAAAAAGGAACGATTGCCTATTCCTTGTTGAGGATCTGTGGTGAAAGGAATGAAATCTTACAAGATGGCATTATTATTGAAGGCGAGAAGATAAGAACAACGGAGAGTAACAATGTTGGATGCATACAGGCAAAAGATCGAATAACTGGGAAGACGGACATTGCCTGCTGCATCAGAGTTGCTGAGGTTTGCATCCCCCTTGCTTCTAAATGATATTGAAACACATTCAAGATTTGTGTAAAATGATTTTGAAACATATTTATTACACACTAGTCTCTGGATCCTAGTATGTCGCATGAAGTTGCATGGTTTCTACAAGTGATTTTAGGGTTTATAATGTGCAAAAAATCATGCTTCCTCTCTATGCCGAAACTCATTACTTAGATTTTTCTTTTTCTGACTATTCTTATAACTCTAACTTTACATAGTATATCAAGAAGATCACTCCAAGTCGTAAATAGGGACTTCTTTTTTATGTTGTATTTGCTGATCACAATTGATTTTTCCGGATAAATTTTCATTTCGTTTGGTTACGTCTGTTACTGCAATCATAAAGTTTTATGTCCTGTGTACCTATGTTCGTAGTTTTAAACTGGTGCGTTGCCTCTTCAGGCTTTGATGTGTGGTTGCAAGCTTATTCTGACAGATCTGCTTATTTTTCAGGTAGCTCAAATCAGAATCACAAATGAGGAGTTTCAATACCGTGCAATTTATCTTCCAGTTGGTGCTGAACTTGATCTTCCCGTAACATACTTTGATGCCTTAGGTAAGAAAAAGGCGTATATGCTGTATAATTAGTAAGTGTATGTACTTCACATTCCTGATCTTACCCAACTCTGCTGCATCTATCTTTACAGGAAACCCTTTCCATGAAGCATACAACGTTATTCCTTATAAAGTCGAAACAAACCATCGTGATATCCTTTCTCTTGGGGGTATTAAATACAGCAGTGTGAATATTCATCTCAAGGTCTGTTGATAAAACCTACTTATTTTCACTCAACTATGACTTTGAGGATGTGCTGTTATCTGTCTTTCTATAGCTCTTTTAGCATTTTGAAATACGATGTTGAGTATGAGCATATGTTTTGTTCTCTTGCCAATCTCTCTATCAATTCCAAGCATTTAGTTTTACAGGCCTAAAGTTTCTGGCACTATTTCTTTGAAAGTTTATTCATCATTTTCTTCTTCTTCTTCTTCTTCTTTTTGCTTGAAGGCTATGCAACCTGGTCGGGCTCTTTTACGGGTATCACTCGCTAGCAATCAACAGAAGTCGGACTATGTTCTGGTATGTGTTTAACGAATGAAAACTGGGATTTTCGGTGGGGTCAATGCTTGATCACTGAGTCATTGGTTTTTATGAACAGTAGAGAAACAAATGCTGATGCTATCCGTTTCTAGAATGTGCTTCAAGGCCAGTCTAAATTACTATGCTACATGGTTCTCTGTTTAGAAACAAATCATTCATTTTCTCCCTCCTGCAACTGTTCCCTTTTGCAGTTCTACATGAGACAATAAGTGTGCTTTGATATATATGCTTGTTGCTTGAGTTAAATAACGAGATAATTCAAATACCGGGGGTTTGTCTGGAGTAGAGATTTTTGCATGCTGCTCGGCATTAGGCTCATAGGTCTGGTTGGTAGGAGATCTTTTGGATTTAGAACATGCATTGCCTTTCTGGGAATGTGCATAAACCATGCTATGTCTATTTGATTAAAAGAGGGTGTATGCAATTTTCATTACTTGTAACTGCCGCCTTTTCACTTTCTCCGGTTTAAGATTTCTGAATTCTGTCTTTCAGATTTCAGTAGGTAATTTGTATCCGCTGAACCCTGTCATTCATAAAGGAGGTTATCTATACTTCAGTGTGGAAGGTAAACTCGTGTATAAGCTTCTTCTCATTTTTCTCACTTCATGTGAGGAATTAGCAAAACACTTACTGCTTTCTAGACCACTAATGAAGATATTCTGCTTTGTTGTAGGTGTTAATGACTGGTCGTCTGGCCGCTGGCTTAGTGCCAATAATAGTGTCGTAGATATTGATAGTTCTGGAAAAGCTGTAGGGGTTGGTGTAGGGTCCACTCAAGGTACTTCCTGATCCTTCCTCTTTCTAATTGATTTAGGCGTGTGAAGATATCATTGGCAAAACTATGAGTTCCCTGATTGGAGCTTGCATTCTTCCTACAGTAACGTTTGAGTGCCATCCAATGAAAGTACAAACAGAGGTCACGGTGCTATCAGGAAATGTTGTTTCTGTTAATCCTCCTGAAGAGTTGCTGACGAATGTTCCATACCCAACGAAAGGATACAGCTTCCCTGTTAAATTCAGGTATTGCAAGGGTCTCATCTTTGTTATTTGGAGTGTTTTAACATAAAGTTTGCACAGTATTAATAATGTTGCGAGTAGAAAATGGCTTCCCTATATTCTTTGGGTGATGGACTCGATTCCACTCCTTTTGTTTCATGGCTTCCCTATATTCTTTGGGTGATGGACTCGATTCCACTCCTTTTGTTTCTCTCAGTTAATCAGACTAATAATCTTTGATAAGGCTGCATCTCAGAACCTCAGGCAGTAAATTGAAGCTTTGAATAAAATGTTTTTACTCGTTTTTATGTAATATACTACTACTGATTGGGTGTCTGATTGGAGATACCACTATCACTATGCTATATGCTTTTATATGATATTAAGAAATGACCAGTCAGGTAAATGATGCATGGTTTATTCTATATGGGTGATGACAGTGGTGTACAGCAAAAGTCTGAATCTAGTGAAAGTAGCAAAGAAGTACAATTTGACTGCAAAGTGGATCCACCTTATATCGGGTAATCTGTACACCATCATCTTTCACTTCCGGGGTTATGCCTGTATACTGTACCTTCTCTTGCTAAATACTTATTATCCCACTTTCTGAACTGAAGATATGTAAAGCCACGGGTGGATGCAGACTCTGGAAATCTGTTCTGTGTCTTCTTCCCTTACCCCCCAGAACATTTGACACGTTCAGCTCCCAGGTCAAAGGATATAAGACCATATATATCTCTTACCATTTACGTTTCACTCAAAGAGAGCAACCAGGTTTCTGGATCGGCATCTGCGCTTTTCGCTGGGGGTTTTTCTGTACCAGAGATGGACATGGTAATTTGTTATTGCGATTCTTTTTGTTTGAGCCAGTTTCTTGTCCGGGTAGTAATTGTGAAAGAAATCTTTATGAATTAAGCCCTAATAGTTTTCACCTTCTATGTCATTTCTTTTACTCCCTGCGATGTTTACATGCACTCAGTTTAGGCGTCGTAATGCTGCTCCTTTCGGTTGCAGGGTTCTATGGAGGTGAATCTAACACCAGACTCCAACACGACAACTATAACCATCTTGGGGAACACAGGTAAGTTGAAATCTATTTGATTGATTTCACGCATGGACAGTACAGCATATCATAGTTCGCTTAATGCTTTAAGGAGAACCGGCGAGAGGTTGATTTCTTTTGCCAAATCATGGAGTTCAAGCAGCAAGCTTAGTATTCACCCTGAGGATCATCTCAGTTTCTTTTGTAGTCATGTTCCCAAAACATCCTAGCTATGATTTCCATTATCAATCAGTCATCTTCCGTTGCAGGTATTGAAATTGACTGGCACGAAAAGGATGCCATTGAGTTCAACCTTCTCGACGAGGAAGATTTCGGGGTTGGTGGCCGTGCTTCCTACGAGGTGAGTGGTGCTCTTCCTTCTGAACTCTCTTACAACCAACTAATAATCTTCTCTGATCTCTGTGTGCCACAAACTAAGTCCTTAACTAGTCGAAAGACTTATCCTTGCTGATCGGACCTTGTGTTTCGTATCTCCAGCTGAAAGTGTCAGGACCAAACAGAGTGAAGGACCACATTCGAATCTCACTCCCAACCAATGGTGCGCCTCCCTCAGCCATTCAAACGTTGATATACATGAATACCTCTTTCTGAAGTTACAAAGATGAATACTCTTAACTTGCATTTTCCTTTGAAGGTCAAGAAATGTTAATTGACGTGAACTACGAACCTGGTCCAAAACCAGCAGACGAGAAAACCCCCGCCAGCCTCACGTTGCGATCAGTCATAGCTGGGGCCCTCATTTTGGTTACTTCGGTAGCAGCCATTCTGATAATCAAGGGGGAAGTGTCCAGCAGAACTCGAGCACCATCACCACCATCGTCGATACCTCCAACTAATGGCACTGCAAACGCTCCTCCTCCTGGGACTCCCGATCGTGGGAGTGGCTCTAAGTTTACAGAACAGTCGCCAAGAACGCCTCAGCCTTACATAGACTACGTGAGGCAGACGATAGACGAGACCCCGTTTTATCGGAGAGACGGTAGGAGGAGGTTTAACCCTCAGAACACTTACTAGGTTAGGTTGGCCTCGCTTTAGAAGAACTCTGCTTCTTGGTTTCCTTTTTTGGAGGCGGAAAAAAAATTCCAGGTGTAAATATCAGAGTGAGATGTATGAAAACCTATTCTCGAACAATTGATCTTGATGGATTTATCAGTTAGATGCACTTCTAGAAGTAGATTAGGGAAACAACAGATTGCTATCAATTCATATTAGGTTGAATTTAAACTGATGGATTGTGGTATGTAGATTTTGTGAGACTCTCGTACAATCGTACTTAAATGAGAAAGTTGATTGATAATAGGTTTGTGAATCTTAGCTAATGAGTTATAATATATAAACTCATAAAGTTCTTTAATTTATACTAGCTTTGTGCCCGGCCGGATGGCCGGGTTCATTACATTTTATCATTTCAAATAATTATCCCTTTGAGACATATGATCAAATGATTTAAAATAAATAAATTTCATTTTTTACATCTTTTAGCTTTTTTAGGTTTGTGTGATAGTTGATTTGAAGGTTTTGGTCATCGAATTTGGTGTCTCTTTTAACTTGATTTCTTTGAGATTATTTGACATAATTGAGCTATGGTTTAATGGGAATATGTTTTTGAATAATATTAATAAGGGGTATTTTTATTTTAGTTGATTTCCCTTTTTATCTAACATGTTATTTTTCATTTTGTGAAAGGGATTTTAGTAAATAAGTATTCTTATTTTCCGGCTTTTATTAGTCTTCCTTTATCATTTTTTTTAATTAAATAGGTTAGCTTTTGGGTTAAAATTGGATAAATAAAATATTATGTCATGCTCTACTACCACAATTTTATACAATTATTATTAACGTATCAATTTATCACAAAAATAATAACAAATTCAATATCACAATTAAAAATACAAAAATAAGGCGGTTTATTAGGAGTTTTATCACAAAAATAAAAACAAATTCAATATCACAATTAAAAATAAAAAAATAAGGCGGTTTATTAGGAGTTTTATAGAGGAAGGGGACATGTTGGGAACGGTTTTGAGGAGAGAGAGAAAGGTTTAAATTTAAAGCCTAGTGACGTGGATGCATAAAAATCGTTTAAGGCTTACGTGGAGTGGGTTAAAATCTCAAACCCTTTTAATATATTTTAAGATGAGCATACTCACGAATTTTGTGTATAATCTATCACTAGAAAATTGTCGATTTCGTTTTGATTCATTTACGTAGTATATAATTATTAATTGGATTGTGTTCTTCGGAAATTAAGTAAATTAATGGACTACTTCTACTATGCTATATAAAGAATTTGTACAGACGAATATAAATTTAATCTAAAATTACAACATAAAAACAAAAATCTATAACTAGGGATGGCAATGGGTCGGGTTTGGGGCGGATTGTAAACCCATCCCCGTACCCATTTTCAATTATCAAATCCATACCCTCCCCATCCCCATACGGGGAAGATTTTGCATCCCCATCGGCCCATCCCCATCCCCGCGGGTTTCGGATACCCGAGGGTAAGCCCTGCCCCGTACATCTTATTATGATTATAACTTAATTAACACACTTGAATTCAACAAAACATATAACTATTGAGTTGAAACATCAAACCTAATCAATGATGAACCTAATAAAGAACCACTGAAAATCTTAATTAGATCATCCAATTCCTACTAAGTTCCATAAATAAAATACCAATAAGTAATCCAACACCAAATTATTCATCTCCAAAACACCTATTAAATAATACAAATTCACACATAAAAGTCAAGTTATCCTCCCAAGTAGGGTTAGAAACGTGTTAGCCTGTTAAGAAATTAAGATTGGTTTAACTAAGTGAAATTAATCTTTTAGTCCTTATTTGGTTTTACAATATCCCTTAAGTCCTTTTGGTAAATTACAACGTAGTTATATTTAACAATTATAAGACATAAGCAATAACGGGGCAGGGCGGATATGGGTATGGGGCGGGGACACTCAAATCCATCCCCGCCCCATCCCCACAAGATACTTTGCGGGTATTACCTGTACCCGCTCCATACCCAATCAATATGGGAATTCCCCTCGTTGACCGAATTGAGTAGGGTCGAATACCCACAATTACGACTATAATTGCCATCCCTACCTATAACATCAATACATTCTAAAATTTCTCAAATTAATGTCAATTCCAAACCGCCAGTTATTTTTGCCGCATTCGGAATTCCATTTTCAGGTGAGAATTGGACTGCAAATATTCACAACCGAGAGATTATTTAATCATTTATTTATTTGGTTCTGTTTTTTTCGCAACTTACTAACACCAGGAGCCGGAGGCTGATTAGGAACTGCGGAGTCTTCTGCCTGCCTTCTGCTTATTTTCCCTTTCACCTAGGGTTTTCACTTTTCAGTCTTCGCTCTCGCTCGGCGCTTCCACTCTTCCTTTCAGCTCGCGCCTTTGGCGCATCCTTCTACTCCTCTGAGCTCGGATTCGGCGAGTAAACATGGACCAGCACGAAAACAATAACAACAACGGTGAGGGTCTCCCCGGCGGAGAAGCCGACGATGCTCTTCAATCGATCGACCACCACAATGATGACGACAGGTCCTTTTCTCACACTGGAGATGGAGCTAGTCCCGGGTACCGCTCTCTTTCTCTTCTCTCTGGAATCATCTCCTTGTGTTGTTAGGTATCGATTTCCTGGCTTCCGCCGATAATCATCAAGGGACTGGATTGGATTAGATTTGCTTCCGACGCGAATGTGGTTGGAATGTTTAGCATTGATTCAGCTTTCGCTTATTCTAGTTATGCATGGAAGTTCGTTCCCTTTGGGATTTTAGGGTTGGTTAGTTTATGACTCTGAGGAATGATTATTGTGTATTGGTTGCAGAAAGATTTTCATTGGTGGTTTAGCAAGAGAGACTACACCTGGTTAGTTAGTTCATCTGCTTCTATAAGTGTGAATTAGTATTAAGTCCACCTTCTTTAGTGGCGTATTAGTTTATGCCTAAACCCCTGCTCTCTCTCTTGATTTTTCCCACTGTAGCTCAATTTATCAAGCATTTTGGTAAATATGGTGAAATTACGGATTCTGTCATAATGAAGGACCGAAAAACCGGTCAACCTCGTGGATTTGGGTTCGTCACCTATGCAGACCCTTCTGTTGTTGATCAAGTCATTCAGGACACACATATTATTAATGGGAAACAAGTAGGGCTGAGTTCTTGGTTGTAATCCTTAGATTAAACTTATTTTTTAGTATCTTGCTCCATAATTTGAGTACTGCTACATCATACGTTGGGTTCCACTTGCTGAGTGAGTTTCCTCCTGTGGCCTTGTGGGTCATTTTAGGTGGAAATCAAGCGAACAATACCAAGGGGTGCTGCTGGGCCTAAGGATTTCAAGACGAAGAAAATTTTCGTCGGTGGAATTCCTTCAGCAGTGACTGAAGGTAATATATTCTGTTAGCTGTTTAACTTCAAAAGGTGTCTGTCTAATGATACTAACAGAGGGGCAGAGGGCAAAGGTTCAAGCTACCATAGATTCAAGCTCTGGCATCAATATCATATATAAAGATCAAACTTTTACCCAGTTTCATGCGTTGATTGATTTTGAGTTGCTTAAAAACCCTTCTACTGCAATTGGCAGATGACTTGAAGGAATTCTTTTCGCAATTCGGGAGCATTGCAGAACACCAGATCTTGAGGGATCATTCTACCAATCGTTCTCGTGGCTTTGGGTTTGTTACCTTTGAGGAAGAAGATGCAGTTGATGAACTTCTTACAAAGGGAAATCGGCTCGAATTTGCTGGAACTCAGGTGAGTGGTATTCCATTAGTGTTCAGCGTTTCTTTTCCTGCAGTTCTTTGAAGTATACCTTGTAAGTTACAATCATCTAGATGAGGGATATAGTTGATTAGTTTCTCATCTTCTGGGGCCAAGATAACTCCTTCGGTTGTCTGTAGTTGTGTGAATAGCGATTGGTTCTTAGTTTCATATATTGTTGAAGTTTTTGTTAGCTTCTGCTGAAGGTTGAAAGATAGACAGTTCAATTTATTTCTCTTGGTGCAAACATTATTATATTTGTTTTCATTTGTTATACTCGACAACAAGATGTTAGGCCATTGTCTTGCAACTGAGTGAATGGATTTTCTTCTAATCTATGAACTGGATGCAGAAAAAAAAAAATTGCTGCAGTATGTTGTCTCTTAATAGCGAACTGCATGGTGAAGCAGTCACATTAAAGTTCAAGCTTTCTGTCTCTTAGTATCCATCAGATTTGACATATTACCGATGATTGTAGTTATATTATGAATTGCTCTCATCAAGCTTGTTAGAAGTCTCATAGGTTATGTGATTGAGAAGATTAGCTTCATGAAATGTGAACAGTAAAGGTGTTCTTTGCTTATCTACTTCCTTTGTCTGTCTGCCATGGTGGTAATATGAAGTTGGGTCTTATAATGTGGAAGTTAAGAGTTAGATGATATGTGATTTATGCATTTCTTCACCATCAAATAACCACCCTTCTCTCTTGTTCCCTTCCTCTCTCTAGGTTGAGATCAAGAAGGCAGAACCAAAGAAGCCTAACCCACCAACTCCTTCGTTTAAACGTTATGGCGATTCAAGGTCAACGCCTCGTGGTGGATATGGTGATACCTATGGTGGACTCGGAGGCCACGCGTATGGAGGTGGTGGCGGCGGTGCCAATTTATACAGATCAGGTGGCGGTGCATATGGAGGCGGCAGGATGAGTGCTTATGGTGGATATGGCGCTGGTGAATATGGTGGCGGAGGAGGATATGGAGGAGGGTATGGCGGTGGCCCTGGTGGTGGTGGCGGCATAGGAGGGCCTTACAGAGGAGAACCCTCTGTTGGATATTCAGGACGTTATGGCGGCGGCGGAGGAGGATACAGCAGGGGAGGTTACGATATGGGTGGAGGAGGTTATGGTGCTCCTGCCGACAGCTATGGCAGTGGGGGTGGTGGTGGGTACATGGGCGGTGCACCTGGCCCTGCTGGTGGCTATGGAGCTGGTGGTTATGATGCTGGCCTTGGCGGAGGCTATGGGGGCGGTGGCAGTGCAAGTGGTGGAGGTTCGTTCTATGGAAGTAGAGGTGGGTATGGGAGCGGCAGTGGTGGGTATGGCAGCAGCGGAGCTGGCGCTGGTAGGTACCATCCTTATGGAAGATAGAAGAGTGTGTTCTGTCGTGAGTTGAGAGATTAGTTGATTTGAGTTGAGAAGAAGAAGCTCTGCCATCCGCCCAACTTTGTCAAATCTGTTTTAGCTTCGGAGTATTCCAAAGTTACCGTCGAGTAGGAAAAGGGTGTTGTTGTATGTTTGTTACTCCTACCCCGGAGAATTTTTTGCTTCTCTTTCTGAGTATACAGACTAGCTGGTAGTGTTGGTGATTGAATGGGACTTCTTTGTATCATTTGGGCTGTGATTTGTATTCTTTCACTTGCTCAATTGAGTTGAAAACCTTGCTCCTCTTTTAGTTTTAATCGAGTTTTCACTTCTTTAACCTCATTTTTAAACCTAGGTTGGCCCTTTGTTGTTAGTTTATCTAGTTCATCAGTTCATTCTTAAAGTTGTACACAACAACTGTCGTGAGAAAATGTTTTCAAAAGCTTATTTCTGTGCATAATGAGGCAGGAGCTGATGTGCTTAATGATTGTTTGCTTTGGTCCATGATGTTGTTTTGTTATTCGAAGGAGATGTGAAGTGGAGTTTTGTGCAGTTCCCTGAGCTCCAAGTTGTCGATAGGGCAATGAGGAAAGCTCTGTTTCTTACTGCCTAGAGACGAAGAACGCTCCATGTTTGTTGAGGTTGCAGGTGCTATGCTCCACTTCTCGTTGATCAAGTGGTGAAGAAAGCTCCATATCTGTCGATATTTTGTGTTTGAATAACCATAATTGTTGAGATTGGAGTTGTGATACTTCGTGTTTACTTGCAAAAATGTTGTTTTCCATTGGCAGAGGAGATGTAGATTATAGTTTCGCTAAACTGCAAGTTTGCCGAGTCGTAGGAAAAAAAAAGATTTTTTCTACTCATTTTGGAGTCGTTGGGTTGGTCCAAAAGAGGGGAAGGAAAAGAAGAAACAGAAAATTATCCGAGAATTTTTCTGGCCTTCATTGTTCCTCCCTCTGTCCCCCACACAGTTTCGTCTGTCAAGCGAGAGCGCAGAACCACAGATCGACGGGGGGAATCCGGCGGCAAAACAATCAGAGGTTGAACATAATGGCAATGGCGTCGTCGTGGAATCGTCTCAGTGCCTATCAGAAGGTTTCACCTCAATTTCCTTTCACCGTTTCTCAAGATTGCTGCTCTCTGCGTCTTGTATTTTCCCGCCGGCGCTCGATTCTGCTTACTCAATCAATGCATCGTCGTCCTGATTTCGGAAACTATGTCGTCGCGCAGGCACCGTCATCTCTCCAAGTAGTGTGCAGAAGGAAGGAACGAGATAGAGGAGGAGATCAAATCCATCCTTACAAAGTCATCGAGATCACTCCGCCTCCTAAGAACCTCGGCGTCCGCTGCTTCCCTCCCGTAAGTCTCCCAGAAATTCGATGAAGTTTGTTTTGAATTGAATCCATTTCCCATCGCTTCTTGAATTTAGAACTTCCCTAGACTGAATTGCCCTCACTGTAACTTGAATAAGTGCACTACCAAAACGCTCCTAAATTTGGCGAGAAAATGATTCCATGATTCATCATCGCTTCTGAAATCCTCCATTGTTGATGTTTTAGTGCGTTTTCCCAGAATACTTTGCCGCCTGCTGAATCGGCTAAGGGGAATTATCATTGTTAAAGCAAAACCAATTGAATAAACTAATGCGGTGTCAACTTGTTGCGTGTATATGAGTTAATTAAGCTGACCAGAGACTGAGAATCAAAACAAAACTAGGGTTGGATTAGGTTACAGAGACAGAGAGAGAGTGTGTGAACATACATACAGAGAAAGAACCAAAGTCCTGCTGGGTGAAATCTTGCCAGCCATGTGGACAGATTGGCAGATCTGCTAAATCTGGTCTAAAGCTTGGAACTCATGTGCTTTGCATATTGACATTGTTAAATAATAATAGGCTATTGTACTGCATTTTTCGTGCAGATGCTTTAGATCCCCTTGAATTAGAAATGATTAGCTAGCTGGAGTCAATGTTCAGAGGGGGAAGAACATTTATCCTTCTTGAATCCCTAATCTTTAATCGATTTGCAGACCAGCAAGTACAGAATTGACCAATCTCCATTAATGAGAGAGTGTCAAAGGGTTGAAACGGGATGGGGAGGCAAAAACTGAAGGGTGTAGGACAAACATGTCTTTCTGATCCTTCTGTTCTTCTGCTGTGGGGAGGGCAGCACAGAAAAATTGATGCCCTAATAATTGAGGACATCACAACTCAATAGATGGATAAGGTTGGGGGGGAGCATTATTGTTTGGTGTATCACTTTTCTAGCCTGCTGTGTGGGAAGTGGGTTCTTCTGTTTCTGGTGCTGAAAACCTACAGATATCTGAAGGAAATATGTGGTTCTCCTCCTAGCTGATTGTTGTTTTAGGTACTAACTTAGGCACATTGTAAATACCTAGTTGTGGAATATGCCTTTTTTTCTTCTTACTGCATCAGACTAGACTACCCTAGAAGTCAGTTTCTCCAAACAACATTTTGACTGTGGTCCATCTAGTAAATGATAAAACATAACTGTTTTTCCTCTGTTGTTACCTTTGTATCTAGCAGAACCTGCAGTGTGGGGAGAGTGTGACGATTGAAGGGCAAACATACACGATATCGTCGGTCACTCATCGGTACCAGCTCCGGAAGGGGAAGTACGAACCCAGCGAGAAGAGGCTTGATGTTCTGTCCACGGGGAGATACATCCTGAACTTGTATCTCGAAAATTTGCTTGAACAATCTTGACCCGCCGGCCAGCCATCCAACCTAATCCTCTTTGACCAGCATTATGTGTAGCCCTAGAACCGAGTTTCTCCCCTGAACGTTTTGATCTCTTATTTATCTTAGTGCTGCACAAAGCTCTTGAGGAACTTGTTTAAAGATTGAACTCTCCCTCAGCATTGCAAATCTGCTAGCTTCATTTGTATCCAGCAGCAGCTGAGTACCCGGTAGCAGTATCTCGGCTATCAGGTCCATCTTTTGTAATCCATAAGACTGTAAAGACTACCAAATCTATCATCAGGATAATTACGTAGCCGGATATCTATGTAAATTAGGCCAATATCATGCTCCTGAAGCGTACATTTTCAATCATCTGAAGTATCTTGTACCGCGCATAGAATCTTGTAACGATATTTCAATGTGTTTAGGGTGCTTGCTTTCTCTTACGACTTAAACGCGCAGCTCACTCTCTTGCCCGTCTGATGTTCTGTGTTGTAGGCAAGGAAGGAGTTAGTTAAGGGCACGTTTGGTGGTGAGAGGTCTTGGCTGGCTGGCAATGGATGATGGTGGGACTGGGACACTGAGGTGAGATACGAATACGATTTGCTTTGTCTGCATGATGATTTGGTATGTGTTATTATCTCTTCCCAGATTTTCCCCCCTGCAATTTGCATGCTGTATTATGAAAATGATTTGTCTCGGACATGCTTTTTTGAGGGCCTTTTTGCATTAGGCCGATTGATGCGTCGATTCATTTTTGTGTGTGGAGATTGACGTTTTCGTCCCCACAGACTTTGGAAGCATGTCTATGGTTGTTTGTTCTTCTCTCTGATATCTGACCCTGACCCGGGTTATCGTAGGGTCGCGCTCGCTCCACGTGGTCGAATCTAAGAACGTAGACATGGACGAATGGCTGAGATGGCAGGAGGATCAGTACACGGAATGGAAGGCACCCGTACCGTTTGATGTGAAAATGGCGGGAGGGACATGAAACAACCACCATAGATGCTGCTGCCTAACCTCTGCCCTACACACTACGCTTGCTTTGCCCTGAGTGGGTCCAACCTTGAAGACGGACCCTTCCTTCGTTGGATCATGGCAGTGGCAGCAGCCCAAATCAGGTTGAATGATTCCTTATGGGGTTGGAATCAGGTAATGGTTTATAGGATGGCGCGTTTCGTGATTTATGGTCATTGGATGTTCGCGTAAATGTGTTGTTCAACAGTTAGATTGTAATTGGATTGATGGGAGTAGCGCGATGGTATATTTAGTTATGTGCTTGTTTTATTGGTTTTGGTTGGATTGAGTGATTTGACTACACGGGTTAATACAGGTCGTGACTCAATCAAGCTACTAACAGTTTGATGGTTGTAGGAAAAGGTCTAGAAAGCTCGATTAAATTTGAAAGGAAAGAAATAGTTGTATTGCTGATATAGAAGCATATCATTCAAGAGATAAAACTTGTACTTACTAACAAGCTACATATGCATACTTATATATTGAAGTTACATACGGACTATGCAAAATTAAGAACAGAGGCGAAAACATAAGGAATGAAACTTGACCAAAAGGATGACATATATTCTATTCAATCAGAGATTTCATTTTGTGGCACAAGAATGGTGCTAACTCTAAAATCACTTGTTTATCATTTTTTGTGTTCGTCTATTAAGATGTAAATAAAAAATTAATAATTGTTTAAAATTTCTTGTATTCATTAAAAAATATAGTCATTGTTATCGATGGTCAGTGCCCAAATAAAAACCAGGCAATAAAATTTGACCGAATTGAAATACCAGAGTGTACGAGTCGAAGTAAAAGAAAATGTCATTAGGAGCAAAAGAAAAAGGTTAATGAAAGGAGGTTAGTTTAATTAACTTTGTTTAGGGGGGGCGCATTGTAATTTGCATCATAAGATGCGCCGGGGAAGGAAGCGCCAGCCGGCCACGTGCTACTGCCGGGCTCTATTCACGTGCGTCCATGTGATGTGAGCCCTTCCCCTTCCTCCCAAGTCCCAACGAGGTTCCAATTTTCGTACCATTTCCCTTTTATGTATTTGTTCTTACGGTATTTTCCTTTCACAATATTACCATGCAAAATCATCACAATATTAGAAGTTAATTATGTGTTGCAATAATTAATTTAGATGACCAATGCTTTTCTCCGGTGCAAACTTAGTTCAGTATTAATCACCAATTAATTTGGCAGGCTTGTAGGCTGATGGTATGAGTACGTCGCATTTTATGTCTCTGCTTCTTCAAAACTATGATTACAACAAGTTTGTTGTTAGTATGAACATAACCAAACAAAATAAATGATCACTCGTCGGTCGAAATTCGCATACGTTGTGCTGATACTTCAGCAAGAAATGATAGCTCTTTGAACCTAGAAGATAGGGGAGGACGAGATTAGATTGGTTTCGGGTAAATGTTGATGAAATTGTTGGATTGAGTAAAGGGTTTGGTTTTGGATAAGATACAAGTTAGTCCTTGTCGAGACACTCGTGCCCGTATACATCATGTGATAAATACCACATTTTTTCGTTATTCGTTCAAATGAGATTGTGGGATAATTTGGATCGAAATTCGACATAAATAGAATAACTAATAAAATGATTGTTATGCTGATTACTTCAGACGTCAATAATAAATTTATTAAAAAAGGAAAACGTTAGGTACTAATTCATTAGTGACGCTAAGTTAAGTGGCCACTCTGTAATAATGGCTTCACTTGTTTGGACTTTGGAGTGGGGAAGAAAAAGTCGAAGAAAACGCAAAAAACGGCTATTGTATTGCAATGGATTATTGTATTAATTCCTACATCTCCACCACATTGAATTAGCAAAGCAAAAAACACCATTATCGTTAAACACTGATTAGTCAGCTCTTTATCTCTCTCTCTCATTAAGCGCCACTAATCTCGTTTTTGTTATTGATAAACTTTCTTAATATAGTTTCAACAAGAAGACAATCACGGATAAGAAATAGAGGAATACATTACTCAGTATATTTGTTTAGAACTTTAGATTCCCAGGAATTAATTAAAAAGAAGAAGAAGAAAAAAAAACTGAAGTTCTTACTCAATTAATTGCCTGAATTATCAGATTCCTTTCAGGAACCAGTAGCCAAAAGCTCTGATTTGTCAGTCTCCCAACGAAGAAAAGAAAAGATAAACTGCTTTTTCCTCTAGAAAAGATGATTACTTTCTTGCGGGAATAGATATATAATAGTGTTTTTTCCCCCTTCTCATTTATGTATCAAAGTTAATCATTTTCCAGATAATTCAACCCTTTTTTTCTCTGTGATTTGTTCGTTTTCTCTCTCGGCCAAGTGCCAGCAGCCAGTCGGGCTCTCTTCTCTTTGCCTTGGCGATCTGATCTGAAAGAAAGAAGAGAAGAACAAAAGGGGTTTCACTTTCTCCTCTTTCTGAGTTGGGTTTTGGGTCTTTTGAGGCAGCAGCAGCTGCGAGTGTCGATTCTTGAGATTTCTCTATCTCTCTGCCTATTTCCTTTCGCTTCCTCTTCTGCTTCTGCCATTTGGGTGTGCTTGTACAGTCATGCAAGATTGCTTCTTTCTGCACTCCTACCCTTGCATTTTTGGCTGCTGCTCTCTTCTTCTGCTTCAAACCAGGTATAGCCTTTTCTTGGGCTACTGTTTGGTACACAATAAGGGGTTTCTGTGTGTAAAGTTCGCAGCTTTTGGTTTGTTCTTCATGTCTTGACTGCTACATTCTTGTTCTACTCCTCTGGAATCTGAAGGGTTGTTTTCTGTTTCCTGTGTGCGTGAGGAAGGTCTATTTTCTGTGTGTGAAGAAAGCAATGACGATTTCTTGGTGTTTTGTGTGTTTAATTTGGGATATCTTGCTGAAAGAGATAAAAGGGGGGACTGGTTTTTGGATTGTCTTCATTGCTTGCAAATATCATATGCCGTAGTCTTTTACAGTATCAATCCTCGACTTGTGTTCTATGTTTCTATCTTGTTTCCACCGATTGTGGGTTGGACTTTGTTTCTCTATTGTGTCACCAGTCCATCAATAATTCATCATCAGTAGTAATCGGATCTCTTAGGGGGTATATTTCTATTATCCTAAGCAGCAGTAATGTGGATCTGCTCCAATTTTCTCTTGGAGGGAAGGTTTTATTTTGTCCCACTTGATTTTGTCTGGTACAGGAATCCTAGAAATTGTAGCGTTCCCTTGATTTGTTTTTTTGGGTGGTAGTGAATGAATGAGTACAATTAGTCGGTTGCAGTTTAAAATCCTCAGGATATACTCTTTGTTAATGGCTACAAGCTCTAGCATCTCATATAATCAATCAATCCCTTTGTGTTTCAGTTCTGGTTTTTGAGTTACTGCTCCTCTCTCCATGGCGTCATTGGTTGATGATGGAGGAGTTTGCCCTTCAACAAAAACCAGCAAGAAATCATCTGTTCCAAGAGTCCCCAGTAGCCCTCCTTTGAGCTCCTGCTCAACATCTCGGTCTCAGCCTTCTAAACAGATGTCCTCATACTCTAATGGTTATATGGATCATGCGATGAAGGGTGGTTCTGATCAAGGATTCGACGAGCCATCCCACAAAACTGCTAAACATTTCTTCAGCTCAAGTAGTAAGGAACAAGAGCCGGACTTCACTATGCCATCTTCTACTGTTGATAAGAAGGATTCAGTGTTAGTAGTAGAGTCCACTTGTGATGATCACGAGACGTCCACTACTACTACTTCAGATGGCTCAATCGAATCTGGAACAGATTTGGGCAGTGGTCAGAATAACAACAACCGTGCACCTTTGCCATCTCGACCTGTTGGAGGCCTTTGTTCGAGCCCTTCAAATAGCGTCTACACAGGCACATTGTACGCAGAGGCGAAACAGAGCTTCACCAACAGTGAAGAAGCGAGCACAAACATCGAGAGCAGGAAGACTAGCAGCATCTACAGAGCCAGCACGGGGAGTGATGTCAGTGACGAGAGCAGCACGAGCAGTTTGAGCAGCAGCACATTGTACAAGCCTCACAAGGCAAATGGTGATGTGAGGTGGGAGGCAATCCAGGCTGTCAGGGCCCATGTTGGAGGAGCTCTCGAGCTGAAGCACTTTCGAGCTGTGAAGAAGCTCGGGTGTGGGGACATAGGTAATGTTTATCTTTCCGAGTTGACCAGCACCAGGACGTATTTTGCAATGAAGGTCATGGATAAGTCGTGTTTGGCGGCTCGGAAGAAGCTTCTGAGGGCCCAGACGGAGAGGGAGATTCTGCAATCGCTGGATCATCCGTTTTTGCCCACTTTGTATTCTCACTTCGAGACCGAGAAATGGGCTTGCTTGGTGATGGAGTTCTGCCCTGGTGGTGACCTCCATTCCCTCAGGCAAAGGCAACCTGGAAAGTTCTTCCCTGAGCATGCTGCCAGGTTCGTATTCGTTCCCCTTAATTGGTCTTTTTGCTGTTTCTCTCCTTAGTTATTATATAAGTAACTTAGCTTCTGCCTTAGAAAATCTGGCCTTTTGCTGAAAAAGTAAATAGTCTCTGAAACAAAACCAGTATATTGTGTATTGTACTTAATATACACAAGAATTGCATTACACAATAGTTCATGTTTTCTTTTCTCTGCATCACTATAGTAGATTTTCTGATAGATTTGTGCTTCCCCAGTTGAAAAGCTTCTCAGAATCAGTGCCCTTCTTGCTTAATTTCTCTCTCCTCAGAATCAGTCCCCAACTTATTTCAACCTAGCTTCTGATGCAGCTTATTAATGAACAATTAGTCGACCGAGCTCTATATCATCCTGCTTCTTCACAAGATTGCCTTATTCATTTCTGAGCTATGTGAATGAAGTTTACTATGTATTTGTGCAGGTTCTATGTTGCAGAGGTCCTCCTTGCTATGGAGTACCTGCACATGCTTGGGATCATATACCGAGACCTGAAGCCTGAGAATGTCTTAGTACGAGAAGACGGCCACATCATGCTCTCAGACTTCGACCTCTCCCTCAGATGTGCTGTCTGCCCAACTCTCGTCAAATCGTCTAAACCCAACTCAACCGTCGACTCCAAGAACTCTGGATACTGTGCTCAGCCGTCCTGCATCGAGCCCACCTGTGTGATCCAGCCAGACTGCATTCAGCCAGCCTGCTTCGGACCACGGTTCATGTCTAGAAAGAAGAACAAGAACAAGAAGAGCAGCAGCACCAACAGTAACAGCAAGTCGAGGCACGAGGTGAATCATCAGGTGAACCCACTCCCAGAGCTGATGGCGGAGCCCACCAACGCACGATCCATGTCGTTCGTGGGGACCCACGAGTACTTAGCACCAGAGATCATAAAGGGGGAAGGACATGGAAGCGCTGTTGACTGGTGGACTTTTGGGATATTTCTGTATGAGCTGTTGTTTGGTAAGACTCCATTTAAAGGAGCTGGGAATAGGGCCACATTGTTCAATGTGATCGGTCAGCCATTGAAGTTCCCTGAAACTCCCAGTGTGAGCTTTGCTGCTAGGGACTTGATCAGAGGGCTGCTTGTGAAGGAGCCACAGCACAGGCTTGCTTATAGACGGGGAGCTACTGAGATCAAGCAGCATCCTTTCTTTCAGAGCATTAACTGGGCACTGATTCGGTGCACTAGCCCTCCTGAGGTGCCAAAGCAGGCCATGGCGGACATATTGAGAGCAGAGAAGGTGGCGGCTGCGACGGCTGGTGGTGGTGTGAATGGAGGAGTTGGTGGTGGGAATGTGGATGTGAAGCCTGCAGGTAATTATTTGGACATTGATTTCTTTTGAGTTGTGCTGTTGTAGAGTTGGGGCTTTTGTTGCAGCATCCTCTGATGCTGCTGATTGATGATGATCAATTGTAATGTGGGTGTCCTTTTCTCATTGGGGAGAAAATCAGGCTATATGAAAAGGGAAGAGAACCTGTGAAGGAATGGGGGAAGATTGTGGGAGTGTGTAGTGATGGATGGAATGAACGTGTAATCAGCTTTCATCTCAATGCAAAACACACATCCATTGACCATTGTGGTTGGAATTAGGTGTTTGGTTAGGTTTCAGACTGTCACAAAATGTTCATCTATGTGCTCAATTCAATCAATTGGTTCATGGAATGAAATACCAGTGCAAGGTAAACACCTATTTCAGCTTTCATTAACCACATATGAGGTCTAATATATCATTAGAAAATCCAAGCATGAAGCCTCAAATCATTGCCATTTTGCATGTGATTTGGATGCTCGGCCAACTCGGCATGTCCAAGAATGGGAACTCGAGTGGTTTCATAGCTGTCCTTTAATGTTTAATCCCAAGCCCAAAAACAATTGCCAAATTTTTTGGTTGGCTGATTCCCCAATCAAGATTTCAGATATTAAACACTTTTCCTTATTGGAATTCAGCATCGAGTCTAATCCCAATATTTGACCCACTTGGCAAGCTTTTAATTTTTTTTTTAATACTGGCAAGCTTTTAATTAATTAGGACCCAGATAGATTTTTTTTAATTATGATTCAGTACATGTGTTGTGGCGCTCTATTATGATCAAATAGCAAAATTTTATATTTGAGAACCAAACTTAAATTGATCTATGATTTTAAATTTCTATTTCTAAATAAGGGGAATGTCATTTCACGACGATGGCCTAGCCGCGAGATGTCTAATAAGCACGCCTCAATCTTTTTTTTTTTTTGACAATAAAGGGTATGATATTGCCTATCACTTGGTTGCAGTTACAACAAAGGGAAAAGAACATCGAGCACAGTAACCCAGTCAATGGGGAGGCAATCTCCAGCACATGATCTAGTAACCCAATCAGCTTTGACATTGAAAGAAAGCTTAACATGAGAAACTTTGATCAACAGGTGACGAAAGAGGATGTCTCTCATGACACCTAACCAAGCAAAGATTCTCCAAGGCCATCGCGAAGGAGCCGCTTGCAAGGCTTTCGTGATGATCAAGCAATCCATCTTGATAAGGGACTAGATAGTGTGACAACACCCCTTGTGTTGTTATTCTAACAACACTAGTCTCCAACCAATAGGAAGCTAGGATTGTGATGACTTTTTATTAAATGAGTTGAACTAGTGTAAAATCAAAGCAGGGGTATAATTGTCATTATGAAAAATCTGTTTAAAAAATAAAAAATAAAAAAAATTAATTTTTTTTTTATTTTCTGCCAAAAAATTTGGTAGCCGGAATTCTCGCAGGAAACTGGTCGTCGGAATTCTCGCCGGAAACTGGTCGTCGGTCACCGGAATATGCTTTTTGTCGCCGGAATAAGCTATTTGTCGCCGGAATATGCTTACCGGTGTCGGAATATGCTTACCGGCGTCGGAATCTAGTCATCGGAGCCGGAATATGCCTATCGGCGTCGGAATCTGCATTGTGGGGTTTCTAGTTTGTTTTCTGGTGTACTTTCGCAAATGTTGTGGTTTGCATTGTGGGGTTTCTAGTTTGTTTTAGGATATTTGTGGTATGCATTAGCAGGTTTCTGGTTTGCATTAAGAAGTTTCTGATGTGCTTTTGAAACTTTATTGGTTTGCTTTGCGAGATTTCTGGTTTGTTTTAATTTATTTGTGGTTTGCTTTGCGAGGTTTCTGGTTTGTTTTAATATATTTGTGGTCTGCATTAGGACGTTTTTGGTTTGCTTTACCGTGTTTGTGGTTTGCATTAACAATAGTTTCACTTTGACCCTTACTGAAGAAATGGTGAGGTTGCAATGTTGGGCAACATAAGGTGAAGGTTCTGAAGGCTTGTGTCATCAAAGATCTCGTGATGAAATTCTAGAGCCAGCTGTACATACTGAGAGGCTCCAGATATTGGTGGTCTCTTTGATCCATCTTGTATTGGAACCTGTTTCCTTAAATGGGTTTGAGAAGATGGGGATATAATGGGGACAGGGGAAGAAGGATTCACTATTCTTTTCTATGCTTGGTAGCGGTGAGAACTGAGAACATTAAACCGCCATTGTGAACTCTAATGAAGCGGATTCTCTTGTCCCTAAAGAAAAAAGAAGGTCGAGTGTTGGCAGCAAGATAGCAATGTTGACCAACATTTATCTTATCATCGAATCCAGAATACAATCCGATCTACAAAATGAGATCTCAAGTGTGTTTTGACATCAAACAGTAAGGATCTTGAGTTTTCGAGATACGAATTCATCTAATAACAGTTGCCTAGTTCATGTTCTTCATTCTGTCCACTCACTCTACTGACCACTAACTCTGGTCCCTCAAATCCAAAATTTGATAAGGTAACTCTACAACCTAATTTGAAGAGTGCATCAGCTTCATATGAAGACAAACGGAAGAAGCAGCAACAAACGGAAGAAGCAGCAGCAAAACAACCCCAATGGCCGGGTCCCCGAAATCCCCGACGCCCTGCCTCTCGTCGGCCATCTCCACCTCCTCGGCGGCAACCAGACCCTCTCCCGTAAACTCAAAGTCCTCAATCGCCATGAAAGATCCCTGGAACAAATGAAGGACGCGGAAAAGGATCGGGGATCAAAAGTTGGGTTTGTTTCTTTGATAGACAGAGTAGAGCTAAGGGCTGTGTAAGAAAGAGACGAGGATGTTGTAGGTGACGCAGCTAATCTTCCGGCCGAGCACGACGGCGGTGACGACCGGGTCGAGGACGGTGTGGTGGTTGCAGACGAAGAGGACGCCCGACTGCCCCTTTCTAGACGACGGCGAGTGTGACGGAGACGGGGCCTATGCTTTAGAGCGAACTGGAAAATGTGTAGGGTTAATTCTTATTTATTATTTTTATTGTTAATTTACCCTTATACCTTTAATGAATCTTGTTGTTAGTATAACAACACTTTAAGTGTTGTTAGTATATACTGACCCTCTTTTTTTTTTTTTTGAGGCTCAAACTGGTGGGATGCATTAAGATTAAGCAAAAGATGCCTCACGGGCTACAATGTCTGCAATTTCAACAGGTAGTCTATCCCTCCAAACAGTCACTACTTCAGAAGCTAAAGAGAAATGCGCAATCCGATGAGCCACCATACTGACCCTCTTGATAAGGTAGTGAGATTCAAGCTGACTTGCCAATAAAATGCCTTCCAATATTGCTTGACTTGCCAATAAAATGCCTTCCAATATTGCTTTTGCTTCTGCTATTTCACAACAAATACTTGTTATTTCATGAATATGATGTCAGACCATATCTTCTAATCGATAACTGCAAAGTCATTACTCCAAATTACCATAAATGCTATTTATGGCCGGGGAGATCCCAAAACCTTGTCGTTGGGCAGGACCAGCCACTCTAATCCAATCCAAATATCAATTTAGTCCAACCTACCCACACTCATCTGACATCCTTTCTTCACCCATAATAAACCTAAAATTAGACGAGTTGGCCAAAAGAACAAGCAATTGTCCATGTGGTTTGGTTTATATATCACCCATTGTTGGACTTGGGCCTGGCGAGTATCCATATCCTCAAAAAAATCTTCACTTTCGGTGTACAAAGCCCAGCCCGAGTTTGTAATACCTACGTGGAAATGCTCTCTGAATTGTAACAAACTGTTGCCTACGTGGACTGTTCGCTGTAACAAACTGTGTAACTACTCGCTTGACTAAACTTACGGCTTACCTCCTCCCTCCAATTTTCAAATGGGACCCACCCCATCCTCTCTCACTCACGCGCGAAAACGATTTTCTTACCGCCAATTTTTCTAATTTTCTTAGATCTATTTCCCACGATCCAGGAATCAAAAATATCCCACGTCACCGCCACCCGTACCCATTCCCAGCGCGCCACCTCATCTTCCCGCATGCAACCGCCACTGCACTGTAGCATTTCCCCCCTACTCCAGTCAGTAACGTGCTCTTCACGCGCATCCCCTTCCGTCTCTTTCTCTCTCCTTGCCGTTTCTTCGCCTCACGCGCCTCCCCTTTCCTTGCTTTTTCCTGCGCTTTCACCGATGGCGAAGACAATTTTGTAAGAAGAAAAGAAAATTTAAAATTGAAATATTATGCGCATTGCGCAACCCTGCTGCCGCTCCTTTAAATACGTCGCTGTCACTCTCCTCCTCCCCCACTCATCATCGTCGCCGAGCCTTCCCCATTTCAACCGTCTTCTCTGCTCCCTGCGTTCTTATCCACCGAAAACCCTAATTCGATCCACCGCGAGCTTGGGCCGAGGATCTTCGATGGCGGAATCGGACAACGTTCCTGCTGCTGGTGCTGCTGCGGCGGCGGCCGTGGAGGTGGAAGCGGGAGCCGTGGTGGTGACGTACGAAGAGCCGGACGAGGAGAAGTTCGGGTTCACCCGTCCGGAGATGTACAAGGAGAAGCTCGCCGGGACCGTCGATGCTTACGACCGCCACGTGTTCCTCTGCTACAAGAACCGCGAGTCGTGGATGCCTCAGGTCGAGAAGACCGAATTCGATACCGTGCCGAAGCTGATGGCCGCTGCTATCCGAGCTCGCAAGAGCGAAATCGCCGTCAAGGTATCGAATCGATTCCTCCCGGCTTGAATTTATTCTTTCTCTTGTTCGATTTTCTGCTTCGGTAGTTTCTAATTTCGGCGTTTGATCGGGTTTCTGTTTGGGCAGACCAAGGTTACCACGTGCGAGACACGTGTGGAGGCGGGGTTCGAGGAAGGAGACGTGCTCATCTTCCCCGATTTGGTCAAGTACAAGTGAGTTTCGTTTCCCTGTTTGAATCTATCGATTTCTAGCATTTCTGTGTTCATCGGAGCTGCGTCTCAGCTTTAGAATGTTTCTCGTTTCCGCGTACCGCCGGCGTAATAGCGATAACAATGACTAGCTTTACCTGCCGAGTATTAGCAATTTAAGGCGACTAATTCTAGCGAATTGCCCTGTAACTAGTGCGATATACAGAATTGTGGGATTCTTGTGTGTACTTGATGAATTGATGGGTCTGAGGATAGAGTTTGATTGATTAAGGGGTTTTGTGATTTTTTGTTTGGAATCAGGGGCTTGAAGGAATCGGATGTTGATGGTTTTGTTGACGATGTGCTTGTGAATGGGAAACCATGGGCTTCTGGGCTGGCAGAGTCTTTGGCTGGGTCTCATATCTTTGTGTGTGCTCATGGGAGTCGTGATAAGAGATGTGGTGTTTGTGGTCCTGTTCTGATTGACAAGCTCAATGAGTATATTGAGGCTAGAGGATTGAAGGATCAGGTGTTCGTCAGTGGTTGCTCACACATTGGGGGCCATAAGTATGCTGGCAACGTGATTGTATACGGATCAGATTCCGAGGGCAAAATCACTGGACACTGGTGAGACTTTGGGATTATCCAACCTGCATATCCATTTTGCTGTGGTGTAGAGAAACTGAATGGAGGATGGTGTTTAACTGAATCTATTGCTGCAGGTATGGCTATGTTACTCCTGAGGATGTGCCTGAGATTCTCGATCAGGATATCGGGAAGGGGGAGGTGATAGAACGTCTGTTCAGGTTTGTGATCTTGTGCTTACTTCTGTTCTGTGCATGCTTTCCTTCTATCCTGTGCATTCTTGCAGCAACTATAATTAGGTATTGTATAGAAAGTATTGATCCTTGAGATATCAGATGTGAGTCTCCATACAGCAGGGGGTATCTAGAAGAGCCATTTTGTTTCATACTTTTAGCTTCTGTTCTCTAACCTAAAGCCTGGTTTAACCTATGTGTTTTACTTCTATCCTTTGCATTCTTGCAACCAACTATAAATTGGTATGATAGAGAAAGAAGATGCTTGAGATATCAGCTGTGGGTCTCTATACACCCTGTGATATCTAGAAGCATTATGTTTCCTAGTTTGAACCTTTTGATATACTGTAGCTTCTGATTCTGCTGAATTAAACAATCTTGTCCTCGTACAAACTTCTTTCTGGGTTTGCTTGCTCACTACGGATGGTGGCACATCGTAGACAGGACCTTGATGCTGATATGAGATTATATTTTCCTTCAATGTGTCTATCTTCCAATAGGTACTGATAAATGGTGCATGATACTCAATGTACCAAGTTTATCTTCATGGAAATTTCTTTCTTGTCGCATGGTATTCGGGAAACTAGAAAATTTGTACTTCTTCCCCTAGAAACTCCGTTGTCTCCCATCATATGGTGATTTAGAAAACTGATAAATGCACATTGCCGCCGATGCAGGGGCCAACTTGGTGCTCCAGTTGAACTAGAGAATGCAGTAGCAAACCAGAATGTTGTTCCCAATGGAGAAGCAGCTCATGAAGCCAAGAAGCCCAGCACCAATGGAGAAGCAGCAACTGAAGGTATGACCAGCACTCAGGTGGTGAACAAGGACACTGCACCGATCAGTTGTTGCCAAGGTGTCAACGGTATCTCCTGCTGCAGAGAAGTGAACACCGAACCAAGCGAGGAAACCACCGAGAAGAAGAATTGCAGTGTTGGGAGTAAGGTGACAGACTGGATCCAGTCACTCGATCAGAGCGACATCCTTGCAGGAGCTGCCGTGGTGGGAGCAGTAGCAACCATAGTAGTTGCCTATAGCATCTACAGAAGGTCAGGCAAATAATGCCGCTGCCCCCGCTGAATTTCTACTGTTTTAATTGTTGTTTGTGTTTGAGGAAAGAGGGAGGATACACTGGGTTTTGTTTTTGGTGGACGGGTTCAAAAGAACTGGAACAGCAGGTTTAGAATAAGATTATCCACAGAACTTTACTATTAGTAATTTGAGACATTCAATGGTTTTGATATTAAGGTGGTGGGATTATGTATTTATTACCACCAACAGTAACTTCAACAGGTTAAAAAGATATAATAGCTTCCTCTGTTACCGCTCTATGGTTGCCGTTTTTCACTTGTTCTTTCGTGGTAAACTATTCATATAGAAATGAAGGAAAGGCTAATATAATTGAAGTTTATGCTGCTGCTGTTTTGTTCTGTGTTGATTTCGGTTGTCGGTCCATTTCTGTACTTGTTACTAACTTGCTTGCTAGCCACTACTCACATTCCTATGTTGCGGGTTCAACCAGTACGGTGGGTAAATAATGAGGTTAGCCGGTGACGACGGCAATTCATACCAAGTTAATCGTAGATTGGTGGGGTTAGCCGTTAGCCGTTCAAGACTACAAATGAATTGCAAATATCATCGTGGGGGATAGGTTGGCGAGGTTTTTTTTTGGCATAGATAGGTTGACGAGGTTGAACTATGTCTAAACTCTAAAGTGTGTTATGTTATTGTGTTGATTAGTTAGATATTTTAAATATATAGTAAACCGGAGGCAAAACAAAAGTTGTCTATTGATAATATTTTTCTCTGTGTCTAGGAAGAGTGCATCTCTATAGCTCAGGTTAGCAATAGCAGATCCAATCAATCTCTGTTTATCCACAAAAGCCTGAATCCCAATTTTCTAAACCACCCGCAATTAGGGTGTGCAACGGTGCGGTTCGGTCGGGACCGGAATAAATTCATGAGAACCGCGGTCCATTAGTAAAAGATATGTTAGGACCAAGGATCGAATCATTCTTGCATTTGGTCCGGTCCAAATATGAGCTCGCTCCACCATTTCTTCAACTAATTTTAAAATTCATTAGGACCAAGCACCGGACCGCATTTTACTCGGTCTGGTCCGGTCAGGTCTTAACAATGGTTTGGTCCGGTGTGGTCCGGTACGGACCGAACCATTGCACACCCCTACCCGCAAGGCTCAAAAGCCAAACATGGATGTCACCGTATCTTGCACTTTTCGGTCGACCTATTCCTAATCGAGGTCGACCGAATCTACTAATATGGGCAATATGATGACTTATCATGGTCGAACTTTTAAATGTAGTGGTCAACCGTATTTGGTGTAGTTGTGACATTACCGGTGGACCACAATAAAATATGGATCGCCCTTTTCATTGTCGTCTGAACCAAACAGGTCGACCGTAAATGTAATGAGGCCGACCATCTTATTTGTGGTCATTACCAAAAATGGTCGACCATTTACAAAAAAAGGTCGACCAGACAGAAGAGTATAGGACCTAATAAGAGGATCGGGTGTTGGTCTCGAAGTCGACCAGATACAGTAAGAGGTCGACCGAGTTAAGGAAATTTAGCCAATGACCTTCGACTTTTTTGCTTATGTATGTCGATGTGGGTGGTTCGTTTGGTCGTTCAAATTACGTTTGATTGTCATTGGAATCAGTCTTATATCATGATAGCAAGGACCCATAAAATAAAAAACACACTTCATAATTGTTCACATAAAACACACTTCATAAAATAAAAAATCAAAGTTGTTTCAAATCAAATCCTCTACTTAACAAAAAAAAAAACATAAGATAAACTCATGGAGTTCCTACACCTCTTCACTCTCTCACTCATCCGCATTTTCCTCATTGGTTGCATTATGGTAGTCGGATATGGGCGGATGCATGTATCTTCCACTGAAAGAGCGGAACTCATCTCGCATATCATTTACCGTCGCCTGCAGTGAGCTCATCTGAGTGGTCATTTGCCCCATATAGTCGTTGATGCCAGTCATCTGGGTGGACATCTGCCTCATGTACTCGTACATGTCATCCATGCGCTCCCATATACGGTCTAGGGTGACTGGTGGAACTGAACTCTGTGGCTGCCACATTGGCTCGTCTCTAGGCTCTTCACCATCATCAACAACATCATCATCACCATCATGGACTACATGAGGATTGTATGCTCGGACATACATTCCATCATGTAGCTCAAATCCCATCTTCTTCAGGGATGTAACTATGTAGAACTCCTGCCTTGTGATGGTGATGCCAACCTCACCTCTCAAATCCACATGAAAAATGCTAAAATAGCAAAGTTAGGATCATCCCATAGGAAAGATTCTTGTTTGAACTCTCCTACAGCAAGCATGTGTTTAAAGATCAAGCATTTGTACTTCCTCTTCTTTGACAACATCAATCTCGTACGTGCATCACCCAACCCTCTCGACCCACCATGACATCCACTGTTAACTCGTCTGGATCTAGCAAATCTGTTGTAAGATGGGGAAGGGACTTCAAACTTTGATTGTGGAACATTATTTTCTATATCAACCATTGCAATATATCATCAAAGCAACAATCAGAAAAAAACAAGTGAAAGAGAAAGTTTCACCACAGGCACAAGATCTACAGACACATACACAAAAGGTACTCTGCTAGCCAATGACAATTAACACCACCGTCCATTAGGAATGTCAATTGAATCTGAACTCATGGATATCCAATCCGACAAATGCAATCTAACTAGGGAAAGCGGGCAAATCTATGTTGACGGGTCTTGGGTAGTGTGTGCCTTTTACCCGCTTCTGAAATTAGCGGGTAGGGTAGGGTTTTGCTGAAGTCCAACCCGCTTTACACCCGACCATTCCTATTTTGTTTATAGTGTCGAAGAAGGAAAAAAAGTCAAAACCCCTATTTTGTTTTATAACCTACTCAATGCTGTTCATGGAATCTACACCATCCTTAGCCAATCAAATATCAAATTCGTGATATAATGTGAATTTATCTTTGTATCAATGTTACTTATATGTTTTTGTGAGATATTGTTTATAAAAGAAGGGAAATTGACCAAAGTTCTAAAGTGACCAAGGAGAAGAGGATCTCTCAAGCTTGCCCACATTCTCATCATCGTCACTCAATCCTCTTCTCCTTGGTCACTTTGGAACTTTGGTTTCGCCCTTGATCTCCAACTCTAGCTCTTGCTTTCCAACTTTCTATGCGACGAGCTATTGGCCTGTCTGGATCTAGCAAATATGAAAAGAGCGGGGGAGGAGCCTTTAAGCTTTCATTGGAAAGCATTACTTTTTATGCCAATCAATGCAATATATCATCAAAGCAAGCTTATACACGTTTAAGATATAGGTCAAACTTAAGTAACAAACAGTGTGATGCCGATGTTAATTACTACCTACTCTTTGCATGAATCAGGATACTACTAATGTATGCTACAAGAGAGCTGCGATTTAGGGACTAGCCAGCCACGCAACGAGAAATAACAGGTGCGCGCATTGTTGTGAAACAAACTACGTAGCTAGCAAGTCTACAACTTACCCATCCCGGTTGATTCCTTCCTTCCTAAAGATCAAAATCTGCTTCTTGTCATAAACAATATTGTCACTAATATCACATGAAGCCACAGCTTGGTACTTCTCCAAAGAAGGATCTTCCGGTGGACTGGAACACTCAAAAATTATATAGAGGGTATAAAGTATATAGTGAGATGCAGTTAGATGCAGTTACGTTCAAGATTTTCTCCAACCTCAAATTCTTGCCCTGCAAAAACACGGAGTCCTTAATTAATTAAGTCATCACAATGAACAGAACAGAACAGAACAGAACAGAAAAAATCTCTCACCTTCTGTGTATTATATATATGCATGTATGGATCGCATGCTCAACACACTTGTCGAGTTTCTTATTGAAAAGATCCGAATCATCGACGCGCTGCCTGGGGTGGAGATATTCATTGTGGGTTGGGTTGGATAATATGGAGAGCAGTCGGCATCAAACCCCTGCAGACAAGCAAGCAAGAGAGCACAAGATTAACTAACTAACTAACTAACTAACTAACGGTTTGAAATTAGGGTTCAATTGAAGATAGCACCGACCCGTCAGGTATGAGCTTGCTTGATCCATAAGCTAACTTACGCCGGTTGTCGCCAATGACTTCCTATACATGATGACCCGTTTCTTTATGCATGCCTTCATCGTCGCCGAACTCTCCCTCCCCGGCGTGTTCGCATTCAAATAAATACCTCTCCTCGTCGCCGTCCTCCATGACCGGCTCAATACCTTCTAGTTCACGGCAGCGTTCGCAGTAGATGTTGTAGTATGGACCGCCATAAATAATTGAAGGAAGGCGCATCTCAACCTCCGAGCCGGAGCTGGAGCTGGATCCGGTGTCGGTGTCATAGTCGACGTCGGAAGGGGAAGACGTGGCAATTAAAAAATAATAAAATATAATCTTTTACCGTTCCATCTCAGTGATCTCACTATAGAGTGATCCGTGTTTGCAGGTAATGGTTTAGGTGGGTTGATACTTACTTGATGATACTAAGGACGGTAATGGTTTAGGTGGTTTGAATTTTCCGTGTATCATTTTTGGATCACAGAGTTTAAGATCCTAACTTTCCTTGTGATAAAAAATAGGTGGGGATGCAATGAGTATGTGACATACCAAAATCTACTCGTATGAGGTTCACAGAAATCTACATCATCCCGGACAATCATATAATAGATTCTCGATATAATGTTAATTTTTCCTTGTATCAATATTAGCTGTAAGTTTTTATAAGACATTGATAATGAAAGTGGGGAAAAAATGAGTGCTTGACCAACAGAGAGAGGGGGAATGTCATATATTCAACCTTGGGATAAAGAACCTAAGGCGGAGCCGAGAGCCGAAAAACTAGAGAGATGTGTTTACTGCTTCGAAGTGACATATAAAATAATCAAATAGTCAATACCGCTTTCTTTTTACAGCAGACGATTTGCCCACATAAATGATCCGCTTCCTTATCAATACGAGAGATTCGATTCCCTATTTTCGTGATCTCCGGGTTCGTTGGTTTGCATTCCTTGTTCTATAGATTTAAGATATATAAATGGATGAAGTATTGAAACATGACCACATTCTCATCATCACTCAACCCTCCACTCCTTCGTCACCTTCGAACTTTCTTTTCCCACCTCGATCTCCAACTCTAGCTTTTGCTTTCCAAATTTCTATGCAACGAGCCGTTGGCTCGTGAGGATCTAGCAAATCTGCACATAGGAGGGAGGCGAATTTAACCTTTGATTGGAAAACATTGTTTTTTTATGCCAATCAATGCAAAATATCATCAAAGATAGCTTATACTTCAAGACAAAACAAGCAAAAGAGCACTTTCACCACAGACACGTACATAAAAGAGTGAACAGTTTCTATGAACAAATAAGCTGATACATCAACTGAGGATAAAAGCACTACATACAGAAATACAACCAGAGCCCATCCACTAACAGGACTAAAGCAGGTATGTAAACAACAACAATCATCACATCATCATCATTTTGACTTGTATTCTGGAATTTTTTTTTACTGAAATGATTCTCTAAGTTAGGACGCTATTCACGTTTAGGATATAGGTCAAATTGATATGATGGTCCATCATAGTAAAAGCAAGTAGCAAGTCTACAACTCACCCATCCCAGTTGATTCCTTCCTGAAGAAGAGAATCTTCTTCTTATCATCATCAATATTGTCACTCATATCACAGGAAACCACAGCTTGGTACTTCTCAAAAGAAGGATCTTCAGGCGGATTGGAGCACTCAAAAGTTATATAGAGGGAAAACAACGACATACACTGGGATGCAGTTACGTTCAAGGTTTTCCCGTACTTCAAACTCTTGCCCTGCAACAACGCCATTTCAAAAGGAAGAGCATGTAAAATTTTTTCATCACCATGAACAGAACAGAGAATCTCTAATCATCAATGTAAATATCGTTCACAACAGACCACAGCATTCGCACCTTCTCCCTGTTATATGTATCGATCACATGTTCAACAGCCTTGTCAACTTTCATATTGAAAATATCCCAATCATCATAATGCTGCCTGGAGTAGATAAATGGGTTGTGGGTCAGATAATACGGAGGGCAGTCAGCATCAAACCCCTGCAAGCAAGCAAGAGAGCAAAAGATTAACTAAATAATTAACTGTCTGAAATTAGGGTTAAATTGAAGATAGTATATCGAGCCATCAGGTATAAGCTTGCTTGATCATAATTAAGCTAACTTACGCCGGATTTCGCCAACGACTTCCGATACATGATGACCCTTTGCTTTATGCCTTCATTGTCACCGAACTCTCCCTCGCCGATGCGTTCGCGTGGAAATAAATACCTCTCCTCGTCGCCGTCCTCGATGACCGGCTCGATACGCTCCAGTTCACGGCAGCGTTCGCAGGTGAGGTTGTAGTAGTTCTTGTTCTCGCGAGGACGAGGTGAAGGAGGGCGCATTTCAACCTCTGAGCCGGAGCCGGAGCCGGAGTCGGATTCGGAAGAAGACATTTGGTTGGATCGACGACGAGGAAAGCAAGCTGGGGTTTTTCTTTTCTGCGAATTGGCAACCGACGGAAAGAAAATTAAACAACCGGTCGGGGTAATATAAATCATAGCCGGGCCTCAGCGTTTGGGCCCATTTTTACATCTATCTAACAGGATCTATTGTAGATTAACCGGGCCGGCCTGCTTCAATCAATGATCACCCTTCTTCCCCTATCCGCGTAACTTCTTTTACCTGATGTTAGGATGGCAATTTGAACTCGCTGTGTCCGGTATTACCCGATCTGATTTGTAATGGGCGGGTTTTATCCGACCCGCAGTTTGGGACGGGGCATGAGTATCAACTTCCGATTCGCTCTGTCCCGCCCCGTTCTTAACCCGTTCTAGATCAATTTCTGTTATTCATTCATATATCTCCTATTTTGGTTTTTCTTCAACTAATTAGACTTGATTTTTCAACTAAGTAGACTCAATTGCCCATTATAATATTACTACTATTCATTCATGAAGCATTTTCTCCTTCGTTTTATACTAAAAGGTAAAAAATAATCGTGTATTTTTTCAAATAGCAGGTAAGAGTGGATCGACCCGTCCCGCCACGTACCCGCGCGGATATTACCCGCCTCGACCCGTAGTAGCATGGAGCGGGGCATGGGTATTGAGGTACCCGCCTCGACCCATTGCCGCTAATCTAATAGGTCACTTTTTTTAATTCAACCTGTTACAAAAGATGGTGTTGCTAGAGGAGTAAGGGGGAAACATCGTTGCTAGGAATCGAACACACAACTTTATAATAGGAAGTGCACTGATTCACCATCTAGACTTATCCTTGTTTCGGGTTAGATCAAGTCCTTAAGACCCATTCGTTAAGAAGAATCTTAATAGGGATGGCAATGGGTCGGGTCGGGGGCGGATAGTGCATATCCGTTACCCTACCCAATGTAGTTCGGGTTTTACCCATACCCATACCCACACGAGAAACGGGTAGAAAATCAAAACCATGCCCATGCCCGTTCGGGTTTCGGGTATCCACGGTTATCCATGGGTAATAATTTCTCCTTATAATTCAAACCAATATGTTAACATTCACACGTATACTCACATTACGTAAGAGGAAAAGTACGACAATAATTCACTAGAATGACGAAAATTAATTAAAACAACATAATTTCATGAAAATATTATATTTATATGCTAAATATAAAATATTCTAGGGAAAAATAATGATTATTTTTAGACAAAATACATATGCATGTGTATAATCGGGTGGGTTCGGGTTGGATAGTGAGATAACCATGCCCACCCATTACCCGCAATATTCGGGTTTTACCCGTACCCACGAAAAATGCTTCGGGTTCGGGTTTTACCCTACCCGATTAGGTCGGATTCGGGTGGATAGCCACGGTTACGGATATTTTTGCCATCCCTAAATCTTAAACGCTTGCCAACCAATAGGAGGAGAGAGATAATCATTAATAATTATTGGCTAACTACCAATAAGGGCAAGAATGGAATATAATTGACAATTAATTATATTATTAATAAATGGTGAACATTTTCTATGAACAAATAAGTTGATACAATTATATTGCGTGGCATAAACGGCCCTTGCATCGGTAGCAACATTAGGTTGACTACCGCTTTACTTTTGAACAATTGTAATGCCCTATCTATTTACGACCTATCTATGACAAAAAAAAAATAAGTTGATACATCAACTAACCCATCCCAGTTGATTCCTTCCTGAAGATAAGAATCTTCTTCTTATCATCAACACTATTGTCAATCATATCACAGGAAACCACAGCTTGGTACTTCTCATAAGAAGGATCTTCCGAAGAAGAGAGAGTGCGGATATAGAACCATTTTTATCACACAACATCATCACTCACAAACAATTGTCCAGATTAAACACATACACAGCTGCCATGTCTCCACAACCGTTTAAACAAACTACTACAGAGCAAAGATTAAAGATAGCACTTTTTGGGCAAAATTATGATCAATGCCATGACATACATATATAGGCGATGTCTCTAGTTCAGAGTTCAACATCAGATCTGAACACATGGAATTCTTCAAATAAACAACAAAACAAGCAGCGTGTGTGACCACATTCTCATCATCACTCAACCCTCCACTCCGTCATCACGTTCAGACTTTCTTTTCCCACCTCCATCTCCAACTCTAGCTCTCGCTTTCAAAATTTCTATGTAACGAGCAGTTGGCATGTCAGGATCTAGCAAATCTGCACATCAAAGGGGTGGGGGTGTTAACCTTTTATTGGAAAACATTAGTTTTCTATGAACAAATAAGCTGATACATCAACTGACGATAAAAGCACTGCTTACACAATGTAACCGAGCCCATTCACTAACAGGACTAAAGCAGGTATGAAAACAACAACAATCATCACATTCACATCATCATCATTTCTTGACTTGTATTGTGGAATTTTTTTTACTGAAATGATTCTAAGTTAGGACTCTATTCACGTTTAGGATATATGTCAAATTGATGGCAAGGCCAATATGGTAACTACTCTTTGCATGAATCAGGATACTAAAGTAAGCTACAAGATGGCTGGATGACACTATGGTTCCAACTCAATGGCAAATAACTAGATTACTGTACAAGCATTCAACACAAGGAGTCAAACAGAGTTTTATAGACATAGAACGATCAATGAACAATTAGCACCACTGCACACCTCATCTAAGACAGTCCAATAACAAGTTCAAGCAAATGAAATAATAGTCCATCATACTAAAGGTAAGTAGCAAGTCTACAACGCACCCATCCCGGTTGATTCCTTCCTGAAGATCAGAATCTTCTTCTTATCATCAACACTATTGTCAATCATAACACAGGAAACCACAGCTTGGTACTTCTCATAAGAAGGATCTTCCGGCGGATTGGAGCACTCAAAAGTAATATAGAGGGTAAACAACATATACTGAGATGCAGTTACGTTCAAGGTTTTCCCGTACTTCAAGCTCTTGCCCTGTAAAACACCATTTCAAAAGGAAGACCATGTAAAAGTTTTTCATCACATTGAACAGAACAGCGAATCTCTAAGCACCTGTGTAAATATCGTTCACAGAAAACCACAGCATTCGCACCTTCTCTCTGTTATATGTATCGATCACATGTTCAACAGCCTCCTGAACTTTCATATCGAAAATATCCCAACCATCAAAATGCTCCCTGGAGAAGATAAATACGTTGTGGGTTAGATAATGTGGAGGGCAGTCAGCATCAAACCCCTGCAAGAAATCAAAAGATTAACTAACTAATTAACTGTCTAAAATTAAAGTTCATCGACCCATCAGGCAGGCTTGCTTGATCATAAGCTAACTTACGCCGGATTTCGCCAACGACTTCCGATACATGATGACCCGTTGCTTTATGCCTTCGTCGTCGCCGAACTCTCCGTCGCCGACGCGTTCACATTCAAATAAATACCTCTCCTCGTCGCCGTCCTCGATGACCGGCTCGATACGCTCCAGTTCACGGCAGCGTTCGCAGGTGAGGTCGTAGTAGTTCTTGTTCTCGCCAGGACGAGGTGAAGGAGGGCTCATTTCAACCTCTGAGCCGGAGCCGGAGCCGGAGTCGGAGTCGGAGTCGGAGCCGGAAGGGTAAGACATATTTTTCGGACCGACGATGTGGGAAAGCGAGCTAGGGTTTTCTTTTCTGTGGCCGATGGAAAGAAAAGAAAATAATTGGTCGGGAAGAATAGTTGGGCTGCGAAATTAGGCCCATTTTTAAATCTTTCTTATTGGATCTATTGGGCTTAACCGGGCTGGGGCCGGCCTACCTCTCTGACCAGCCTTGTTAGTTATTTTATCATTAAAAAAAAAACTAAAAACGTAATTTCAACAGGTTGAAAAAGGTGTTTGCCTGTATGTAGGGCTGCAAATGAGCCGAGCTGCTCGCGAGCGGCTCAGAGTTCGACTCGAGAAAATCTCGTTCGAAACTCGACTCGTTAATAAATGAGCTGAACACGAGCTCACATTTATTATTGAGCCGAGCTCAAATTGGGGTAAAACTCGACTCGACTCGGCTCATTTGCAGCCCTACCTATATGGCTTCTTCTTCCTACAGGCTACCCGCTACAGTTATGGTTCATATTAGTGGTTTGACTAGAAAAATATCTTATGGAATGCTAAATTGATATACCGTATTTGACAGTATGAAATGTTTAAATCACCATTTCAACATAAAATATACTCGGTTGATTTTACCGGTACAAAATTAGATACGATACTGCAGCTCAAATAAAAAATTGTTAGATGTACATAGAAGACTATTGTATATCAAGTTCATGTTGTTGTGCTCTATATTGCTTTTGGTAAATTGGTCTGTTTCTATCATTTATAACTAACTTGCTTGTAGGAATGGCAATGGGAAGGTTCGGGGCGGGTATCTCAATATCCATATCCGCCCCATAGCAAGTCGGGTCCAGGTCGGATAATTTATTACGAGGTGTGGGTCGGAGCAGATCGACCCAATGGGTATGTAATTTATGTGAAAAACATTAGAAATATTCGTTATTTTTATTAAAAGACCAAGAAAGAAACCATAATATGATAAAAATCTAGTTAAACTATAGAAGAAATTGAGGTTTTCACTTAATTGTAACTTTATTATAGCTAAAATATAATGTAATAATAGGAGTATTCTAAGTAATTTGACTAAGATTATATGTAATTTAGGCAAGAACGGGTCGAGAATGGGGCGGGTCAGGCCAAGTCGGGTCGATGAGAGGTACCCATGCCCGCCCCGCCCCAAAACAGGCCAAACAGGTCGGGTAAATCGGGTCAGGTCAAAATTGTCATTCCTACTTGCTTGCAACCCATTTTAGTGACAGAATTTCAATTCAATGTTGTGGTCTAACCATTGCAATACATCGGTGTGAGGTTAGCAATTTAAGATTATGAATGAACTGCGATAAAAAAGAAGTGTTATGACTTATGATAAAATTGTTGTTTTGATGTTAGATATACAATTTTTAATCGTAAAAGATGATTGTTTGTTCGGTACAGTACAAAATAGAGAGATTACTGAGACTAATTGTTCGAAACTACTAACGAACTACGAAAAATTCATTATGATATCATTAGTGGTTTAAACATTGTATATGCGATTAGCCGATGTTGATTCGATTTTTTATAAAGTCCAGTGAAATGAAGGTATCTATTGATATTTTCATGGGCCTGGGAAGAGTACATTATCTAGCTCTCTGGTTAGCATTTATCAATCATCTCTTCTCCGCTCCTAAAAGACCCAATCGAATCAATCTCTGTTTTTTTTTATGTACAAAAGCTGGAACCCCAATTCCCTAAGAAGTAAGAACCCTAATCCCAAAATCTAAAGCAAAATCAGGTACTCAGCTTCGCAATCATCTCTTCCACCAATCTGAGCGTACTACTTCCACCACTCCCCATGAAAACTTCCTCCTCCTCCCCTTCCGCAGCATCGATCTCCTGCATCACCCTCTCCACCATCTCCTGCTTCCACTTCTTCCCTCTCGACCCACCATCGCAATCCCCTCGAAGCATCAGCAGCAGCTCCTGAGCCAAACCCCTCGCCCTCCAGCTCCCATCAATGCTCAGCTGCAGCAAACCGGGCATGGCGCCTTCCATCAGGATCAACCCTCTGTACTTCTCCCTCGAGCTCTGGCATATCAGCACCAGAACCCCAACGGCATGTTCTTTCCCCTGTGGGCTGCCTTCCTCCACCATCTCCACCAGCACCCGTATCCCTACCGCGGCCTGACCCACTGCTCTCTCCGACGAGATCGCGACGGCTTCCAGCAGCGCCATTGCCTTGTCCGCCAGCTCTGGTTGAATTGGGTAGGAAGAATGTTGGGTTAGGAGTTGGAGCAATGTGGGGACTAGCCCTGATGAGACGAGTTGTGGGATTGCCTGATTGCAGGTGGAGAGATTGTGGAGTGTCGTCAAAGTGTCGAGCTTTGATTGGGTGGTGGTTAGAATGGGGATTGAATCGACTAGGATTTGGATGGCTCCTGATGATGCGATGAGTGGCTTGTTTGGCCCGCATGAGGAGAGGATGAGCAGAGCTGCTACTGTCAGCTCTGTCAATGACTCTTCCTGCCATTGGAGGAGGTGGAGTAGCACATCTACAACGCCTGATTTCACCATCCTTCTCTTGTTCCTGCAACCCAATTGGTAATCAGTTGAGTTAAGTGATTGTTTTTGGTTAATGGAAATGGAAATGGGCAGAAATGGTGTGGTGTGGTGTGGTGGGGGTGAGGGGTATTACCTTTCACTGCCAAAGGCAAGGGTGAGCAATGCAAAGAGTGAAGCTTGGATGGATTCATAGTCCTGAGACTGAAGCATGGTGATCAAAGGGAGAATGACTCCACCTTCCACCAACTTCTGCCTCAGTTTGCTGCTGAGTTTGACCATCTCAGAGGCAGCTTGGATTTGGGCTTCTCTGCCTCCATTGAAGAGGTTCTGCAACATGAATGCCTCCATTTTTCTGGGTTGTCCTCTGCTCTACCAGAAACAGGAACAAGAGAAAGATAGAGAGACAGAGGTTGAGAGGCTCTCTTTCTTTCAATCCTATTTCACCCTTCTTCCTTCCCTTTTGCTGTATTTGGCAGGAATGCTTTCCTTATATGAATGGAAACAGGGTACATGGGAAGGCATTTGGTTTGGTTGCTTGAAGATGTGATGTTAACCTTTTGTGGGCATCCATTGTTTCATTCAGAAGCAAACTTCCTATTCTAAAGCTTTAAAGTCAGCTTTTTTTGTGCTTCTCCTTCCCCTCTCCTCTCTATGCTCTCATCAATTCCTTTCTGTTTGGTGGGTTTGTGTTTTCTTTCCTCTCTTTTGTACTGTCTGATTTGGGAGAATGCATCCACTGATTCCTGAACAATGCATCTTCAGCTTTCCTTAAATAGAAACCAAGCCAAACCAAACCAACAAAATACAAAAGATTAAAAAAAGATAAAAGCATTCCCTCTTCTCTCTCTTGTCTCAACCCATCACTTGTTTAGGTAAGTATGTTTACGGAATAGTTGCCAGCATCGTGTTTATGCATTTTAGTTATGTGATTTGCAATCAGGCAATTGGTGTATACTAGACGTGAACAAAACAATTGATTGAAGTGTGTTTTCATTTTAAACATACAACCACTGTTAGATTCTCGATCAAATCGTCATATCAGGATGGATATTTTTTTACACTTGAATGTGAGGGGAAACCTAAATAATTATGGTGTGTTCGCATAAAAAATGTATAACAACCATATAATTTCTGATCGGATAGAAATAAACAAGTGTTTATGTCAGGAACCTTCTAACATCCAAACCTAATTGATATAGGATTTGCTTTCATTCCTTGAATGAGCTGAGGTTGATTCAATCATCCATCTCATTATCAATGTTTAATATGTTGTTTTGGCATGATGATGATGAGATTTGGTAACATTTCAAACTCATACATCCCATGTGCATGTATTGTTATGTTTTTGACAAATCCCATGTGCATGCAATATATATCAATTTGGGGTCATTTTTCGAATTATTTTCAACTGTGGCATGCGGGTCCTGTAATGGGGAAGGGCGTGAGGCAGAGAAGAGGGTATAAGGTGGGGCTAAGAAGCTAAGAACCCTAGGAAAAAGATAAGCCTAAACAAGTACAAAGATCCTTTCCAAAAAAAAAAAAAAAACATCTCAAACTAATTAACTACACAATCCTACTTCTTAATTGAGTCTTTGAGGTCCTCAAGTTGAGGGCTTGGGAGTTGGGTATGAATGATGTAATTTCTCTTTGACTAAACAAATTTGGGGCTATCTTAGTGTATCTAATAGAATATGTAGTTAGAACATAAATTTATCATATTGTTGCTTAGAGTATTGATTTCCCATCCAGTTGCCTAGAGTATTGATTTAGTATAGTTTGATTACATTGGATTCACCAATTTGACTATGAATTGGGTTTAATTATCTGATCATATTCATGAATTTGTTAGGGTGGAAAAATTATCACAGTGTACCTACATTCATTAATTAAAGTGGTATTGACATTGATTAAATACCAGAATGCTTATGGCCCCTAATTAGGCACCAAAGCAACATCAAAGCGTTGGAGTTCCGGACTAGTTACTCCATTATTTTCCTTTCATTTTCCTTTGATCATAGTTGCAATCATGTAATTAGGGACGAAAGTGTAATAGATATCAGTAAACCATATATCCTCCCGATCCTTGTATGACTTGAATTTATGTTCTCGGTTACATATGTCAACCTGTTCGTACTCGTGGACATAGTTAGTAAATACTTCGTTTAATACACGTATATGTACTCGTACGTACTTTATCCGTTTAAAACTTCCGTATCCGTATTATTGTCAAGTCGTTTCTTTTTTGACCGTTCATTTGATGGCTCCCGTATTAAACACGTTTAAAACTCGTATAACACGTTTAATATCCGTATTTAATGAATCAAATTACGAACTTTACCATTATTTATATATTTATTTATTTTTAAAATAATAAATTTTATATATTTATGACAATTAACGTACTATTAAACGTAACATTAGCATAGAAACAAAGTAAAATACCCGTATGTATTTTATACGTAACTTTCCCGTACCGTATTTTACTAACTATGCTCGTGGATGATCAATACGGTTATCTTTGTATACAAAACTCGAAAATAATAGATAAAATCATTAGATAATGAATATCAGACAACAAATTTTCGTATAAGCATAATTCATGAAACTAATCAACTGCATAATCTTGCATGGAGATAACTTAGAACATATGGACAAGGCCTATACAACTAAAAACTCATTTGCATCTAACTTTCCTCTGGTATTTTCCGTACCCGTCCCTTACGAAATCGAAACGGTGTATTCTTGACATGATTAGACTAAAGTTGAGTTTGGTAGAGTGTCTAGATTAGAAACCATCCAATGGAACTCTCTATCTCTCTTGTTTGTGTTTCTACCGTTGCTAGATGAGGATGGTAGTTATGTGTTGGGGGAAGTGGCCCATGCAACATGCAGGAGAATGTGCGGAGGCTCTGTCTTAGGTAACATGGCCTCTCATGCCAATACCCAGTTTCAAAATTTGCAACTTGCTCCCAAAGACTAGCATGACTTACCCTCGCGTGATCCAAAGACGAGCAAGCAAACCCTAATAATATATTGTAATTTTACAACGAACCAACCCACAAGTGGCAATAAACAAAACATTTTCTGCAACTCTTTTATCCTTTTCTTTATACTCATTATTGTCCATTTCCATAATTTTTTTTTTTTTTTTTTTATGGTTGGTGCAACTTTCTTTTTCGCTGGGAAAGAAGAGTTGCGGCGGCGTTGCCTTTACTTGACAGAATTATCTATGATGATATCCCAAGATGATGTTTGTTTGTTTGTTTGTTTACTTTGTGCCCTTTTCTATCTACTCTTTAGTCTTTAGCACTACACTAACTTCTAGGGGCTAGAGTTAGTTTTGTTGGTTGGGTTGGGAGGTGATGATCTTCCAATGCCTAGAAATCAGTAGCTCTCTCTCTATATCCCTTTCCTCCTCTTTTTGCACCTTTCCTTCCCTTTCAATCCATACAAACTCTATCGTTTAAAAGACAAGCCAACAATACCATTCTTCAACAATACTCCTTATATAATTGAATCTACAGTGCTAATCCCCTAGACATTCTGGAATTCCAACGCCATCTGCAGTTATGGGATATCATGCATTTCGCATTACTATCGATAGCCTCAGTCTAAACCACGAATTACATACTAGTAGTTACCTACTATACTAAGAGGCTCATAACCTCCAAGAGTTCAACAAAACAGCAAGACCAAGTTTGGTTCAGTACCAGTTAACACCCTCCCGTGTATCGACAGTCTTGGTCTAAAGCACAAATTACATTGAAAACTTCCGAAGCCAAGAAAAAGCTACAAGAATCTTTGTTGGGCATCAAATCACAGCTAAGAATGAACTTTGTATGTAATGAAGAACAGAAAACTGAACAACGGAAAAATACACTGCCCTCTATTATTTAATGCCGATGAGGCACAAAGGACTCTTCTTGATGAGGTCAAGATCCACCTGCAAATCAACATCCAAAACACACCTTAGTTAGCACCTATTGCACCACCGCAGACTGCTAATAAAATGATACGCCTAGTATGGGTTGAGAGTTTGATTACCCTATGCCCGAAGAGATCTCGGATGTTATCAATACCGTACAGTATCATTGTAGGTCTATGCCGAAACAAAGAAGCAAAATAGAAGAATAATTGATTAGTTAAGTTGGAAGAAAAGGAAGGCTTTGTGGATGGTGTTAGAACCAAAATACCAGGCTGAGACGAGATGCCAACTTGCTTACCTTTCAAGAGAAAGCCCCCATGCAATGACCCTGACATCTTCCGGGAAACCCATCGGCTGAAGCATCTCCGGTCTGAACATTCCTGAGTTCCCAATCTCCACCCATTTCCCAAATCCTTCATGATAACTGAACAGATGTGTATAATTAAATTAGACCTCTTATGTGCTCTGCATGAAAGTACCACCAACCAAGCATAAAAAACTGCATCGTTAGTTACCTGAATATTTCCATGCTTGGCTCAGTGTATGGATTGTAGGCAGGCTTGAAGCGCAAGTTTGACATTCCTGGACAAAAAGATAGTAAGAAACCAGTAAGGCACCAATTTGATATCCTACCCAAGTCCTCATTGCTTCTCAAGTCATTGATGATTACCTAGACGCTTGAAGAAGTCTTCCAGGACTCCTATCAAGTGACCCAGTGTGAGCCCTCTGTCACAGATCAGACCTGAAAACAAGAATCATTGGCCCAGGAAAGTAGAATGCCTCAGCGGCAAGTTCTGATTGAAGATAGAAACTTTACAAGGAAAGTAGAATGCCTCAGCGGCAAGTTCTGATTGAAGATAGAAACTTTACAATCATTGTAAAGCTTAATGTGTAGTACTTTGTAACAGAAGTAAACCCAGTCATGCAGAAAACTTGTTTAAGAGGGAGAGAATAGCCATGAAATCATTAGTTATTAGAGGATTTTTCTTATTATTTTAGGGCCATGAATTGACAAAAAAGAAATGCAATATATAGCATTTCTTTTTTTGAGGCAAGACAGAAGGCTACATGTCAGAAAATAGAGGATTCATGCGAGAACAGAATTGATCCAATCGTTTCGTAAAACAGGGGATGACAGAAAAATGAATTGACAAAAATAGAGGGGACCATACCTTCTATCTGGTGGAACTCTGCAAGATGTGTACGGTCTACTGCTTCATTTCTGAAAACACGGTCAATGGAGAAGTACTTTTTAGGGGTGAAACCATTCTGTTTTGTGTCCTGCAATTAAGAGAATAGTACTTCTATAAAAAAAAAACCCCTCCATAAAATACACCGTAGAAGAGGGATATAAATACTAGGAAAAGGGACCTGGGGACAGGGAAAGGATAAAACGTACAGAAATCACGATCAATATACCTGTGCTAGCTTATAAAGCATCCTCGAAGAGATCGCTGTCGTATGTGTACGCAAAAGATTCTTGTTTGCTTCTTCTCTTTTCCACTCATAGTTATATCTGCCAGCAGACAAGAAAGTTGAGAGAGGAAACATTTTGCTTGGATCATCAAGGAAAAGGGATGCAGATGAGATCTATATACCCTCGTGATCCATAACCACCAGACTCATGAACTTGCTTCACTCGCTCAACATAATCTTCAGGGAGCTGCATTGTTGTTGAAGGAGCTGCACAAGAATACATCAGATCACACTACCACAAGGGTGTGAACCAAAATCAAACTGTAGATAGTTATACAAACATACTTTTCAAGAAAAATGTATCATGTGAATCCCGGGCAGGATGTTGCTGTGGCTGGAACAGAGCATCAAAGTTCCAGAAACTGAAAATACAAAAGGAAACATGTTAGTTGTAGAAAATAACATGAAGACTCTAAGATTGCTTCCTTGAACTGTTTTTTACTCAAAAGTTCAATAAAAGGTTACAAGAATCTCCAGTCTTACGAGCTACCCCGGCAGAGTTTATCAAGCTAAACTCAAATGTCGAAGCATAAACAGAAACTAATAAAGCAAGTAAAAATTTAAAGAGTTGCGTAGAGGGGTGGAAAAGGCAGAGACCTGCTTTCAACATATCTATTTGTGGCCATTTCCTCAAAGCTGCAACCAAGAGAAAAGCAGTTAACATGAGAGATGCCCAGGATTAGATAGGAAAGCAGTAGCTCCAGAAAGAAAATACTCACCCCATCATACGAAAGATTCTCTTTATACAGTCTTTCATCTGAAAATGGAAGGAACTTCAGAAATGAATTTCGATAACACAGAAGAAAGCAGATAGTGATGTATTGCGGCTTGGGAAGGCAGGAAGGCGAGAATAAAAGTTTGACAATATATGCATATCCTTATCAAGATATACAGCATATGCAATCGTCCGGTACTTATTAGTTATGGGATTCTTAGTCCCCACCAGTAACTTAGAAATGGTTTTCAGAAATATGAATTGGTTTCTACATCTAAATATGTCTTATCTCGAGTGAGTATAGGCCTGCTTCCAACTAAAACATTCAATAAAGGCAGGCATGAAATGGGTTTTTAGACAGCCACAATAAAAAAAGGAGTCGGAAAAATGCAACCAAAGCTAGAACCATCTTGCCTTATTGAGTGGGTGAAGATGACCACATTCAGAAGGTGGACCTTTAGCATTGAAGTTATACGCTTTGAATTTCAGGGTCTCCCAGTCGCCACTACATATTTAGAGTAGTTTGTTAATTAAGTATGTCACACAAACCATTATCAATAAACTGCTGAATGATATTGCACTGTATGACTAAACTTCAGTGCATAAGCAACTAACCAGAAGAAAAGCTATTAGATGAAAAATTACTAGCTGATGCTACATGGACATAACAGACTAAGAAGTTATAAGAAAACTATGTGCAGTGAAAATAAGTGTATGCATACCTCTGCAGGTTTTCTCGGGTCAAATCAGTCGCAAACTTCTCTCTTTGGGGAGCATAACTAGGTCCCTTTCTTACAGAATATCCCTTCCACGTCCTAGACCAGAAAACTCACTTTTAAGTTATAACTAATCACGAGGCACCTAAATGTGTACAGCACAACATAAGGCGCCCCAGGGATATTGAATTAAAGAACAAGATGAGAACCATACTGCAAAACAATTAGCTTCCTTGCTTTGAGGGAGTTAATATCAGCTTGACCAATGACCTGAATAGTAAGAGTCAAAAAAAGGTAATGTTTAAGCACCAGAGACGAGAATAGATAGACAATAACAAACCAATTTGAAAGTTCTCTAAATTAAATGAGCAAAAGCCACCAAAGATGTCAGGAATAGAACTGATGAGTATTAACCAAGTCCCATAAAAAACCAGTTTATTCCTTAGAATGATCGTGACTATAACAAGGATCACCGAAGGCAATATGAGAAAACCAACCCCTAATATATGGACATCTGCATCTTACTGATTTCATTGCTACATAAAACATCGACATGCATTAAATAAGGATTCTAATTGATCACAAATCAAGTTAAACAGAGCAGGGATAAATATGACTCACAATAACAGAATTGTATTGTGGGTACCATATAATAATTAGGACAAAAAAACGAACCAATTTCTAATGGCTTATATCAACCAATCATAATAAACAAGAGCTTCCAGGAAATATAGAATCGCCATGCCAAATATTGAGGCCAAGAAATTCAAACATTTATCGGCACTACAGGTAATAAAAACTGCAAACCTGTCCCTTCTGTATCTTCAAAAGTAGATCTTTCACCTTGTCCTCCACTTGAACTACCTACCTCGAAGCAAAAGAATCGAACAAATACTAATCAAGGGAAACGTCCAAGGTTCAAAATACTTACAGAAAGACTTTAACTTTAATTCCAAGACAATCTCCTCTTAGTTTTGAGTAGGTGATTCCGTTCTGAAAAGTTCTCCTGGTGTTCCCCCATCTTACTAACAAGTGGAAGGTTCTTCGAAGAAAACAAAAAGCATGAAGAAGTTTCAGTTACCTTCCTCGAGACCTGCCTCCCCATTTCCACCCATTTGTTCTTCCCAGCTTGAGAACAGCCGATTTTGAAAATTGCAGGGTCAAACTTTTTCTGCATGAGAAATGGTTCCAGAACAAGTCAGCAAGGCTTAAAAATTACTTCAAAACCATATTTCAATTATTATTTACACGTTGAACTGCTTCGTTCTAGAGTTGAGCGATGCACAATTATATCGCTTACAAAAGGTTAGGCTTCAAGATTCATAAACACAGTAGCATTGAATATGCATACTTAGGGACCATAAAATAAAAACAATGAGTTAACAGCAACCTGCAGCTCATCTTTAGCGATGCTGCCTTCCGCTGGTACAGCCAAGAACAGTTGAACTTCAGGTGAACCTTCAGCAGCATATCTTTTTCCTTCATCAGTAAGAACCCAGGTTTCCTTTTTAATGTCCTGCGAGTTGAAAAGAACAATCTTTAGTCTCCAGTCTCAACAACGTCAGACAAGCTCTTATCTTAACCAAATCAACAATGACGACTCAGAACATGCATTCTTGGAAGACGCACCAGTCAAAAGACAGCCCTCTGCCGGAATTACTACCTGGTCTACGATTGGGGACCTGATTGCTTAAAACTGTGGTGTAAGAAAGGTAATTCTACTACTCCGACACTGTTCCATACATGTCCCCAGAAGAGAAACCTCTAAACCCCAATTCTATCACAAGCGGACCAACGATTGGCGCAATACTCCATTTTCGTTTAAGGAAGTACAGACTAGTGAGAAGTACCTGAGACTCGACGTAGAGAAAACCGTGAAGACTCTTGATGGCGTTAACAATCTCGGCGTGGTCGATCCCACATTCTGCAGCGAAGTTCCCAGAATCGGCTATTTCCTCGTGGGTCTCCAAGTAGCTGAGAATCGCCTGCTCGGCCATCTTTCTCTCGGTGACGGTGATGAAAGACCGTCAGCGACGGCGGCGGCCTTGTCCCTCTTATAGAACCCTAGTACCCAGCTCAGTCATAGTCAACTTCGGGTGGTTTGGATATTGTGATTTCAAATGGTGTATTGAGCCAATTCATGTACTAGTGAGATTAAGTCGTTTTTATATTGAACTAGAATACATGTATTAACTTTTTGGAGGCCCCGCCACAATCACTCATAATTGAGAGATTATCTTTTTCGATGAACGTGAGAATTGCATTGAAAAAACAAAAAAAGAGTTTGATACAAAGGGCACCAGGAGTGCCACAAACCACAATGACTCAAAATTGAGAGATTATCAATTTCAACTTTTTGTTAAGATTCTTCACAATCACTCAAAATTGACTTTTGTGACTTTACAACAAACCACAATCTAAATCTCCAAACAAGATATTTTTCTAATACATCAATTGATTCAATACATCAAATGATAATACACTAATTGATTCTTACGGTCTTTCCCCGCGCCCCGTCTTCTCTTCAGTTCCTCTCTTTTTGTTTTTCAATTTCCATCTAAATCGAAAGAATATTATTTTAGGGTTTCCGGCATTAAATATTTTGCCTTGTTTTGTAGACCTGGCAATTAGGTTGGGTTGGTTAATTTCGGGGTTGGGACTCGGTTACGGCGCAGGTAATATTGGGTTGGTTGCTTTCAGGTCAAATATTGACCCAATTCCTCGGGTTTCAGGTCGGAATTATGGGCGCTATCAGAAACAATATCAAATCGTAAAAAACATGTGCATTGCAATAGTTTACCTAGAACATGTTCATTAACATATTCTCAAATTCCCCATGCTAATGAAATGAAATACAAATTGCATAAATTGTCAAAAAATAATCACAAGAGTAATACTACTACAAGAAACACATGATATTTGATTATCCTTAATTAAAATCCAAACATGTCTTTCAAAATCTTGTGAATTTTTTTAAACATCTCAACAATTTATGAGTGATTTTATCATTTTTTGAGTGACATATGAAATAGAATGGGTTTAACGGGTCAATCGGCTAACCCATCAATCTGACCCAAAAAAATCACAGGTTAATCGAGTTTGGATCATTCGGATTTTTGGGTTAAAAAAACTTCTATTTTTTTGAGCGACTTCGGATCGGATCAACAAATCGGATGGTAATTTGCGAGGTCTACTTCTTTGCTATTTTTCTTTCTCCGTCATAATAGTTAAAAAGAGCCAAGGAGCCCGATGGGTGCATAATGCATTGCATTTTGAGGTCATTGATGTTGAGAAATCAGAATACGATGGAAACTGTTGTGTATTATTACTGATACCACTTAGGGTTTATATAGAGTACAAAGAATGACTTCTAAAATAACCCTAACACAACGGAAATAACCTAACTTCTACGACTCTAATAAGGAATATAACTTTACCCAATTACATACTAGTACTCGTAGTATAACACAATACTACTCGTACTACACATACTCTATACCCTCCCCAAATTGATGGTAATTACATACCAACAATTTGAAAACCGAAACAAAAACTAACACAAAAAGAGGAAGAAAAAAAAAAACTAAGAAACCGATAACTGCTACTAATCCCAAACTTCGTGTCGATGTTGAAGAAGACCATGCTCCACGAAAACTGCTACTAATAAGGAATATAACTCTACCCAATTACATACTAGTACTCGTAGTATAACACAATACTACTCGTCCTACACATACTCTATTTATCTAACCAATACGGCTATGATAAGGATGGAGAGTTCTCAGAAGCCAATTCCTCAAAGAAACAAACACATGGAACCGAAATTGGGTTCATTAATGGAAGATCACAAGCTTTATTCATTGGGACTAGACCAAAACCGAGGCACTTCATTAAGCACGCTTACAAAGTCAAAAAGAGATACAATGTGAGTGAGCTTGGATCAACCTATGTCCGAAGTCCGAACTCGGAATACAAAGACAAAACAGTAGGCATTTTCTCATTCCTTAAACTCGTCAAGCCTCAGTTTTATGCAAATACCAAGGCATTCCATCAAGCAAGCTGACAAAGGGAGATACTTGCTACATATAAGAGATTCAGAAGCTGTATATCTTAAGGATAGTGTCAAATCAAACCACAACTCCTATGAACCTAAACAGTAAGTAGGCTTTGGACTTTGCGATATCACCGACGCTTGTATAAGCAAGGCTTCAACTCCGGCCACTCAATTGCTTTACTCTTCGAGCTTTCCCGTTTCTCCTACAAAGATTTGAACACACAAACAATCAATATCTAACAAGTTATATTGAATGTCATGTTGGTCAGAAGGTGAAAACTGGGAACCAACCTTCTTCTGGAAATGGAACAAAATGAACATTTTGTTTGAGAAATCCTGTGTAAACCAAATCAGGAGTTAACAGTTCGGTATATTAGAAAAGTTAACTTAAAGAGGTGGATAGTTTCAATGTTAATGACGAACCTTCAGCACAGATGTAAATCCCAACTCGGAAATGGCTTTCACAAACTTATTTGGGTCTGCCCCTCCAGTAATTGGATCAAACCTACTTTTTACCTCTGCTATCAGAAGCCAATCACTGTGAGAATAAAACATGAGTCGGACACACAATGAACAAGATCTAGAATGTTGAAATTGCCATAAGGAACACGAACCCTGGCTTAAGCACCCGGTGTGCTTCCTTAAGGTAACTCGGATAATCAGTGCCCATCAGTGAAAGGCAAAACACAGCTACATCTACAGCTGAAGAATCAAGGGGGGTCTGCAAGGAAGTAGCAGCAATCAGATACAGAGATTTTGTCGAGAAAAGCTTATGCATTGTATGTAAAATTGGATACAAAAATAATTTACAGTGAGTACCATACTTTTGACATATCACAAGCGATTACTGAAGGATCCTTGGAAATGAGATCAAAAGAGAACACCTTGTTCTGTACACTCTTCGCTAGGCGTGCATCTCCTGAAACAATTATGCAAGAGGAAAGAGAACAAACCATCAAAATATTTATACCATCCATCTTACACAATCCCATCAGAACCTAGCAAGAGTAAGAAATGATTGAGTACAGAAGGCATCACCACAGCCAAAATCGGCAACAACAAACGAACGGTTATGATCTTTTAGCCACTTTATGATTACATTTACAGGTTGCTCAGGCCAGTGTGACATTTGTTCTTGATACCCTGCATGATACTGCCAGGTAAGTAAGATAATGTTAAATCAAAATCTATTAAGAACTCACAATATCATTTCAAAATTGTCAACTTTTAAAGGAACAATTACGAGTTTTGGATTCTTGATCAGGAGTTTCAGCTGCTAGTAAGATAAGGCCAGCTCAATGAACTGGAACTTCCAAAAACAAGCATGCACCAAATTGAATCAAAGCCCCTTTACTTTCATGCAATGCCAATTGTGAAAGCTCTATGACTTGAGCTTTATACGAGTTCAGGGCCAGTATAAATGAAATGAATCTCCAAGGTATAGGAGAAAGAGAAGAATAAGATAGACGTTAAGGAAGCCTTACCATGTTAAATAACGATGGATCTTCTTTGAAATAGTTAAATGCCTCCCCTCCACTGAAAATAGAGAAGGAAGAACAACATTGAACACCTAAAAATCGATTGGGATAAGACTCATGCTCTAACTAACAGGCGCAAAAGCACAAGCAGCACTACCAGGGGAACAAATAAGTAACAGATTAAAACCAAAGACTGTGCCACCATTCACTGCTCAATTCACATAAAGCCAGATAACCATCAATGAGAATTGAGAAGAGGGAAGAGAGTAAAACCCAGAAGAAGGAAACGAGGACACTTACGTGCAAGTGTAGAGCGTTTCATTCAGCATTCTGAAATGCCCTCCAGCTAATCTGGCTTTCATCTGCAATTATTCAAATACTAAGTTCGTCAGCGATCCATCAATTGATTTCTACGAACCATTTGCTGAGAGAAGAAGAGCAAGGAGGGAAGAGAGACATGGACCTTATCAAGGAAAGAAGAAGAAGACGACGGCTTTGGCCGCTTCGAAGCGGCAGCAAGTTCGTTACTTTGACCACCATGTTTGGCCTTTGTGTTGTCGTTCGACTTAATCTCCTTCTGTTGTTGAATTTGCGGCTTGCTGCCAGTCTTCTTCCCTCTCTTGCGCTTTCTGCTCTTAGCTTCCGGCATGGCGCTCTCGTACAAATTTCTAAAACCCTCTCTGTTCCGCTACTGCAAGTCTGCGACTTAACTCTTCCCTTCCCTGTAAAGTAAAGGCGAGAGCTGAGAAGGCAAGGGAAGGATGACGAGACAGAGAACTGGACTTGCTATGGGCCTTTCAGCCGATATGGGCTTCTCCCGCCTTCTTCTAAAGCACGACCGAAGAGCCATAAGAGGTAAATGAACATCCAACCAAGCCCATGGGTCAGTCAATACATTGGACTCGAAAGTGGTATCTCACTGAAATATTTTTTTACCACTGAAATTGTGAAAACCACTTTTGTGACAAGTTAAGTCATTGTTATTTGATGGTGGATAACCTAATAATAAACCAAAAATTTGATAACAACGTTTAGTTTTATAGCTCCTATTTGGTAGTGGGAGAATTTCATTAACGAGCTCCATTGTCTCTTGATTTTGCTTCTGATTAAGGTTATCCTTGATATATAATTCTTCAAACTTTAAGTTTCATTCTTAAATCTTAATTTTTAAATTAAATGTCTTATAAGTACAAGGATGTTGAAAGAGATATAGAAGTGATGAAATGTCGACTATAATCGCAAACCAATACGCATTGTGGATTACAGAGGAATCCAGTTTTCGGTGAGATGGACGCGATATCTAGGCCATATAGCCTCATATATTTATTGTTGATCACTTCAATTGTTTATATGAGTCTTGAAAGTAAATACACAACAATATAATATGAATGTTGATATTCAAAGACGTCTAGTCATACTTTTCATAGTTTTGCTCAACTATACCGTAAGTCATTTATCCTATTATGACCAAATTGCAAGTTACATTGATCAAATGCAACTTAAAAAAAATGTATGCATGTAAGCAAACCTACAAATACCAAATATACATACATGTACATTCACATACGTGTAAAAACCAAATTGCGTGTTGCATTAATTGGTCTTGTGTCCATCCAGGAAAAGGAATAACTCCAACCCTACAGAAGATTGAGCAATTCAAAGTCCTTCTCTGTCCTTCACTTGAAGTTAATCGATTTCACCACTTTGGACAACTCAATTCAAGCTAGCGTTCCATAAGGCTTAAACACTCCTTGATATGTGTGACATTCATTTAATGGAATATCAATTTTCTCCCTCTATTTATTGAGCAAACAATGATTAATGTTCACTAATTCCTCGCTGCTCACAAATAGAAAAATATGTCTAATGCGTTTTTTATTTATTTATGTAGTTTATGCCTTATTTTGTCCTCTGTTTCAAACGAGATCCAGTTAGTACTTAAGCATTTAATTTAAGATTAAGGAGTAGGGGTGGCCCAATGGCAGCAATGGTACTTTATAAACAGAGCTTGATGGGGCAAGGCAATCTATCTATTAATCCTTCTAAAAGGAGAACATGGTGGGTTTGGCACGATTTAGCCTCTATGCTGCTTGAGATTATAGCATCTCCAGAAAGTAGAATCTGAAAGAAAAAACGATCACATAGAGTTAAACCAAAGAAAAGAACTTGCACCGACTACCAAGGCGGCAGGAACAATCTGTTGGTGGCAAGGCTTTGAATGCTTCCTTTTGGTCATTCACTACCCATCTCCCTATATAAACCAATAGCCATTTCCTATTCCATCACCAAGTAAAGCAACATATTTCTACAGCTCAACTCTACCTCTCTCAATATCTTCCCACAAGGCTAGCTAGTTAGGTAGCACAAGAAATGGCAGCCATTGCTGAGAACAATGTCAATGCTGATAATCAGCACACAACTCCTCCATTGGAGAAGAAGCTCAATGGGATGAAACTCAAGGATGAAACAAAGGTGGCAGCCGAGACTCTTGATCAGGCCAAGAAACAAGAGGAAGTTGCAGCAGCAGCAGCAGCAGAAGAAGAAGTTGCAGTTGAAGTTGAGCCGAAAACTGGGATTTCATTCCCGGTCAAGCTGGCTGATGGGAAGGAACTGATGACCGTTGGTTTGAGGAAGAAATCCATGCTTGGCATGGGGATCAAGATCTACGGCTTTGGTAATAATCATTCATGTCTCTATATTATCAGAACCCAGGAACTGTTCTTGTTATGATGACCAAAAGTTGTCATCTTTTCTAATTTGCAGGGATGTATTATGATAAGGAGAAGCTGAAAGAGAATCTGAAGACAAAGATTGACAGCAAGGCATCCACTAAACCAACCAAGGAAATGTACCAGGCGGTGATCGACAGTGATTCAGCCATGACAGTGAGGCTGGTGATTGTGTTCTCTTCGCTGACCATGAACATGGTCAAGAAGAACTTTGATGAAGGTCTCGGAGCATCTATCAAGAAGCTCACTGGAGGGAAGAAGAACGATGATCTCGCCAACAAGTAGGACCATTAGCACTTCAGCAATGTTAGTTTCAGTCTGCAAAATTGGAAAATTCATTACACCAATTGATGATGATTGATTGCAGGGTGATGGGTGCAGCTTCTGATGGAATCAAGCTGTCGAGTGGCTCTGTGATCGAGATCTCCCGGCTTCCAGAGAATGTACTCCAAACCAAAGGTGGAGTCTTACTTATAGCATAACACAAATGCAATGGATTCTGGAAAAAATAGACTGGAAGCACTGAACAATTTTGTGTTTGATGTGTGCAGTGGTGGATGAGGTCATCAGCAAAGTTGACAGCGAGCTTCTATGCAGGGCCTATGTTAACATGTATTTGGGAGATGATCCATTAGACAAGGAAGCTAAGGAGAAATTTGGGATGCAATTGCTTAACTATGTTCTAAAAAACCTAGAAACCCCCCATCAAACTCGTATCGAGACACATAATCAGTAATAAGAAGCTGGTGTTGCTAGCTGCTCAATAACGCAAGGGCATGATGAATTCCAGTGTGTAACAATCAATCAACTTCCCCGCTTCATTTTATGTCACCAAGTGTACCTTGATCTTTAGCAATTGCAATGACAAGTGTGATAAGAATCAACTGCAAATCAGATCACAAAACTCACTGTTTCTAATTACATCTCAGAAATATTGATAATATCATATCATCACAAAGAGGCAACATACAAATATCTTGTTGCTCAGCAATGTGGAATTGACTCACTGCAAGACCAAATCCCTAAATTTTATAGCTTTTCTACTAGTAGTATTTATAACTTATTGGGAGAAAGGTTGTTGAGTCAATAATCTTACTTATCCACACTACGTGAACTGATCAAGTTCATCAGAAACCGTAAAGAACCTTTCGAGGATCTAATTGCCCACTGCAATAACTTGATGAAACAGTAGAGAGCTCCTGGTAGCCTTTCCATTCTTCCGAAGGTTTTAGGACGATTGGGGTTTCAGTGACAGCAGAATCCACACACAACATGGTTTTGTAGTCCTCGTATCCCAAATCAGGCACTGTTTTGGCCCTTTTGTCCCAAGGATTCCACATACCTGATTGTTGAAAAACAATGCCCCATTATTAGGATCTAAACTTCCTTGCAAAAAATGAAGAAAACATTTCAATGTTACCTGCATCAGGCATCCCATCCTTGCGCAGCACAAAAGTTCTCTTTTTCTCATGGTCTATAATGGCGATCTTCTGTGGAGAGCTCAAATATATTCTGTCAACCTGCAGGAAAGAACACCACCATTCTCCTATTATAATTTCAAAAGCATTTGGTTGATACTTGTAGCAAGCTTAAAGAATCAATGGAGATCTCACCTCGCCATCAAAAGTGATTGCATCTGCCTGTTCAGTAAACCTCTCTCGCCTCATAAGATTGTCTAAGTAGTCAAGTGTCTCCAAGCCTTCAACACGCACTTCACTGTAATAAAACAAAGCCCAGAATGTAATTTAGACAGGTCCAAGTTCATGATATTGTAAGGACCACAACTTTCATCATAAGATTTTACTGTGCATACCTGATATCTGATACAGATAAATAGTTTCGGAGAGCAAATGTGAAAGAGAAAGGTTTGGTATCTGTGTTTCTCACGCGAGGTATCAAAGTGAGCTTTCCAGCACTAAGGGAGACACGAAGCCGTAACTCAAAGCTGCTCATCGAGTTGAAGGAGATGTTGGCAGTTCAGAACATAGCACAAAGGTTTACTCTTTTGCTTATTGGATTAATGAACAGATTATGGAAGCAAACATACCTCCGAGGCCAGATCTTCAGGTCCTCATCTGTGGACTTCAACAGAAGATCTACTGATGAGTGGTTGTTTGATGGAGGCAAAGGTGAAGGATCACTGTCTATCGTCCAGAATTTATTCCTAGCAAATCCATTTCTCTCCGAAGTACCAAGATTTCCAAACTGTAATCAAGTTCTAATGGGTAAGCAAAATATGGATTCCCCTACCCTAAGCAAATGGAGCAATACAAGAACTAGAACACTTTGCAAAATTCATCCATAACCTGAGGAAAGAAGACAGGTATTCCCCCTCGGATGGCCTTAGGTGGCTTCCATATGGCCTGCCCCAAAAAATGAAGGCAACATAATATCTATTGAAGTTATAACTAGAACCAAATCATACATAACAAGTGAGTAAACTGAAAAATCAGAAGACTATCTTGCCTCGCTTCAGAAGTTCACATACTCACCTTGCTGCTCATAAAGAGTAGTTCTTCTCTCCTTTCATTCTTCCAGGAGACAACCTGCCCCCCATACAGAAGCACCTGCAAGAAACCATAGTTGTCGCCAAAGTGTTTGTAAAATTGCCGCAACCACAACATCCACATTTCCTCGTAGCCCAATTATAGTACAGAAGAACAGAGAAATGAGAGGGTACCTCAGCTGATGAGCCAGAAGGGTCGGCGAGAACGATCCTGGGGAAGCCATCACCATCATGAAACACGTTCATCAAGGGCATAGGCTTCAGCCGCAGCCTGGCTCTCAAGTTGTTCACAATTGGATTCGCTTTCCCTTTCCCCCACTCCAGCTGCACCAAAACGCAAAACCAAATCACAAACCAAGAATACCAAAAACCAAACAACAAGAAATTCAGAACCCAAAAGGGGAAAAGACGCCAACTTTGTAAGAGCCCAGGAGGAGCTGGAAACAGGGGAGAAGCATAAAAAAGCTTGCTTACTTTTGTAGCTTGGTCGGCACTTCCGCACTTGCTGATTGAGCTCAGCTCAGGTATTCAGATAAGCTAGAGGAGGGTTGTAGAAGAAGATGGCGATGAAAGAATTGAGGAAGTGGGGAAGATGGAATAATCAATTGGGAAAGAAGCTTTGTTGAAATTATATATAGTGCATAGGAAGTTTGGTTCCGTTTGTCCGTTGGTTGGTTGGTTGGTTTGTTCGTAGTCACTTTCAATCTTAACCACTCGAAGTCCCCGGCAATCAGCATTCAGCACTAACCCAACTTAGAGTTGGAGCTTGGAAGAAAAAGGGCGAAACAGAGAAGGGAAAAGGACATAAGCGAATCACACCACTTTTTTGTTCTGAATATAGAAAGGAAAACCCCACTCTGTTCTTTTGATCAAGTGAATTACACAGTTGTGTAGCGATTGGTGTGGGGTCTTATCGAACTTTAGATAAACGTATAGATTTAGTCCCTTTAATTTATTGTTTGGCAACATGTTTTACTCTTGATGTGCAATTAAGTTGCTTTTTTCATCCAAGGTTTAGCATGGAATCTTAAGAACCATAGAGGCTCACTAGACAAACATATGGAAAGTTTATGTTGGTCAACATCCTTTGCGAGTTTAGCGTACATTTCTCTGTCACTCTTGATAAGTTCGCTTGGTAAAAAATTGAAGACCTAGACGTCTATTGTGCTCGATTTGACAGTCTCATCGATTAATCTTTTATGACATATCCAAATATATGCAAGCAAAAACATTATCCTAGAGCTGAAAACTCGATTATAAATGAAGCCAACGAACGACAAGTTGAGGAGCTACCTAGCATGCCCTAGGTCCAATAAACCATCTATAATCCTTCTATCGAGAATATGTTCTATATGCTCAAATAGTATACGCGACATTCTCCCAAGAAAAATGATAATCTTCTTCGACCAAGTTCAAGACCTCAAGTATCCTGACTAATGACTTGAAAAGAACCACCATGTACGAGCTCAGCCTCAACCTTCACCTCATTGAAGAGAGTTTAGAAAATTTGATAACACTTCAACTTTGAGTGGCCTAAACAAGATTAGGTATGACTGACTTATGAGTCACTTTGCAGTATTTGACACGGCATAAGAAAACAAATGAAAGAGGGCAAATGCGTGAGGCTTGGGAATTTGCCTTGTGCCTGCTTTAACCCTCTTTACTTTGCAGCCTTTAGTGACAAAATGGGGGATGCAAATTGCAACAAATGGAGTCAGCAAATTGATTAGCTAGCTAGTTAGCAGGTAACCATCAATTATATAACAATCGTAGGGCTAAGTTAGGACTTGGGAATGGATGGAGTCTAGGGTAGGGCACCTAAGATTATTAGAAGGGTAATGTGTGATTAGGAATTGTTAGACCAAAAGGGCTGCCCTTATCTCAACGTCGTTTCACGTACATTCGTGGGAATTGATCCATCCTTGTTAGTGGATAGGCATGGCAAATGGTACCTAGTTTTTTTTTCTTACGAAAAGCTCGCTTGTATTGACAAGAACATAAAATTACACAAATTTTGGCTCCGACCAAAACCACGCTCGAAAGTCGAAGCTATTATAACTTGTAGGAAACAAATATATGGCCTTTCTAGCCACCATATGGACTACCCTATTGTTCGCCTACCCATAAACCTAACCTGAAACCCAGGTGAAGACGACATGAGATGCCGAATTTCTTCAAGTAAGACACTACCAGCATCATCTTGAATTTTACTAACATTCACCTTATCAGTAATGACCTTCGCATCGCCTTCAATCCACACAACTTCCAATCCACAGAGCTGTCACCACCTGATTGTATCCCGTAGTGCCGAGAACTAGTATCGGATTTTGAAGACCATTGTAGATCATCCCGTGTGCACCCACCACAGTACCTGACATCTCTCATAATACCAGACCACCCACCGCATGGAAACCCTCACATACAACCTTGTCAAAGGAACAAAAACCATATTCGCCGAAGAATCCCTCTCATTTTCATCATTACCTTCTGCAGATGTCGTTACTGCCATGCAACCAGGAAATGGTATCTAGTTAAACACCACGCGTATAAATAAAAACTTTGTTCAATAGAAATATAAATACACAAGAGAGACTTAACTTGACATTTCTCTACATAGAGTAGAACATGAACACAATCCATAGGCCAAAAGAAGAGAAACATCGTAAGATGAACTCTATCAGTGTTTATAGTTAATCACGATGTTTTGAAATTTTGAAAAGTTTATAAAACATGTTTATCATTCAAACTATTTATCAAGTATGTCACCTTTCAATATAACCTACCAATATCATTACTTCGTCATTCATTCAACTTAAAAGTGTGGTCCTCATGTAATACATTGTGACAAATATATTTTTATCACTTGCAAAGACAGTTAACGACACAAAATTTACAAGTCAATACACTAACGAAAATCCTCCAAGATTTTTTGACATAACCATGGCCAGCTAGGTGAGGATTTGGAAGCTTCTTTTGGTCATAGAACGTAAATCAGAATTGGGAAACTGAGAAATTAACAATTAATAGAGGGTCAATTTATTTGTCATTCGTGTATGTAACAGTTAAAATATATTTGCAGTAGTTCATGGACATGGAGAAGGCTGCTTAAACTACGACCTCTTGTTTAGCCCTGGCTGAGGCAACTAGATAATGATATATATTGGGGATCTGATTTGATGGTAACTTACCCAGTTAGAAGATTTTGTGAAACGTTGAGGATTAAAGCTCCTGCTGTCTCATGGCATAAACTTGTATGGTGCAGGCTTTACCCCCACGATTTAGTTTGATTGCTTGGATTTTGATAAAAAAAATGCAATTGTTACAAGGAATAAGCTGCTTAGGTGGGGGAAAATCACTGATGCATCCTATCCTTTTTGCAGCAAGGCAGTTGAGACTCGAGATCATCTGTTTATGCAGTGCTCTTTCACACGGCGCAGTTAGTAATGCAGCTAGCAAAAGTTCAGGAGCAGGGCATGCCATGGTTTGGTGCGTATTGTTGACATCTGTATGGAAGGAGAGATGCAATGTTGTTCACAGATCAGTATGCAAACACACGGTCAAAGTTGCATGTTTGATAAAGGCAGAGATAGGTTATATTGTTGCTGGAAACGCCATTATGCAGGCGGATTTGATAGGGTTGGGATACTTATAGCTGTCTTTTGATCTGTATTTTTATTATCGTTCAAGTTGTGATAGATAGAGCAGACTATGCCACCTAGGGTCATGTTGATTGTGTTGCATTGCAAGCTCTTACGACTCTCATGTCGAAAGGTCGTATAGCTTTGTTTTTAAATTTTGATAACTCACCTCACAAGAAAATGGTAAACCTTAATTTACCCAAATCCAAGAAATCTTAGCTACTGTAGGGTTGACTCGACCTTTATGTCAAAAGAATTTTTGATAAATAACCTATATGTCAAATTACTCTACCTTTTGTAATTTGGTAACAATGGAGATATTGCTTGGATATACACATAGAATTATGCCGGTGAATTGATTTTCGACATACTATGTCAAAACCATCCAGAAAATAATTTTCAAATGACTATTGCATGCCATCGATGATGGATATTTTGGCATGGAATATGAAATGATGGTGATGTTATCCCAAGATTGAGCAAATCAATAAGAGACTTGCATAGTGCTTTATCTTTGATTCTCTCTTCGTCCCCTTTCAATCTCCTTCATTGATTTGTTAAGTGTCGATCATGATGAGCTTATAAAATGTACTATGGCCCATTATTTTCCCTCGTTACTTTATTTGAGGGATTGATAAATGAGCGACCCTTCAATGTATTAATTGCGTTGATCATGTTTCTGTTTTTTGATATGTCATAATTTCTACCAATGAATTCTCATGCTTTGGTCGGTTGTCTGTATCCCCAAATTGATTAAGTAGTAGTAGATTAGATTATATTGATTTCTTAACTTTCTGTTTCTACTAATGTAGCTAAGCTAGAGCCAAGGCAACAACTTTGGCTGGTACGTACACAAAGTTAGCAAGGTGGCGTCGGTCCTTTCCTGTGTTTTCTCCCTCTTGCAAAAACAGCAGAACTTATCCCCTATTGTGCAATCTATCCACCTCCCTATCATCAATTATTTTAGGAGCATCCGTGTACATTGACAAATAAAATGTGTTTAATGGGGCAAAAGTTACGTTTGATAAGACTACTAATTAAAGTTGTTGAAATGATTCGAGAATTTTGACAACACAATATACTGCGTAATTGAGGTGGTTGAAAAGTTGTTTTCACATGTATAAGGAGATTTTGGCTTTAAATTTTGTGGGTTTCTTATCAAAATTCCTTAATCAGGAGCATTATTGTTTGAGTCAACAAATCAATTCAAGTTGCATAACGATGTCTAATGGGCACTAATCGTTGACTGATATTTTCTAAATTGAATTGCCTTCATATCAATTTGATTGTAATTAATACTTGTTAGAGTAAACATTTGGGTCTTTGTGGGTTCTTTATTCTTGTTGGCTCAGGAGAGAGGAATAACGGCTTCTTGGTATGAGTTCGTTCAATAACTCGAAATATTGAAACTAATTAGTTCTTGAAAAATGATATAGAAACAGTGAAAGGTCATGCGTCTAGATTGTGACATTAGTTCCAAAATGGTAGTGCTTAAATAACTGATTGCTAAGTCAGTATGATTAGCCATTATATTTTTTCAAGTCGAGATAAAGAAGGAAAATGAGTTTTTCTCCCGTGGTTCCCGAGAAGGAAAAAAGAACTCGTCCTTTGTCGCAAAATGGGAGTTATAGACTCAACTTACCATAACCAAATTGATTCTTGATAATTCTATGTCAAAAATGGAAATGAGTTTTCACATCATTTGATCAGAATCTCGAATGAACTTTAAGATAACTTGTTCGACACATATTTTTAAACGAGAGACTCTCCTTAATGAAAAAACCAAACCCTATTTACCTGCGGCAAACACATTAATTAAGTGCCCATTAGTCATATTTTCCCCCACTCTAGCTTATACAGTTATACCCCCGTTGAGAAAAAAATTATCGAGAAAGCATAAAAGGAAAGATGGAAATTAACTTCCCTGGAAACTGAGCCGGGAAAGTTGAAAGAGGATAAGGCAACTTTTCAGAGGTAGATGATGATGGCCACCCCACCCATCAGCAGCACAACAGTATATATTCTTCTCAAAATGGATTTGGGAGGAGACAAAAGAATATAAGAGCACTTTGGACGAAGGAACGAATTCAAGAAAGGAGGTTTAGAGTGATATGATTGAAGAATCAACTCACTAGCTTAGCCAATGGAGAATTGACCAAACAAGCAAATGAAGAATTGATAGCCTTTTTTATATTTTAAATTTCATCTAACAAGCGTAAAAGTAAGAAGGGTAAATTTATTTTTTTCTATTTAAACTAATAACATACAGAAATCGAAAATCTTAAAATCAGATGAATTTTTCACTCCCGTTAGCTAGCCCACTAACTCTCCCGTAAGTATTTCTTATGTGTTTTCTATTTTTCTTTTCAATTTATATTATTTCTATTTGTTTTTTAACAAATAATTTAGCTACTGGCCAGGAATACACATTTAAAATATTTTGAAAACTTTACGATGCGCATTGTAAATAGGTTATATTCAAATGACAATCAGACCAACGGGTCATACACCAAACTAGTAAAGAAAATAAGAATCCATGCATGGATGACGGCAAACAAGAATATCGGTTAGTCGCGGAAAGCGACTTCTCAGGGGAATACTACCTGTTCATTCAAAAAAAAAAAATCAATTTTAGGATTAGGTTAGGATTATAGAATACAAAGCGAAATAATTCATGTAATATAAGGATATAGTGCATGGTTAGTACGAATTGTGATACAAGTCTCGAATAATTGGATGAATTCTTCATAAGTATTCTTGCACAATTCATGTATGCATGTATTGTGTAATTATATACACGAAGAAAAAAAATTGTGACATTGATACCAAAATGAAACAAGAGAATAATATTAATGCCATAAACTATATATCTTTTGAAAATCATGGCCATAATATATTATTGCCAATTGACTAAGAATAAGGCATTCGTTAAACCTAGGTAATTCATGATCTAAGTTCTTCACAAGGTATGATTTGTTATTAATTTGTTCACCTTCATTTACGATCAAGAAATAGGCATGAAATAATTGGATCTTGGTTGGAACTTGAAAGGAAAAAATGAGTAGTGGGTTTTACTGCGTGGGCTTTCTTTATTCTAGTGGGCTTAGTCATCTGGAAATTCAAAGCTATCAGGGCCAGGGAGACAGACGACTGGATTCCGGCGGCCCTTAAAGAGGAAGAGAGACGAGCGATAAATTATTTTTTAACACTTCACAGATGGCAGAATATATAGAGAAAACCAAATCTCTTTAAGCTACTCTTTTTTTTTTTTTTTTTATAAATTAAAAGAAACAATTAACAACTAAAAAAATCATAACAGTAACCAAATGCACAAAATATTCTTAATGTATACTCAAAACGCAATTAAACAGTTTATAACGTAAGTTAGGTAACATGACAATAAACCGGAAGTGCATGTTTCCGTCACGATCCTACCTAGGCGCATTGAGGCTTCTTCCACCTCAATGCATTCGTAAGTGAGAACTTAACTGGATCTACAAATCAAGAACAAACACATATTACAATCCTTTTGTTAAATGTTATAGGACTTGTTTCAAAGGATTGGACATTTATGATCGAATAATTTGAGATATATATGGTCAAATTTTGAATTTTAACCGTCGGCAGCCAAAATATTTTACGGAGCTAGCTAGCTAGCTGTCTGCATTCTGATAGAGAGTGCAATTAAGTCCTGTGTCTGTTTGAGTATTTACTATTTTTAGAATACACACTACTATTTAATATCCATCATCATGCATGCATGAATTATGAATATGGCGGTCCTACGTACGTACGCCCACAGACCACAGTAACAAATATTCACTCACAATAAAACCGATATTGACGCTTGCATGCAGTTTCCCCATTAAGTAATCGGCAGATCATTGGGCTCTACCTTAGACAGGAGCCTGTCTTGCAGATGCCCAGAAATGAATACACAGTAACAGTACAGTAATGATCAGATTCGGATCAGGAAATTAAATTAATACATCACTACATGCTACGTACGTACGTATA